AGTGCTGCCTCACCCCAAAGAGCAGCAGGAAGGCTTGCTGTTTCAAGCATTGTGAACATGCAGCCTTCAATGGTTCAAATGGCACATTCAGCCTTTCCATTCTGTTGGTGAGCATATGGGGTGGAGAGCTGACGTTTGATACCTCCATTCTGCAGTGCTTCTGTAAATGCCAGACTGAGAAACTCACCTCCATTATCTGACCAGAAAACTTTAACCTGTCTCCCAGCATTTCCAGAAAATCTCCCATGCAGCAAGAGCTTGGTCTTTTGTTGCGAGCAATTGGAGGGAGAGAAGGTTGGTATGGTCATCTAGGAAAATGATGAAGTGGAGTTTGCTGTGAGGGGTCATGGTGGGGAATGGGCTGCACAAGTCAGAATGGATCAAGTCCAGCATGTGGGAGGCACAAGGCTCTTCAGAAGGTGGGTAGGGCTTGTGTGGGTGCTTTGCCATAATGCAAGGTTCACATTGCTGTAGAGGTACCACTGACTCAACCTTTACTCCATTAGCAATCAAGGGAAGACACTTCACGGCATCGCCACCAATATGACCCATTCAGGCATGCCAAAGATCCCAAGACAAAGGGACACACACAAGCATTGAAAGTTTGTGAGAAGGTGATGGTGGAGTGCATTCACTGGGACAGATGAATTCAAGGTCAAGGAAAATGAGGTTTCCAGTCAATAGGACGTCTCTGAGATCATCCCCTCAGTATGTGAGCTGACAGTGTGATGGAAATGGTTTGAAATGACACTCCCAGCCTTTTTGAAGCATGTAGCCCACCAATAAGAGATTGACAAGCGCCCCTGGAACATGGGGACAATTGCTAAGGCAAATGTGGAAGATTTGTTTGTTAATGGTCAGATCAGCAAGGCAATCGCCTCTCCCTGAGGTGGAGAGCTTCCCATGATTGGCTGTTGTCATTGTGACACTTGCATCCTTAGAGAACATCCAGAAGAGACTATGGTCCATAACGGGAGTGGATGTTGTACCCAAGTCAAGGATGCTGGAGAGATGTTACTGTATGATGCAGGCAAGGTTTTCAGCAGTGGGTGATGAATCAGGAGACAATGTCTCAATCATGGTGAATGACAAGTCTTGATGGTGAGAGGATGTGTCATCAGAGGACTTAGCAGTTTTCTCATTGGCATTTGCAGAGGCAGCTATATCCTTCTTAGGTTGCTGCTTCTTGCTACCATGGGACCAAGGTGCCTTCCCTTCCATTCCACCCCCTGGCTGAAGACAATATTCAAGGTTGTGAGTGAGAGCATGTGGAAGGCCAGCACAGACTGGGTTCTCACAGGGCACCCCCTTAGGGTTGTTCCTGTGGATCCTTATGCCATTCTTGGGGTTGACCTTGTTCTTGTATGGGGGGGTTACTGCATTCACATACTCTGATCCTGGACCTACTGCTTTCTGTTCTTCATGGATACAGTTGGCCTCTTCAGAAAGTGAGGTAATAACTTCCTGGAAGGTCATAACAGGAGGAGCGGTTGGGGCAGTTGTAGAAATGGTAGTGGATGTTGCACTGCTCTTGTTGTACTGCCTGATGGTCAACTGTTTGAACACCAGCCATTCTGGAGTCTGAGGGAGTCCTTGGAGGAGGAGGAAGATGGCTTTGTCATCTGTAAACATGACATTCATTTCAGCAAATCAGCGACATGCATTTTCAAAGACACTGATATAGCAGGACATGTCATCCACATCTTTCAGTTTGATACTGAAGAGTTGTGCCCAAAGTTCGAACTGGGATGTGATATCAAGTCGACTAAAATGTTGAGCAAGGGTATCCCACTGTTCTCTAGCAGTGAGTTGTTTGCCAATGAGTCCTTGGACTACAGGCGACAGTTTGCGACAGATAACCCCTTTGGCTTGAGCATCTTCCTTAAGCCAATCTTTGATTTCCTGTTTCTCCACAGCTGTGGGCATGCCTGCTTGCGCAGGGGTTGGTATGTGTGATGCTAGTTCTGCAAGGTTGTTGACATTGGTCCCAGAACTACAATGAGTCCAGAGACCTTCGCCTTGCAGTGCAAGCATGATAGCACAATGCCAGCTAGGATAATTGTCATATCTGCATATCTGGATCTCAGATCCAATCCACATCTTATCTCTGATCCTATCCACATCTTATCTCCCTCCAACATCTCATCATCCATTCTGTCCACTCATCCAGTCCGGTCCACAATTCATCCAAATCCACAACCAGTGCTCGTCTCTTTTCAGTAATCCCCTAACTCCAGTATTTCAGTTATCTGTATATCTGTCCTGCTCCCTGATCCATTACCTATGCTTCATTTCCATTTCATTATTTGTAATCTGTTTCTACTTACAAATAGACCATCCATATGCTTTGTACATAGCCTTGGACTCTGCTGATTGATCATTCCATTAGATACCTATAGTATATAACCTCCTGTAACTCTCTGTAGTACCTCAGTTCGAATATCATCTTAGTTCTACTCATTCCTGTCCTCTGGACTTGAGTATCTCTACTCTTGTCACTCTCCAAGACTTAGGATTGATTCCTATAGTCTATCCATATCCGCCTCTGTCTCCGACAGTCCATTACCATTAGTTTCTAGTCTGGACTTGTCTGGATTAGCCCTATGATACTTATCCTGCATCTGGAAGTCATCCAGATCTGCTACGCTACTCGTCTGACCTTCTGGATGTGTCAGTCTTGCCTTCCTGAAATAAGGGGCAATACTCAGGTAAGGGGCACAGCGCACAAGCTGAGGCGAAGCCCTTTGGATCCAGTTATCCATTGAGTATGACCTTAACAATAATCGTCCGAACCAGTGAGTTCAATAATGTGGTTGAATTTACCCATGACGAGGACAGAACAAGTTATGGAGGATTTAGGAAGTGATTAGATAGATACTGAAATGGTTTGTTTGTTTGGTGAGTGTGCCTATATGCGAGCCTACTAGTTAGCCTAGTCAATTGTCTGGGTTGTGCTTGACAACTCAGACAGGGCTCATAACCTAATGGCTAGAGCAAGTCTCAGCAGGAGTTCAATAACAATGCTAATATTCAATTTACCTAGAGCAAGTCTATAGGTACATATTAGTTACTGTGAAGACAGACAATGAGACAATGCATACCTCAGCAGGAGTTCAATAACAACACTGAGGTATCAAGCTGCAAGATGACACATATAAGTAGCTATATGAAAGCTGTGGAGTGCAAAACATGGAGTATGAGTATGCAGAGAAGCGACCGGAGATCATGGTACTGGTAAAGTATTGTATGGTATCAAAGGTGCAAGAAATGATGAGCTAACAAGATAGGAAAGGAAGATACGAGGATTAACCTCTCAGATTGTTGTAGCCATAGTACCATATGGGCACTCCTTCCAACAATGTGTTTGACCCTTAGGGGAAGCAAGGAAAGCAAGATCCACAAAGTGACTCCAGGTCAACTCTGGTGAAGTGCGCTGAAAGTGTGCATGCATAGGAGTGTGAAGTGTAGGAATAAAGTGCAAGCTGTGTGTGAACATATAAGAAACTGGTAGAAGTCATGAGGATGTGAACTGGGGCTGCTGAATGGAGGCTGATGATAATGAACTGTTGCTGAGGGCTAGGGGGATGACTAATGCATGCTGGCTGAAGACAATAAATTCTGACTGCTAGATGCTAAGTGACTACTGACATGATGGTGGTTGTTGTATGAAAACTTTTTAGGCAACAGGTAAGCTGTGCCTAGGTGCGCTCCCAGGGCTTGGAAGTGAATAGGGAGCACTCTAAGTATGTAAATGATGTAACTAAGGGTCCATGATGAAATATAGTGTCATATAATGCTAAATATGGTCTGATAGTGAGAATGAGTGAGAAAGGACTCACTAGGGAACTGATTGGACAATGGATGGATGCTCCCAGATGCTGCGCAACATAAGGCAACCATGCATGGGAAGAGCGCACTAAGCACATGCATGGGAATGTGTTACATAATGCAGGAAAGCATCAAGCCTCTGGCATGTTTCACAGGAAAGTCATAGCTAGTGAGTTGCACATTGTACCAATCATTGTGAGTCAAAATATGGGCAATCTATGCCTGGAGGAATCTCATTCTCTACATCAAGTCAATGCCTCCTTCAGGAGCAATTGTCTAGACTCCTGCAGGATCTAGAGTTCAAATAGGATGATGGCTAGCCTCCTTCCCAAGGAGCTAGAGTTCAAGTATCAAGGAGAACTGAGTAGATTAAAGTTAGAGAAAATACAAGCAGTAACTAGGGTTTATATATGCAAGAGAACTGTGCACAGACCAAGCTGGGCGAAGGGTAACAAGTACTAGAAAAGGAAGGTTCATGGGATAACAAGGTATGAGTCAAAGATAAGAGAAACCATGAGGAAACAGCAAGGTGAAAAGGAAGCATTACAAGTACAGCCATAAGGCATCTGCAGTGATGATGAGAAAAAGAATAGGGTACTGTAACAGATGATGCCTGGTTGCATAGTGCAAGAAACAGTAATAACTCCAAATATCAAGTATTGTGGGGCTGTCTTCCACATCAGGCCTACAACTGCAATATATGCTTTGATACTTTCTTGGTTGTTCTTGCTGTTGCCATCCTCAGGAAGCACCTGAAAGAACACAAGGAGCTTAAAATGAAGCCTAACACCTATGTAGTAATGATCATCTGATATCATGTCATATATTTTGTGCTGTAAGTTTCCCTTTGTTTTTTGTGTTCTCTGGAAGTATTCATTGAATCACCCTAGGAATTTGGCAAGTCAAATCTTCATGGTGACATTGTGGGCCCACCTTTCAGTATGATCTTCTGTGATTATAGATAAATATATTCTAGTGCAGGCATGCACAGATGGTGATGATGAATCTTGTACTAATATTCAAGTATACTGTGCCAATGATACAAATATTGAATATTTCCATCATTTGCTGTCAATTCCACTAGGACTATTTCTCACTGGGCTTGAGGGGTCAACTGAGTAGAGCAGTGTGTATTTCAGTGATTTCTCCATGATGGGAGATATGTATCACATCTACTCCACCTCACTTTCATCTGTATTATACCCAGCACCATCAAAAGCTGGTTTTGTGAAACTGCTTCTGTGGTCAATGATAGTCCATTCCCCATGACTCTTGACCCTTCCTACAACTCCTTTTACATTCCATAGGTCAGTGATGGTACATGTGAGGTTTCTTGAATAATGTTCCTCCTTGGTAGCATCTCTGCCCTTGGTCTGGCATGGTCAAATGAGTGCCAGTAAAAGAGTTTTGCTAGTGAGCCCTGGCCACTGAGTGTTGTTTGACAATGAGCAAACCAGTATCTTTTTGAGTCAATCATACTGCACCAACTGAATCACCTTCAGAGCTTTATTTTCATGGTCTTCATATTCCAGTTTGTACTATGTAACCTCATTGAGTACAGATCTAATGTATGATATAGTGGACTTACTTGAACATATGATGAGTTTCTTTGCTTTTTGGATGTCCTAGTGGTGCTGTGTGTCTGAATACTGCCTCTGCCATTTTGGATGTGATTTTTTTTCCAGAACACCATCACAGTTGGGAGATGTGCAAGAATTACTGTCTGTCTTCTACCAATGAGTTGCTTTACATACAACACAACTTCCACCTGCTCATTGCAGTCTGGTTCATATGAAGTCACTTGAGGGAGGTGAAGAACATAGTCATGATCTGGTAGGATTGTTTATGCTTTTATCTTGAGTGATTGGATGGGATTTATAATCTTCAAAAATAGTTTTATATGTCATTAGCTAGGACAAATTCCACTGAATACTTAAAGACACCTCCTCTTGGACATCATACTGAAGAACCACTTGCTGAAGGTACATCATGTATAGAACTTCTTTGTTGAGGTTTCCCCAAGGCTGAACTCTTGATTTTAGTGCTATCCTGAATTTTTGATAATAGTGCTCCAGGAAGAATGTCCATGTGGTCCACACAGGTCTGCATTGACAAATGTCATCAGCAATATGAAGTATTCTGTGAATTAGAAGGGTGCAGGCTGGTAATCTGGACTTGTCATACTGATAGTGTTACAGTAACATCCACTTGTTTAGCCCCTATTTATTTTCCTCGCTCTCACCCTCACTGGACTCCTTCCTCTTCGGGCAATTGCCCCTTTTCTCTTTCTTGATTGTTCTATCTCTCTCTCTTGATTGTTCCACCAACTGTTCTGTCAGTTGTACCCTATCTTTGGTTCATCCAATGACTCACCAACCCTATGCCCTTACTGTCAAACTGGTCCCTCTTACTTACTATGGTATTCTGACTCCATCATGACTCACCATGACTCATGTCCCCTTTACCCTTACCACTCAACCAGTACTTTCTACTTACTTTGGTATCTTGACTCATTGTGACCCGTTCACCCTCTACCCTTACCACTAATATGGCAGACCTGCCCTTATCCCTTCCAACAGTATATATGCCTTATGGGTAGCACTTGTATTCTCTAACTTGAATCTACTTGGTTCATACTGCCTACCCTTTGAGCCCTAAGCAAGCTCTCCTCTTTAGCAAGTACTTTTGTTGGAGCATGTCGCTGCCATCATCTCTAGCCTTGTGAAGAGAACAATTGACAACTTGCCATCATAATCGTCAATAATTGATTGTAGCCCTCACAGCTAGATCAATTGCTGTGAAATTGTACCTATGAATGCTTGCTGGTTGCAGCAGGCTTGGTGCAAGCCTGTCATATACCATTCTGGACTCTCAACTCTAAATCCGCTTCTCCAGATCTCAAATGATCTGATCTATCTTTATCTTCCTTCCGGAATCCAAACCCTATGTCAGCACCCAACCCCATTTAGACTTCCCCTGTCTCCAGACTCTGGTTAACCATGTTTCCCTTCTGATTATTGATCTGATACATACACTTCATTTCCGGTGTTCATTATTTGTGATCTGTCCTACTTACTAATAGACTTTGCATATGCTTCTTACATAGCCTTTATGTTTGCTGGTTGATTCCTATATGATACCTACAGTATATAAACCTCCTGTAACTCTTGGAAATACTCCAGTTCAAATATCATCTTAGTTCCTGCTCATTCCTGTGTCCCCCGGACTCAAGATAAGTCTCTTGTCATATTCTGAGTCTTAGGATTGCATCCTAGACTACATTTCCGACTCTACCTTAAGGTAGTCTATCCTCTGTTAGTTTCTAGTCTGGACTTCACCCAGATTAGTCTTATCCACTTACCCAAGTAACATCCAGATGTCCATCGGATTTATCTCTCACATTTCAGATCCAGATGTCTGTTGTCCGCCCTAGTCAAATCCCAGAAACTCCAGATGACTGTTCTAGCCCCTGGAAATTAAGGGCACATACTTGGGAAAGGGGCACAGCATATGAGCTGAGGCCAAGCCCTTGTGATCCAACCCCCTTGAGCACACAACCTTAACAGAGCCCCAATCCAAGTTCTATGTTACTTACTCACTTCATTTGCTTGCCACAGACTTAGCTTGATCGTAACAGATAGTAGTACCTTATAGTGGTATCAGCCATGTTCTATTGCTGAAGGTGAGGAATTTGGATGAGGTGATGGGGGAAACTAAAGATATGAACTCTTCAGAGCTCCTCTGGATGCAAGTCAAACTCAACCCAAGGGGATTGCCACTGAGAAAGGATTCCTCTAAAGATTTGAGGGGGAATGCCAAGAACTAGCTCTCAACAGAGGGCCTGGTGGAGTGCAAGAGTATGAAGTGCAACAATAGGCACCAAAGCATGCTGGATGTGACAGGTACATGAAAATGCATACTTGATATGTGAAATGTGTGCTTCATGGCTGGACTCTAGATCTCAAAGCAAGTGATACTGACCTTTACTTGGATTGGTGGGAGATGATGGAGATGAGATGATCCTTTTCAGATCTCAAGTGTGAAAGTCAACAAAGGTGGTTGTAAATTCAACTATTAGCTGCTGCTCTGAGGGATACTCATGGAAGGGAAGTAACTAACTAAAATTTGCCCAGAGGCATGTAATGCCTCATAAGTGTGTTCCCAGGCTTTGGAAGCAAATAGGTAGTGGTAAATATCATAAGTGATGTAACTTAAGTAAAAATAGCAAGGCAATGAGTAATTACATACCATATGTAACTCTGTGATATGTGATTGAAGTAAAAATGGATAAAACACACACCAATGAACCTTGGAGGACAAGGACAGGACATGCAGACGGTTGGTGATGAGGATGTGAAAGTGTGTTCATAGTGTGTCTGAAGCACACCAAAGCATGTATTGTTGTGAATATTGCGCATGTATTGCACTTATTGGAGGGTGTCAGCACAGAGGCCAAAACACGAAAATACACCTGTTATATGGTTGTAGAGGATGGAGTCTCTACATCACATCCTGCAATAGACTGCTTACTTTTCATACTTGACTACCAAGCTTGCAATTCATTGTTCCAATTCATCAATATCTGCATGTGTGATTGGGGGCTGTGGTGTTTTTTTCCTGATCCAAACTAACTTGCAAAGGTGCTTGTGGTATTTTCCATTTGGAAAGCCATTACACAGGAGTGTTGGGGCAAGGTAAATGACCCAAAATGACCATGATTCCACTGTGAAGTTTGAGTGATCATCTTATTGCTAAGGACTTGAACAAATGCAGCAGAAATGTTTGTGATTGCAGCTGCAGTTTCTGCTCTGATTTCAGTCCATACATGATCATCTATCTCATAATCTTTCTTCCCAGCATCCATACCCTTTAATTTGCCAGTCCAGTGCTTGACAAGCATTGGGACAATATTCTCAAGGAAGACATGCATCCATTCCCATGGAAAGGACCTGGCAAAGTCAATTGACCCTACTTGCTGCCTGTCATAAAGGTGAAGGTGGCATATACAGAGACTGTTTTTCTTCCCAATCCTGTCCTTCTCTATGGCAGTGTCTGCTTCATTTATCTCTTGCAGTACCTCTTCGAAATGAGTATGACTGCAATGGGGGAGCTGAAGGAGGTCCCAGTGTGGGTTCAGAGTATTAGGTTGAGTAGGAGGAGTTAATGGGACATAGTAATTAGTCTTGTTTGCAGACTTATTTCAAAAGCCAGTGATCAGACATGACCAACATGGTGCAAAGCCATTATGGCCATGGATTTCCAGTAGTTTCTCTATCACAAGGATATCACCAAGTTTGAAAATGTTGTAGGCATGGAGCTAGGACATCTGCTTCCTAAGGCTATTGAAGGTAAGTGTACCATTGGCAAGTTTGGTGCACTCATTCTCAAATGGGAAAAGGAAGGATGCAATATCTTGTGGAGATTTTGGTCCTGGAATGACTCCAAGGCAAATCAGACATTCATGGTGGATGCACATAGTCAGGGGAAAGTTGTAGATCTGGACAAGGATTGGTGTGGCAGAAGGCCCCTTTGATGGTGGTATAAGAGTGTTTTAACAGTATCTTCATGGGCAAACAGACCCTGCAATTGAGGGATTAGGGGCACATAGGAAACCAATGTCTTGGCTTCCTTTGAGCATCAAAATGACTTTTACCATAGAAGTCACAGTTATCACTGTGACTGTAGCTTGCAGTATATGCAATGCAGGAATTGATGCAGCAATCTATTTTCATGGGCATGATGGTAGCGAGTCCTTTGAAATGCTTGAGCATTTTATACTTAGAGTCAATGTCCATCTTATGACTGAACTTCTCCTGCAATTCATTAAATGTTGCGCATGGCATATGACTCTTGATGCAGAGACTGTGAGCATGGAGTTTATCTCTATCTTCCACCATCAACAATGTATTTCCTATGTTATTTTGATCTCTTTTATCATTTAAATAGTTTCCAGGAGCAACTAAACTCACAAAGTGAATGATGCAGTGCCTCAACCCCACCATTTACATGACCACCTATCACATCTACAGTGGCTCAAAAAAGTGTCCAAATGTTTATGAATTTTCAAGTAATTAGATAATAGCAAGCCAGCACCTGAGTACAATATAAAGGCATATAGACATGTCTAAAGGCTTGACATCATAGCTATAATCTGAGATATATATTGTGGGAACTAGACCACATATAGGCAAGATATGGTAATTCTAATCACATGACTCATTTGGACACTTTTTTGACTTTATATCCAAATCACAAAATCCAACTATTCACAGATATTATTCTTAATAGAAGTGGTACAATAATCAATATTTGGTCTTATTTTAATATTATTTATATATATGAACCCACATAACATCATGAACTTTAACATAATCATCATACAGCCTATCTCCTCTGCTCCAAAGGATAATATCCTTATTCTCTGCTCCTCTAGTTTGTCTATGAGGCAAATTGCTTCCAAAACTGGTCCTAGCAAGTCTACTATTGCTATAGTCACAAACCAAAACATACTAGAGAAGGAAAATCATAAAATGGGATGGTCTTTCAAGCTTACTCTATAGTATAAAAGAGCTATTGTTCATTAAAGTCTATCTGGCAAGGCTTCAAATGTTGTCCATGCCACCAAGTTCATCAATTCCATCATCCCCACTCCCATCCCCACTCAAACAGTCAGAAACACCCTTAAGGCAGCCAATCTTATGGCTGTAAACAAGAAGAAAATGCCTCTTCTTTCTGCAGCCTATAGGGGCTTTTGCTTTAAAGCACCAACATTGGACTGTGGAAGACTGAAAGAAGGTAGTTTGGTCACATGAGATAAAAACCAATAGAATGGGGTCAGATAGCCTGGAATATGTGTCAAAAAAGGTAGGGAAACCATTAGGGGAAAGAGAAGTCAAGAATATACTAAAGTTTGGAACATGAAGTATGATGGTAGGGGTTGTAGGAGATGGAATGGTGTGGGGATTCTTTGTGAGGTGGAAGGAGGCATGAATGTAGAGCAGTAAATTTCCATTCTAGAGGAGTGTCTACTCAGAAGCATGCAGAAGTCAGGAAGTGATGAAGAAGACATTATCTTCCAACTGGATAATGATTCTAAGCATACCTCAAAGCTAGCTACAAAATGGCTCAAAGCTCATGAGATCAATGTTCTATCATAGTCAGCATAACTATAGCAATAGTAGACTTGCTAGGACCAGTTTTGGAAGCAATTTGCCTCATAGACAAACTAGAGGAGCAGAGAATAAGGATATTATCCTTTGGAGCAGAGGAGATAGGCTGTATGATGATTATGTTAAAGTTCATGATGTTATGTGGGTTCATATATATAAATAATATTAAAATAAGACCAAATATTGATTATTGTACCACTTCTATTAAGAATAATATCTGTGAATAGTTGGATTTTGTGATTTGGATATAAAGTCAAAAAAGTGTCCAAATGAGTCATGTGATTAGAATTACCATATCTTGCCTATATGTGGTCTAGTTCCCACAATATATATCTCAGATTATAGCTATGATGTCAAGCCTTTAGACATGTCTATATGCCTTTATATTGTACTCAGGTGCTGGCTTGCTATTATCTAATTACTTGAAAATCCATAAATACTCAGACACTTTGTTGAGCCACTGTAATTCATCCATATCATTATTTTCTTCTTCTTTGCCATATGGAACTTCATCTGCATGATCAGTCTCATCTGACTCCTGATCCAAATGATTTGGACTTGGGCCTTTATCAGGCTTGCCCATGCTCACATCACTGGCTACATTGAACTCAGATACTTGAAGTACTTCAATCTCAGGCTCTAGATTCATTGCCTGTGGATCCTCTGATGACTCTGAGGGGGAAACAGAAGGTGATGTATTGACCAATTTTGCCTTTTTGTAATGATGGAGTTGCTGGTAATAACTGAGAAAGTGTCAATGTTCTTTGCATTTAAAAGAGTAATGGCAATATTTTATCTTCTTGCTGGGCATGGCAGAAACTAGAATGAGTAGAGTTCAAGCAGGAATCACAGAGGAAAAGCGGTGTAGAGACTTGCGCCTCTGTATACCCATAGAGCCCCATATTGCAATGTATCTACATACAGTTCACAGCACAAACTTGTGGCATCATTCCCTATATCATTCCCTCACTCAGCCAATACACATGTGATCTTCCTGTGCATCACACAATGTGTGTGCTACTCTCCCACGATGCATTCCCACGCGCTTTCCCACGCTTCATCGCCCATCATCCATCATCCATCATCCAGCAAGTCTTACTGGTATGTTTTCGCATTTATCCTTATCATGACACCATATTCTATCATGGACCCTTACTTACATATACCTTCTTTGTTCCCACACCTTACTTGCATTGGCTCCGCATTGTGGGAATGCGCTTAGTTGGCTTTTGCATGTTAGCATTCACATTTTTTATGACTTAGTTAGTGACCACTTAGTTCCCAGTTAGTATCCCTTAGCATCCCTTAGCATAGTGCATGTATTTTTGAGCCATAGTCAGTAGCATTTGGCAATCACACTCTATCATCATCACATTTGTTGTTCTCGTGCCCATCAGTATCAGTCATCATCTTCCCTTAGTCCCCATTACATTCCTAGCCCTTTGCGCACTTTCACCTATTAGTGTGTGACTTTCCCATGCTTTGCACTACCTGTGGATGTGTTGCACTCACTTCCCCTTGGGTTGAATGCACTTGCCTTTGCAAAGTATAGCAGCCTAGGCAGAGCTGAGAGGACCACACATATACTCTGATTTGGTATTCCTTGTAGTGCTATAGCTTAATAGTTGATTCCTTCAGTGGCATGCACTTGTGATCAGTGGTAACAGTGTCTAGTTTGCATGTAGTCTCCCAGAGCTGAGCAGGTTTTCACATTTTAGGCAAGACATTTTCTATTTTGAATGTTCATACAACATATGACAACCACACTCTCACAGATTGTCCCTGGGCTTGATAACAAGAATCAGCCAGCAAACACCAAACAGGCAATGCTTTGTTGAAGCCTTGTAAACCTACTCACACTCTCCCTCTGTCTGTCACAACATCCTGTGATGCATGTCTAACTGGGGACTTGTCTGCTGCTGAAGAGTTACTCACCCAAGAGATCCACACCAACCCCAGAAACCATACTTTATATGCCCATCACTTATTTATTATGGCCTGCAAACACACCTGGGACCTTGCCCTTGAGGATGCACTCAAGGTAAGTTATACTGACCCATCATGACTCTCTTACAAAAGGCTAACTTTTATCTGGGGTATAATCCATCAGCATTCGGCCCTCATGGACAGGCTATATCTCTAAGGGCATTGCCCTCTGTGGAAAGGCCACATTCAGTAGGCAAGGGCAGCATTCAAGGTTGCATTCTGAAATGGTGCCAGGCATTCCTTTTGGCAGGCAAACCTGATGAAGCCCTTGAAGCACACAAATATATGATGGACACCCTCAATGAAATTGCAAAGGCCAGCTGCCTTGATTGGTCCAATGGCAAGTTTTCATTAATGTCACCTGAGGTTATCATACTAATCTGCATTTCACTCAGAATGTAAGGAACAATGTAGTGCACTTGCAGGGCATGATGACCATATTCTTGGTATGTATATGTATGTAGCTTTTTTTTTAAATAAATTAGTGGCAAATTTATAATGCAAAGTTAAAAAAAACAGTACCTGGAATACTCAGATAGTCCAATGCCATTCAAAAGAGATTTGGAGAGACATGACAGTTAGAAACCCACCACTTAAGAGGCTCCTTGACATTCTCAACTGGTTTGCAGAGGTACTCATCAAGCTCACTAGTCCAAGATCCAATACCAGTAGTCACTAAAATATTTGTGAAGGATGTGAAGTTGTCATCATTGATCTGGATAATAAGTATCAAAAACATGTAATATATTGCAGTAGGAAACTTACTGAGTCATTTGTTGCACCAGAATCAAGCACTTGCACAGGATTTGATTTTCCCTCATATTGTTTGACATATGCTTTGCTCATGATCTTCTTTGTGTGGGACAATCAAAGGAGGAGTAGGCATTTTGGTGGTAGATGTGCTGTTGTGACTCATTGTGACTTCAGTGACCATCAAAAGCTCAGCTTACAACTGGACCAAACCAGTGTAGAGACTCACGCTTCTGTATGCCCATAGAGCTTGATATTGCAATGTATCTGCATGCAGTTTGCAGCACAAACTCACAGCATCATTCTCTATATCATTCCTTCACTCAGCCTATACATGCATGATGCATTCCCACACATTGCACTACTCTTCCACGATGCATTCCTGTGCATCACACAATGCATGTGCTACTCTCCCATGATGCATTCCCACATGCATCTCATGCACTTTCCCACACTTCATTGCCCATCATCCAGGAGCATCCATCCACTGTCCAGCAAGTCCTACTGGTGCATTTTCACACTTTATGTTCATTATGACACCATATCCCATCATAGACCCTTACTTACATATATCCTTACATACCTTCTTCATTCCCACACCTTACTCGCATCAGCTCCACATTGTGGGAACACGCTTAGTCACCTTTTGCATGATAGCATTCACATTTTTTATCACTTAATTAGCTACCACTTAGTTCCCAGTTAGTATCCCTTAGCATCTCTCAGCATACACATTTTCAAGCCATAGTCAGTAGCATTTAGCAATCACACTCTATCATTATTGCATTTGTTGTTGTGAAGAAGTAATTGGTACTAGGCAGTTAGCAACTAGCACTACTTATCCTAAGAGGTGTGAGTTAATTGATCGGCCTGAGAGGACTGCTATTGAAGCACTTCCTTCAATTATGTGCGAGGGAAGTAAGTGAGCGAAGGAGTTATAACCTATGTCAGCCTAAGAAACTAGAATGTGGACCATATGTATACCTTTGAATTTCTATGCCAAGAATTGACCATGAGTGTGGACAAAAATCGACCGATGTTAGTATCACAAGAGCAGGATGAACCATTGGAAGATACATGTGAGCATATTGGATGTCAGATGCTGGTGTGGCAGATGTAATGCGCATGAAATCAACCATGCTCTACAGAGCGGCTGGTTGCAAGGGATATAGCGCGAGTGAAGAACTGCACTAAACTACCAGTCACAGGTCGGGTATTCTTGCAAGAGCTTAAGGGTAAGATCCTAGTGGTACAGAACTTCAGAGCGGTTGAATTGCGCAGGATTGTCAAGAAAGAGCAAAATAGATGGATTGCACAAGGTCTACAAAAATAATGTGAGAACAACTCTCCTATAGAGCTGAGTCCAGGGGAAAGGGAACTACTCAATTGTATGTACTGCAGTCATTTATATCATAGCACATGAATGTCTGGAATGTGTAGGTGAGAATTGTAGTGTAGTTAGTGAGCACGCGATGAGTCTATAGGTAATAAGACATCATGTGCTGTGGAACATGAGTAGATGTGTAATAAGACCTGCAGCTTATTTAGCAATGTCATTTTGGGAAAAATAATGCACCAGCAGAGATTGGTGGACATGGATAGGACATGGGAGGGCGGATTCCTAGGACCAGACCAGAGTAAGAGCAGATGGGTTGATATATATGGATTTAATGATCTGCACTTTATCTCCTTTCCTGAAGGTGAGAAGAACTGTACTATTGATCATATGCACCTAGCACCGGTATGATCATCACATTGTTCTCATGCCCATCAGTATCAGTTATCATCTTCCCTTAGTCCCCATCGCATTCCTAGCCCTTTGTGCACTTTTGCCTATTAGCATGCAACTTTCCTGCACTTCGCACGCCCTACCACCCTCTGCATGTGCCTTTGCCTTCACACACTGACATGCACGAAACTTGTTTCATACATGGTCATGACCATATTATGATTTATGCTACTATGATTTATGTTACTCTTTATTTCAAACTATGAAGTCACTTGAATTTTTCTCACAACATTAATTTTATTTGGACATTTCAAAGCATGTCTCACCAAGAAATGGCTTAGCTGTCCATGTAAAATATTTATTATGCCACTTTACAAATATGTGTCAACATTTTATGCCACTTTATTTGTATCTATGTATCCAAAGCTGTGGAACCTGACAAATTGATACTATGATTAGAAAGATGATGATTGGTAAAGCACAACAACAAGGCAGTGCTAACACAACCCTTACCAAGCATTATTACAAAGCATGGCAGTGTTATGGTCTTAACACAGCCTTTGCCAAGCATTCTTACCAAGTATTCTGCAAAATTCCAGAGCATTCTATAGTCCTTTCTCATAATGATTCATACTGACTCAGCATGACTCAATATGACTCCAATTTAATTTAAGTACATTAGTAATCAATAGCATAGCCACTAGTATAGTAGTATATAAGGGGCTCATTTTCCCCTCTTGTGAAGTAATCAATTTCATTCCCAAGTATCAATCATCCAATCAGAGTGAGACAAAGTTTAGGGGAATCAAAGGGGGATCAGTGCATACACCCCTAAGTTTCTTTACCCCTATTATCTAAGTGAACAAATAAGTGACAACTAGGAGAAATATTAGCTTGTTTACTCCATTCTTTTACCACATTCTTCACACATTATTCAGAAGTATTTGAGGCCACACACTTGAGCCATATTTGATTACACAAGTAGTATTCATTCTAGCTCTCTTTTAGACACAGGAAAAGTTCTGTGGGGAGAATCACACATATTATTCATCAATTAGGGAAGACAAATAAGACCTACAATCTGTCAATGAATATTAAGAGCTTGGCCACTTAAGACTACATCAAAGGGTGTACTCTGTTCTGGACTGCATCATACTCACAGTGAGTGCCTGAGCAGCAGAGAGTTGGTTTCGAGGCCATGTATTGGGACAATTTCGCTAGTGAATTTGATCTCCATTGCTGAAGATAAGTAAGAAATATCCACAGGGATATATTATAGCTCTAGTCATTGCATACAGCTGCAACATATTATTCTGAAGGTCATAGCACTGCATCATGCCAGTTACTGACTTTACTTGAGATTATAGCACTGCTTCAAGCCAGTTATTGATTTCCACACTTCTTTGCCCATTTTATGTCACTAGCATTTGCTTGAAAAGTTCAACAAAAAACCTTGTCCCCCACGAACAACTACATTATCAACTGTTGGTATTTGTCTGAACTGTTGACTGTAGAAGGATAGTGAATTTGGTAACTGTTCTGTCTTTCACATCCTAGTAAGACAGCACATGATTTTCCCACACTTCACATGACCTGTGGATGTGTTGCACTTGCTTCCCCTTGGGTTGAATGCACTTGCCTTTACAAAGTATAGCAGCCCAGGCAGAGCTGAGATGACCACACATATACTCTGACTTGGTATCCCTTGTAGTGCCATAGCTTAGTAATTAATTCCTTCACCAGTCTTTATATCTAGACCCTCAAGGTAAGACCTGGACTGGACTGACCAAAACTGGTTTCAAGCAGTCTTGCAGTTGGTCCAGACTGGGAAAGACTGGGTTAGTGGGGGAGAATCACCTGCTCTGTAGGACTGTGGGAAAGTTGAGCTCATATCAGATTTCATAGTCACCTTTTTTTGCACATTTAAGCTTTTTGATCACTGTAATGCCTACTTGTTCCTCACTTTCTTGATTTAACTTGTAAAAACTATGTGGCACTGCAGGCATGATTTGCTATCTCTCAAGAATATTGACTTGGTTGATGTCTTTAGTAAGTACTTAGCATTTTTCTGGGCTTTATAATTAATGTTGTCCAGGTTGAAAGCACACATCTCTACAACCTTTACCACCTCTGAGTCTGTCATATCTCACAATCCAGACTCACATTCCATAATATTCCCATGCCTTCTGAGCCTACATCCAGACCCCATATCCAACTCATTGCCAGATCCCCTTCTGCTGTGTGCTCCACACCTCAGTAGGATCAACTCCACTCTGGATTTACCCCTGAGCTCCGGACCTCTGTATCCTCACTGCTAGCCTAATCTGTACCACCCTATCCTGTCCACCCTATGTGCACGCCATCCAGCAAGATATCCAGACTTCACCTTGTCTTGGATTCAGGACTATATCTACCTCATTGTATCCCAGTCCTGTATCCACCTCACCTTCCGGATCCTCAGATCTCTGGACCTCCAGATATCAACCATAACTATCTCTGGATGTATCCCTGCCCTCTGTCCAATATCCTGCACCTATCCCCATTTAGACATCTCCGCCTTTCCAGCTTTCAGTTACCTCTTGTTCTGTCTTGCTTATTGATCCTTGTACAAGTCTTCATCTCTGAGTTCATTTAGTTATGTTCTGTCTTACTTACTAATGTGTTTCCACATGCTCGTACATAGCCTTGCTCCTTTGCTTACTGATCCCCTCAGATATTGTCCAGTATATAACCCCTGTAGATACTCCTGTAGTTCCTCAGTCTGAATATCATCTTAGACTTTGCTCTACTTGCCCAATCCTCTCTCGGACTTTGGTCCACCTAAGTCTGTCCTATCTATCAGGCCTAGGGATTGATTCCCTAGGCTGGAGCTCTGCCTTTCTGGCACTTACCCTCTTTCTGGACTTAGGTCCAATCCCTGTTCTCTGCAACTCTACCTTAGGGTAGTCTACCTCTGCTTGTTTCTACATTGGACAAAGTCCAATGTAGCCCCTATTCCTTCCAGACCTCCAGATGTCCTGTCCTGTGCACCTCCAGGTGTCCTGTCCTTTGGACGTTCTGCCCTCCATACCTTTAGTCCTCCTATCCTCCATACTCTGGACCTCCTGTCCTCCAGACCTCCTATCCTTCCTTCCTGTTTCCTGTAGAAGTATTACCTTGCAGTGGGAACTCTCCTGAGCACTTCCTGCCTTCCTCTGGAACTCTCCTGTGCTCCTCCAGACTTTGTTGGACCATCACCAGACCTCATCTGAAATGAAGGGCCCATACTCGGGTAAGGGGCACAGTGTACGAGCTGAGGCCAAGCCCCTCTGAGTCAGTCTCTCTCTCCCTTGAGCATGGTTCTTAACACCAGAACACACTACAATTAAATCTTAAAAATGCAGTGCACACAAATCAATTACCTGTGCCAGATAGTGAAAGTTTTGAAAACTCAAATAAGCACATGACAACAAGGCACTCCAGATCATCAAGCACTGAATGATACTTCAGGAGTGAGGCTTCTTCTCCAATTTATTATAATGTTTGCTTCTGATCTCCCACCTTTTGTCAATACCAAGTTGAGTCTTCAAATGAGCTGCTAAACCTTCTGTGTTCTGGAGCTTGGAGTATGCCATATCCACTCAGACCCGAGCTTGGTTGAGAGCAACATGCATATCATTTAAGCTACCAGTGTGAATTTCAACAAGTGAGTGATTTGCTGCTTTTCAAGCTAAGTCCCATTCTCATCTTATTTTAACCATGAATTAACATACAATGAGTGAAAATCAACAAGACTCACTGGCACTCAGTAAGTTCATCAAGTACACCAATGTAGTGGATACTGAGATGATCCTTTGCCGGTGTCTGTTTCAACTCATTAAGATATTTGTGCTCTTGTGCATGAAAATGAGTGAAGTCAGTGTCAGTGAGGTTAAGGGCATCTTTAATGGCAGAGAGTTCTGCTGTTAGAGTTTGAATATCTGCCAAGGCCTCTCGATAGTGATTCTGTGGAAAAATACCTGGCAGGGGAATCATGTTAAATAATTTGAGTAGATATCTGTAAACATAGAACTCACTCAGGGCTGCATATTTATCATTATCCCAAAATGCAAAATGCTGCTTGATTGATTGATATTGATGAAAGGGGTTAGTGTGGCAAGTGCTTTGTGCAAGCTTGTTTGATGAGGAAAATACATGTTTGCATCCCTCACCTTCTGTATGTCCAGTGCCTTCAATATACATAGGATGGCAGTCTAACTGGCATTGTTGATTATGGGTGTGGCCATGAAATGCTCCTACCATCATCTGCAAGTTGAGGGAACTAGCATGTTGTCCTAATGTACTATTTGCCAGTGTCTTGGCAAATGCACAGCCAATGTTGTATGTGTGGGCACCATTTTGCCTATAAACTGTTAGCAGGTGCTCAATTATGGCCAAATGATATTTAGTGCTAGACTTATAAGTTAGGATAAGTTAGATGAAGAATTTTAGATGTTATACAGTTCACCACTTTTGACCATATCACAAGTGAGAAGGACAAACCTATGGTGGCATGCAGCAATAAAGATCCCAGATTTGTTGAATATGGCAAACATCTGTTTACATTGTTCTGGACCAGTATTTCACCACTGGTCAATGCAAGTGAATGGAGGTGCAGATTCATTTGGAGGCATGATGTCTTGCCAATCATCATTATTTGTTGCCATATTCCATTTATCGTTGAGTTCAGTGTCATAGATGAAGACAAACAATGAGGACTTACTAACCATCTCCTCACATCATCCTTCAAACCATCAACAATTGTATGGTCAAGCCAATAGTCAGTGCAGAACTTGCACAAATCACCTCATATGGTGCTGCCATCTATTGATGATAACCATCTTTTTAAGCTATTATTACCATTGATCGTCACTAGCCACTCAAAGGTGAGATTGTCCTCATCCTCTAATTTGTAGAAACAGCATGGGCAGGAGTTGAGAAGGCACCAGTTAGGTGTATTGTGGTCAAGTACTTCATTGATAAGGGAGTTAACATGATGTATGATTTCAAGGTACATATCATAAGCATCTGAAAACTGCATGTTGAGATATGATCAATACAGAATCTGAAAGATTTTGTAATCAATTAGTACATAACAGCAACAGAACAAATAGTATAACATACATTGTGAAGATGGCATAAAGCCTTACATTGTGTTTGAATACTGAATCAGGGACAAGTGCAATGAGACTGTCAATATGTAGCAAGGGTGCAGATGGAGACAGCAACAGTTGGGTATAGCAGAGAGCAACCCAAGTAACCATGATATATAAGGGTTTCATTTGGATATGTGTGATTCTGTTAAGAACCATGTTGCTCAAGGGAGAGAGAGACTGACTCAGAGGGGCTTGGCCTCAGCTCATATGCTGTGCTCCTTACCCAAGTATGTGCCCTTCATTTCATATGAGGTCCAATGATGGTCCGACAAAGTCTGGAGGACTTCTGGAGGAGCATGGGAAAGTTTCAGAGGAATGCAGGAAGTGCTTAGGAGAGTTCCCACTGCAAGGTAATACTTCTATAGGAAACAGGATGGAAGGATAGGAGGACAGGAGGACAGGAGGATGGAGGACAGAAGGACAGGATATCCAGAGGTATGGAAGGAGCAGGGGCTACATCGGATGAAGTCTGGTCCCTCCTTGGCCAACACTGGCATGGAAAGACATTGTCGAATATAGCTTCCTTGGCAAGTTTGACCTCTTGCAGCACTCATGTACTGACATCCATGATCATGATTGGACTACACCTGCTCATTGTGAAGCCACCATGAAATACTTCAAGCTTCAATATGCTTGTGAAGAAATTCAGCATCTCAATGTTGAAGTCCATCGTCTACACACAGCAATTCACAATGAAGAAGTTAAAACTGTTGCAACCATTTGTTGGCTCCTGGAGATAGATCACATGCTGGCACTGGAGTTGAAATGTCGTTATCAAGTGCATGCTGCAGTCAATGCCATTGTGGGAAACACAACAAGAAGAGAACTGGAAAGTAGCCTTCTAAAGCTGGGTCAAATGTGCTATGCCTAGCTGCTATTCAACCTCAAAGGGTTTCTGGACTAAGCTCAGTGCTCAGAGAGGATAGGAAATCATGCTAATAACTCTCAGTCTCAGACTGGTACTGGTAGGTGGTGAAAACTATGATGATTACATAAGTACCAAAAGTGCGAACATAACACTAAGTAATATCTGCCTATACAAGCCCACAGTAAATGAAATCCCTACACTGTGCATCTGTTCTGATTAGGTCAACTTGAGTCACAGCATATGTTTTCAGGCAGACAGTGTCCTGCATGATTTGGGAATCATGCATGGACATGACTACTAGGTAGCACCCTAAAAGACAAAGTCTGTTAGCTTAGTCATCAGACTAGTCAACCCACACCTTGGTTTCAAACCTTGGTCAAATAGTTCAGTTTCCCCTCTGTGATTCATGAATTTATCACATTTTGAAGAAAAGTCATTTGTGAGATGGGAATCACATAATGACCTAGTTGATATTGTGAAGCAATAAGAAGGTTAAGGTATTGCCTTGCCTTTGGCTTATTCACTTTGGCTAGAGAAAGCCATAGAGAAAAGTTCAAAGCCTAACAAAAACCTATCTAACAAGCCCATGTTTTGTGCCTTGTTATTATATTATTATTTCTGAGTTGTTTTCTCTAGTATTTCCTTGATTTATTTTTCTATTGGAATGCTCTGACCCATCAGATACTTCACAAAATTGTACCTACAGGGTATGATGTCATAATGATGTCATTTGTTCTAGAATGTTCTGCTCCACAATGACTCACCTCTGATGTCATTACTCCACCTATGGAATATTTTGCTTCACTTCTGATGTCATTGCTCCGCTTTTTTACTTACATAATATTCCCACACCAAATGTATATAAGGAGGGCCCATTCTTCCCCCAAAAAATAGGATCTCTCACTTGCAATCATTTGAATCTCAGTTTGAGCTACTCACTGTGAAGATTGTTGCTTACAAAGAAAGCCCCTTTGAAATACCAAGTGCAGGGAAAGACACTCCCTTGAGATTACATAAGTTTCTCATGATAGAAACTCAGTTTATTTGAGACCAGTTTCTCACCACTTTGTGCCTATTGGCCAACCAGTCTTTGGTCAATGTATTCATATTTGAGACTGTTGTCTCCAAGAATTATCTTATTGAGGAACCATGTTCCAGTGTCTAGATAGTTTATCCTAGACAAGTTTATAAGTTGGAATAAAACACAAAAGCTCCAGCTAAGTCAATCACATTGATTGGTTTAGTGAGCCTCCCAAGAACTCACATGTTATCTACCATGAAAGAAGAAAAGTCATAGACTGTGTTAATCAAGGACTAGCAAGAAGTTTTATCCTAGTGTAATTGTGGTGTCATTACATTTTACACACATTTATATAAGACTGTTAAGGTCATACTCAAGGGCTAACGGATCCTAAGGGCTTCAGCCTCAGCTCGTGCACTGTGCCCCTTATCCAAGTATTGCCCCTTATTTTAGGAGGGCAAGACTAACACGTCTAGAGGGTCAGACAAGTAGTGTAGCAGATCTGGATGACTTCCAGATGCAGGATAAGTATCGTAGGGCTAATCTGGATGAGTCCAGACTAGAAACTAATGGTAGTGGACTGTCATAGACAGAGGCAGATATGGATAGACTATAGGAATCAATCCTAAGTCTCAGAGGGTGATGAGAGTAGAGATACTCAAGTCCAGAGGACAGGAATGAGTAGAACTAAGATAATATTCAAACTGAGGTGTTACAGAGATTTACAGGAGGTTATATACTATAGGTATCTAATGGAATGCTCAATCAGCAGGGTCTGAGGCTATGTACAAAGCATATAGATAGTCTATTGGTAAGTAGAAATGGATCACAAATAATGAAATGGAAATGAAGCATAGGTAATGGATCAGTGAGCAGGACAGATATACCAATAACCAAAATACCAGAGTTAGGGGATTACTAAAAGGAGATGAGCACTGGTTGTGGATTCAGATGAATTGTGGACTGGACTGGATGAGTGGACAGATTGGATAACAAGATGTTGGAGGGGGATAAGATGTGGATTGGATCTGAGATGAGATAAGGATTGGATCTGAGATCTGGATATGTGGACATGACAAAGACCCTCAGTTATTAAGACAATGGGGCATTAGTGTCCAGCTTGGAAGTCCTTCATTGTCACCACACAATCAGTCTGAGGCAACAAGTTCATTACCACATGCTAGTCTGTAGACTCCATGATCTTAATGCCCTTACTAATGACTTATAGGAATCTCCACCACTGGTATTGACAGAGAAGGCCTCAAGACTCAACTCAACTTGGATGATATCATATCTTTTAAATCAGATGGTGAAAATGACATTGAGCATGAGGATCAAGCACAAATCACAGAGGACTTTGCTAGTTATCTACTTTCTACTACAGACTAGCTGCACTGTTTATGTAAAGTAAATTCAATTGATCATCATGTGTTAACAGAACAAGCTTGAGTGGATGAGAACAAAAGAGGTAGACAGGATAGATCTGATAAATTGGGTTGTGGTTGGCTTGGCTAATATGAACTATTAGAGTCATACCTTGTCTGAAATACATCTGATATATGGTTGGCTTTGCTGCTAACTAATGCTGAACTACTACTATTGCATCATGTTTGAACTCACTGGCATTACATTAAATCTATGTATCAAAATGCTAACACTTACAGTAGGTGCCTCACTACATAACAAGACTGTAACACTAATTGCTTTAACAGCCTTTGCTATTGACATCCATTATGGTCAAAACTGTTGTGCATGATGTTGCCCCAAGCTCAATGTGACCTTGATTTTCACTTGCCAGCCTTGCTGCAATCTACCCCAACTCCTTTGCTAAAGGTTTTAGCAACACAGAATGCCAGGCAGCAATGTGTATGCTGCTCTGACATGATTCTCATATTGATGGCATGCATTTCCATACCAGAAAATGTGATAGCCTTCATCCTTCCCACATTGTGTTTAACTTGTACACATCAGCAGATGAGAAGTCTATCATACATGAGGAGCTTGTTGAGGTGGCACTACAGAATGTTTTTGATGCAGTGAGTCATTCTGTTCTAACTATCTTACAGTGTTCAAATCTAATGAAGAACAACTAGATTGTGATGCAAGACCATCTTGATGGAGCATGTTACACTTGGTGTTCTAAGAACGACTAGACAGAAACAAAGAGTCTTATAGCGTGAACCTATTCACAAGTTGTGTGAGTTAAGCAGTGGATTGCAGGCCCTGGTCTGCATAGGTCAAGTTAAAGAATACAAGCATAAGAGATAGAGTATATATAAAGGGATTAAAGTGGAGCTTTAATAAATGAATTGGAGATTGAAAGTAATTAGCAAATCAGAAAAGAGAATAAGAATCATACAATAGAATATGATAAAATGTCTGAGAATGATTAGTAATGTGAATAAGTGAAGAGGTGAAAGAGAAAAAGAGGAACTGTAACAGAGCAGCACTTTTGCCAGAGCACATCTCTCTGGACCTTTACATCATGCCTCACAAATTGTGCAAAACTCTGGAGTGCCTAGGAGGAGATGTGTCAGTGTTGGCACAGGCCTTTGTTGAAGGGTTTGTGATTTCCCAACTACAATGTTTCACAGAATGCTGTCATGTCAAGGGTGACATCCCTCTGCATCACTGTAAGTTGGTGTTTTTCTTGTCTCTCTCTCACAAGCTCATGTTGTTTCACCCTGACAAGACCCAGTAAGTCAGGTCAATCCTGCAGCACCCCCCACTTGCCAGTGCCCATGGTTGCCACAGGTGCATATATTCATTGTTCAGCATATCCTTCCAAGTAGTTTCAGCACAACCTCCAAGTCAACTCTGAGTCCAAAATACTGCTATCATCTGCAGTACAGGAGGGGTGAGCTACAGTGGCTCAAAAAACTGTCTGCATGTTTTGACATTTTTCACTATCTATGATATTGTGTGAGAACGAACAAATGCCTCAAGGACATGCTTATAGCACATTGTAGTATGGCTTGAGGGCTTTCATTTGAGCCCTACACCGTGGGAATTGGTGGAGATATGGTGGAGAAATAAGGCTTACAAAATCATGACTCATGTGGACAGTTTTTTGAGCACATATTAAAACTATATAAATCATCATTTATGACACCATAACAATCATGCCACCATTAAATAAATTATAAAGTGGTGTCATTATGTCATTTTAAAACCATATCTAACTATACAAACCAAACATTTCCATATGTCATGGTTATATTCACCATGAAAGCCACCCCCCCTGCTCAAAGGGATAATATCCTCTCTCTTTCCTATTCTGGCCTCTCTGCTTGTCAAATTTCCTCTAGAACTGGAGTATCCAAGTCCACTGTGGCCAAGTTCATCAAAGAAAGTCACACAGACAAGGAAAACTTCTGTGAAGGGCATCCATCCAAGCTCACCTCTACTGATAGGAGGGCTATTATTCAACATATCACTACAGGAAAGGCTGATAATGCTGTCCAGGTCACCTATTACATCAATTCCACCATTACATTCCCTGTCTCTTCACACACTGTGAGAAACATTCTCAAGACAGCTCATCTCAGGTCAGTAACAAGGAAGAAAAGGCTCTCCTCTCTATCACACATATGCAGAGATGACTAACCTTTGCCTTAGCCCATCAGAATTGGATTACATGGACTGGAAGCATGTTATATGATCATATAAGACCACAATAAATAGGATTGGGTCAGATGGCAAGGTATATATGTGAAACAAGAAGGGTGCTAGTCATCTCTGCATATGTGTGATAGAGAGAAGAGCCTTTTCTTCCTTGTTACTGACCTGAGATGAGCTGTCTTGAGAATTTTTCTCACAGTGTGTGAAGTGATGGGGAATGTGATGGTGGAATTGATGTAATAGGTGACCTGGACAGCATTATCAGCCTTTCCTGTAGTAATATGTTGAATAATAGCCCTCCTATCAGTAGAGGTGAGCTTGGATGGATGCCCTTCACAGAAGTTTTCCTTGTCTGTGTGACTTTCTTTGATGAACTTGGCCACAGTGGACTTGGATACTCCAGTTCTAGAGGAAATTTGACAAGCAGAGAGGCCAGAATAGGAAAGAGAGAGGATATTATCCCTTTGAGCAGGGGGGGTGGCTTTCATGGTGAATATAACCATGACATATGGAAATGTTTGGTTTGTATAGTTAGATATGGTTTTAAAATGACATAATGACACCACTTTATAATTTATTTAATGGTGGCATGATTGTTATGGTGTCATAAATGATGATTTATATAGTTTTAATATGTGCTCAAAAAACTGTCCACATGAGTCATGATTTTGTAAGCCTTATTTCTCCACCATATCTCCACCAATTCCCACGGTGTAGGGCTCAAATGAAAGCCCTCAAGCCATACTACAATGTGGTATAAGCATGTCCTTGAGGCATTTGTTCGTTCTCACACAATATCATAGATAGTGAAATATGTCAAAACATGCGGACAGTTTTTTGAGCCACTGTATGTACAGCCAGCTACCTAAACTATTCCCACAACTTTGTCTCCTCACCATCACTGTCAACGTTGAGCTTGCCAACGCCATCCTTGCCCCTGTTCTACCCTCCCTACCTCTGCTCAAGCTCACCAACACCATCCTTGCCCTCATTCTGCCCTCCCTGCCTCTGCTCAAGCTCACCAATGCCATCCTCACCCTTGTTCTGCCCTCCCTGCCTCTGCTTAAGCTCAAGCTCACCAACACTATCCTTGCCCTCATTCTGTCCTCCCTGCCTCTGCCTCTGCCAAAACACATCAACACAATCCTCCACCTCCACCTCCTCTCCTCCCTGCCTAACATCAACATTGGGCTCACCGACACTTTCCTCCTCGTTCTGTCCTCTCTGCCTCTATCCAACATCAATATTGGGCTCACCAATGCCATCCTCCTCCTTGTTCTGTTCTCCCTGCCTCTGCTCAACGTCAACTTTGGGCTGGCCAATGCTGTCCTGCTTATTCTCATCTCCCTACCTCTGCTCAACCTCAATGTTGAGCATGCCAATGCCATCCTCCTCCTTGTTCTCTCCTCCACCTTTGCTCAATGCCAATGTTAACCTCTCTTTCAATGTCAACACTAGGCTCCCGCTGTCCATTCCAATCAACATCAACATTAGGCCCTCTACTGCCTGCTGCACCCACAGTGCTACTATTGTTCTGAAACCTTGACCTTCAATCAAATGGTTTGTGGGCATGCTCCTTACTCACTATCAATTTTTCTAATGATTTTATTAGTATGCTCTGCACCACCAGTCAATATGACTTGTAGTCATGGCAGTGTATACCAGGGGATATGTTGGTGCTTTCTGTAATGCAAGCACTTCATCTTTGGTACTAGCTTGTGCCCTGCTCATTCATTTGATGCAATAAAGCAACTTTATTTGGAATGACTATTGTAAACAGCCTGACTATTTTAAATGGTCTGACTATTCTAAATGCCAATCAACCTGTCCCACTCAACGAGGTCAGTTCATTGTCATTGGTAGTAAGAGATGCTGAAGGTTCGAGCTGAGTGTTGATGTCAGTGTTGACATTGTTATTGTTGTTGTTGGTGTCAGCATCAGTGTCAACAGACAGAAGACTCTTGTATGTCTTCTTGTGGTGTCTTGGAGAAAGGTTCTTGTCATTCTCGTCAGCATGAGTGCACTTCTTCGCCTTATGGCGTCTTGGTGGAGGGTTCTCGTCATTGTCGTCAGGAGAACGAGTGCAAGTGCACTTTTGCCCTTGTCTGAATGAGTCCAGTGACAACATTCAATAACCTCACCACTGTTGAGTTTCTTGTTTTGTTCACGATGAAGTTCCTCAAACTCCTCGTTTTCCATCTGTCTCCAGTAAATATCTCCAGACTTCCATTTACATAGAAGCATCTCGAGATCAGTTAATGAGTTAGACACTTTGCTGAGGTTTTCAAAAGGCATGTCAACAGGCCATCCTTTGCAAATGACAAGATATTGCTGGATGACATTGCACCAATAGTGAACCCACTGCATCTTCACATCTGGGTCACCAGTGGCCTCCTCTGAAATACATAAGTGAGACTACAGAACGATTGACATCTGAGAAGACTCACAAAGTTTCTGGTTGATTTTGTGTTGGATTGCACTGTGAATCTTGGAGCAACATTGTTGATGATTTTTAGCTGCACCTAAAAAACATTTAGCCACACTAACTTAAAGTATGGGGGAAAAACTTACCATGCATCCCACTCATGGCAAAGCCTTCCATCTTACTAATGAGGTCTTGGTTATCAAGGTTCATGATGGACTCCATGAAATCTTGAACACCTTCAGTTGCAAAGGCAATTCCACAGAGCGGCAGGTCAGTGGAGCCACATGTCATATATAGTATTGTTTCTGCCCCAGTCCAACACCTTAAGCTATTCAACTACACAATTATTGTTAGCTATATTGTTCAAATAAAATAAAATAGATTACATACCTCATTCTTGATGGCTTTAAGGGTCTGTGTAACGTCATTGACCTTTGATTTGGTGGATATGCGAGTACCGGTAGTCTTCACGGCCTTATGCTCCTCATACTCCTTCAAGAGGCTAGCTTTTGCATCGTCAGAGAGTTCATGATACTCCATATGATTCTCCTGGACCAGGTCCCATAAGATCACCTTCCCTGACAAACCTGCAGCATATAATAAGTCAAGTGTAGAAGAACTAGAAATGAAAAAAATATGTACTGTTTTCTTTGTCCACAGTCTGATTCTTCTTCCAGCAGAATGTGTTCCACACACTCAATTTGGAACATTTCAACCACAAGAGCCTTTGACCCATGTATAAGTCATGCTGGACATGGTGAATAGTCTTGCCATTAGAAGATGCGATAGTCTTCACACACTCATCAATTTGGGACCATGCATCATCAAGTGCAGTCTTGAAGTGGTGGGATTTTTCATGACAAGAGGCAGTGAGCAAGGTTCGTGCTTCCTTGCTCAGATGGACCCTTGGATGGTGATGAGGTGAGGGCTGGATGCATTTTGAGTGAGTGCTCGATGCATAAAAAGTCTGGGAGCTCATGACCTGCCATTTAGACTGGGTTAGTATAACAGATTTATAAGTTTTGAAAAACAAATGTGTGCTGCATTAATGGCAATCAATGTTTATATTACATGAATAAAAGTCCAAAAAAGTATAGCGCACATAAGCACACCATGATCCTGAGCACCTGAGAAGTCTTAGCTAACATCAAATTTGGCTGCAGCAGCTGTTAGCAGCATTCTCAGACTAGTAAAGCACTAAGTTCATACCATGATTACCTCCAATTTGGACCTCTGCAGGTCAGCGTTAAGTGCATTAGTCAGATGTACTGCCTGCTTGAATGTGAGACCCCACTTTGGAGACCTCAGAGTAGCCTCCCGATGGGTGTTGCATACAGTTGTTGTCAGCTCACAGAGCCTGGGAATCAAGCCATCCCCCATTTTGAAGCAATCAAGCACCACATCGGTATTTGGTCCAATGCTAATGATTGGAGGACCATACACAATGACAGGTGTGGGTGAGTTGCTTGGTTGAGCATTTTTCAGGAGTGAAAACACATCAGCAAGTTGATGTCGACGAGGCTTGGTGTTGCTACCAGTAGTAAGGGATGCACTTGCTAGCGCTGTAGTGTGCTGAATGAAGCTTGATGGTGGACAAATCAAAGTGTCAGAACTATCCTTTGGTTTGGTGGAGAGGATCTTGAAGTTGCGATTTAAATTGAGTGGAGGCCAGGCAGAGCATTGGATGCATGAGCCAGTCAGGACCAAAGGAGCTGGCAAGGCCTGAGACCCAGTTGGATTCACCTGAGGAGCCAGATCTGTAGACAGTGTTAGGACAATCAAATTTCCTGAAAAATGATAACAAAGACTCACAGTGATGGGGAGGTTGAATGTCCTCAATGTGACACCGCTCTGTGAAGCATTGAAGGTGGTGTTTGGCCATCTGCTCACAGAATCCTTGGACAAAGAGTGAGATGTCCCCTCCAACCTGTTCTGGGAACTTGTGAAGTTCATGGGGAGTGACATAGACATTGACAGCAATATGTTCAGCCGTCAGACTGTCTGTCACCTGAGACCCAGGGCAGTGAATGAGGAGTGAGATTCCACCATCCAGACGGTCTTGCATACAAAGCTGCAATACATACTACATTGAAAATCATACAGACCGAGTTTGAAAAACAAACACACCACATCAAAAACGTCCTCAAGTGCTGCTTCTACAAACTCCTCATGCATTATCATCTTCTGATCCTGCAACATCAAGATCTTGTTGAACTTGATAAATGAGGGGTGAAGACCACCGGGGGTCTCTGTGTGATAGTGGGTGCCATCTTGATGTGATTCATGCCTGAGCAAAGCACGAGCTGCAGCATGGTGCTCTGCATTGCTGAAACCTGGTGTGAGGGTATCTGAATACAGTGCTGCAACACTGGCAAGTGTAAAATGTGGCTTTCCGAGGCTCTCTGGACTTGGCATAGCAGAATCTTCAGCCCCAGCTTGTTGTGGTAGTGGTTTTTTGAGACATTTTGGTGTTGACATGTTGGTAGGTGTCAAAAACGAGGAGGGACACTGGAGGTGAAGAATGAAAGTAGTGTGTAAGATTGAGTAAAGTGAGCCTAGGCGCCTGTACATGTGTGTAAGTTCCAGATAAGACAACCAATGATTTCACTAGATAACGGTGAGTCAAGAGTGATTACTGCTGCCAATCCAGTTATAATAAGGATTAATCGTCTGAAGGAGATCATCAATGTTGCCACCAAAATCAAAACAACCTCACTCATTGTCTACCTTGAGCCTGACGTTGCCAAAGAGAGTCTGCTTTCCAAGAACTTCCCTCAAGCAGCAGCAACTAAAATCAAATCACCCTCCCTCACTGTCTACCTCAAGCCTGACATTGCTGAAGAGAGTCTGCTTGCCAAGAATGTCAAGCAAAAGCTCACCTATACCTCATTGCATACTATGACCGCAGCCATGGAGATCTGGTATGACCCAGACCCTCAATTCATGTATGTGCTTGATCTCCAGGCTGATTATTTCAGCAACACAAGCCAGGCTTATGCCACTGCATCTAATAAGGATTTTTATTCTGCTTTTTCGTCCTTACATTGCAATTGAACTGCAAAAGCATTTTATTTTAAGAAAGACAAATACAATACAACTAATACATCAAATTTAAACAGAGCTGTCCATTAATCAACAATCAATGCGAAAAAATCAGCAATGTCCTGTGTAACCTGCAACTGCTCCTCATGCTCCATGGCACCCTCATTGGCAAGCTCTGAGGTGGTGCAAGCTTCTGTCAAGGCAGTAGTTTAGTTGATGTATATATTTCAAAGCAGAAAAATGTACCATCACCTCCAGCCATACTGTGTGAGATAGTGTTAGTAGGCTCAAGTGCTGCTGTGATAGCCCCAACCTGCTGGCCAATCCCTCTACTACCTGAAAAACCTGGTTGAAGTGTGATCCGATCCAACTGAAAGGTATGCACAGTGTTGACAGCTTCACATGCTTTCCATTGCCATTGTAGCTCATGCACTAATGGAGGATCCAAAACTAAAAGTTCAGTAATGACTGTCATCATTTGGGTGGCTTCATCATGAATTGCTGTGCATAGTCGGTGGACCTCCACATTAAGCTGAGTGATCTCCTCATGAGCACAACATAGCTTGAAATACTTTACTGTTGCTTCACAATGGGCGGGCTTTGTCCAGTCAAGCTCGCAAATGTCTGTGTGTGAATGGCAGAGTAGATCAAACTCACCTAAGAAGCTATGCTCAGTTGTGTCACTGTAAGACAACATAAAATCAAACTCGCCTAAAAAACTGTACTCTGTAATGTCCTTCCAAGACAACTGTGGACGTGGAGGATCTAATGCAGCAGCCTGAATGTTGTATCAGCTGAGCGCATTTCAAATTGCCTCAGAGCGCCACTGCAATGCCTTGCCAATTTGCTGGCACAGTTTATAGCCTTGAAATCAGTCAGTATCTCCACACAAGTAAGTGAAAGGTCAAATGCACACCCATTCCTGAAAGTGAAAGTTTTGAGAGCTTGAACAAATGCATGACAACCAGCCATTCTAAATCATCTAAAGCAGTGCGATATTGATGCTGAGATGCTTCCTGTTCATATTGATTATAAGTGTCACCCCCGATCTCCCAGCATTCTTCAATTCCAAGTTGAATCTCCATATGTGCAGTTAAGGCTTCTGTGTTCTGTAGTTTAGCATACCCACTATCAATGCAAATCCTGGCCTGAGACAGAGCAGCCAATATTTGGCTGAGATCACTGGCTGCAATAGTGGTCAGCACTTGATTTGCAGCTTCATGTGCCAAATCCCACTCGGATCTTTGTGGACATAATGAGAAAAATCAACAGATAATTGTTGGACTTGCCTTTGCTCAGCCAATTCACATAGGACTTGAACATAGTGAATGTGAAGAATTTCTTTCAGAGGTGGTTCCTTCAGGTTGTCAAGATACAACCTTTCTTGGGAGTGAAATTGAATAAGATCCACATTGGTTAAGCCAAGAGTGTCTTTCAAAATGGATAGTTCAGCTGTAAGGGTCTCAATTGACGTTAGTGCTTCCTGATAGTGGTTTCACAAAAAAGTGCCTTAAAAATGATTGAATTAGTTAAGTTTGAGGGATGAGTGAAATCATACTTAATGCAGCATATTTGTCATCGTCCCAGAATGCGAAATGTTCTTCAATGGTCTGGTGTTGGTGGAATGCAGATGCATGCCTTGTGCTTTGTGCAAGTTCATTTGAAGACACAAACACATGCTCGCACCCCTTGCCCTCCGTATGGCCAGTGCCATCAATATACATTGGGTGCCAGTCCAATTGGCAGTGTCGGTTATGAGCATGCCCATGAAAAGCACCTACCATCATCTGTAAATTGAGGCTGATGGCACAGGGTCCCAAACTGCTATTTGCCAGAGTCTTAGCAAAAGCACGCCTGATATCATAAGCGCAACCTCCATTTTCACCTAAGATGGACATCAAATGATCAAGAAGAGCTAATGGATATTTTGCCCTGAGTTTCGTGAATTTCATACATGGTGAAAAAATAATGCACTAACAGTTCTCTGCTTCAAACCATATTGCAGGCAAGAAGCACAAAATGGTGCCGACATGCTGCAATAAAAATCCCTGACTCATCAAAAACAGCAAACATTTTTTTATGTTGCTCAGGGCCCACATTTCACCATCTCTCAGTGCATCTGAATTCTGATCCTTGCATTTCAGACCCAACATCTTCCCAGTCATCTTGTCAGCAATAACTTGAAGTTGCAGACTATGAATCTCATTTCAGTGCTTGTACATACAAAGATAGATTGACATACTGTGTGTTCGAACTTCATTCTGGAATTTGTTGACAGCCACCTGGTCAACCCAATAATCCAAATGAGGCTGCTGTGAATCCTCTCATGGTTGCAGGCCATATGTCGACGACGCCCAACATTTGAGGCTGTTATTTCCATCTACGGTCACCAGCCAATCAAAAGGAAGGGGAGGCTTGCCTTCAAGTTTGTAGACACAACATGGACATGAATTGAGAAGCTGCCAGTTGGGAGTATTTCAGCCAAGAGCATCATTGAGGCGAGTCTTCACACAATGTAGTATCTCGAGATACACATCATATGCTGCAGAGAATTGAGTGTTGAGATAAGTGCAATAAGGAATCTATGAACAGTCAGATGGACAACAATAAAATATTTCAAGGCATACATTGTGTAGATGGCATAATGTTTTACATTGTGCTTGGATACTAAACCGAGGACATGTCCGATGCGATTGGTGGTATGCAGCGAGTGTGTGCAATGAGATAGCAACCGTTGGATACAGTGGGGAACAACCAAGATAGCCATAGAAAATTAGTGTTTCATTTGGATATATGTGGGATGGTTGCAATCACAATGGTGTTCTCCAGCAACCTGCAGATATTATCACCAAAGCAAAGTAAACAAAGTAAGCACGCACCAAACAGATCAACAAGTTCAATATCAGCAAGCAACACGCAATGGTTTACATCAGGAATTATGAAACTGTCAGGGATGCTCGGCATGCCATCACCCTGGTTGCGATCCCAATAGTCTAGATACACATCAACCAGGCGGCTGAGTTGAGTGTTCCAGTGCCCAGTCTGAACCTCAATACGATCATGACGAGTGTGCAGGTCTACATAATGACTGAAATAACTTACTATGAGTCAGATTCAAAGGTGAAGGTTATGGGTACATACCAACCAGATAGTGATGTGACTTGCTCTGATAGGCCATCAAAGGCCTTGAATTCTCCACCCTCATAACTGAGGTCCAGTCCTTCTTCACCTGGGGGTGCCATGTATGGTGTGGTATCAGCATTGACCCCAATGTCTGACATCATATTTTCAACCACATTTCAGTCAGCCAACATCATTTCTGTGATTCATGTGAGCCAAACAGTAAAGCAATGGAGCCAACATACCTTGCAGATGTCTCTGTCATCTATTATTTATCTCCTCCAAGCACTGGGTTTGTTTACCAGCTGCCAGCACTTTGGAGCGCCTGCTGGAACCACTGAAGCTGTGCCTAATAATTGCACACAATAAGCCCAAGACCTTCTTGGATGATGTGCCACAGGAGGCCATCCTGGCAGAGGGGAAGACAGTCCTGAGACAGAATGGTGTGGGCACAGAAGAAGCTCAACATTGATGTTGAATGGAGGCAGGGAGGACAGAATGAGGGCAAGGATGGTGTTGGTGAGCTTGAGCTTGAGCAGAGGCAGGGAGGGCAGAACAAGGGTGAGGATGGCATTGGTGAGCTTGAGCAGAGGCAGGGAGGGCAGAACGAGGGCAAGGATGGCATTGGTGAGCTTGAGCAGAGGTAGGGAGGGTAGAACGAGGGCGAGGATGGCATTAGCAAGCTCAACGTTGATGGTGACAGTGAGGAGACAAAGTCATGGGAATAGTTTAGGTAGCCAGCTGTACATATGTGTTAGCTAATAGTAATACGGCCAGCTGTTTCCGAGAATAGTTTACCAGGTATAAGGTATTTGCAGGGTATTTGGGGCGGGTTTTAATGCTGGTGTTGAGATTTAATGCAACTAAGCCAAACAGTAGTTAGCGAGGCGCTTGATCGCCCAGTATAGTAATGTTTACATACTGGGAAACCCAGGTGGGCGGCGGCTCAAAAATAAAAAGCCTGGCACGCTTGGCAGTAAATGGTTGATGACTAATCAGCACGAGGTTGTCATATAATGCTGTGCTCCATTAAGTAGTGTTCGGAGTCTGGACATACTAGTATAGATAAAAGTACTGACTCAAATCTGGTTCCGTCCGACAACATTGATAGTATCGTCAACTACAATGCACCCATGTCTACTGGTTTCAGAGATCTTGGTCAATATCTTCGCAGAGGTCAACGAGCGCGACGAAGAGGAGGCAGCTAGGACTTTGGCTGCCCTCTGTCGCACATGCCGCGCATTTCGGGAGCCTGCTATGAAAGTCCTGTGGGCGCACCTGGGAACGTTAGTCCCTTTAATCAGATGTATTCCTTGTGTCAAGACTATCAGGAGTAAAGGAAAATCACAGGATGATCTCCCAACTTTGGTGAGCGTTCAAAGTTCACTGACCTCGCTGGGCGTCATCTGAGTATCGCCTGCAGGCCCTCGAAAGAGAGATGACATCTACAGACTGGGAGATATTCCTTTCGCACTCGCGCCTTGTGCTCACTTGTGGTTATTATGTTTCAAGAAGAGACAAACATCCCGTCCTCAACTCGCCCTCACATGATATTGGCACAGACATCTTGCGTGCACTATCATCCCCTCCACCTTCCTCCACCGTTTTCCCTCACCTGAGGAAGATCAGATGGACTGACTCACGAAAAGATTCCATCCGATTTTTTCGCCTAATACTGACACCTGCTCTCGAATTCCTTGATATGTCATCTATAACTGATTCAGTCTATTCTGTCATAATCCCTTCCATCAACGATGCCTGCCCGTCCCTGAGGATCATGCATCTTCCCAAATGGCCCTTTCTTCACCTCCCCGACATGTTCGACAAGTGGCCAAATCTTGCGTACGTGACTTCCGGCCCACTTGCGGATGCTACTATCCAATCACTTGGCCGGCTGACGCATCTTGCAAGTATGGATATCTGTCTCCACAAGTTGCATGACATAAAGTCACTTGTTGAGAATCCTGGATTTTCTACACTGCGCCGGCTCGTACTTCGTGCGTACAACATCAACCTTGTCACGGCTTTCATGCGACAAGTCAAATCTGTTCATCTCCGCGAAGTGAAGTGCTATCTACCACACGGAACAACTGCAGTGGGTATACAGGAATGGATAACAATCCTTTTGGATCGGTGCATGCCAAGAAGGCTAGAAATTCTGGAGATTGAAGACTACGCTGACGCTGGCGCAGAGTTCCCTGATCAATTCACGCTCACCCCTGACTACGCTTCGGCTCTTGTCCCGCTTTCGTGGACTCACAACACTGGACCTCGCTACTGCATGTACATATTCGTTAGACGATACTACCTTAACGCAGCTGGCCATTTGTTGGCCCAGTATGCAAAGTATTGCGCTGGGAACCCACTGGGGTTGGAGACAACAGAGTGATGTCTCTCTAAAAGGTCTGCTGTCTTTAGTGCGACATTGTCCTCAGCTAGAAAGCATCGGCCTCGTGATGAACGCCGTAACTACAGATATCACATGCCAGAGGCCTGGGGGCGGACTTCGAAGGCCCAAAGTCACGAGTCTAAATGTAGGAGACTCGAGAGTCGGTGACCCGCTCGCAGTTGCTGCGTTCCTGTCGGATGTTTTCCCACGTTTACTATCGGTTGACGCGTTTAATCATTTGGGGGGCAGGCGGAGACCAATACCTGTTGCGAAGGAGCATGAAGAAAAGTGGAAAGAAGTGGAAAGGCTTTTACCTGCATTCTCTAAAGTTCGCGCCCAGGAGCACCCTCCTGTAGGACCAAGAAGGAAGGCCTTCTTTCTTGAGGAGCTGTATCTTGCCTGAAGAAACTTTCTACTAACGAAGATTGTGGAATATTTATGAAGTAAAGGTGTGTGATACGTGGCAGTGGCAACTGGAGGATATTCTGACTGTGGCATCAGTGCCGAACGTCTGTTCTTTAACGCATGCACGTACGCACGTGTGTAATTACTGGTTCTCATGCTGGCAGCTGTTTTTATTGTAATTTACCCGGTCCACATCGCACTTTTTGATTGGACACTATGTGGTCACCTCTTCGACGCACTGGGGCTATATCCGTAACCTTCCTATTTCAGTACGCACATTGCTTCTGAGGGGTCAATCTATTCCTATTCTGTGATTTACACTTCGTTTGAGGGAGCTACAGATCCGCATACTCACACTTGAGGCAGTACTTTTCCACGTTCCCGTACTCTTTAGATGCTAAGCTGTGGTGAGCTACATGCATCATGATCACCGCGAGTGCCAGGTAAGCATCAATTCGTTGGCATCGGCTACCTGTGACAACCTCTGTAGATCGTCGGTGCAATTCCATCAAAACATCATGGACTTTACCGCACTGAAGTCATACGCGTTCGAACACGTGTAGTCGCATCACGAGCTAGTCACTATGCCGCCGCCCCAAATGTTCAAGATAAAACAGCCATATGGTACAAGAGGCTGGTGCTCACGGGACTCTATTTCTGGACGGCATGCCATATGTATTTAAGCAGAGAAACTATGCTAGTATTCCAACCCCAGGCCGACCTGTTCAAGTCGAGACAAAGCTGTCATGGCATCTATCATCGCTGTCCTCCTGGTCGCCGCCGCCGTTCAGGCATTTCCATCTATCAACACGCGACAGAGTATTACGGCTCTGACAACGACACAGATCGACCAATTTACCCCTTACACCTATTACGCTAGCGCAGGGTACTGTACGAACACCCAGACACTCGCATGGGACTGTGGCAGTGAGCGATCGCACGCGCCTACTTAAACGTGTCACTCTCTGATGAGTCTGATGGGTGATCTTTGAACAGCTAACTGTGACGCCAATCCGGGATTCAAACCGGTTGCCTCCGGAGGTAACGGTGACTCAGTGCAGTACTGTGAGTGTTTGAGTGTTGTTGAGCTGAACGTCGTGTTGAGATGTGATCTCGATGACCGAAACCAACAGGGTTCGTCGGATATGACCCAACTTTGGATACCGTGATTGTCTCTCACCAGGGCACGGACCCCTCGGAAATGTGAGCTACCTCTTCTGGCTCCCAGAGGCTCGGTGCTGATGCACGTTCGCCAGTCTACCTCTCATCACCGATGCCGACTTCTTTTTGACCAACCTGGATTCGACATTGTTCCCAGGTATCAGCTCGGATATTGAAGTCCACAACGGCTTCGGGGACGCTCAGGCCAGGTGTGTACATAATCCTCCATGATTGACTGTACTAGCACTAAGTTCGTGATTTCACAAAGTACTGCCACTGATGTCCTTGCCGCCGTCGAATCCACCATGTCCACCTACAGCACCACGTCGGTCACCTTGGTTGGTCATTCTCTTGGTATGGTATATTTCTCGTGCTGGATTTGACCTTGCATTCATTAAAATATTCACAGGTGCTGCGATCACCTTACTTGATTCTGTATATCTTCCCCTCTGGCTTCCTGCGGGAACGACTTTCACCACCATTGGTTATGGCCTTCCTCGTGTACGATATACCCTGGGTCTTGTCGCCGCTCAGCTAATTTATTTCCAAATAGGTTGGGAATCAAGCATTTGCTAATTATGTCGACGCAAACCTCTATCTCACACACATTAATAATGAAGAAGACCCAATACCCATCTGCCCCGGTATGTTCTTGGACTTTGTGCACCCCGCAGGTGAGGTGCACATTGAGGACTCCGGTGAATGGGCTGCCTGCCCCGGTTAGTTCATGCATCATATGGTCTGATGACGGGGTGCTGAATAGTTGGGCATTAGGGCAAGACAACCCGAGCACTCAGTGCATTGTTGGCGATGTCCCTGAGATCTGGGATGGTACGTATTGATTGCGGTACTGATTTTTTGTGTTGCTGATAGGTCGTACAGGTGACGAATCTGACCACGATGGGCCATATAATGGTGTTGAGATGGGATGCTGAACTGGCACGACTTCGCCTGAAGACACGCCTTCTATTTTGTATATCAGTTGGATTCTCCGCATGGTACTTTTCTCTGGTGTTCGGACTCCATTGGTTTATTAGGATGGGATATCTATCTATATATATATTGAAACTGCACTCGATCTCATCTGCCACCATGCAATTAGCAATTCGACCAGGATGAAATGAGCCGATTCCACACCATGTCAAGGGCTTCCGGAAAGCGCGCATATGCATGAACAATACACAACTGATTGTGCGATCACCTGAATGGCACTGGATCGATCTAACGTTTGTTACTGCTCCCATTCCTGAGAACTACTGCGTCAAAAAAGGAATAACAGCGATGCAATACACTTGTTGCGCGTATAATGCTGAAGCTGTCGTCACCCTACCGCCGAAAATCGAGGACTCCAGGGGACAGTTCGACCGTGCAAAAAATACCTTCAGCTTCTTATGAGGCCACGTCATCTCTGCGGAGCAAGCCTCAAGGTTGCGTAAATTCGGGAGTGCGAGTGCATTGAAAAGAAGGCTTCACATGTTGATCATGACATTTGAGCACGTGAGTTCCAACGAGGGGACGTCCCCACGACCGCCTGGGCCATGGGGCTTAGCAGAAAGCTTCCCACTTTAAGTCGCTGCTGTGAATGCTCAGACACTCTACAGCATAAACTGGGCATATCCACGATAACTTCCCTCCATCGTTTAGTCACCATATCCTGGTCAACGGCATGGGGAATTGTAGATTTGGGGGGGGGGGAAATAACCTATTGAATGGCGGTATAGTGCGCATGAGAATATAGGATAAGAGTTCAATGGTAAGTACCGGAAAGCCAGTCTAAAACCCTCGTGTGAGGTCATGGGGTGGTTAACCTCGTCTGCTTGCTGACGAGGTGTTGGCGGTCGGTGACGACAGCGCTAACGTTCTGATCTGTGCGCATAACAGAATGGTTTGTATTAGAAGATGTAGAGTGCAGCGTTTCAAGGTCGTCTGACATCTGGTAACCGTCAATATGGACATCAGCCTATATGCCAGATTCCAGAATAGACATGTGATTGACTGTGACTGTGCCGGATGCTGTAGCAATTATTAGTGTATCTACCGAGGCGAGATATAATGACTCAGCGCTCACGATGATAGCACAGCCAGGTAATTTCAGACCTATCTTAGCAGGATGAGTTGCAAGGGAGAGGCTAGTTTTGAGGAAGTTCGTGTCACGATCTGAATCACGTGTCCTGTGATTGGCCCGCAGTTTGAAGTTTGAATTATCTACGCATACGGTAAGAGAACAACAATATTCCTTGATCCAAAATGACATCCATCGTCAAATTATTTGTCGTATCCCCAGATACTCGTTCCGAGCGTCGTTTCGATCTCCATATTACCATCGAGCACCTCAAGGTTGCGTAGTCCAGTCTACCATACACATCTTGCAGGACACTAAATGACAACCCCGCATATCGTCGTGACTCGTGCACACAATCTAATGATTAGGCGAAACTAGAGCTCATCACAGGCATCCCCGTTCAGAATCAGAAAATATCGCTGCACAATGGCGATGTCGATTCGCAAGTCGTCGCACAGCTGGATGATGATGCCAAGCCGCTTGGGTACTATAGCGTTCGGGATTTCCAGACAATCAAGGTATTTTCCGTTTAAATTTTGACAAAAGCAATCGTTTATGCACATGTTGGCATCCTTTGTTGTAGCTCGTAGATACGAACCCTTCGACATCGTTTACGGGTCAGCTCTCCGATGTATCACAAGTAGAGAAGTTCGAGCTCAGCGACGACGCATACGCACAACGAACCGGTGATCAATCAGTCATCCCTTATTCTTTATCACCATCTCTGATTCTCTTTATTCCAAAGACTCCGTGCTAGCTTACAAGCAAAGACATAAAGTAGGGCGCTTTGCCCCCCCTTCAACAGAACCTACTCCTGAGCCTGCGGTAAACATCCCCATCGGATCACGCTGCGAAGTGGAATCCACAGAACCGGGCTTGAAAAAGCGTGGTGCAGTTCGGTTTGTTGGTTATACTGAGTTTGCTGCTGGGCTTTGGGTCGGTGTTGAGTATGATGAGCCGATGGGCAAGAATGATGGCTCGTGAGTTTGAAACCTCGTATTATTTGACGATGTTCATTTGGGTATCTAGCCTCAAGGGAGTGCAGTATTTTACATGTCGGCCGAACTACGGGGTGTTCGTGCGCCCTGCAAAAGTCACAGTCGGTGACTTCCCTGTGGAAGAGATCGATTTTGATGACGAAGAAATGTGATTGGGTGTCGACGTACTTGTTGAAAGATATCCGCCACGGATTCACAGTTGATAGAGACCCGGGATGAGGGCCTCAATGTGTATTGAAACCTTCATCCCTGACCGATGCCTCGAACTGGACAGCCTTGGCAGTAAAATGCACTGACTGCGGTTCATGGGGCCCTATTTACTCTAACAATACAATTGCTGTTCGACGTAGCTAGCCGGTCATCACGTTGGTAGAACCCAATTTCGTCTGTCCATTTTAATCAACGATACTGAGCTCCCTCAAGCGTGTCTTTGCAAATTCATCCTTGTAAGTGTTCCATATCCTGCATTGACCACAACTAAGCTCGACACGGACAACGAAAGGGCCAGAATACGCACCTGGTCAATTCCTCGATATACATCCGTTGCACTCTTTCGACCTCCTCCAACGGCGGTTTTTCGCAGCGTTGAACATGAATCGGTCGGCCGACTGCTCAGAAGTGAGAACACCCAGCAAGCTCTCATGTTAGAAATAGCACTGACTGACTGACACAATCCGTCGTCGGTACGGCATCAGGCCCAAGTTATCTACAGCATAGATGAAGGGAAGGTCACCAGTCGAGTAAGCTTGTAACTCACAATTCAGCAGACCACGTCCATGGAAAAGCGGAAGGGTGAACCCAAACATACTCTGGAATTTCTTCTGCAGAACATATATCGTGGTGCCCTTCTCATTTGGCATTTGATTGTATATCTGACGAATAAACGCTGTCGACGACGCACAGGAACGAAAGAGTGCGTCACTTACATCATTCTCGCCGAAAGAAAACACAGGTACAAGGTCCGCTCTGAAGAAATGCATCGATGACATTTTATATGAAACCTTGTATCAACTCACCCATGCTGGATCGCGATCTTGATAAAACCTAATCTACAGTCCATGTGTCATGTGCCTGTTCGTAATGTTCCGGTATAGGAGCTTACCTGCGCTTCAATGTTAGATCGGCCGTACCAGGTCTTGCGCTCAAACTCTCTGCAGCGCCTCCGACTACGATAGTTATTGCCTGACCTGGGCCGCTGGAGAGAATGTTGGAGCAAGACTCTCGCGAGACGCTACTTATCCCAAGAGCCATGATAACTTCGCGATATAAAGGAATGTGAAAGTTATTATTGAGGGTGAGTAAGTGTGGTTTAATACCGGGGAAAGCTTTGGAGAAGCCGGTGGCTGATAGGAGATATCTGAGACATTGTTGTTGTGGGGAAAGTGAAACACTCGCCTTCGGTAGCGAAGGTGGCGAGTGCGCCCCTGGTGGATTGGTAAGAAGTATGCAAGGATACAGAGGAGATGTCGTCTTACATCCCAATTATGCCTGTTTAAATCACAAAATGAGTGATACTTAGAACTGAAACGAAACGAAACTACCGTGAGGATGGTACCCGAACACGTATGGGCGGTCAGCGGGTAGGTCGCACTCCTGCATTGAACAAATGGTTGAATATTCCGGACGCAAAATAGCTCAAATTACTGCCGCACCTTCAGGAGCCTGGATGGTCACGTAAACGGTTGTATCCATAAAACACGAAGAACCACACTTACGACGCAGGGTAATATTCTGCAAAATACTGCCAGATCTTCAAGGACCGGAACCATGGAGTGAGCTTGTTTCCGTATGCTGGGCTCTTGTCTATGCAGAAAATCCAGATGAGGTACATGACCAAGAACGGCCATAGCGCCGGTATGGAGCTTTGGCGCGTTGGTTTTAACGAATAAACAGTATGTTGAAAAATCACCTCACGTACCAGAGCACTAGGAACATAAAGCAGGACATCACTAACAACACCGACCACACAGCAACGACCATCATCTGCAGTCTCCTCTTCCGCGGTATCTTGGTTGGCACGAAGCTGGATAGCACAGAAAGCGCAATTTAAGTCGTGGAATAATCAACCAGTGGCATAAACAAACTATCTGATACGCACTCGATGCTAGCATGAAGGGCAGCCACAGGACGCAATGGTGCGCCGGTTAACTTCGTCAATCGCCCTCTAAGTGAAGATGCGGAAATAGTTCTTGAGAGGGCTGTCAGATCATTGCCTTTGTCCATCCCTGCTAGTCCAATATTTATTGGGCTCTGTGTTCAGCTGGCGGCTGAATCTGTGTCTTGTCCTTTAGTCAACTCGAAATGGGATGCGTTGCTTCTCTTCCTTGTTCACGTGACCAGATTGACCCTGCTACAATTACTACTTCCGTGCGATACGTACGACAATATATGGTACCCGAGCATCCCTATGGTGATCAACTGCTAGCTGGTCTTTGTGATTATTTAATATTTAACATCGGACAGTCAGCTCATCGTATCAAGACACCAACAGCCAACCACTCGCTACTCAGTACTCCGAGTCAGTACTCAGTCCCCACGCACTTGCCAAAGCACCTGAGTTTGTGCGTAAACGCTCAATGACGAGTAATTAGGTCAGAAAGTGGGTTTTCTAGGCTCGAACAACGTGAGTGACGAGTAATAACTAATTGCATCAAAAATAATTGCATATTTTTCTGGTGTCATCTTCAAGATATTGACCAGAGCACTGGATCTTGACTCGAACGTTTGAACCATTAGCTTGAAGCTTGAATCACTATACTCCGATGATACCGAGTCGATCGGCCACAGAGCGGAGCGCCAGCTTATACGAAGAGGAGTTGGACCGGCTGTCTCTCGCTCATCAAATTGCCAACTGAACTCTTATCCGACATTTTGATCTACACTTTTCCGCCATTCGATAAGTTATCGCAACCATAAGGCACAAGCTACAATATCCCATCCCATTGACCTGGATATACAGACTATGAAGGGTGTATGGACACACGAAGTTTGTGGTGCAGACTGTTTGTATCTGTGAGCTTCCGCCGCAGGGACTAGCGGTACTAGCGGGACCCTTTCTGCTACAATTGGCTCGAGCGATCGTGAGGACTATCATACGTACTGTCGTTGGCACTCAAGAGTCAAGACCAAGCACTCATGTGGTACAGGTTCGGACTCCACACGTTGTGATCAGGTTAATGCACCCCTATTCGTGGCTCAACGTCAACTTTCAACAATGGTCAGCATTTTATCCATAGCATCGCTCCTCTGCATCGCACATTCAACTAAGTTGGGTCAGAAAGCGCCGGCGAACAATAAAAACATCGTAAGTGCCTAGTTGTCAGTAACCGTGTCTCATTAATTCACTTCCGACGCAGTCACAACCAATCGTATGCCTATTCTGATATATCTGATACCGCAGTATTAACGATGACCAGACGCCAGACCTTTTGACACACAGCACTCCAATGATCACCCTGTCATGCGTACGGACCAGACTCGGAGCATTGGCGCCATCATCGCCGATGGCAAGCGCTTCGCTGACAAGCGGGACAAGATCATCCACTCCGTGAATTTACACGAGGGACTTGGACCAGTTGTCTCTCACTTACCAGCCGAACTCTTATCCGAAATCTCCATGCACACGCTTCCACCATTCGATGAATTATTACCCCCATCAAAGCTACGATCTCCCATGCTGTTGACTAGGATATGCCGAAGACGGAGGAAAATTACTGTGGACACGCTAAGTTTATGGTGCGGACTGTTTGGTGGGTTTATGAGCTCCCGGCGCAGACACAGGCGGCGAGAAGCCTTCTGCTACAAGACATGGCTTGAGCGATCGCAAGGACTTCCACTGTCGTTGGCACTCACGTGTCACCAAAATCCCTTCACCAGCCTTCTTCAGCCTTACACGGATCAAATATCGTCTCTTCGTATCGTTTACTGCGTCGCCACACGTGACCTTTTGTTAAACGACCTCCCAGCACTTCAGATACTTACCATGAATGGGTGGATCAGCGATGAATCTGAGAGGAGTGACATCGCACGATCCATCTTAAATCATTCACTCACTCTGTACAGTCTCAAATTCAGTAGACTATCGTTCCCATTCTACTTGGCCGACTTCGACCCCTTCAAGAATTCCAGGTGGCCCCACCTCACACATGTTGAAATCAATGTTCAACAAAATCTACTCCTCATATTACTGCAGTAGGCTCCCAACCTCTCCTCAGCCAAGATTTATACAACTTTAAATTATACCATACACCCCCCCTTACCGGTAGAGCCAAGCATGCACACGAAACTTGAGTTCTTGCATCTTAATTGACCCAGACCGCACTCACCAGTCCCCATCCTGCTCAATGCCCTATCGCTCCCCAATTTACGCGAGTTTATGGCTGTGTATGGATGCGGTGGCCTCACGAGGAGTTTAAAACATTTTTATCACGGTCAAAGTGTCCTCTGGAGTTCTTGAGTTTTGGTGATCCAGATACGATGGCCTCGGAATTAGACGAGCTGCGAGCGGGATACATTGCCCTCATTCCTTCTCTTGAAGTAGTAGTGGATCCGGATCGTGGCTGCTATTTCCTTTGTATTCGCCTGTAAATCCGCGACTCTGCGAAGTAGGAAGGGTTCTGTCAGTCGATTCAGCTCGAAACATCCGTATGCAAATATGTGCGCTCCTTTTCCTGCTACTAAGCCTCGATCGATGACCTCTGTCGCACCAGAATGGAGTCCGAGCAAATCACCAACCATAGCCTTTTCTTACCAACACCGTTGTATGTCTTTTGAACTATTTTCTTGGACTTATCCTTGGCACTCGTTGGTAGGTCCTTCGTAAATTATTCACCGAAGTTGCTGGTATCGTCATTCACATCCTGCAAATGAATCAACATATCTCCTCCGTACTTGAATCGTCGAGCTGATTAGTACGGGGACGGAATGCGTTTATGTCAAAACTCACAATGCCCATCCTCGAAGAAAATAATGTCTCTTATTCTCCTCGTTGTTGGCCTTCCCGGATGCCAAACGCTATCCTGGGTCAAAACTGCTACCAGGCACGGAAAGCAAAGCATGGGACGTTCGAACCTGTTGCAAGATGAAAACAGCGCCTCTCAGCATGTATAGTGATAGGATATAGATGCACATACTCCAAGATGGCATCAAGATTTCATACTCATCGTCGCTACGGCAAGGCGATTGTCCAAGCAAGATACCAAGAACCCACCAATATACGGCGCGACCATACTGTTGCTCAAGTAGAATCTGCATCAACGTCAGTTCAATTCTCACAACGAGGCAATGCAGTGGGTACCTCAGGAGCCATAAAATCGTTCCGGAGGATGTGCTGGTCGTCAAAGCATAAGCATACAACGCCTTCCTTTTACTGTGTATAGTCAGCAACCTCGACGTGTCCGCCCTAAGCACCAGGCTTTGTTGACATTGAAGGAACGGATGAGATGTGGATCGGATGCGAAGTCGCGGAGTGGGATAGGTATATGCTTCACGATGTATTCGTTAACGGCATCGATGTTGCATTTCAGCTGTGGATCGATATGTAGGGTATCGCCGTCTATCTTGTCCCGCGAAAATGGCATCCAAAGTCTGTACGCATGGTACGATGCATATGTCAAAGAGCTGTATTGAATGTAGCGGAAATCAGAACTCGCACGCAGGTGCTGAAAGTGAACGTGAAGACTCAAGTTGTGTTGAATGAGTCATGACTGCAATAAGGATCGAATACAGCTCAGTTGTGTGCACAGTGAGGCGTTGGCTACTGTTAAAAGCCATATGTAACTTGATGTAAGGTGAAGCAGAAATTAAAACTGGCAGACAACGAACGGCATGTTGAAGGCTTCACGTTTATGTAACATGAGCGGATACGAGGCCCAACGGGTTGCATTGACTCGTATCGAAGGCGCACGGTCCTGTCAGCCTCGTGGTTGAATTATTTCATAGCTAATCACTCAGAGAAGTTTGAAGAATCCAATACGTGACATACTGTAAACTCGTATGGATCACATTGACTCAACAACACGAAGTTGACCGGAAGGTCACGGCGTTGGGCAGGAAAGGACCTGAAGGGAAAGCAGAAGTACTGTGATCGACCAGCAGGAAAAGCCTATGTAAGAAAAGCGATGAATCTAGATTCTGGAGGGTGCTAAAACTTTCAGGGCAGAGTGGAATTGTACCAGATATCCTTGTGATGAGGTTGATGCAGTTCGATTTGCATATTTACGATACCGGGAAAGTGAGGTGAAGCGTTCGCATTGTATTGTTGAGACGAGGAACTCGGTAGTAGGCATGTTGTTGGAGCAAAGCTGTTCCAAAAGTAAAATATAGTAATCGGCCTCCAGCAGATGCAGCGAAGGGAGAACCATGCAAGATGCACGCGCAGATGGACGCGACTTCTAGGTCGATAGACGATTCGAGTACTGTGATCCTAAAACAAGTGTGCATGGCCGGCGGCCGCTGCATGGAATTGCGTAATATCAGAGTGTCAGCATTCCATTCAAATCGGAGCTTCCCGGTAGGTCATACCCGCCATAAGTCCACTCCGTTTTCGAAAACAAGCTAGGCTGGCCCATACATTCTATACTCAAAGGCCGTGACACTAGGTGCAACGAGCTAGCATTCTTAGCCTACACCATCTCATTCACGGAGATGACTCGCAATCCATATATGTTATCAACCTGGAGCTCGAGCGCGCATATAAACACATTCACGACCGTGGATATATGTGTTTTTACCCGGGTGTACAAAGCCCAAGAAGTTCGATGGCTAAAGATCTCCACTTCCTAAAACGTCTGGTTTCAAGATTCAGTAAACTGCACCATACCTCCAAACTCCCGAGTGCCTACCACCACCACCACCACCACCATAACAATAATACCTGATTCACTGACCAGCACCGTAGCTAACACTCATAGCCAGTGCACTAGGCCATAAACGAGTAAGCCGATTACGATTCAGGAGGCTAAGTATTGATGGCGCTGACCGCAGTCGCAGAGATTCAAGATCTTGCGCCCAGTTTCTGCATGTCGTATGTTCGCTTACTATGCTCTGCTTGCCAAAGCAATCATTTTTATCCCAAACTGTGCTTGCCAAATGAATTAAGTGTAGTAATGCGTAATGGGGTTTGACAGGTGCCCGTCTCTTCCTGTCCGTGGAGTTCGGGTTATACAAATGACTTGAATGGACCTTCGATGAGGATCGTCCCATCTCTTTCCACTCCAATCGGCCATGCTACAGCTCCCTGACCTACGGATTTACGATAATACGCAGCTCATCCTCAATGCTGCGGCTTGTGTTGGGGTGATAGGAGTGGTTATTCGGGCTTACCTTCGTAAATCGGATAGCCGCCTTCCTCTCCCGCCTTCTCCCCCCAGTTGGAGGCTTCGGGGACACTTCCTACCCCCTCGCAGGTAAAGTTTCACTGGCATATTTGCGACCTCGTTTTTGTAATCTAATCGTATCACATTTCTAATCAGCCCATCTCTCACTGTCGCTCGGTGGATCGACGAATATGGCCCTCTGATTACAATTCGCTCAGGAACCCAGACTGTCGTGATTATCGGCTGCCACAAAGTTGGTCCCTTTATGATAAGTTAGCATCACTAGACTCAGCACTCCGTGGCAGGCCGCGGTGGATATAATGGAGAAGCAGGGTAGAATGCTAGCTGATCGACCTCGCCTTGCTGCTGGAGAAATTCTTACACGCGGACTGGTCATGGTTCTATCACGCGCTGGAGACAGGTTCCGTCGGAAGCGTAGGTTCGTCGCCGCGATGCTGTAAAGGCTCAAACGGCCATCTTACTTTTCGATGCGGTGCAGAGCGCTCCATACGCATCTCCAGCCCAAATCAGCTGAGACGTATCAGCCTCTGCAGATGTCACAGGCGAAAACCGTGATTCTCAGCATTCTTGACGATCCACGCAACTTTCAGAACCATGTGGGAACGTAAGCGGTTTCCTACGTGCGGCACCGGGGCCTGATAGTATGTTACTTACGGGTTCTTGGAAGTTATGCCGCAGCGACGATCATGAAAATTGCATATGGGAAGACCACACCGACGTCGGCAACTGACCCCGAAATCAGAGAGGCTCGCCAACTTGTCAGGAGATTTAATACAATCATGCGCCATGGTTATTACTTGGTGGACTCGATACCGTGGCTCAAATACATTCCTTGGTATGCGCCAGAATTGAAAGACGAGTTCGAGAGGACCAAGCGACTCTACACAGACCAGCTGAACCGTGTGAAACTGCACATGGTACGCATTGCCTTGCCTATCTTCACACGATGTCTGAGTTGTTCCACAGCAGAGCAGTGAGGACATCGGTCCTTCGTTTTCAAAATACATTCTAGAAAATGGGCATCTCTATGGCTTGACAGATACTGAGATGGCGTATCTTGCTGGCGCCTTTTTTGGAGCTGGAACCGAAACTGTGAGGCGTCTTTCTTTTTTGCGAACATCATGCACTGAGATGAGGTACCAGACTGCTGTGGCCATATGCACGGTGCTAATGGCGGCCGCACATTTTCCTGAAGAGCAGGCTAAAGTTCAGGCCGAGCTTGATGCAGTAATTGGAAGGGAGCGAGGTAGCTCGATTTCGCATCGCAGTTCTGTCAATTTATTCATTTTTTTTTGCCAAAGTACCAACTTTCGCCGACAAACCATCCCTTCCTCGTCTGGAGGCCTTCGTCTCTGAAGCTTTGAGATGGAGACCGGTGACTCCTGAAGGTGGGTCTCTGAATGGTCAGTCCTGCACCTGAAGTTTACACAGTCAACCCTACAGGATTGCCTCACCGAACTACCGAAGATGTGATTTGGGTAAGTGCTCGCTGAACTATTTGTCGTCCTCAGGATATTCTGACATCCGCCGGCAGGAAAACTATTGCATTCCCGCTGGAACTACGGTAACCGGTAACCACTGGTAAGTCGATATCCTTCAAGATACGACATATCAAATTGTCACCACCTCAGGGCCATCTCTCGAGATCCAGAAGTCTATCCCGAGCCTGATGCGTTCAAACCCCAGCGCTGGATCACCGACCAAGGTCGCTTGAGAGACGATCTCACATTCTTTGTATTTGGGTTTGGTCGGCGGTAAGTAGTGTCTTGGGGGATATACTTTCTTTGACTGTCCTTCCTTCCAGCGTATGCCCAGGTCAACATGTTGCGAACAGGTTACAGTTCTTTCCATGCACATGATTTCCCGATCTCATCTGAAATGTTATAGATCGGTATTCATAAATTCGCTTCTTGTTCTTTGGGCCTTCCAGCTCAGTCTGGATCCTACGAAGCCGCAGGATGACATGGGGTTCACGAACGCGGTGATGCCAAATGTCCCTTGCACTATTGAATTTCAGACGAGGGTTCCAGAAGCGGAGCTTAGGCGTATGATGCAGAATTATCCTGAGGCTGGGTGAGAAGCCGTCAATTAATATTCCAATTCCAATACTAGTGTAACTTTGCTAAGACTGTCGTCCCTTGACTTTTACGCCAAAAGGCAGTGATACTGAAAGCTTGTGTCTCAGTATCGCAGACAGTATTTATGTAAATTATGGGGACTCTAGTAAGCCAGCGTGCTTACAACTAGACTTCGCTTGCCCTTCTGACGAATTTGACTTGACACGGTTCAGTGAATGTAGTGTTTCCTCATACACATTAGCTGCTTGGGCGTATTGTCACTGCATTGCCCAGCACGTTTCCGTTCAGTCTTTCATGCCCCCCATGGATATTGTATCGCAGCTATTGTTTTCCCCCTGACATCTGATTTTATCTATGTTTTAGGACGCCGCCTTCGTTCCGCGATGAATATTGACAATGTAGTGGCCAGGTGGTTCTATGCTTACCCTGATTCAACACAGCTGTTTCTTTGGTCAAGTATAAAATACGTGTGCACTCATCATACATTGATATGCTAACCTCGCTTTTCTCTCTTTCAAACTACGCAGAGGGACAGGACCCATAAGTCGACGGCTTCTACCGCAGCAGGTGATACTGTCAACAGCCGCACTGTTGTCTGCCTCAGACACAGTTGTTTGGGGCCCGCAGTGACCGGTCAGCTTCAATCTCCGTAACGTATTTGTGCGAGCGCATCCGAAAATACACTTCGATCTGACAGAACCCTCCCCACTTCGCGGAGTCTGGGAACCCCAAGACAGCTCGTAGGGCACCACATCTTAACAGTTTCCATTGTTTGCTGCGGTATACAAAGTATAGAAATTCTCTCAAGAAACCGGAATTCTCGAAGCCCTGACGGTCCGTCTGTCCGTCCTAGCACAACCAAGGTTTCTTGGCCCAAAAACATTTCCCAGACCCGTACTACTTACAAGCTACCATTTGTTTCTTTAACCTGAGGTATGGAATTCTCATAAATGTATGGGACCACTGCGATGCCCGGCGCCCTCTTGGTCGTTCGACACCTCGAATTCTCAAACACTCTACTAGACTACTACCACTAGCACTGACACGTGCTGCAAGACGACCTACTGTCATAACAAAGTTCGAAGGGCTACCACAGACTCGAGGATGTTTGCTCTCGCCGCTCTTCCACCTTCCACCTTCCAACCAGCAACCTTCCTCAATGGCGGAGTGAACTCGTATGTGGCATCAAGTAGTCAGTAAAACCACCCACTGCTAACACTCTTGATGTACTTCCCCATCCCGACTGTGCCAATCCGGTCCGTAGTACTCAAGCCAGCTCAAGTTATTGTTGCAACTGTATCTGAGCTGCATACAGTGTACGATGGATTACCGTCTGAGGGAGCATCAGTAAAAAAACCCTTGACTACAGGGAGCTATATAGTCACTGTAGTCCGTGTAGCCCAATGTGTCAAGTCCCTACTATACCCTGCTATATAGCCACACGGTTAGGTGTATAGCACTACAGTAGCTTCTCGTAGCAAATGACTACAGAGCTACAGACCACTACATGTGCTACACAGTACGACGAAAAGCAATCAGTAGTAGCAGGTATCTGCATGCAGCCACTGTAGCTCTCACCATACGAAACACTACACGTGCTACACGTGCTACACAGTACGATGAAAATCAATCAGTAGTAGCAGGCATCTGCATACAGCCACTGTAGCTCTCACCATACGAAACGCGTCAGGACTGCACATCAACAAAAATGAATGTATTCAGAGTGACAACCCTTGTAAGAACAGGCCTCCTGAAGCATCAAGCATCACTAGCCTCTACGCCTTGAGGACGCCCATTTCGTGCTGCTTGCATTTTGACTTCATATTCTCGGATCGCGTCATCGAACACATCATTGGTGAGGGCATCAACAGATACTGCTGTCTTGGATGGGTCTATACCACCAGCATGTAAGCTTATTGTCCAAGTTAGTGAACAATCAATGCAAGTAGCCAGACACACACTGAGCCACGTCAAGCAGATTATCACGAATTTTCTCCAGTAGTTTGTAAGGAGCAGTGCACTGCTCAAACCGCTCCAAGGAGTTGAGATGTGCAAGGTAGACTGGACTGTAAGACACCAAGGAGAATTTGATGTCTTCCCTTACTCCAGTGGCCCACTCATTGATACAACATTCCATCTGTCAGATGTCAGCTGCCGCACCAACCATCAGACACCTCTAAAGTACTCACCACCATGAGTGCCAGCGCCATCAATTTCAAAGGTAAAGGATCAAAGTATTTAGCATAGAGGATACCTTTGTCACTGCAGTTGGTAAACCACATATCATTAATCGCTTTCTGGATCAATTCCATTTTGTAGATGCCAGTTTTCATCTCCCAATCCTTTCACTCATGCAGTTAGACAATGCCCAATGATAGTCAAGATGACACACCTTGAAAACAAATGATATCCCTTCCTTCAATGACTCTGCCAAGTCACGGTTTGCCTTGATAGCTGTCATTGACCAGCTTGCCCAGAAGCCAAAAAATGAGGATGTGAGTCCACGCATCTTCGTTTTGAGCTCCCCACGCACATGGGATGTGCGCCTCATCATCTATACTGTCACAAAACATCAAATGAGGCCAGGACAAGAACCCAACAGAGTGCTTACCATTTTCACTAATGAAGGCGTAAGTTGGACAGTAAGTCCAGTAATATCAGATGCCTCATGCCAAGCACATTTTGCTAGCATGGTTTCAACCAAGAGTGTTTCTGGAAAAGGTGCCTGAGTGACCACCAGACAGCGGTAAATGGATGTGGCAGTGGCAAGCACATCCTTGGTGATATGATCAAAATCTGCAGCCTTTAAACACTGGCATCTTCCATGTAAAGCTTTGATATTCAGCTTGATGTCTTCATCAGAGACCTCCAGCTGGTGTTGTGAAGTGTCTTCAACCTCTTCATCACCAATGGAGTCATCATCACTGAGAAATAATTTGCTGTGGGGTCGTTCATCATTACAGTCATAGCTGTTGTCACTACCATCGCCACTGTCTTCACTACTGGCATCATCAGCAGACACCACAGGCACAGAATCTGATGAAACTCAGTCAGTATAAGACATGACCAGCCCAGATAGCCTACCTTTCATCTTTCAAGCCAATACAAGAGAGTCTGATGAAACTTAGTTAGTATAAGACACAACCAGGCCAACTCAAACTTGCTTACCTTTTGTCCTTCAAGCCATCACAGGAGAATCTGACGAACCTTAGTATAAGACCCAACCAGCCAAGCTTGCATACCTTTTGTCTTTTGAGCCAATACAGGAGCAAGTGTTTTACTTGAACTGAAAGCAAGTACCTGTGGCTTGTATGGCTTGGCAGGTACACACTGATCGGTAAACTAGTACATCATAGTGAGCAATGGAGCACAAGAAAGAATATGATGCTGACCATGTTATCTTCAACCTAGTCCACATCACTCAGCAGCTCAGTGGGCTTGTTATCAAATCCCTTGGGATTTGTCCTATATGTAGTGTGCAGGGCCTTTAACTGTTGTTTTCCCGCCTTGGCTTGCAAGGCTTTTTGGCGGTCATCACCTCACCAAGATTTCAAAACTGATATGTAAAAAGCCAGTCAAAAACCTGGCGAGCAACAGCTGAATCTTACATACTTCAATAAGTCTCTTTTTCAGTGGGCTGGCGGTGATGACCACTGGTGGTGCGACCAGCGGTTGATACCATCTGGGCACATAAGTCGTCCTGGGCCTTTGATATTGCTGTTAAGGGCCCCCTTTTTGAGGAAAGCTTCACTGCCATGATTCAGGACTAAGATAGTCTGCAGTGAAAAAAATTGGATGACATGCCTTTAAATATGGTGCCATGGAGTTTGATCAACAAAGCACTGATCAACAAAGAACTTTGAGTTCTGTTGATTTCGAAGTTAGGGTTTTCATTTGGAGAGTCAATGCAACAGTATATAAAGTGCGACTGAATAACATTACCATCAGCCCTACAAACCTCAAATGAACAAACAGTCAGTAGCCACATAGTCCAAGACTCACAGCACACTAACCAATGTTGTAGATATGCCTTCTTGCCATTTGGCAAAACGGAGGAAGATATACTTCAAGTCCAACAATGGTATGTTGCTCTGAGATTGGCCATGGTAGACACTGACCATCCAGCAGGCCTGTTCCACCTCCAAGTCGCCCATTCCATGTGGTCGTTGCACCAGGGCAGGCTAGGGAAGGACCCAAACGCACCAAGCAGGGACCACATCCTCCAGAGCTTGTTTATCCCTTGAAACCACATTGTCAAACCCCAGGACCCATAACCACATCACAGACTTACCTATGAACCCTGGTGTTAGAACGTTGGGACGCTGAGCTGAGGCACTGTGATGAGGCATGCAAAGCACAAATCACTGAATGCATCCAAGGTCCTGCTACTCACCAAGCATATGTAAGGGAGTTAATAGTTGGTCGCTGGAACACTGAGAAGAAGAAGTGCAAAGAAGCACGCAAAGTCCAACTTTTGGAGATCCTACTTGCATCTCATGGTATAACTGCTCTAGTTTAGTCAGTTAGTCAAGTCAGCAGTCAGGCATGAATGATGGCTTATGGGTATGAAATAGATAAGATGAGAGGTGAAAACATGCATGAAATAATAAAGCAAAGGAGTAAAAGCAAAGTCATGCGATGTCTGAACTCTGCTGAATTGTCATATCCCACAATCCAGACCCATGTTCCATCATATTCCCATGCCTTCCGAGCCTACATCCGGACCCCACATCATATCCAGCTCATTCCAAGATCCCCTTCTGCTGTGCTCCACACCTCAGCAGGATCAACTACACTCTGGATTTACCCCTGAGCTCTGGACCATCAGATCCTCACTGCTAGCCTGATCCATACAACCCTATCCCGTCCACCCTATGCGCACTTCATCCAGCAAAACATCCAGACTTCACCTTGTCTCAGATTCCAGAACTATATCCACCTTCTTGTATTCTGGTCCTGTATCCACCTTGTCTTCCAGATCCCCAGATCTCCGGACCTCCGGATATTAGCTCTGGACCTATTCCCACCCTTTGTCCGATATCCTGCGCCTATCCCCATTTAGGCATTCTCTGCTTTCTGGCTTTCGGTTACCTCTTCTTCCATCTTGCTTATTGATCCTTGTACAAGTCTTCATCTCTGAGTTCATTTACTTATGTTCCGTCTTACTTACTAATGTGTTTCCACATGCTCGTACATAGCCTTGCTCCTTTGCTTACTGATCCCCTCAGATATTGTTCAGTATATAACCCCTGTAGATACTCCTGTAGTTCCCTAGTTTGAATATCAACTTAGACTTGCCCAATCCTCTCTCGGACTTTGGTCCAGCTAAGTCTGTCCTACCCATCAGGCCTAGGGATTGATTCCCTAGGCTGGAGCTCCGCCTTTCCGGCACTTCCCCTCTTTCCGGACTTAGGTCCAATCCCTGACCCTCTGACTCTACCTTAGTGTAGTCTTCCCCTGTTTGTTTCTACATTGGATGGAGTCCGATGTAGCCCCTATTCCTTCTGGACCTCCGGACCTCCTGTCCTTCGGACATTCTGTCCTCCTAACCCTCGGACATCCTGTCCTTCGGACATTCTGTCCTCCTAACCCTCGGACATCCTGTCCTTCCATCCTGTTTCCTGTAGAAGTATTACCTTGCAGTGGGAACTCTCCTGAGCACTTCCTGCATTCCTCCGGAACTCTCCCACGCTCCTCCAGAAGTCCTCTGGACTTTGTCAGACCATCATCAGACCTCATACGAAATGAAGGGCACATACTCGGGTAAGGGGCACAGTGTATGAGCTGAGGCCAAGCCCCTCTGAGTCAGTCTCTCTCCCCTTTGAGCAACATGGTTCTTAACATGAATAGAGAAGATGAGCCAAAGAAAAGCTAGGCCATGCATGAACTTGGCTCTTTAAAATGAAAGATGGCATCCAGGTATTGAATTGAAAAGACGAGGCAAAAGGTATTGGATTGAGAAGATGAGGCTCATTGTCAGAATCAGGTTAAATAAAAAGAGAAAATAGATAAGAGGTGCAAATGCAAAGCCATGCAATGCAGGAACTCTGGGGAATAGAGAAAACAAGCGTGAACTCTGGAGAATAGAGAAGATGAGCCAAAGCAAAAGCAATGCAGTGCGTGAACTCATTCATAGATGAGGAGAGAGAAAGAAATGGTCCAGACATTAGAAGAGGTGGCCAGATGATAGTAACCAGACAACAAGTGAAATGAAAGATGGCACACCTTTATGAACTGCATCGAGAAGGGCCGTGTTGAAGAAGGTTCTGGGTGGTTGACCATCATGCCAACATCTTCCTAGCGTTCACTCCAGATCTTCGTGCTGGTAAGAGGGAGGAAAGCCCACCACTGTCTTTGTGGAGGAGTCCTAGAAAAAAGAAGACCTTCAGACAATATCATCAGGCATACCTTCCCTCTGGGTAATCCCAAGCAAATACAATATCATCATTTGCCTCTGGACACACACATTCCAGCAAGTAACCAACCAAGTGGATTGAAAGGTGGTGAAAGGTGGCGTACCTTCCCTCCAGGTAATCCAAAGCAAATACAATATCATCATTTGCCTCTGGACACATGCATTCCACAGGAGGCGAGTAGCCAACCAAGTGAAATGAAAGGTGGTGTACCATTATGAACTGTGTCTGTGTTGGTGGTTCTAGTGCCTGAAAACCAGGGTATTAGGAAGTGAAACCAGTTACTGTTGGCAACAACTAACCTGCCATGCCTAATTGTATGTTTTGTGGGAAGGTCACATCTACGCATGAGGGTCTCAAAAGACACATTGTAGGATGGCCTGAATGCCAAATGGAGTGGACATCAATGATTGAAGATGTAGAGGCGGAGAATTTATACACACCTGATGTAGACTTCAGCCATGAAGACATAGCCCCACGCCATGTTCGTGCGCGCTCAGGTCCTGAAATGGACACCAACCCTACACTCAACAAAATTTGTTGTGTTTCAGTCGAAGAAGTTGATGACAAGGATGGTGGCCGGTATATTGAACCCCAGCCAAATGCAGGCTAGGGTTTGGGCGAAGGGGAGACCAGATTTGAGAGACATAGAAGGGAACAACAGCAAGGTGGTGAAGATCCATGGTCTCCCTCTGAGGATGCGTAAGTCCTTGGCCATGCTGGCCAGAGATGTACTGAGTAGACTCACCAGGGAAGAGTGGGGTCTAGTGCAGTGGATTGTCAAAAATCTGGGACAAACCCGGACTGACAAATTTCTAAAACTACCAATAGTAAGTCAAGAGCATTGAACAAAATTGGAACTCACCATATTGATGCTGTCAACAGACCCAACAGTGCACAAAGCTATCGTTTCACAATAATCATTCATTCTTGCAAAGAGTAGACGAACTTCCACATGGTCCAGGCTGGAGCTGTCAAAAGGTCACTGTCCATGGAAATCATCAGGACAAGGATGGGGAGTTGCTGCAAGAAGAAGTTGAGCTATGGAGTCGAGATCCTGTGGAATGCATGAAGGAGCTCATTGGAAACCCTGCTTTCAAGGCAGATATGGCCTACTCACCTGGCAGAGCATATGCTGACCGTGCAGGTCAACATAGAGTTATTGACGAGATGTGGACAGCAGACTGGTGGGGCGAGAAACAGGTAAGATTAATCTAGAGAAACATTGAAGGAATAGACTGACCTCTTATGTAGAAAGCATTGCCTGAAGGAGCGACTATAGCTCTGATTATTTTATCATCAGACAAAATGACCTTGTCACAGTTCCAAGGTGATAAGACTGCATGGCCAGTGTATATGTCTATTGGAAACATTGTGAAAGCTAAAAGGCATCAGGCTTTGGCACATGTGACTGTGCTTATCGGTCACTTACCTGTGGGGAAGCTCAACTGCTTCACTCCTGAGGAACATTCCCTGGCTGAATACCGACTCTTCCATCATTGCATGGGCCTGCTCCTCCATCCTCTGATTGCTGCTGGCAATGATGGTGTGGACATGGTGTGCGCCAACTCATGGATACATCGCATCTACCCAATTCTGGCGGCATATGTTGCCAATTTCCCAGAACAGTGTTTGGTGGCCTGTTGTAAGGAAAATTGGTGTCCAAAGTGTCTTGTTGTGGCAGAGGAGTGAGGGGATGCACTGCACTCAGAGATGTGTGATCCTAAGACCATGAAGGATATATTGCAAAGGTGAAAGATGGGTCAGCATCCGCCTGAATTTGAGGAAAATGGACTACATAGCATTTACAAGCCTTTCTGGGCCAATATGCCCCATGCCAACATCTTCCTAGCATTCACTCCAGATCTTCTGCACCAAGTTCATAAAGGTGTATTCAAGGATCACCTGGTGAGGTGGTGTCAGCAAATAATTGGAGAGGATGAAATGGACACACAATTCAAGGCAATGGCAGATTACCCAGGGCTCCATCACTTCAAGACAGGAATATCGACTGTCAAGCAATGGACTGGAAGTGAACATAAACAAATGCAGTGAGTGTTCATTGGCTTACTCACCAGAGCAGTTCCCAGGTATGTGTATTTCGAGTTTCAAAGATGGAATATGTGGCTGAGTTTGGTTCCCTGCCAGTCAGGTCTTGATAGTTGCTCATTCAATTCTGGACTTCTCATATTATGCGCAGCTATGAATTCACACAATGGATTCACTCAAAACCTTACAGACAGCACTATCAGTATTTCATGCTCATAAGGATGTCCTCAAGGAACTGTCTATTTGTGAACATTTCAACATCCCAACGATCCACCAACTCACTCATTACGTCCAGTCAATAACATTGTTTGGTGCAATTGATGGTTTTAATACAGAACTTCCTGAGCGCTTGCATATAGACTTTGCCAAGGACACTTACCGTGCCACCAATAAACATGATTATGAAGAGCAAATGGTCTTGTGGCTTCAGCGCCAGGAAGCCGTCTTTTTGCAGGGAGCATATCTGGATTGGCTGGCACAAGTGCCTCTCTCACATGGCTGGACCCAGGATGATTCAAACACATATGACTCAGACTTGGATTCAGACTTGGATTCACATGAAACTCCCCCTTACGACTCAGACTCAGATTTGGACTTGGACTCACATGAAACAGAGCAAATGATGCATGTCCTTGCAAAGGCTCCAGTGCATCCACACCGATCGGTTCAAGAGATTGTAACATCACATGGTGCTACTGACTTTTTGACAGCTCTCCAATGTTTCATACAGAAGAATATCCCTGGCTGTACTGTCATACCAGGGGTGCAGGACCATTTTGATGTTTATCGGCAAGTCATCATTGTAATGCCAGCTGACCTGTGAGTTGGTGATACACCAATGTGGAGGCACATTAGAGCCACACCTGAGAGATTGTCATCAGGCTGTAAGCCTGGTTGTCCGGCTTGGTTTGATATGGTGTTGATATTTGATGGTCCTCATCCTGTGCGTTTGCGGACACTGCATGGTAGGTTTTTGGGAGTTGTGTCAAGGGTGGTGTTTAATAGTAGCTGTTGCAGGTCTGAGAGTGGCCCAAGTTCATGCTATATTCACTCTCCCTTGTCAGTTCAGCACATACACCAGAACCCTCGCATACATTGAGTGGTTCACACCTTTCAGGACACCTGACCCTTCTTCTGGAATGCGACTAGTGTTGTGCTCGACCTGCCATTGTTGCTGCAATGCTGCTGTCATTCATGTTGACAACATTGTTAGGCCATGTCATTTAATACCAAAGATGGGACCATCAGTTGAGCTAAGGTTGAGGAGTGGAAATGCATACAAGGCCACAAATGATTTTTATTTTAATGAGTTCATTGACAGTGAGATGTTTTGTGCTTCTGTGGATACTAATTAGATTGCAGAATGTCATGGAGACCAACTACTGCACAATGAAGCTACCTGTAGCATCCTGTAGTGGCCATAGTAGCTCCTGTAGGTACCTATAACACACTGTTTAGGTTCATGACTACTGTAGGAGTTTGTAGCAAACCTTGTGGCTACATAGTGCTATGGTGGCTATATAGCTCTATATAGCTGTCACCAGGGCTATGACGAACTTGACTTTTTACTGATGTATGACATTCAGCTGCAAACAAGTCATGACAAAACACCCCAGTGTGAAGGCCATTAGCCTCCAAAAACTGGTTGAAGATTATGGCACTACTCACTTTCATGATGCCCTTGCACGCTACATTGTTCAGCAGTGTCAAGGCAACCATCCTGCACCTCTCCATGGTCAAGCACTTGATGTGCTGGCACATGACATCCATTTTCCATTCCACCAACTGCCTGTCTTTCATAAGGTCAAGTGGCACTTGGTTGATGCCTGCAGCCATGGTGAGGCACATGTCACTTTGGACAGTGTCTATGCAAAACCACAACAGAAGTTGGGCTCTCATCTGGTTGCTCACCAATCTGATACAGCTCTTGTGAGCCTTGGTGCAAATACAAAGGATCTTCAAGGTATGTAAACAGGCACTGTCAGTTAGCACTATATGTTACTTACTTTTTACTGAGCCTAGGTTTCCATGTCAGTCAAGTGTTAGAATTAGCACATGATAATGGAGGTATGAGCACAGAAGAGAAAGCTTAGTAATACATACAAGAATGAGTAATGTAGGGAACACTGATAACCAGGAATAGCCAGAGTGGTGTCAATTAGTAAGCACAGCATGGACGAGAGACAAGTCCGATGCACAGACTTTCAGATCAGACACATAGAACTAACTGTTTGATAGTATATATATTGTACAATTATTTACATTGGAAAGAAGTCGGAAAAATAACTCCTACTCTACTCTAAGTCTCATAACAAGAGGTTATGAGCCCTGCTACTACCATGGATATGATGCTCCCTGGTTCTTCATCACTATATAATATCCCCCAGCTTGCCAATGACAGAATGAACTGGATAACCTATAAGGAAAGGGCCCAAATGGTGATACGAGTGTGAGGTTTGATGCGCTATCTTGATGGTAGGACAAAGGAACCTGTACCTTTCAAGACAGACTTGCAAGGACAAGCACTGAAGCCAGACAAATCAGTAGCTACCCAGACAGAGATTGAAGAAAAGGAGAAGAAGATAGATGAGTTTCAACAAAAGGACTCACTTGTCAAGCAACATATATTTAGTATGGTCTCGGACCGACTATTGTTGTGCATCCAGAGCCTCAGGGAAGCCTTGAAAATATGGACAGAAGTTTGCCACATTGTTAAGGTTGTACTCAAGGGATAACTGGATCCAAAGGGCTTCGGCCTCAGCTCATGCGCTGTGCCCCTTACCTGAGTATTGCCCCTTATTTCAGGAAGGCAAGACTAACACATCTGGAAGGTTGGACAAGTATCGTAACAGATCTGTATGACTTCTGGATGCAGGATAGGTATTGTAGGGCTAATCCGGACGAGTCCAGACTAGAAACTAATGGTAATAGACTGTCGGAGACAGAGGCGGATACGGATAGACTATAGGAATCAATCCCAAGTCTCAGAGGGTGACAAGAGTAGAGATACTCAAGTCTGGAGGATGGGAATGAGTAGAACTAAGATGATATTCAAACTGAGGTGCTACAGAGAGTTACAGGAGGTTATATACTATAGGTATCTAACAGAATGATCAATCAGCAGAGTCTGAGGCTATGTATGAAGCATATGGGTAGTCTATTGGTAAGTAGAAATGTATCACAAATCATGAAACAGAAATGAAATATAGGTAATGGATCAGGGAGCAGTACGGATATACAGATAACCGAAGTACCGGAGTTAGGGGGTTACTGAAAGGAGACGAGTGCTGGTTGTGGATTCGGATGAGTTGTGGACTGGACCGGACGAGTGGACAGATTGAATGATGAGATGTTGGAGGGAGATAAGATGTGGATCTGAGATGAGATAAGGGTCGGATCTGAGATCTGGATATGCAGATATGACACACATCCATGAAGGAAAGATGGAGATGGTGCAGATAGACCTGCAATGAAAACTCCAGGACACCAGATGTGAGGAAGGCGGAGATGTAAAGGTGCACTTCGGAGACCTGTTAAAGATTTGAGAATCATTAGCAGGAATGGGAGTAAGCATAGATGAGAGAGATTACTATGCCATTATCATGGGATCATTACTGGAATCCTACAGACCAATACTCTCATCAATAAATGCTGCAGCACATATAATGAAGCAGCCACTTACCTCATATGAGCTGATAAACATTATCACAGAAGAATATGAACATCAGCAGATAACCAATCTCAAAACACAGAAGAAAGGGAATAATAGTGTGTTTACAGCAAAGACAAACATGTGAAGAGGATGTACCATGACAAGCAAGAGTGAAGATATCACTTGCTTCAATTGTGACAGGAAAGGTCACTATAAATCCGATTTCTGGAGAGCCAGAGGAGGGAAGGAAGGTCAGGGACCAAGACAAGGTGGAAAGGCACCAAGACAAACCGCTAATATGGCAGACAAGATCGAAAGAGCAAATGATTATGCCTTTGCCACATCAGATCTGGCAAATGTAGCAAAGAAGATCAACATACCTGCTGAGAAACGAGGAGCAATCATCGACTCAGGCGCAACATCCCATTTCTGTCCAGACCAATCGAAATTCGTAACATTCACCTCCATTGAAGCACAAGATGTGCACACTGCAGACAGTTCTACTATCAGCACTATAGGAAAGGGAGATATAAAGATAGATTTACCTCTTGGGATGAAGAAGACAACAGTCACCCTCAAGGACACCCTATACACTCCCAAGATGGCCTTCACGCTAATATCAGCTAACAGAATTGCTACTGCAGGGTTCACAGTGCATTTTGAAGATAGAATGTGCAAAATACTCACCCCAGTACCGGAACGAAGGGCCATAGCCGAAATCCCACAGATAGATGGACTATACTGAGTCATATCATCAGCAAGCCATAGTGCAAATACAGCCAGAACAAACATACCATTTTCGAAGCCCACCACATTCTAGGACACGTCTTGCAGGAAGCAATACTTGAAGCTGTGAAGAAGGGAACAGTTAGAGGAATAGATTTGAATCTAAACTCAAAACTGGAATATTGCGAGACCTGCGCACAAGCAAAGGCATTGCATCAACAATTCCCAAAAGAGACAAAGAATTGCACAAAGACCTATGGAGAACTTGTGCATATGGACTTGTGGGGACCTGTGCAGACAGCAACGATCAATGGATGTCTATATTACATCAGTTTCACTGATGACTATAGCGGGGAGACAAAGATAACATTTTTGAAGAAGAAGAGTGAAGCACTTACTGCATTCAAGGAGTATGAAGCTTATGTCAGCAGACAATGTGGAGTGCAACTGCACAAAATTTGATCAGATCATGGAGGAGAGTATATGAGCAATGATTTTGATGAGTACTTGAAGAAGCAAGGAATAACAAGAGAACTTATGGTGCACGACTCTCCGCAGCAGAATGGCATAGCCAAATGTCTAAATTGAACATTGGTCAAACACACATGGGCCATGTTATTGGAGAAAGACATGCCAAAATTCCTATGGGCTGAAGCCATCAATTATGCCACTTGGCTCAAGAACTGCTTACCTTCAAAAGCCATTCCAGGACAAACATCGTTTGAATTAATGCATAAGTCTAAATCAAATTTAGCTGCAGCGCATGAATTTGGACAACGGATGTATATGCATGTACTGGATAACAGAAAGTTAGAAGCCAAAGCAGAAGAAGCCTTATTTGTTGGTGTTGATGAAGAGAGCAAAGGATATTGAGTGTATTGGCCAGGAAAATGATGAGTTTCTATTGGAAGAAACATCAGTTTTGTGCCGGTGAAGATCAGCATAGAAGACAACATACTGGACGAGGGGGAGTCTAGGCTAACACCTCCAGAAAACAATGTTCCAGATAGCATCCAGAATGTACCAATACACACGTAACCTCTGACAATATCCCAAGTCCCTCAAACACCACCCCAAATCCCCAAAACACCACCTCAGAGTACACGAACCTTACCACCACCTGGAAACACCAAAGGCAACAAGAGTACACCACCCAGAAGGCTACTACAAAGCATTAAATGAAGGAAGAATAGCAGCATCAGCAATGGAAAATGAACCAGAAGACAATCCATCTAATTCTTCAACACATTATGCAATAGCCACAGTGCAACTGAGAACCAATGCTAAAGGAAGCATTGAATGGTCCACATGCTGAAGAATTGCAAGAAGCCATGGACTACAAAATTGGTCAATTAGAGAAACTAGGAACATGGGAGATTGTAGACCCACCTAGAGGCACAAACATTATACCATGCCACTTCATATTGGCAACCAAGTGAGGTCCAGATGGAGAGAAGATAAAACTCCAGGCATGTCTAGTAGCAAATGGTCAGCGACAGGAATACAGAATAGACTATCAAGAAACCTTTGCACCCACCTCTAACATGACAACTATACGAGCGGTCCTATCAATGGCTGCAAAGAATGATTGGGAAATACATCAGGTAGACATCAAGAGTGCTTACCTGAATGCCACACTCAGGGACAATATATACATGCAGTGCACCACCCAGATACTTGAAGCCAGAAGACGAAGGAAAGGTCTTGAAACTGCTGCAAAGTCTCTATGGACTAAAGCAGGCAGGTTTTGAATGGTCCAAGGAGCTAGAAGAATTTTTCCTTGAAGCCGGATACACATGCTCGCAAGTCGATTGAGCAGTGTATTATCGAAGGGAAGAGGAAGAACATACCATTGTAACGGTATCAGTTGACTGACATGGCCATAACGTCAAAACATATAGAACATATACAGAAGTTCAAAGATCAGTTGTGCCAAAGGTTCAAGATAACAGATCTAGGAGAGCTTACCTGGTTGTTGGGTCTCAAGATAGAGAGAGACTGAAGCTGTGAGAACTGTAATGCTATCACAAGAGGCATATGTTGACACAATTGTCAAACATTTTCGCCTCAAAGACGCAAAACCAGCGCACATTCCCAAGGAGACTGGAATACAGCTGATGAAAGAACAGTCAGACCATTTGCCAGGAATATCCGAACAACATGTACCATACCAGAGAGCGATTGGATTGCTAATGTATGCAGCAACTTGTACCAGGCCAGACATAGTGCTGGCAGTATCAGTACTATTGCAATTCATGTGAGAACCTGGCAAAATCACACTGGGAAGCTGCAAAGCATGTCATCTGCTATCTAAAGGCAACAAAGAAAGCAAAACTTACCCTAGGAGGAAAAGAGGAGGATCTAGGGGCATATGTGGATGTGGATTGGGCAAGCCAAGCCCACAGGCACTCTATATCAGGATACCTGGTCCTGCTGCATGGATCGCCAATAGCTTGGAGTGCAAGAAAGCAAATGATAATCGCGTTATCAACAGCAGAAGCTGAATACATAGCATTAACATCTGCAATGAGGGAAGTGCTATACCTTCAGTCATTACTGAAAGAACTTTATGAAAGAAAAGACGCACCTATCACCCTCTATTCCAATAATCAAGGTGCTATCGCACTCGCCTTGAACAACAAGTTTCACACTCAAATGAAACATATCGACATATGCTATCATTTCATTTGGTCAGTAATTGAAAGTGGCACAATTAGATTGGAGTATGTACCAATGGATGATAACCTCACAGATGCTTTCACAAAAGCACTGCCAAAGCCGAGATTGGAAAGACTGAGAGAAGGGATGAAAGTAAGCTGTGCTCGAGGGGGAGTGTTAGAGTTAGCACATGATAATGGAGGTACGAGCACAGAAGAGAAAGCTTAGTAATATGTACAAGAATGAGTAATGTAGGGAACACTGATAACTGGGAATAGCTGGAGCGGTGTCAATTAGTAAGCACAGCATGGACAAGAGACAAGTCCAATGTGCAGACTTTCAGATCAGACACATAGAACTAACTGTTTGATAGTATATATATTGTACAATTATTTACATTGGAAAGAAGTCGGAAAAATAACTCCTACTCTACTCTAAGTCTCATAACAAGATCAAGTTCAAGTGATCTTTGCCTTACCACCAAAATCAATACCACTACTCTTCCCACCAATGGTCCGTGTTCCTACTCACCTTGCATATGTTGAACGGTTTACACCATTCTCGCCTGCTCCTGACTGAAACAGTGGACTCCATAAACTCTCAAGATTGCTGCGTGGTGGTAACAGATATTGAAAATTGTGCTGTGGGATAGCCCATCTTCCCTATATACATCACCTGATTAATTCCATGGGGCAGCCCAGCACTGTATATATTGTGATGTGGGATAGCCCAACAGTCATGTATACACCATCTGGGATGGCCCTATATACCCCCTGGGATAACACACCACATTTAAATAGTTGTTGGACCAGCTCAGCACTCTATATATTATGACATGGGATAGCCCAACCACTGTATATACTGTGCACCGAGGGCCATATCTATCCCCTGGGCTGACCCACTAACTATATATTTTAATATGGGATAGCCCATGATATACTTGCACCTTCAATGTGTTGTTATGTAGTAATCACTCAAAATTTTTGAATATAATTACAAAAAGACTATATACTATGCTAGTCCAATTCATGATCCCTATGTCTCAGCCAATGCAGCTTCCTCCAATTGATCTATCAATTCATCATTCTCCCTCTCATCATCAGACTCCCAGTCATTCTCAGAATCATCCATAATAGCTGTGCCATCAAGACAGCTTGGTTGATAGTATGTATTAGCAGCCTCAGCAAGGTCATTTTCGATGGGACCCCATGAGTCAGGCAATGGCCAAGCACAAGGGATAGGACAAACTTGAGATTGCCAATGCACAACAAGACCACTCAAAAAGCGAGCACAGAGGTTAAAATGAAAGCAGAGATCTTCGTTCTTGTCTTAGCTGTCAGTGTCATGAAAGCAGAATATTATTGTTATACAAACTTACCTGCATGAGTGCGAGCCTCTTGTAAGGCATCCCACTCAGCCATCATCCACTCCTGGAGAGCACAATGCTCTCACATGATATGAGCCCCCTCCTCATTGCACTGGTCCACCTCAAGTTGAAACTTAATGGCTGCATGTGTGTTTTCATCTGCTAGCCAGCCAGGTGGAGCCAAAGTATAGTCATCAAGTCCAGCATCTTGCCAGATATCATCATCTACATTGAGCTGCAAGATACCAGTTGGAGAGATGGAATGAGGTGGTATAGTGCCGGCAGGAGCTTTGCCTTGTCGAATTAAGTCAACGAGTTTACCACAGAGGCTGTTGTAAGTCATGACGAGCTTGTGTATTGTAGGGTTGCACCGTTGAATTGAAGCTTCAGCATGCGCATGATGCTTGTGCTCTAAATAAAATATAATAAAATATAATCAGATAAGTTGACATGAAAGACCAAGCTACATACCATTTACCGTCTGACAGTATGACCATTTGAACCTCTTGATTTCGAATTTGTGCTGATGAAGACATTCATGAACATGCATCTTGACAGCTTGTGCATTGAGACAAACTTGAAGGAATATACTATGTCAGAGTTGTTGAAGGTTGGCAAGTTGTCCAATGCCAAGGGCCGCTTTCCATTGTCGCAGGGTATTGGTGACTTTGGACCAGTGGGCTCATTCATTGGAAAGTCGAATGTCAAAGTCCAAAATGTTCAGAATGTTGCCAGCACAAAGCTGTGTCTCGAGAGCATGGAGGGATTCGTCCAGATTGCTGAGTGTTCGCTCGAGGGCCAAGATCTTTGATATTTGCTTATCATTGTTGGTTTTTGATCTCTCTTTTATAAATGTTAGTCAAATACAAAAATATAAAGTAAAGCACACACTGGACAATGGTTTCATTTGGTGCTCGACCTGAGCCCTCCATTCCAGGCGTATATTGGCCTCATCCACAGATAGTTGTTGTAGTGCATCTTCCTGCATCGCTCTTCTTTGTCTGGCAACAAGTCCATCTGTGACTCAGCCACTTGCCAAAGGTATTGAGATTTTTTTTATTGAGGTGCCAAACTTGCACATTGAGGATGAAAAGACATTGGTGGTACTGTCATAGTGTTAGTCAGTAAAGGTATCCCAATGAAGTAAGAAACTCACCCCAGACACATGCAAGGGGGGAATCAAGAGCTTGAGAGCACTCCACAAGCGCTTGCAGCCCTCTCCATCAGAGAGTCTGAACCCTTCGCATTTGTGAGGGTGATAAACCAGTTGACAAGGCCACTGATGACTGTACACGTGAAACACAGATATAGAGAATGTGATACGAGAGAGAATAGCATCCTCGAGAAGTTGATATTTGAGACAGCTACACTCAAGCTGACATGCAATATCATACAAGATACCAATGGTCATGGACAGCAGAAGATGTTTGAAGAGTTTTTTTATAAGCACAAGGGTGTAATATTGCTTTTCACCTGCTGATGTCACATTGACTAGCCATAACACGCAATCATGATGACAAAGCAAGGCCATGACTCCGTATCGGCAAAAAAAGTGTGCTAGCCTTCTCCCATTTTTTGTCTGCAGCAAGAAAAGATTCCCTGCAGGCATCCAATGTCGATACAAGGATGTGCATACCATCTTCATACCCATCTTCATTGCCTTCAAGCTTCTTGCATTTTGTTCCATGACCAGGTAGGGAGCCTTGACAGGCAAGTATGTGAGCTTCCGTCCATGCGACCTCTTTGTCTGAAATAAAGACCGAACAAGTTGGGTTTGGTGGATCTAGGCCATTGGCCCCATGTGGACTGGCTGACTGTTTCTGTGTGAAGCATGCATCTATGCATACATGGCAATCCAGTCTGCAAGAACATCAGCACAGTGAAAAACACAGTAGGAATGACTTACTTAAGACAAGAACTATGATCCTTTTGCCAGTCCTGCATGCCAAAACAGACTGGACAACGTGAACATAGATAGTCACTTGGTTGTATAGGCAAGACTTTGTCTGCTGAAGAACACAAAGGAAGATGTTGTGAGATGAGGCCATATATGTGGTCTCAGCATTTGTCACAAGGACAGAGTACCAATGATAAGTGTTGCTGAAGTGGCAGTGAAGATTCTCCTGAAGATGCTGGAGAGTTAGCATAATGCAACAAAGAATCATGTAAGCAGACCTTCGTAGAAAGTTTGTAACCTCGACCTGTTAAAAAGACTTCCAACACTTCACACCAGGCTGTCATATTAGAGGTGACCCATACAAAAAGAGTCCTAACAAGCTCTAGTACACATAGGTTGACCACAAGCAATGAAGCTATGGGTGCACAGGCAAATAACCCTAACCTAAGAAGTTGAAGGGGTGTGGGTGTGCAGGGGCAGCAGTCAATGTTCAAGACCTCTAGATCTGGATTATGGTCAATTTGAGCCACAGAATGATATAGTGAGTTCGTACAATTGAAGAAAACACAAGTCACTTCTAAAGTCCTCCTGTGGCATGAAGCTCTACACTGGACATCACCACTTTGAAGTCCAGGCCGATGATGGAGCAAGGAGGATTCATGTTGATATTTGAGGTATGGACTGATTAGGGAAGGAATCACTTTATTTGACCAGCATTGCCACTGATTGAATTTTTTCTGTTGTCCATTGGAGTGGAGGGGTCAAGGAGCATCAGGATCGGAGAAGAAGTGGATATCGTTATAAAATGAAGACCTGTTCTGGTCAATCAGATCAGAAGGGGGTAGAACATTGTGCTGAGGATTGGTATTGGCAGTGATCTGTTGTTGGGCAAAATGCTGCCTTCCCGGAAGTACTAGAAGTGGAGGAGGGCCTGGAAGATGAAATGCCCCACTTCCTCATGGTTTCTGCTGCTTCCTGACCATGGATGGTGTAACTAATATTTGCTGTGAGTGATGATGGACAGGAGTTGTGGGAGTAGACATCAAGGTGACATTCAATGGATATGGTCCTCCATTCATGGTAGATGCTTCTGGGAGGGCACAAAGCCTGCAAGAATACTGTCACTGACTCAAAGTCAGTCAACAAGCACAGAGAGGAACACAAAGTCCCAGTTCAGGTAACCTATGTAGTGACAATTAGTAAATACTGAACCACGAGGAGGATAATGGTCAATCAACGGTGATCAACAAACAGTGAATAGCACCATAGCAACAAGTCATTCAAATTCGCAAACATAAATTGTACATGAAAGAACCACCCAACATAGCAACTAAATTTGATGGACAAATCAGATGTGAACAGGACTGAGCGAAAATCAGCAGCTATGCACCCACATAAAGCATATGAGGGACCACTGGGGGACAACCTGTGTTATCATAAAATGATTGTACATAAAAAAGAGCACATTGCTTCATGCATTGCCACTTTTCTCCCTTGGGCATCAACTTGGTGAAAGGCTGTTTGAGATCTTGAGGAGCACCTTCCCAAGCAATCAACACTTGATGAAATTTCTCAAAAAATGCTAGAGCATCTTGGAAAGATTCAGCATTAAGTCCATCATTCTGAGTCAAGAAATCCTTGTCCCACATAGTGAGGGAATGCTGAGGAAAGATTCCACAGAGCAAATCCATGTGACACTTCCTCACCTCTTGATCCCATTGCATGTGACGAGCAAGACATTCATCAAGTTCTAGAAGGTCATATCGGAAGCTTTGCTCACAAATCTCATAAATGATCTCTTGAATGAGATGATGCAGCAGGTTCTCAAGCATTGCAGCTTCGATTTTTTGACCCCTCCATTGCAATATCTGGGAGCCAGTCCAAAACTGGCATAGAAGCGACAATTCATCTCTGAAGAATGAGCCAAGCTTGGCTTTGGACTTGCCAGTCTTGCCTGATGGCATCTGACCACTTGATGACAAGGGCTGTGGTGTAGGCTGCATGATCAATAGATCACGCCAGTTTTGGGACTGAGGGAGTGGAGATGGAGGCGACACGTAAACATGCTTCAGCCATGACTCATGGCATGCCAGCCAGTTCGCAAGATATTTCTTCAGAGATTGCAAGGAAAGGATGTTGAAAAATAAACCAGGATTGGGGAGCCTGTATCCCTCATCCATTCTTGTGTGGGTTGGTTTGACCCAACTCAAGTCTTTCTCTGCTTGACTCATGGCTGATGCGAAAAAGGTGTTGATACTGGGCATGAATGGGTGAACCACATCAGCCCATTTGTCATGTCCAACTTGAGATTGGTTCTGGCACAGAGCAGTTGGTTCATCTAGATGATTGCTAGATAAGAGTGGTGAACTAAAATCAGACATTGCACTCACATGTTGTGGACTTGTTCATTTTCTTGGCAGGTGCTTTACCCAATGACAGCTCTCTAGAAACTGCAAGGTGATTGACTTCAGTTTGATCTATGGGGATCTCTTCAAAAGTAAGGTATGGTTGATGAACTGCAGCCTGGCATTGATGATCGCTTGGACCCTTGTACTGGATATTGAAAGGTTGAGCAAAATTCTTAATGAGGTGGAGATACATCCCAAACACAAGGTCAGCAGGAGTGAAGGGAACAACTTGGCAGATGTTGATCTTATTATTGACAAGCCTAACATCTTGTATCAACCACACAGGTACACCAGCCTTGTGGAGCCTCAATGCAATAGCGGAGTCTTTGGTGAAGCAACCCATCCAAGTCTTGTTGACCACATGCTCCTTGTCCTCGAATTTCAACCGCAGCTCAAAAATCTTGAGGTAATCTACCATGCTCCATATCTCCAGGAATCTCCTCTGAAATTTGGCCAAGATCATCACAATATCTTGCCAAGCCAGCGTCTCTTTGAAGCGCTCAAAAACAGAGCGCAACCCGGTGACCCACCCAACAACCACGTCTTGCTTGTGTTCTCGGAATAGCTTGTAGGAGCCAACACATTTATTAGCCTGCTTGTAGAGTCAAAATAGGTGTTCATGGTGGGTGGACTTTAGCTTGCCAAAGACATGACCAGGAGATAACAGCTCAAAATCAGTCAGAAAAAACTGGCAACCACCAAGCATACCACAGGTCAGTGCCAGGCTCATGAAATTCGTGTTGCAGAATGGTAAAGCTCCAGGTGTAAGCGTCTGCATACATTTGAGGCCACTGGAAAGGATCCATCACCCAAAACTTCCCATCTGCCCTCACTTGCATGATATTGGAAGGATTGTCATATAGTTGGGGGACAAAAGTCATGTTGGGCGAAGTGAAAATGAATTGACTGTCATAGGCGAGAGAGCATGTGTCTGTAGCTGTGATAGCATCTATATCCAATGTTAGAGAATCACAAGACAATTACTAAGGGCACTTACTGTCACCATCGTGCAAGAATGGCTGGAATTCACAAGGGATTGTCAGAGGCATTGTCAGAGGGACTGTGAATAACGGTAACTATCTGATGACAGTGAGTGATTGAGTGGTGGAACCAACAAAGGCACAGTTAGTGTAAGTTAATAGGAATATGAAGATGATGAAAGGTACATACATTGAAGTAGATCAATTACAGTGTTGGATAGCACACAATGATACCAAGTCACTACTGTAGGAATACAGTGAGCGTGCAGATCCGATGACCCATGGCAATACAAATCACTCACAAATGCAAAGCAGACTCAAAGTTGGCGGAAGGATCAATTATGCAGGCAGGAGGGAAATGTTGTCCAGTACTCTAACCTGAAGTTAGAGTAGCGAGTACTATCGCACAGTAACACAAAGTAACTGGAATAGTATTTTCTACCACAAAGGCAGAAGGATTGGCACCATCAATGGGAGGTGGGAGGAGAAAGAAGAGGGGAGAAAGAAGAGTTAGAGGCAAGAACAAAAAGGCTGAGAAAGAGAAAATCGGGAAAGAGATGCTGACAAGAGTCGCAAACTTTATGCCCAGGGATAACCCAAATTGGTTTGTGACAAACTGAAATTCACCAAAGTCTAAGGCTACATTATTTACCTTCCTCCTCTCTATTCTAGCACTAATCTGCATCATGACTGTTCTGAAGCTGCCTTCATGGTAGCTAACACTATCTGATGACTTTGTGTCATCAAATATATTATACAGTCTGACTTCATGTTAGCACTGCCAGTGTTACTACTCAATCTGCCACTATCTTCTGACATCTTCAGGACCATCACCGCCCTGCCATCTCAATTTGCCTCCACTCTTCCAACACAGTGACTTCATGCCATCAATACAGTCTGACTTCGTGTTAGCACTGTTACTACTCTGAGTCAATCTGCCACTATCTTCCATGTCTTCAGGACCGTCACTGCCCTGCCATCTCAATTTGCCTCAATTCTTTCAATGCAGTCTCTTGGAGCTCCTGCCTTTGTGGTAGCAGATATCATTGGGTGTGTTCATGGATGCTGTCTGGTGGCCAGGTCAGTTTTCCTCGCATCTTCCTGAACTCAACTTGTGTTCCAGCTTTTCCTATGTCTTCAGGACCATCACTGCCCTGTCATCTCAATTCACCTCAATTCTTTCAACTCAGTCTCTTGGAGCTCCTGCCTTGGTGGTAGCAGATATTGTTGGGTGTGTTCATGGATGCTGTCTGGTAGCCAGGTCAGTTTTCCATGTGTCTTCCTGAATTCAATTTGTGTTCCAGCTTTTCCTAGTGTGGCCATTGATTGTTTCTGATAGATCTCTTCCAACAACTATCAATCGAACTAGACATTGCCAGCACTTGTAATTGCTTTGGGTACTCTACGTGCTGCTCTGGCCACCAGACCAAGTTCAAACAGATGATGATGCACTGTCCATCTACACTCTTCCCTCCTATATAGGTAGCACTTGTTTGCAGTCCCAACTGACGATCTGGCTCAATCAGGTTAGTCCAGTCTGCAGTTTCTGTTCATAATTCATTAATTAGTGTCCACCCACAGCATCCATCAATGACCTCACCTGTCCCAAATGTGGTCCATGTGTCATCTCTGCCATCTGGGAAGCCATTAGAGTATTGGAGTCTTGTGGTGAAGTTTATTTGTTGTCCAGCCAATGATTTGATTCATATCTTGCCTGATATTCCATAGGCGCCCTGCTCCCACCCTTTAAAACCAGATATGCTGAAATTTCTGCCCATCAACTTCCTGTCGCTCAAAGTCACTCTCACTGCAGTATTTTTCTTCTTATCCTGAGATTTGCTTGAAAAGCCAGGTAGGCTAGAATTTCTCCATCATGATTTTCTATCATTCTAACTTGCTCTCTCACTAGTGTTTACTTGCATTCACTGTTTGTGAGACTTCATGTCTTCTTTGCCAGCTAAAAAGAACTTTGTGTTGTTCATACTCCTTGCTGTCAACATTCGTGTCCATAGTTCTCTGCCTTGAGTCAAGAATTTATCAACCTCCCTCTACCATGCCTCCCAAATGGACTTCTTCCACCCAAAAGTGCGCTAACCAGCGGATGGAAACTGCATCTATGGACTTCATGATGCATACCCACAGTGGTTTGCCCATCAACCAGCACATGGTATGTATATTCTTTAATTCAATTTTATTTATTGTAGATATTAATATTTATTGTCTTGGACAGAACAACACTAAAACGGTAGGCATTCATCACCCTAATGTCTATTTACTGATGAGAACATGATACCCCAGTCACTACCACCCACTAAAAAAATCAAACCTATCCCCTTGCCAAGGAGGACCTTGGTCATGAACTTCAATGACTACAGTGCCCTCCTTTCCTGGCATGCAAAAATTTCCACTGCTACCACAGATCCATGCATTGACACTGAGTCTGAAACCCAAGGTATGGGTGGCAACCCTACAAACTGAGTAACTACTTGTTGATATGACTGTTCCAAAGACTACCCCAAGATCAACGACCCTGTCACAGAAGATGAGAGCGATGGTGAAGGAGAAGTGGAGGCTCACAAGGGCAATCTTGTAGATGATCCCAAGGCCTGTGGTATGTAGCACTGTCTCCCATCAATAATGTACACTGACAGTCCTTTTCGTCTCCCAGAATCCTTACCTGTCTCTGATACTCCAGAGAATGAGGATGAAGAAGTTCCTGCACCTCCATTGAAGGCGAAGTTGTTCAAGAAGTGTGTGCTCTCTAACACTCCCCCCAAAAACTCCACAGTTATAGAGACTTCCTTGACTGCCCCGGTACAACACCATGCAAAGCTTGCTGGGTGTGATCTTTCTCCTCCAGAAGAGGAGTCTGACAGGGATGACGATGAATATAAAGATGAAGAAGCCTCAAGCCTCTGACGAAGAAGCACCCACGCCTCCATCAAAGGCGACATTGTTCAAGAAGAGTGTGCTCTCCAACACTCTTCCCTCAAGTGCTCTGCCAAAAAACTCCATGGCAATGGAGACTGCCTCACCTATCCCACAACTTTATTCATTTGATGATGTCAGTGAAGACCTTCCCATTGCTTCTAGACCTGGGCGGCTGTGCCAGGAAGGTGTAGATGATGCGCAGGAGCTCAGGTGCAAGACACTTGAGGCTGCCAAGGCAATTGGGGCCAAGTATGGAAAATCCGCACATACAATACTCATTGAGGCCGGGTTGTCTGTGAAGCACTCCAGGGCCGAGACCCCATGGAACATGCACCAAGGATGGTACAAGGGTAAATATCCTCGAGAAAAAGATGAACGTGAGTTTTTTCTTCTTTTACACATTGATGCCGGTAATAACCACATACCCTGGTAGAACTCAGTGATTGGAGAAAGAGGCAGTGCGACCACTACTACAGCCTCCCAGATGATGACCCACTGTGGGATGATGTACAAGCATACTACAACTTTCACTTAGGTAGTGCCAATAACAATCAGTCGCATGCCAGCATTGTTATGTCTACAAGGGACACACTCGCTAAGTGTGTAAGTATTAAGACAACACTCATTTTTATCATGACTCACTGCCACAAAGTTTGCAGCTTATTCTTGTCTAGAAGGCATTGAGGTCATTGGCTGTGTCTTCAATTTGACTCCTGATGAGGTGGCCTGACAGGCCTCTGGTTTTGTTGCAGGCTCTTCCACCTTTATGGATCTCATCAATGAACACCAAGTGGACTGCCTACCTTGCTTTAGATTGGATTATCACTGCAGCAAAGTACATAGCTTGGAACTACCCTGAGTTTTATCTTACCATGTGTCCAGAGCAAAAAAACTACCAGCTAGTACTGCCACTGGTTCAGTGGGGCTTATGATATTTTGTTTTCAAAGTCTGGTGAAGCCCCACAGGATCATTACCGATGTATCTGGTCAGTCATGGTGCTTGAGAAGCTAGGTAAGCTTGATCTAAATTCCCCATGTGTATCTCAAATTTATTTCAATAAAACAGAACAATTTGGCTATAAAACCAAGTCTGTCCAGTGGTGGAAGCTACTCAATGTTGCATACCAGAACAAGTTTCAATTCAAACTCTGGCCTGATGGTGTTCATCCGGTTGGCCCAGACTTCAACTGCCACACCCTCAGCGCTCAACATCTGAAGCTACTCATCATGTCTTACATTAAGTGCAGGGCAACACAGTATTATGACACTGAACTGAAGACAGAAGCTACTAATCTACTTGAACTTCGGCACAAGCAAGGACACAGTGATAAGACTCTTGATGATATCATTGACGAGTTGGATGTCACTGTGTCCGAGATTGATATTGTTCCTTGGCCACAAGGTACTTATTGCCCATGTTCATTTTCATATCTAATGCTGTTGCTTCAGATCACATTGACCAATGTGAAAATGACAACCCTAGGATGTTCGATATTCCTTTGGTCACCAGCACTTCCCACATCATGCTCCACAAACTAGCAGACTCTGAGAAATTCAAGTACTCCATCCCAAAAACATTGCTGGAACAGTACAAGGAAGCAACATCAACCAGTGGTTTGAATGTTGGCCCCCCTTCTGAAGAAAGGCAGCGTGAAGATACTACTTGTGATTGCCAGCCTCAACAACAGACTCACCATGCTGCTCATGGATTTTCTGTTGTTCACAAGGACCACCACAGCAACAATGATCTGCCCCATACAGAACACCACCCAGCAGTGCTTCAGCCACAGAGGATGCAGCCTTGCAAGTGACTGCATGTAGAGGATTATGGTAAGTCCATGAATCACTTACAGATACTGTTCTAATTGAGTGTCTGACAGATCAAACATTTGAATCTGAGGCTGATAGCTTGAATGCACCAGACTCTCGCATCAGGAAAAAGTTGAAGGTAAGCTGAAGACTGACATCTTCTATTGTTATTTTCATTCAAGTTGGCTTCCAGGTTGTACGTTACGATGGTGCTCCACACATTGTCCCAGCTCATCCTCATCCTCGACCTCATGCACCTATCCCTGGCTATGAGCCACCTCAACACTGGCGTAATGAGGTATGGCAGATGTCTCCACAGCATGTTCAAGCTTATGGGCATAATGTGGCCCATTCTCACCATGATTTTTTGGCTGCAGGCCCTTCAAGAGTGGTTGCAAGGGGACATGAGAAATATGCTTATGGCCAGAACACTCCGTCTCCTGATTATGGTGGCCATTCATATGATCGTGATTTTGATTACCATGACTAATGTTTCATATGCTTTGAATGATTTTTGTATGTAATTGTGTATCATAGCTTGAATATATGTACATCTGTCTTGTGGTTCCAACTGTGCTGCATGATTTTCACTCAAAAAACAATGCCAGCATCTACAAGTTTTATTATATGTAAAGTAGGGTCATCATGGCTATTACAGCTGATATATATTGGGTAGCCGGGTCATCCCAAGTAGTATGTAAGGAATTTATATATATAGTGGGTCAGCCCAGTGTCTATGTAATGATGACCCAATAATGATGAAAGTCACAATGGGCTATCCTGCTGTTTAGTAGACTGTCCCCATGACTAATGAGCTAGTATTGGGCTAGCCCATATGATGCATGTCAGAGAGCTGGGCAAGAAGGAATAGCATAGTACTAACACTAGTGATTCTAGATGAAATAATAGGTTTGGGTCTAGGCAGGGGATCCATAAGGAGTAGTGGTGTGTTGAAGCTCAATGGTATTTAGTGTATTGGCAGTTGTGCATTCAAGATAATTAAGGTAGAGTGCATTGACAACAACAATGAAGGCAAGGATGGTAGCAGCAATTAGAAGCCAGAGATTGATGAAGTCAATGGTTAGGAAAGTGAGAGATCGTCGGTGTGTCACAGAATGGACTGCTTGGCTAGTCTCAGATTTGCAGGAGCAAGTCACCACTAGAAATGTTGAATAAAAAGCTAGATCAGTTGGAGTATAGAATCTTAGCAGTGAGTAGCTACCCAGATAAGCAACCCAGTGAAGTAGTATAGAAAGGAGAGAGAACATTGCAGGACTAATATTCAGAAAGGATGCTGCACAATAGAATGTAGGAGTAAGAAAGAAGAAAAGCAGTGCAGAATGTTATAAAATGTGGATAAAAAATACAGACAAACAAGTGATAACATTTGGACTGGGCTGACCCGGTGGCTATATGAACCAGCAGTGGGCTATCCCGCATCATGTGTATGAGAGCACTGGGCCATCCCAGCAACTATATGAACCAGCAGTGGGCTATCCCGCATCATGTGTATGAGAGCACTGGGCTGTCCCAGAGACTACATCAGGCTCACTAAGCAGCTCTGATGCCTATTTCTTGAGGCCTTTGTGGTTGTCTTGACAGGATACATTATGTGGTTTCAGCACTCTAACCTTACCCGGCTTTACTTGGGGTATAGATGAGTTATGAACTGGGTGCACAATTATGGTTAGGTGAGGATGGGGGGTGCTCTAGAAGCAAATAGATGTGTAATGAACCAGGTGCACAACTATGGTTAGGTGAGGATGGGGGGTGCTCTAGAAGCAAATAGATGTCTTATGAACCGGGCACATAACTGTGGTTAGGTGAGGATGTGTCCTGATGCTGGGTCACATGAAATTTGGCAGAAACATAAGGTCCAGATTAGTTTTCCATCATGTTTCCTCCAGCAAAAAATTTAGACAACACGCAGTACTAAAGCATAAAATTATATTTTATACTGTATTATTTTTGCTTGTGGGAAGTTGCCCAATGGTGAAAATACAGATGAGTTTTTGTAGAGATACTGTAGAGCTACAACACTAGGTTTGTCACAGGTCACAGCCCTTGACGAATTAAATCTATTTGGTCTGACCGTCACATGAATTTTGGCAGGATGAAGCTGATTTGTGACATTTGGAAAAAAACATAGGAAAAACATAGGTTGTGCACTAATGGGACCAAAAATCATTATACATCGAATTTGTGATGCATCTATGCTTTCCACACCCATAATCAACCTTTGGAACACTGTTCAAGCCACCTTCCACATCTTCAGCAGCAATGTCACCCACATCATAGACTTCAGAGTGGTTTGCACAACAACAGTACCATTGTGTTCATCCACATGATCATTGATAGCAGCAACAAGAGCATCAAGTAAATGACCATTGACCATTGAGTCAGCAAGTAGAGGGAGAAGTTCAGATGTGTGAATACTGGTGTGAGCACCAAACCCCTTCAATTCAATATCCCATGGCAAATGCTCAAACACACTGAGAACCTTGTCTATGACTGACTCGAAAGCACAGTACATTGTCATCTTCATCTTCAAGCCTCTGAAGGACCCAATCATGGGCCAATATCCAGGCGAGACAGGCCTTGAGGGTATGTGAGATCTCTCTCTAGTAGGAAAGAACCCAGAATGGAAGATGAAATGTTGGGGAAAGTGGATGGATGACTGAAGCATGACCATTGAACCAAGCCTGACTGAACTGATCAAGGAGCTGAGTGACACAATGGAGCAGAGGAATTGACCATGCTGTGAAATCATTGGGAAGGCTGAGGAGAGGGGGACTTGTTGAAAAAATGATGGTGTCTGAGCTAAGATCACAGTCCAGTGATGTGCAAAGATCAATGTTGAGTAGCTGCATGACAGACAGAGTCTGAGATGGGATGGTTGACTGCATTGAAGTCAGGATGCTGAGTAACCATTTGATCTCACATTGTGCAAAGGGTGGCAGTTTGCTCTGGTCAAAAACATGACCATGCGAGAGCAACTCTGAAACAGTGAATATATCAGTTTGTGACAGCATGACAGGCACTTGGAAATGGATCATAGACTCACCTGGCAGGCTTTAAGACCATGGAGTCTCCAAGTCCACTTGTTACAATTTAGTGCTATGTGAGGCAAATCCTGAAGCAAGTTGCTGCAATCACAAAGCAGCATGTCAGAATGACAGGCACTTGAAAATGGATCATAGACTCACCTGGCAGGCTTTAAGGCCACAGAGTCTCCAAGTCCACTTGTTACCATCATTAGCACTATGTGAGGCAAATCCTGAAGCAAGTTGTCACAATCATGAAGCAGCAGCATGTCATATGGTTGCAAGTGGCAAAGCATCCATGGGCAAATCTATTTGGGTGTGGTCACAGGTCACATGGACATTCGAACCAGTGACACTGAGTATGACATAATCACATGCTGCATGTGATGAACCTAGTGTTGTAGCTCTACAGTAGACCCCTGACACCCTGGCTGATAATGGGATAACCCTTAGAAATTGCTGCTTGGGATAGCCTACATGGGTCATGGGACAGACTAAATATATTGGCCCAGTTGGCCCAGCCCCCCTAGGGAAAGTATTGGGAAGGCCCAGGCTGATGACCATATTGGATGGGAATACCATGCAAAAACATACCCCTTAGGTGGGATTTTAGGAGAGAATATATGTACCTAAGAGGTACTTTGGGAGGGGTGACTGAAGTGCATCTAACATTATCATCCTTAGCAATTTTATGTGAATTTTGTCTAATTTGCCTTGGGAGGGTTTTCCTGATGTAGTTTGCAGGAGCAGAATTACATCCTTCTATAAATTCCACGGCTACAATACCAAGGAGTCATGAATTCACTGATGGTAGGCAAGAATGGCAGGGGAGTTATTGTTGCTCATTCTGCTGCGCATCAAAAACACCGAAACCAGGATGGTCTTGTGATGCTTCACTGTGATGTAGGTATCACCATTGACGTGTGACGTGCGGGTAACATCGACTGCACTATCGCCGTTGGATGGAGGGGATAAGTTCTGGAAGGTGTGGTGACACGAGTCGGAGCCATGTACACAGTGCAGCCGAGGAAGGCAGTTATGACTCGTAGGGAGTATTCTGGAGGCGAGCTGACTCGTGTCTTGCGCGTTTATGAAAGCGAATTAGGTTAAGGTGGATCAGCATAGGAGGGCGCACAATACACGCACTTCTGCAGCTTAGAGAAAGACACCCACAGTCCCTCGACCGTGCTCGACACCATCAACCTCCCAGTAAAATGCCGCAGGTTATTACAATCACCACACCCATTCGAACTTTTGAAGATCATAAGAGTACCGTATACGCAGTTGCAGTTTTCCCCAACAAGCGACGAATGATTACGGGCTCGAAGGATAAGACACTTCGTCTTTGGGACTTGGAGACAGGTATTGTGTTGAAGAAGATGCAGGGGCATAGCAGTGAGATATGGCCGTTGGCGGTATCACGAGATAGTCAAATAATAGCCAGCGGTGATAGAAATGGAGAAATCATCAGCTGGCACGGTGAAACTGGAGAATCTCTCACCCAACCCATCAAAGCCCACTCCAATGGCATCTACTCGGTGGATTTTTCTCCGGATGGTGCGGTGCTGGCTACCGGTTCAGGGGGCGAAAGGGTGAAGTTTTGGTGTACCAAAACGTGGCAGATGCAAGGAGAACCGATCAAGTGTGGTGCTTTCGTCTACTGGGTTCGATATTCGCCCTCTGGCGAACTTCTTGCTATCGCAACAACCGACAATATCCAAATTTATAATCCAGTGACAAGGGAACGCGTCGCATCTTTTGGGGGTTATAACTTCTCACTCGCGTGGACACCCGATGGCACACGCCTTCTTTCAGGAGGATATAATCAAGATCCTACCATACGAGAATGGGATCCATTGACCTGGCAGCAGGTTGGTGATCCCTGGAAAGGCCACACCAACTATATCAACGCTATTGCCATTCATCCCTGCTGGCACCCTCGTTGCTTCTGCTTCTGGAGACAACCATGTCCGTCTCTGGCGACTCTCAGATCAACAAACCATCGCCATCTTCCAGCATTCATCACCGCTGAGATCTATCGCTTTCTCCTCGGACGGCAAGCACATCTTCAGCGGAGGCACAGATAAAAAGATCTCAGAGTGGGCAGTACCCAGCAACGCTAATTCAAAGGCGGGTTTCCATCCTTTACTCTCATAACGCAATTCGAGCGTCCTTCGTGCAGATCCTGGATTTCACGACAGCCCGCGATGCATGCATTGCTGGGGACCTGGACACTGCTGAAGAGTCACTCACCCAAAACATTGACACCGACGCCAACAACTATATTTCATATGCCCATCGCTCATTCATTCTGGCTCGAAAACACGCCTGGGGTCTCGCCCTTGATGATGCAATCAGGGTGAGTTGTACTGACCCATCATGGCCCTCTTACTGAAGGCATTCGTGACATAGTCCATCAGCATTCAACCCTCATTGACAGGATACATCTCAAAGGGTATCGCCCTCTGTGGAAAAGGCCACGCTCGGGACGCCAGGATAGCATTCGACGTCGCATCCATGTTCACGAACAAAGATTCAAAAGCCAACCATTTTCTTATCTTGATCAAGGTATATCAAATTCGTCTCGCATATTCTCTGCTTCATTGCGTGTTTCAGGCAATCGCTCTGTTCAACGCAGATCAATACGAGGAAGCAATGTTGCTCATCAAAGAGCTGGCTGCCGCTTGTCCGAATACCGATCCTCACGCGCGTCGTGTCGTGTCAGTAAGTGTGATGCGACTACGCTTGGTCATCGATGCTGATCTTTGCAACTCGCACATTAGACATATCTACGTGTTCAGCTCGGAATAAGAGCATTCGAGGGCGCGCATCACGACGAAGCCGCCGATCACTTCACTGCCGCTGTCAACTCAGGCGTTTTCTCATCGAAAATCATTCATTTGATATGTGAGGACCTGACCGTGGTGCGTCAAGATAATACATATATGCTTTTCATAACTGAGTGTTTTGTCCAGCTCTTTGGCTGGGATCTCGCGTCTTTGTGTCTCACTACACACCAGAAACGGTGCCAGGCATTCCTTGCGGCAGGTAAACCTGATGAAGCCGTTGAAGCACACCAATACATGATGGACACCATCGACGAGTCTACGAAGGCAAGCTGCCTTGACTGGTCCAACGGCAAGTCCTGAGTCCGTGATATCATTTAGACTACAATCCTCACCCATATTTCACTCAGCTTTCAAGCAAGAATGCATCACGCTCTGTGCTGTCAATGGAGATATCGCCCTCACTGCGAGCGATTATGACAGGGCTATTGACCTATACTCGGCAGCAATCAACCTGAATTCTGCATCTGATATTCTCTTTGTAAATTGTAGTAAGGCAAGGTTGGGCAAAATGCTATGGACGGAAGCACTTTTCGACGCGCAGAAGGTGCGTTGGCATCTATCGTTTGGCAACTAATGCTCATTGTGGCGATACATAGGTCATTGAGCTCGACCCTTTTTCTTATCTTGGATACAATCTGAAGCACGCAGCGCTTCATGGTGCACAACGCTACGATGAAGCGATCCAGACCTTTGAAACGATGTTCTCCAAATTGGATGATGCACCCGAGGTTCATACACGCAGTAAGCCTCTGAATGACGCATTCGTCAACATGTTTAACTCTTTCTCCAGAGCTGTGCCAGCAACATCTCAAACCCTCTGTAGTGGAACATGCTATTCGCAGGGTCATCGATGCCCAACTGGACAATGTTCCGCTGCGTGTACTCGACACCACCGCTGGTCTCTTATGCGATTGAGATGCGCAGATAAGCGCCTTCAAAAAGAGCACAGAGTATAAGGAGCTTGTGTCATCATCAATCACTGCATCTTGACCTCCCCATGGAGCACATTGAAGAGGTGGTGATGTCGTATCTCCAATATGCCACGTTATCACACAGGTGGGAAGGGAAGGAGCCGCTGTTGCAGGATATCCACGGCAAGAACATCTATGACTCTGAGTTGGATCCGGTTGGTGGCATGATGAAGTTGCTGGTCCTTCTGCAACACCGCTCATGATGCAGGGTACAAGTGGGCATGGAGCGATACATGCTGCATCGATAAGAGCAACAACGTCGAACTCCAAGAATCGGTCAACTCTATGTTCGTCTGGTATCTTCACTCCGCGCTCACGATTGTCTACCTATCGGATGTTCCGCCTTCGTTAAAGTCTGGTCCATTGGCAAAGAGCGCTTGGAACACGCGCGGATGGACGGTTCAAGAATTCATCGCTCCCAAAGTCATTCTATTTTATCAGAACAATTGGACCCTTTACCTTAATGATCGTACTCCCAACCACAAGGAGTCCGTCGCAATCATGCAGGAGTTAAAGGATGCGACAGGCATAGACGGATCAGCCATTGTGGCCTTCCGTCCCAGTATGAGTGGCGCCCGAGAGAAACTCCATTGGTCCTCAACCCGCATTACCACACGTCAGGAAGACATCGCATACTCGTTGTTTGGTATTTTTGGTGTTCACCTGCCTGTAGATTATGGGGAGAAGCAGGACAAGGCTCTCGGGCGGCTCCTGCAGGAGATCGTGGCTCGGTCGGGCGACATCACTGGCCTCGATTGGGTCGGAAAACCGTCAGAGTTCAACAGCTGTCTACCGGCCTCCATCACTTCATACGAAGCTCCACCATGCAAGCTACCATCCCTACTCGAAGATGAAATTCGATCATCAGTTTCTTCACTGCGAAAGACGGTGGCTGCTGACTTCACTTCGAACCTTTATACCCTGCTTCGGAACGTGAGCGCCCCTCGCTTCGCAGCACAGAGATTGCATCTGCCTTGCATTGCATTCAATGTCAGGGAAGTCAGACGGGTGCGTAGTCTAGCCCCAGAAACTCTGTTCACATATGGAGTGAAGGCAGACGGACTTCACGACTTACTTATCACCACCGAAGAGACTCTAGTTCAGTTCTGGCCTGCAAGGCCCACTGAGCAAAAATTTATCCTTGTCCGTCCCTGGGATCGGTCTCTCCTCAAGCTACCGAACTTTGCAGAACCGCCTAACTTTGTAGAACCCTCTGGCTTCGGAAACGATACAGAGGATGAGGAAGATTATTGCACGCCGCCCTCTTCTCTGTCAGACGAGCGATTCAGTGGTTCTCCTGTAAATCTGGAGGTGTTTGACCTAGAATCACGAGCATTCCGGTTGCTTGTTCGCCTTGGGCAGCCTTTCTGCGCATTTTTGCTAGCGCAGCAGGGCAGTGTAGAATACAAGAGGATCGCGTCGGATCATGATATCATTGGGCAGGTCGACGATGTGGTTTCTGTTGGAGAGTCAATGGACATGTACATCAGGACTATTGAAATATTGTAATCATATGTTTTTTTTTAAGGTTTATGTGGTTTGCATTTTACTCGTACAGTGTACGTGTCATATATGCATGTGTATCGGACTAAAGTCTCGCCGCTTCCATACTTACCATTTCCTGCAACTTGAACAGGTTCGTCATATCTGAGAAACCCGTGGGCGGAGGACCTTTAGTCAGTAGCTCTTTTGCACGCATATTGCTCATGGGATATTCAGTTTCACAATACCAGATGTGCCAAAAGATTGGACACCAAATCCAAAACACGTTTGAGGGAGGGAGAAAGCTAATTCAAAAGATAAGGAGAATGCAGCTATACCTCCTCTGTCACAAACTCAGCCGCACACAGTGGAGAACAGGGATATCTGCGAGCCAGATTTGAAAAATTCATCTTCTACAGATTTTACATGCTTGCATGCTATGGACAGCAGGGAGCAGAGTTTGGTGAGACACCTCTTCCTTCTGCACCCAGGTCCATCTTCGAGTACATCTCCAAGAAAGACCAAGAACACATTAAGAATATCACTTTGCCCCTTATCCACATCAGATGATCCCTCGCCAGGTCCCTCACTCCCCATGCCTCTCAGGATCACACACCAAACCCCACATCACCCAAGCTATCCTCTGCAGGTTTCAGCCTTTCATGGCTGATCCCTCTAAGCAGGCGAGGTACACTGCCTATCTCTGTGCACATGCAAATCCCAGCTTAGGCATGATTTTACCCACTCAGAAGCCTGAGCAGACACTCGAGGAGTTTGCAAAAGAGATAAGCGATTATGCAAAGTCCACACCTTTCAGTCATATGATACTGTATAACCCTGTCATAGGACATGTACATTGGCCTGCAGAACCTGACCTACAGGATGATGGCCAGTCTATGTACACCCAGGACTGGCCAACTGTGTGAAACATGTGCATCAGGAAATTGGCCTGAATCTGCTATGACTAGATGCATGTGACAAACAAAAAACATTATTATACACCTAGTTTTAATTTTAGATATCTTTATCATGGTGTCACACATATACAACATGAGATATGATTTTACAAGGGTGGTATAATTCTGGTATGTGCGTTATAGGCTGACAGCAGTGTGATAACAGGACCTTCCAACCATTATAATTGGCTGGCCTCAAAACACATAATTATATGCTAAGCTTTTGAAATATATGACATTTTCACATGTATGACTGAGGATATGAGTATATAAGTAAGATATAATTTTGATGCTTGTATTATAAGTCTACAGCAATGTGACAATGGAACCTGCCAACCATTATAATTGGCTGGCATCCAAACACATAATTATATGCTAAGCTTTGAAATGGATGATATTATCACATGTATGACAGAAGATATGATTATACAAGGGAGATATAATTTTGATGGGTGCATTACAGGCTGTCAGCAGTATGACAACAAAACCTTCCACTCATTATATTTAGCTGACCTCAAAATGCATCATTATATGTTCAGCTTTGATAGTATCATCCGGTCACACATATATGAAAGAAGATATGGCCATGCAAGGGAGATATAATATTGATATGTATTTTGGATGGGACAACAGCATGACAATCAAACCTTCCATACTTTGCAACTAGCTGATCAATATTATTAGAGTACCATACAAGTGAGATACAAGTTTTTTTTTCATTTTATTAGTGGCAGTACATGGTGGCCCAACTGTAAGTACAAGTGTCATAGTATGAACAGGAATGAGTAAACTGGTCTTGCCAAAGTCCCAAGGTCTCACTCCCTCCTGCATGGTTGCTAGTGATGACTCAGAGGTAGGGTGAACAGGTGTGTATATTCACTGGTTGTTACAGGTATTCAAGGCTGAAAAGCTTTACTGACATTTCATGCAGACAGATCCTAATTGGTGATCATAGTGATAAAAAAGAACAGAAATAACATAAATGAAGTCCATTGTACAACTAACTCACATAAGATCAATGTCAGTGTGAAAGTGGTATGACACAAACTTGCACTAGGAGTGAAACTACTACAACCCAGGATACAACTCCAAGTAAGTATCACAGGGATGAACCAGAAGACATGGATGAGGTTGACATCCAATCATCAAACCCAACATGATGAAAATCTGAATCATCAGTGTCATCACTTTCAGAAGCCCAGCCTACAATCATCTCAGTGCGAGGAAGCTCAAAGAAGCTGCATGCTCACCATTATCATTGCCATGGAACTCAGTGATGCGTGCAATTGCTTCAGACAACATGTTGACTTCGGACTGTGTGCATTGCTTCTTCAAGTCCAGAATGTGAAAATCAGACTTGAGCACCTCTAGTGATTTAAGCTCCTTTGTTGTGAAGCTATGGCCATGGTTGAAGTGTAAAGGCCCATTGGCTTCCACCAACAAGGCGCTCATAAATGCACGATATGTGAAATTATTGACCCAAGCTTTCATCACATGAGGTAGGGGAATAAGCTGATCATCAGGCTGTACAGCATCAGAATTCTGGGCCTTTGTAATATAAATAGCACATACCCATAGAACATGGTCATGGGGACAGGGGTATTGTAGAGTTACTGGGAAATCAAGAAGTATTCGGCTGGCATTAGAATCTTGTGTGGTATCCTGAGACTGTGATGACATGTGGAGCCATGCATGGCATTTTTCTTGAATGGCCTTCATAGGTTGGAAGTAATCAAAATTGACTGAGGCGGATGCTTGGCATGGACCTGCATACTGAACAGCATTGGGTGTGACCAGTTTCTCTGGATTGACACCAGATGGCACTATGAACAAATTTAGAGTGTCATGAATGATCCTTCAAACAATGTAGCTCACTTGGGTGACATCTACCATTCAGCTCTTCACACAAGTTCGCTATAGCATTACTGAACAATGAGATTCTAGTTGTGCCTGATCCATTTGCTCCTCCATCAAAAAATACCCTCCTCACTTCAGGTATTCCAAGCAACTTTCATCTTCTTGCTGGAGGCCAGTTTGCATCGCATTCTCTTTGAGGCTCACTTCAATAAGAGCCTTAATATCAAGAGGATCGACTAATCCAAACAGTACAGAAGCTGTGAAAAGAGTGAGTCTGGGAGCTGAATGTGAAGTCATGAGAGAAGGCTATGAAAACAATATGTAAGTGCACTGACACTTTCATGTCCCTTCATCTGCAACCAACATACAAGGTTGCTCTCATTGTGTGCAATGCCAAGAACATCAAGGTTCAAAGCTGTGTCAGATGAAGAAAGAGCAATATTTGACATGTTGAAAACGCTGGGCAGAAAAGCAATTATGGGGATATTCACACAATGATTTAATGCTGACACAACCTATAGAGTTGGTTTGGGAGTAATGACAGAGCTATGGCGCATGGATGGCGATCAAACTATAAAAAATATTAGATCCAACAATGAATATAACAAATGACTTAATTCACACACATTTCGAATGCAGGCAAGTCCAGGGCCCCATTTAAACAACCATATTGTCAATTTAGGAACACCATTGCGCACCATCAGTGAAATTAAAAAAGCCCTCAAGGTGAAGCAAATTTTCAAAGCCCCTAAGAAGCACAGATGAGGCTGAATATTGGTATTGGTATTGTTACTTACCTGAAATGGATAGATATTACAATGCCACATAAGATGGGTGGCATCCTAGCTGCAGCAATGAATGGGGAAAATCATGAAGGCCTTACAACGTAAAACACTGTGCATTTCAAAACTCTCCTTGCAGACAACATGTGAATGTAACATCATTTAGGTAACCACTCTTGGTTTTTTTGCCTTGTGCTTGGTGCACTTTGCCTAGGACATCACCCCTCCTGCACATTGCATTATCATTAGCTAGCAGCGCAGATATCATATCTATACAACTTACTTGATATCACATAACACTTTCATAGTGATGATGAACAGCACATGATCAAGGTCATCAGATTGATTGAACAGTACAGGGAGTGTCTTGCATATCTGCATCAACATCTCATTTGAAGATATTAACCCATGAGAGTCTTTGGCCTCACTGTCAATGTAGTCCAACAGGATCTCGTAACACTGATAAAATCAGTAAATAAAAACAGCACATAGAGTAAAAGCAACTGACAGAGGTCACCACTAAGGACAGGGCCTCCATGGGCAGGTGTGTTGCATGCCTAAAGGACATGGGATCCAGATCAGCAAGGGACACATGACAGCTTGGTATGTAGTTAATCCGGAAGATCACATGATAGACCATCTCTTTTGTGATCTGGTGGTTGAGGAACCACACCAAACCATTATCCTGCATGCCAAGATAAGAGTTTGAGTGATAAAGCCAATTCGGTGTGGGAATCATATTTCAGCTGGCCAAGCTGCTGAGTGGAGAGCAGTATGTTCAGCCCATGGGATTCTGACTTGGCTCAGTGCTCAGAGAGTAGAAATTATCATCAAAAGGGACTGTCATTCAGGCTGGTACTGATACTAGTGAAAGGAATACATGCTTAAGTAAGCAGCAAAAATGCAAACATAAGCTAAAGAAAGTGAGGGTAGGTAAAGGTAAGTAAAGTAAGTAAATCTAAGCCCAAGGAAAACTTGACTGTCACATCGGAACACTTACAGCGAGCGGTAAACAATTTGATTGTGGGCACATTAGCTTCAGTGTGATGGAAATGACCTTATGATGTAGTGCAACCCCAAAGATATGCTTGAGGTCAAAGCCAGCGCAATTGGTCATCATCAAATCATCTGCATGATGCGTGTTCTCATACATCCAAAGACTGAACCAAGGATCACCCTGTTCTGGGATGAGTCAGGTAGGAGAAAACCAGGATAATACAAACCAGAGCTAGGATTTCCGCTTCAGACATGATATTTTCATCTGGTATAGTGAGTACTACGCGAGAAATTAGCATGCTTGTAAGGATTCAGAAGCATTGAGCTACCCACTCATTTCTAAGTCTGTTGGCTGCAAATTACAACAAACAAGAGTTTTGGGCCAGATGGATTCTATCAGTGCCTTTTGCTCAGAAGCATATTCGGCCATGACAAGTAGAAAAAGACTGGAGGTCTCTCCACAGCACACGGCAACTTGTGTCATGCACTGAAGGGTGCCAAGAGCCCTTGCCCACTTGGGGTACATAGAGGCAATATATTGCAACATAACTTTCTTGGGTTTCTTGATACTGGTTGTTTTTCTGGTGGGATTGGACGCATCAGTACTAGTGTCACCTCCATATACCCAATATGCAGAGGTGCCCATATAGGAACTCTCCAGGATGGAAGAGCTGAGGATTGAGCCAGGCCCAACTAGACCAGACTCTGGTGAAGAGGGGACAGCATGACTGTATGCATGAGATGTGGTCACAATAGGGTTGTAACGGAGACGATTATGTGTGGGAATTCACACAGAGGATTCTGAATGAGGTGCCAAGTTCAGTGGGATCAAAGCCATCTGTGTCAGATCAAATGTATTGTCCAACATCGGCATGAAAGGTGGGAAGTTGAGACAAGGTAGTTCCACATATAGAAGAGGATCATATCCTGCAGGATAAAGTGTGGGATGGATGGTGCTGCCATCTACCTATGATGCTGTCAGGTGAGATAAGAAAAAAAATTGAGACACTTACACAGCTGTAGATGTTGTAATGATTGCCATTGTAACCCAGCCTTCGGCCTACATAGGGAATATTGAATGCATGGAGTGAAGAATCCAGCTGCAGAACTTATCAGCTGAAAGACGGTGGTGTTGTCAAAATTGAACTTACCACATAGATGGGCACTTCCAAATCTGGCCCTTGCTCATAGGCCGCATTGTGCAGCAACCCAGTCCACAAATAAGCTGACAATAAAATCTGCGATCTCAACTAGAGTGGCAATCAGTGTGTATAGTGCCCCAAAATAAACACCTACCATAGTAAGGCCTGCCTGTAATGACTGCGCTAATGTTGAGAGACAACAAAAAATCTCAGGGCATGCAAATACATACATAGAGAGGATAAAGAGCTGCTGGTGCCCCTACAGAAACATACCCTACAAAATCTAAAACATTCAATGTCTCGGGGCAATTTTTAAGGACAAACTGTTTGAATAAGTGAATGAGTGAGTCTTATAGATATTGAAGTGAACAGCATAACTTACTGAGAAAGTGAACAATGCCTCCTCTCAAAAGAGAATGGAGTTGAAGAAGAGCGCATTGTTGTCTGAATTGAAGAGGAAAAGCATCAATATCTAGGTAGTGTCCAGAATGGAAGGATGGGTTTTTTATAGTCACCCATTTGGGAGAAATTATGCAAGTGCCATTGCAATGCCGTCTTGCTATTACATGTACATGAGTGTGATATGGGGCATCATGGTGAAGTGCATAAGGTAGTGTGCAGAAAATAAACAGTGCCATTGCAGGGCCATCGACTTGGATGCTAAAATGCTTAAATGTATTACATGCCATTGCACGCCGCTAATTTTCGTAATCTAAATCTACATCACTATCATACATCTCACCAAATTGTTCTAACAATGACTCAGTGCTAGCACCAAATCACTCCTCAATGACATCAATAACTTCCACCATCACATTGCAGTGCAACATCCTGGGGTTTATAACGTCTTGGGCCCTGCAAACATCATATGTAGTATAGTTGAACCTGGTGATGTTGTGGTGATACATCCAATCATCCTAAAGTATGACTGTATTGATGTCGTTACCTTCTCCTGCTCCTTGACCAGCGCAGGTTCTTTTGAGCAGATGATCCTTGAGCTTCACAACAAAATTCTGCAGGAGTGTGTTAGAGTCATTTGCGCATGATCATCAAACTTACTTTAATTGCCAGATCACCTTCATGGCTAATTAGATATGATCCTATGTGAACAGGGCACTTTTGCGGTGCACCAATGTAATGGTGGACATGTGGGCTTCTGGCTGATTCAGCAATTTTGAGGTGGGGATGATGAGATATTTTGTCACTGATACGACAAATACGAGTCTGACACCTTTCAATCTGGGTTAACTGTTTGACAAATGATTTGCGGTCTGTCCAGCGATATCTGGACTTGGGAGAATGGTGCTTGAGTTCACCCTGCAGTGCTCAGTGAGTTACATATGCTGAGTTAAATTTAAAGGACTTACAGGTTCAGAGCTGTATGAATCCGTTGTTCCATATCTATGAATTGTAGACACATAATCACCCAAAGCATGAAACTTATATGTTTGGAAGTTAAATGTCTTTGTGCACTGGGCATTTTTGTGTGATGTCTCCAACACTACCACCTCCCCTTGTTCTACTACGCTAGATATATGCTTGCCCCTCTGTCCTCCCGCTTGTTTTGCTGCTTGTTTTGCATTGCATCAGGCACAAGCCTGGACCTCCTGGCCAAGTTTGCGAGTTATGTAAACTGAGTAGACCGTTGCTTTGAAGTTGCAGAATTGTTGGCCGACTACTGAAGTGACCTTATCCATGATATCTAGTGTCCATTCAGAATGTATTTGGAGCTTGGCAAGTCCATGCCAATGGACCATTGTAAATAACAACTGCAGAATGGACAAATTGTGCGGTTCAGGCAGAAGACCATTGAAGACAGGGATGGAGCACTTAAGCTTGTGTCAATGTCTCATTTGACTTCAATGGAAGTGAGGTCATACCTGAAGCAGATCTTCAAAGTTTCAAGCTGCCATACACTTCATCCCCAAAGAATTGGCTGAAAATCTGCAGATAGTAGCTGTCCCAAATGTAGGAATTTGCCTATATCTGGCGCTGAGGAAGTCAGTTGGATACCAGATGTGTGATTATGCAACATACCTTCAGTCCAGCTCATGGATAAGAGCCTTGTCCTGCGCTGCAATGATTTGTAATAAATGAATAAAAAGCATCTTCCAGACACCGATCTCGAACTCATGCAAAAGATCTACTACAAGAGTGCAAAAAAATATTGAAACCCAGAGAACCAAGGCAATCTGAGAATGCATTCTATAGAATGGTTAGCTGTTGTCAGTGATGGAAGTTCAAACTTTACCGAGGTGGGAACCCAGGACTGCAACTTGAGAATTTGCTCCACTGGTGCACTCCCAACCACAAAGTTCTTTTTATAGATCAGTGACCATGCAGTACTTACCACAGTTCTTCATTTAGCATTGCTGCATGCCAAGGTTTCATGCTGTATCCTATCCTGAGGCTTTCCCATATTTTGGAGGCGCTCTTTAGGTATCAAGCAACGTGGACATGGACAGCCTCTGAGATTGTGGACTGTAGCTATGAGAACTCTGGTAAAATTTAAATCAAAAATATTCACAGTAAGATAGAAGTTCACTGTACTTCTCAGGATAATCTGCCAAGTACATAAAGATTCTGGGATAGAATCTTCATGTGATACCATTGCAGCAAAGGATCACAATTCCATGCTCATATGCCTCCAGGAATTCATCATCCAGCAAGATGTTCCACTGCTCATGAAAGAATTCCCTGTGGCAATGGGTCAAACACTCATTGACCATGCCTTTCTGGCCTGCAAAATCCTTGAATGAGTCTGGTAGCTGAAAGTAAAAGTTAATATCTCATACAACCAGACATCAGGGAGGTGTACCATCTTGAAGTATGCAACATGGTTGCTCAAGTTACATGATGGCTTGCAGCGACAGTACTTGGACTTGTTGCCAAAGTACATGTATGTTGGCCATAACTTGGCATTGCCAAATGAAGTTAATTGCATGGCATCAGACCAGAACATCATGCCAGCAACAACTTGGGGAAGATTGCAGTCAGGCTCGCCAGGCAGCTTTTGCAGTTCCATGTGAGCTTCATGGAAAGCCTGGGATGTGTACAGATCTCTGTATATGGAGATCTCGACATCAAGGTGGGAAGGATGCCATTGTAGCTGGTATGGTTTGTAATGAAACAGCTTGCTGTCTCATGCATTGGCCAATTTTTCTCTAAAGACAGCCACAAGGGAGCAATGATACAGATCAGCACCTTGATAAAGGCAAGGGCCCAGTGTTTCAGTGGTATGGGAAAAAGGGACATGGATTGACACTGGTGTTCTTTTCCAACTGGCATCTTCATCTTCCCACTCTTCCCCATCTTCATCATAGTTGTTGGAACCCAATTGAGAGTTAATTTTCTTCCAATGTGTAGAGCTCACGGAATTAACATCAAAGCCACTACTACCCAAGATGTCTACTAATTTCATGTAGTTGCCTTGCGACTTTTGCACCCCTTGGTTCCAGTACCAATCCCCAAGTTGGAATGAGGAATGGTTGGGATAGGGATGGTACAATGAATTGTTACCTGGAGTAACAGATAAGTCTGGTTCTTCATTAACACAAGAGTTGCCAGGAATGAATGACAAATCTGCAATAGTGACATATTGTTCCAGATCATGGGAGGGCAGTGTAGAAGAACAGTATTGATGTACTAACCTGAAGATATTTGAGGGAGTGTGAAATATAGATGACGATGATAAGGGCAGGGATTCTTTGGAAGAGGAAGAGACAGCTTGGCCATGACAGGCAGATGCTGGAGGAAGGTTGTCCGAAGGCGCAGTAGGTGGAGGGAGCAGAAGTATGTCCCTAAATCACTTTGGCAACTGGCAATTCAGATGTCTCAGTCTGTGCTCTGCTAAACTAAGGGCATCTCCTTGGTCATTTTCCCCTACTGTTTCCTCAATTGCTTCTGCAGGAGCTGAGGATGGGTTGAGCAATGATGCAACAATAACCTCAGGTCCTATGAAGGAGTGGGTATTGTGCAAAATGTGGTTAGTGGGCGAATTGGACAATTGATGAGGCAATCCAATGACCCCCACAGGCTCAGCATCATTGCTTGAAGTGCGGGGCTTTTTCCTGTGAGTGATAAATTCCTTGAAGGAAGATATAGCTGACAAAAGATGCTTTTTTGTGTGAGTGCATGACCATTGGTGTAGGCTCAAGTAATTCTGAGTGGTGAATGTGCGCTTGCACATGCAGGTATAAGTGGATGTGGGCATGAAGGTATAATTGAGTCTAGAAAGTCTGTCGCCAGAGTACTCTAGGATGAAAAATGAAGTGATGGCAGATGACGCTGGGAATGGCACTGGAATGGCAGTGCAAATGGCTCCATATGGTGGAACGACCTGTAAAACCTGCATGGCCATATAAACTCTGGAACTACGGGTTAGTTATTGTCAATTTTTATATCATCAAATGTCCGAACCATGTTCTCCATATTCTGAGTGTTTGATGTTGTTGACTGAATTTGAATCAGTGGCTGACCCCAACATCATGAAGATGCTGGTGATGATCCTTACTTGTCATCATGGTATACTCCATTATCATGCACAAACTGGAGAACTGACAACATTTCAATGGTAAGTTTTCTGCCTTGATGGCAAGATGGTCTTTACTCATGTGCAACTGCTAGGCTGACTGACTGTTATGGGCAGAAAATTCATCCTTCAAAATTTGAGGCTTATCACATGGCACATGTGTTCTGCTACCCATGTTGCCTTTGCGCAATGGGCAGCAGGTATGTGGAGGTTTCTGTATCTCGGTGTACTGAAGGGATATGCAAGGGGGAATTCGTAGCTGAATGCACAACCAGTAGTTGCAGGTACATGCATAAGTGGGCTCTCCTTTGTGCATCAACAAGTTGATGATCATCTTAAAATTAGTCAATATCGAAAAGTTTTTCAGGAGAATCTGCATACCTGCAGTGTATTATCCTCACAGAGGTAAGTGTCCAAACTTCTTGATGAATACACATGTCCATCACTGTTCAGATATCTCTGACTGTCCCATATGATACTGCCACATGCTTAGGAACCCATATGGCTTGGTGGGATGTGCAGTCATGTTGAGCCAAACATGGTAGTGGGATACAGGCTGTTAGACCGACTGTATGACACCTGCACAGCTCATGTATTAGCATGTTGTCTCAACCAGAGAAAGTACATTAATTTACATTTACACTGTTTTGAATGGCAGTGCCAAGGGTAGGAGCTCATCATCATCAACAATACAATGTACACAACTGAACTAGCTTCAATATGACGTCAGAGATGAGTGAATTGTGTTAGGTTGATATAATAATCTCACCATCACATTATGCATGAGAATAACTTTGCATATGTTCATCATTTTACTTCTGTAATGTATCCTTTAAGTGACATTAGCTCTTGGTGATGACTTCACAGTCAAAAACTAAGTAACCTTGGTGTCTATTTGTAGAGACATTTTGCAGGAGTCTGGCGTATAGACAGCACGACTGCATCATTTTATTGAAATAATTATGTAATTATGTACAAGTATTGTAACATCATATGTAGTTGTAAGGGCAAGGCAGATGAGGGAAGAGAGAAAGGTGTGCAGGTCGAAGTGCTGGGGTTTATATAGTGAATGGTTTGATAGAATCAAAGTCAGCCGGCAGTACCCAAAGTGTGGTGACATGGACTGTTGGACAATGAAAATACTATTCTGTCCACATATGAACTCAGCCGGCATTACCCGAAACCACTGATGACACACAGTACAATCAGTCCACAAATGCCAGTGAGTGATGGTCTGCTGTGAGTCACTCCTGATGCCATCAGCCACTGTTCCCTCTGCAAATGACCTAGATGGTGATGATGCAAATCATAGTACTTAGATTCACTGTATTCTTCTTGCATTATACCTATGCACTGTCATTTGTCGAACACTATGCCAACGGCTTACTCCTGTACAAAAGCACATATGCAGATGCATCCTCCCCTCCTCCATCAATCATTCCCAGCTTCTCCCTGGGAAACACCAATACCTTGCCATCATCCTTGTCAAATGTAAGTCCATCACCCAACTTTGCATGGAATACACTCTTCTTCATGAAACTGATATAGTGCCCTGCATCAGCATCTGCTCCCTTGTGCATAATGATGGCTGTCCACAATTCAGTTTGCCCCCCAAAGCCAAGGAACAATGACACCCACCAACAAGATCATACAGCCCAGTCATGCTGCACCCATAATCACTCTTCAGGTTGGCATCAGCCAATGCCTCCAGCTCCTGCAACTCCCACACATGATACATGCTCTCCTCCTCCAGGTCCCCTGGTACTTCACTCAGTGCCATCTCAACATCCGTATTCTCCTCTGCAGGTTTAGATGATGATAATGCCTCCTGCACCACCTTCATCCACTTACGCACCTTCCATTGCTCAGCATGCTCTTTCTCAATGGACTTTAGTCGGCTGAACACCAGTGTGAGCTTTGATTTCAGCTCATTGGTCACTACTTCCAGCGCATCAAACTCTGACACAAATTTCACTTTGCACTTGGGGATCATGAGATGTGAAGCAGAACTGGAAACAATTTATACTTACCATGATCTTGGCCTTCTTTCCGATATTGCATCTCCATGCAAAATGAACCATGTGCACTGTCAGGTAACTCGGTAGGCACGAGAGATGCGATGTCTACTCTACCTATGGCCAAAACAGTTGGAATCGCATAAAATATTGTTTAGACATATATGTTATCCCATAATATTGTATAATCTTCAATGACATCATCATCTGCGCATCACATCATTGAAATTAGGTGCTGGCCCTGCCAACATTCACCTTGCTCCTTGCCTCAAGTTTTTTCTTTCTCCACAACTATTTTATTGCAAACATACTTGATTCTGATTTACTCTGTCAATGTGTGGGCCATTTTGGCAGTTAGGGCAACTCTTTACACCTCATTCGCACTCCATGAGACATTTGAACTCTTCATTCTTTGGACGTGTTGGCAATCGCATTATAGTGCACCTTTTTGGCTTGCAGCCCTTCATGCAATTCCTCAGGATTGGTGCATTTATAGTTGGATTTGTGGTGGTGAGGTCCACATCGGGAAAACATCGAGTTCCTTAGTGAAATGTATTCTAAGGAGCAAAGTCATTACAAGGTGGTTAAGGCATATGTATTTGCGAAAGTAAAATAAGTAAAATAAGGCACCTGTTGAGTACCAAAAAAAATATATGTTATTTACTATGTTAGTGTTTTCTCAAGTAAGCACTGATAGACATGTGACATGCTGACAACAACACCATCAGGAAAATGTGCTAAGGCTATATAGACAACCATAGTGCTATATACTGCTATACAGATCTCATAGCATTATAGCTCATATAGCCAAGTGCCCAATTGTGCAGGCTTACTACACCAGTATATAGTGCTATATAGTGTTATGCAGAGCAATGTAACTATATACTACTATGATATTTATCTAATGTTCAGCAAATTTCAAGCTATACCTGACTATACCTGACTATACAATGTCTATATCTTGGTATAGTTGTTGAAATGTTTGTCTATCATATGCTTTATAGCTTTATACAGAGGCATATATTCATATTGCATGAGATATAGAAAGCATGCATTCATATACTATTATAGGGTTAGGGACATCAGAAGTAGTACTAGGAGCATTGGTGTCTACTCTAGCAGATGCCTCCATAGCATCAAAATCCAATTCAGAACCTGAATCAGCATCCTCTCTAGTTACAAAGCGACATGCCTCTCTAGGGTTGCAACCATTAGCAAATAAAATAGATAAATATTAACAATGAAAAAGATCTTACCCAACCTCAGTCCACAGATCATGCCTTAATTTTTCCATATACAAGGGAGATTTCTGGCAATATTCAGCAAGCTTCAGCATATAGTACTGGTGTCTAAAGAAAATTAACATTAGATGATGTTAAACTATAATAATGAAGAGCCACTCACCTTGGTTGAAAGACTGGCTCTTTAAATTCTATGATAACAGGAGATCCTGTGAGCATACCCTTGAATCCACATTCAGCCTGAAAAAAAATTAGCGATAGCTAAATGGAAAAAAGGGCTTAATTACAGCTGTAGCAATCAGTGCAATAAGATTATCAGGGAGTTTTTCAAACTCGTCTTTGTACAGCAGACCCTTGAAAAAATTGACTGATGAGCAGCTGATGCAAGATTGCAGCACAAAATGGGAGATTCTTATTGAAGGTCTTGTTCTAAACCATGCTTTAGTTATTTAATCTCCTAGACATAGGAGACATACCTTGAGATCCAGTTCACTGCACAGAAAAGGATCCTTTTTAGCAGAGACTAGCCAGGAAGCTATGTCCACTATCTTGGAATCAGTAGTATTTTGTTTAAAAAAACAAGTGATGCACCAATATCCCTAGGTTTCATTTGCTGCAATAGAAAAATCACATTCTCTCTTGCCTTTCTAACCAGCCCCCCTTTCAACTGACTAGCACTGGACCACACCTTAAAAAAGTAAGCATGGAGCGCATCAAAAACCTAAACACTCACATAAGCCAGTGCTCTATTCTTAAGAACAGGATCTTGACTTATTGCATCAAACATTGGCTTCAGGGGAGAGTCTGGAATCTTGACCACTTCCTTGATGCAGTCCCATGCAAAGGAGTCCTGCACATCCACTGAAGGCCCTGGAAAGGCGCTCACCAATGCAATCTTGATGTGGAGTAGCTGGTGAGCAAGATCGACTAAGGGTCCACAGCCGTCCTTCTTCAAGGAAGCCAAAGTGGTAGGTAGTTTTGCTTCACCATTATGAACTCTTTTCCTATGAACATGTTCTCCATTATCTTCCTGAGGCTCCTCCTTGACCTGAATAAGCTACATATACAAAGTCAGCATTGAAGTCTACTGAATAATAATTACACACCCCATTCGTTCTCCTTGTAACACCTGTGCCCTCCACAGATACATCTTCATCACCATCATTGCTGCCCTCATCACCACTGCCCTCATTTCCCCTACCTTCATCACTAGAATCTAATATATGATGAGTGTATAATGTAGATGTTTTAAATAGAGAAATGATGCCATACCAGAACTAGGTGTAGATACCTTCTCTTTAGGAGGAAGAACTGGTGGTAAAATGTCTGCAGGATCAGCATTATCTATATGTTCCATGTCACTGTCATCTGGAACCACAGTTGTTGTACACAACACTATTGCAACAATTAGCTGTGTTATAGATGTTAAAGCAAAGACTTGCCTCTTTTATGCTTATTGTCTTTGCTGGTGCTGGTACATGCCTGGTCCAAGTCACTCTCTTCATCTAACATATTGTCAGCTTTCTTCCGGACATCTAATATAGTTAGCATATTTCCAGTCTCATTGAGCTTCTGCATCACATACTTTCTTTACACTTTAAATCAGCTTCCTTTTTCTTCTGTGCTTGATACTTGAGGAATTCTTCGTATTGGTCTTCTGATACCTGCACTTTGGACTTAGTTGGTTTCCTTTGTGCTCTGGTCTTGGCAATAGAGGGTGCTGGTGCAAGTGAACTTGTTCCCTTCCCTTTAGGCTTGCTGGGCTTGTGAGACATTTTATATAGAAGTGAGATTTGAACAATGAGTAATGGCATGAATGGGAAGGTTGAAAGGATGGAAGCGAATTCAAGCTGACTTAAAAATGGTAAACAAAACTTTATAATTATGCGACCAAACATATAAGCCATGGCACAATAAAGAATTCTACATTTTGCACACATATCATACAAAAGAATGCATGGTCTGGTTATCTACCCAGCCATTTTGATTTTTAAGCCAAGTTGCAAACTCCCTGTCAGTCTGAAAGACAAGAGACGCCCTTGCACCCTTATAGTCAAGGTTGAAATGGGTTACCTCACTGGACCTAAAGAGCGCAACATCACCAGAAGCACAACTCCAGGATAAGCCCATTCTCTAGCAGGCACAAAGCGCCTCCTTGGAAGTGTCCAATAGGTATGACAAGACAGAAATGGCAATCCTGTCCATCACAATGGGCTTTGGTCCTCACATTGATGTTAATGACCAAAGATATAAATGGCACGAAAGGTGGACAGTGATTGCCAAGCAAGATTGATGCAACCTCCATCAGCATCTCAAACTTGTCTTGCAAAAAATTCTCCATCTGCCAATGGTCAACATAAATCTGTGAGTGTGAACAATTCTTTACAATTACATACCAATTTTCTTACCCACTCAAAGAGCTCTGCATATACATGTGAGATTGTAGAGTAGATGCATTGGTGTTCATGCAGATCCTTTGATATGTACGGAATCACCTGCTGGTGGTTAGTACGCATGCCTTCTTTTTCTAGAAGCCACAGTTGAACCTCCTTTGGGGCCTCATTACCCTGGTGCATCAATAATATTTAGTGGATTTAGTGACATTAGAATGTAGAAATGAAACAGCTTACCGAGGTACAATGCCTATTATACCAAGACAAGTGCATCACCTGAAAGTGTTGACACCCTGGCAATTGTGTGTCTACCTCTTCCAGCAACTCAGGCCTTTCCAATGCAGACAGGAGATTTACCTCAAGCACAGAATGGATGTGGTTCAGTAGTGCCATTGACACAAATGCCATCAGCAAACCATCTTTGCAATGCAGGTCCAAGTGATGACTGAGAAGTGTCAGTGTCATCTTAACAGTAACAAAATCAGGAGCTGCACTACACACTTGGGTATAATCTCCATAGGGATCCTTAAGTATGTGTCTGGTGATCTCTTAACACCGTTGTGATACAAATTCGCAAGCTATATAAGCGGGATCATGAACTAAATTGAATTAGTACTAGCTGAAACATACACATACCTTTGCCCGCAAACCATCAATACTTCTTATCCTCTCACCCTGCTCAGCTCGCAACCTTTCATCAGCACTCCAGATATCATTGGCTGCCTTGTTTCTTGGTGCCTTGAAGCTCTTGTTGCCCAATGCAAGCGGATCATACGAGGTCTTGATGACAATATGCTCCGTCTCATCTTCTTCAACATCAGAAAGTGGAGGGCTATAAGCATGACTGGAACTGTAGAATATGTTGTGATTCAAGCTCTGTACTGGAACTCTGTTAGATTTGTCTGGTACAGGCACAATGCATGGCCTCCAAACATGTGCATTTCTTGCAAGTGGTACAAATGAGCTGACCAATAACAATGTCAGTCAATACATAGCACATCCAAGTATGAAATACTCACTTTTGTATGATGGTGTCAAAGAACCGATCAGATGCTGAGAGGTCTGTGCAGTCAACTGATTTGGATACAACAAATCTTTGAATCAGCGCAAGAGGGAACATCAAGGCCATGCTAAGAGGGTACACAAGATGCATGCATGCAATAGTCAGAACAATGTATCTTATAATGAGATCTCTTTGGAGAGAATCTATGTTTTGGTGAATATGTCACTTTCACATCCCAAAACATCAGAAGAACAACTTACCTTTAGGAGGCGATCACAGGAAGTTAGCTATATTCAAGTGCATAGTGCCTACCATGGAAGCAACAGAGACCCTGAGCCCTAAGCCGGCGATGAGCACCAGTATGTAAATGGAACTGCCACTGGTGAGAGCAATAAATTTGCTGCCAATAGCATGCCAATCTGCAAATGTTCAATAAGAGATCTTTCCTGCAGAACCATAAAGCTTGATTTCCTGGTCATATATTGCTTTCAAGCGAAGACCAGTCTTGAGGCATATGCTGCAAAAGATTGTATTTTAAATACATTAGAGCAGAATGAGAATACACACCTTTGGCACTTGCAGACCAGCATCATATAGTTCATCATGATGAGGAAGTTGGCATGAACATCCTTACTTATGATTCCTCAACATCAGACTACAACTGAAATCAGTGACTCATCCTCCATGCATGGAGTCTGTACATGATTGGCAATATCCTGCAGCCAGCTCAGGGGACTGTGGATGGTTGAGTTGCAGTGAGCAGATGCAAGTTCTGCAATGATCATAGCAGCTTCATCACTACATGTGATCTTGGGGTCATTGTAGTGATGGTGACACCATGAACCTTGCCTGGTATTTGCTCTCACCACATTGCCTACATCACCTTCCTCCATCTCTGCCTCATCCTCCATTTCCTCCATAGCCTCCTCCTCCTCCTCCACCACCACCACCACCTGCTGCTGCTGCTGCTGCTGCTCCTCCCCATCATCAAGGCACAGAGGGTCCTGACCAGGTGCAGCAGCATGCCGCAATCATAACTGCAACCTCCTAGCACCACAATTACAATCATCATCAGCACCACAATTACAATTGTCGTTTCCACCAGGCTCAGGTGGCTTGCCTGGCAGTCCATTGCATGTGTGTTGTAGAAAGATGAGCTCATTTAGTAGGATGGGATGAATCAGAATAACCAGAGTCCTCGGTGTGTGATTGTGTTCTGTGATGGACAGCAGGTAACTCAGACAGAATGTCACCAACAGTTGTTGAGGATGATGAATCAAGCGGCAGATGCGTAACAGGAGGAATGGGAATTGAGTCGTGATGATCATAGGTATGCATGAGGGGGAATGAGTATTAGATGAGGAATACTGAATATGAGCTTGATCAGTCAAATATTGATACAAGTCATGCAAAGCGGGTGGGAGCTGTCCACTGTCTCCTAATATCTGTAGCAGACGATCTACTGCGTCAGGGGAGAGAACAATTGGCATGTTAAATCTGAATGGAGGGGACATGACTTATTGGAACAAGAAGGCACTGGTTTGGGCAAGAAGGATGGATAAATAATTAAGTTAGTTACAAATTCTTGCCCCTAGCTTAGGGTTCAAATTGCGAGTTGGTTGCAATCAGAGAGCTCTCCACCAATCAGCACTCATCACATTGCACTTGGCAATGACAAAGTTTAACTACCAGTCCATGTCCTCCTTCTCAATGTGACTGCCCACAGAACATACCTTTTAGTGACCCCAAGTCTCAATGAAGCACAATGTGGGGAGACTTTACATTGAGTCATCCAATGTCCCACTTCTAGGCCAACTCTCCCTCATACCAGTGTCTCCAACCAGTGTGTCTGACCACACACATATCACTAATACATATCTCCCCTGCTTCCTGCTACTCTTCTCCTCACACGTCGAAAAGCAGCAACCTGGCTCACACCCCCCAGTTCTTCATCCTGGCCCCACTCATCTTTCTCCTATGCACGGCCAATTCAATTGTCCACTCCCATGCCTGTGCAACACCCTCACACCACTCCCAAAACTCCTTGATTGTCCAATTTTCTGGGGAGCTGTTCGACACTGAGGGAGGAGTAGAGTCGCATTGTTAGATACACCAGGGTCAAGAAGGGGAAGACATGATGCAGGCTGTCAGAGAACTGCGACAAGTGCATGAGACTTCAATTGTGAATGTGAGTGCATGAAGATGAGATATCGAGGCCTGTGATGTGTGTGGGGTGGAGGGCATTAAACCTGTATGATGGGGTCATGACAAGAAGGAGATGGGGGTGGTACTGTGTGGTGGAGGGTGTGTGGGGTGGAGGGTGTTAAACAAAGGAGATGGGGTGGTACAGAGAACTGTGCATGGATGAAAGTGTGTGAGATGAGATATTGAGGCCTGTGATGTGTGTGGGGTGGAGGGCATGTGGGGTGGCCTGCGATGCATGTGGGGTGGAGGGCATTAAACCTGTATGATGGGGTTGTGACAAGAAGGAGACAGGGGTCAGGAAGGGGAAGACATGATGCAGGTATGTCCATAAGGATGACGTTGACACCCCATCATACAGCCTGCGCAAAATTGAGACTAGAGATGTTAGTTCAGAGAAAGCAAAGAACAAAAATTACTTTTGGACAGCCATGGTCAAAGATGTAAACACCATTGAAAACACCTCCACATCATCCTTGAGCAAAGCCAAAAGGCCCAGCAAAATATGAGTAGGTAGACAATAGACAATAGAAGAATTTTGTCCAAGTCTTTTGTTGATGTGTTGTTTGTATCAGTCACATGACCACCAAGTTTGACCATTGGTCCATGACTTTCCATGCAGATGCTTCCTTAACATTTTTTCAACTTATCTGAACTTGCTACCTCAGAGCGTTTACTTTAACAATTGGTGTGACTTCACAACATTCCACAGTACATTTTCATGCATGCCTCTATGAATACCAAGAAGCTGATCTTGAGAACATGTACATACAGTAACTTAATCCAACAATTTCCACCCAAACAATACCCCTAGTCTAGGGTTATGATTGTGAGTTCACTGCAATCAGAGGGCTCTCCACCAATCATACTCATTCCTGCTCCACACATCACAACTTTTTGCAGTGGACATAAATAAGGGCAGACAGATGACTGTAGCCCATTGATGGCAGTGGTCTGGAGCTAGTTCAGAGAAAATATCAAGGTAAGTCAGTGCTTCTATTGTAATCCCTTGTATTGACCTTGTCTTTGATTTCTTTCATCAATAACCTTGGGTCTCCACTGCCAACCCTTATCCACATGACCTCCACTTGCCACCAACTGTCTTTTCTTTTTCCATTCCTATACCAACCACTTCAACAATGGCTACACCAGACTTTATTCATATGGAACACCAAAGTTATAACACTGTGAGAGACTTTCCTCTCTATATGGCACAATGGCTGACCTGTTTATTTTTGGAGGTTCAATCCTGTGGTCTTGTTGCTAAGACCAACAAGGGATATCAAAGAGCAGTAGTTGAACAAGCTTGCAATCTCAGGGCATTTCTAGAGCCCTCGCAGCACCCACAGCCCTTGCAACACCTTCAGGCCTCTACATCCTCTCAACTCTCGCAGCCCTTGAATTCCTCTTGCACCTCTGAAGGATTTGTTGCAACACAAATGGAAGACAACAAGGCCATTGCATGTGATGTCATCAACTGGCTCTGTCATGATGATGTTATTTTCCAACACATCAAAAATCTAGGTGATCCTACCAAGCTCTGGAGTGTGAAGGGTGTTCTGCAGAGGTTTAAAGAAAAGGGGTATTTGAATGATCAAGGTGCAAGATTTGATGCTTTGATGCTTGTCTATTCTCATCTATTAGCTAGGCTGGACAGATAAAATAGATTGTCCTGACTTGAAAGCACCTCACTTTAATCACCAACACAGTGGTGGATCCAGCACAGAAGATCTTATGACCAAATTTATGAATTGTTCAGTCACAGAGGCGCTTTTGCTAGCAGGCAATTCAAAGATTAAGCGGATTTGGAGTTTGGAATATTGTCAGAAACCTCTTCCTGGGTCTGCTGAAGAACGCAAACTGGATATCATATTATTGTTGAGCGACCCTCTTGTTCAGGACTGGCATTGTGTCTTCATGCTAGCTGAGATGAAGCAGCATGGTGTTGATGTGGATAAACTGGAGTGGTTTGATGAGATGGCAAAGTGAGCTAACACGGTCTGGGGTTGTCAGTATGCTCGCAACATTGTCATCATCTTGATGTTCATGGGTGAAGCATTTACATTTGCATTTTTCAATCATGGAGGCACTGTTTGCCTTGATATGCTAAACATCATGGACGATACGGAGGAATTCCTTCAGCTTGTTTTATACTTATCCCTGGCTGATCCTGGTATGTCTTTCAATCATGCTCATACAGTCATTAGCTCACAATGTTATGCAATAGGTATGGTGGGTCTGGAGACATCCATCATGCAGAACAAAGCTGGGCGATTTATATGATCAAGAGTTTTCGGTCCCGAGGTGCCAATCAATATGGTACTGTTCATCAGCAATAATATTCACGGACATGGCACCATGGCCCATCATGTCACACTGTCACATGAGCACATTGCAGCAGGCATTGCAATTGGGTGGGTCTTGAGGTGCCATGGAGAAATGGCTTAAGGGAATGAAGAAGGAGGTGGATGTGGTGAAAGATACCTGGGTTGATCTCACCACACCACACACAGAAGGGATGATTCTCAACTACCTTTGGCTGAAAGGCATCCATGGTGTTATGTGTTTGCTCTTTGAGGGACTTGTTGTTGGCCCTGCTTCACCACCTCCACTCTTTCAACTTCACAATCATCTGGGAATCGGTTCACTAAAGGATATCAGTGCCATATCTCAGACTGGCAACATCAATGTCTGGAGCAGCACTGTCTACAACCAGTCTTTTTGGGGTGTTCTGACACTGGCCTTGGCACACAAGAGCATGGCTAGGAGCTATCAACAAATATGATCGCAGCCATCCTGTGCCTGAAGGCATCACCATACCAAAGCTGGAACCTGTGACTCATGAAGTTTACCAGGAGCAGATGCTCACCCGATCTTGGTTATATCCATTTTGTGCACTGATATATGAGTTCAGCTGTGTCTATGAGGCATTAGTTGCCATTGCAGATTGCATCCGATGTAAGATTTAATCTGTTTTTAGTTTGAGTTTGTAAACTGAATACAATCACAGCCCATGGCCAGGCATTTTCGCCCTACATCATCTCCAAGGGTGGCAATGAGACCAACGAATTATTTCCCATCTCCTTTATGCAAGCTGACACATCCATGTGGAACATGGGACTTGTTTGTCCAGTGATGTCAGACTGGGGTTACATTGATCATACCGGAATTGATCCAAGCAATATTCAACATGGCCTGTTGTACAATCATGTGTTTGCCTCCTGGAATATGCAAAGCACATCTATGAGAGGAAGACCCCCATCAAAGATCTTTGCCAAGCATGCTGGCACTGCTTCAACACTGTCCTCCCAAGATGAAGCCCTTCACTTTGATGATTCTCTTGTTCACCATCCTGCACATTCTCCTGCTCATGCTTCAGTTTCTCATACTCTTGCCCCATGCAATTCTGCCTCCCATACTTCTACTGATACTTCTGCCACTTGTACCTCCACTCCCCATACATCTAATCCTTCAGCTTCTTGTGTGCCAGCCACACCCACAAACGTCTCCCTCATCCCACATTCGGATGCACCTTCAACATCAATAATCCCTTCTGCACCCCCAACTTCCATGATTCCTTCTCAACCAGCTTCAACTGCACCTTCACATGGAAGACATGGGACGGGTAAAGGCAAAGGCAAACAAGGAGGACAAAAGGGCACAGATGGGAGAAAAAGTATGCCTGGTGCTGTCAATGCCCCTCCCGATTCCTCTGCTGCTACACGCAAGCGTGGTTTTGATAGCGTTTCTCAAGGCAAGCCAGCTGATGGTCCGTCCAAACAACAAGCTCCCCTTCATCACATACTGAAGGTGAACATCAAGCCCAAGCATGTTGTCCAAAGTCTTCAAGTCGATGTTGCTGGCTACAGCTCTTTGAATATCGATGATGACTTAGAACAATTCAAGGAAAAGGGTGGCATTTATGAGCTGACAGTAAGTATTAATCATTGTCTTTGCCCTCCTGCTCATCGCATCATATGTACAGGGCACTCGAGCTTGGATGGCCATCCAGATGATGTTTGCACAACAACCAGGCCAAGATAACATTTGACATGAAATTGCACATGATCTGGAAGGTTATTATTATGTGCTCCTCACCCTTGCATTCATGTTTGATGCACCATACAGATTGAAGAAAGTTCCACACCCTGATACAGCCAGTGGAGGGGAGATGTGGGTCCATTGTTGGCTTGAGAACACCATAGAGAAGGAGATATGGCATGAAGCTATAGAAAAACAACACTATCTGGCTACTGATGCAGGGTTCGGTATGGTGGATGGAGTGTTGGGTAACGACTGGGCAAATGAGCCTGTCAGGACAATGTTGAAGGAGATGAGGACGATCCTCTTCATTGAAAGTGCACCAAGCCACTCCTGCATGCTCAATGTCATCAACACTGCACTCTTCAAGCTCTGTACTGATCATACATTGGCCTATCTCTGCCAGCCTCAACAGATGACAAACAAGTGGGCCAGGGCGGTTGGTGGTGGCAGATTTGCCAAATGCTCACAGATGCTCCCTGCCTTGCACATGAATTTGTTGTACCACAAGGATCATCAAAATGCCAATCTCAATCTCTTTGCTCACATGCCCTGTCCCCCAGTCCAAGAATGCAAGCTCACACCTGGTAACTCATCACAGTACCTGAAAGGCACCGGTGGAAAGACAGTGGATCACATTAATGTAATGGCTGTGCCCTGTGGTGTTGAAGGAACTTCAGAAGGAATGGGCATCTTAGGTCCATGATTTGCTTGAAGCATGCATGGTCAGACTTTATCAGACTTTATTTTTATGATTTCAAAGGACAACCCATCATATGTACATGTTGTACAGTTTACAAGTCATTTAGCCTTTGCATAAGCTTTTTATCATACGTAACATGCTATACATATTGCAATTGTATTTTTGGCACAACATTTCTTTCATTGCAGTAGATGCTTGCATAGACGCTCCTTCTAAGACTCTTTCTGCATTCTCTTGTTTTTCATCAAATGGTGCACAGCAGGCATGTTCTTGCTGAGGGTTCAACATCTTATAAATGCCCTGCTCCAGGCTGCATTCGCACATTCAGTACTACACAAGGACTGAATTCTCATCTATGCAATGCTGCAAGTTGTAAATGGTATAAGCTAGGGAAGGGAAGAGAGCTGGATAGGGTGGATGATGAAGGTATGGAAGGACTACCAGATGGGATAGCGGATGAGGTGGAAGATGATTTATTTCAGTTGATACCTCTGGGGCCAGATAGTAAGTTGCAATATCGCTTTCTTGTTAAGTGCTTACATTATTTCTAGTTCATGAAATGCACTACAATATCCAGAACATGATGGACATAGACCAGGAGCAGGGAGAGCCAGTAGCCAGTCCATCTGGGCATAGAACTGCTTTAGCAGAGGAGGAAGATGCATGTGTCACAGAGACTCATCCTACTGCTGGGAGGGTCATATGAATGGAGGAGACAGTGCATGCCAAATGGTGGACACAATTTGGATTAGGTGATGGAGAAGAGGTGGAATTAGACTGTTCTGATGATGAAGATGATAATTTATTCTACCCCTTTGCATCACGACTGGACTGGCAGGTAGGGTGTTGGGCTGTGCAAGAGGGAATAGGACACAAAGCATTTGACAGGTTGTTTGCTATACCAGGTGTACATCAACTTATATATTTCCTATCAATATCTTGGCTGATATTTTGCAAATAGGTTAGAGAGTGTTTAGGACTTGCGTATTACAATATCAGAGGACTCCATCAAACCACAGACAGCATCCCTCCTCATGCTAAATTGCAATCAACTTACTTGGCCTTCAATGATACACTGGACTATAAGCATGAACTACACTACTGAAATCCATTGGAAGCCATTCAGACGTTGCCAGGCAATCCTGCTCATGTTCAAGATATTGTCTATAAGCCTTCAAAAATATTTACAGACACTTCTCATTCTACCCACATATATAATGAAATGTGGACAGGGCATTGGTGGCATGCAGTCCAGGTGAGTGAATCCATATTGACTACACTTCTTTAACAACTAATGTATGATTTATAGGACAGACTTCCGGAAGGAGCATCTGTAGCTCCTGTAATTATCGCCACCGACAAAACTCAGCTCACAAGATTTTCTGCATCCAAATCAGCATACCTGGTCTATCTGATGCTGGGCAATATACCCAGAGCAATACATTGCAAATCCAGTCAGCATGCCTGTATTCTAATAGGGTATTTTATCTGTGGATAAAATCCTAAAGGAGGAGCTATCTGCCAGAGAAGTATCTTCCAGGGTACAACGTCTCTTCCATGACTCCATCCAAATTATTTTGGAACTGCTGAAAGATGCAGGAAGAAGAGGAATAGAGGTGGTGGGTGGAGATGGTCTTGTGCACCTGGTCTTTCCCATTCTAGCTTGCTACGTGGTGGATTATCCTGAGCAATGCTTGGTTACCTGTACCAAGTATGGTACTTGTCCCAAGTGTAGGGCTAGAGCAGATGAATTGGCTGAAATACAAAGTTTTGCCAGACACACTCAACCTTGGACCTCAGCCATCATTGACCATGCCAACATCTCCACCAAGACTGACTCTGCCTTTTGTAAACAGTGCATGTCTCAGGATGTAGCTGGAGGCATATTTAAACCATTTTGACTTGATTTCCCTCATTGCGATATTCACTTGGCTATCACATCTGACATACTTCATCAACTCTATCAAGGGATATTCAAGCATATGGTTGAGTGGTGTCAGGAGCTTATGGATGAAGAAGAATTGGATCAAAGACTTAGAACTCTCCCTCCTTGTTATGGTGTCTATCAATTCTACAAGGGCTGGTCTGCTTTGGGTCAAGTCGGTGGAAAAGAGAGAAAACATATGGCTAGGGTGCTATTGGCTTGCTTGATTGGCAAGGTTCCAAGAGGCATCATCCTGTCTTACCAAGCCCTCCTTGATTTCATTTATCTTGCCCAATATCCCACTCATGACGACAACACTCTGGAATATACATATGCAACAGGTCTTACAAGATTTTCACCTTCACAAGGATGTCATCATTAATCTGGGTATCAGAGACCATCTCAACATTCCGAAATTCCATTCCCTGCAACACTACCTGGAAAATATATGAAACTTTGGAACCACTGATAACTATAACACGGAGATGTTTGAAAGGTTTCATATTGACTTTTGTAAAGAGGGGTGGTATGCTTCCAATGGAAGAAATGAAAGGCCTCAAATGATATCTTGGCTAACTAGAAGAGAGAAGGTAGCATCGTTTCAAAGCTATCTCAAGATGTCTATGGAGGATGAAGAAGACAAGTTTGCCCACTCAAGGTTTAGAGATCACAGAGTTATCCTCACCAAACATCCTCATCAACTTCACCAAAATATTTTCAACATCATGGAGAATCATGCTTGCAAAGGCTTCAAGAAAGATCTCACCACCTATCTTAACACTCAGTTGGCTCACTCTCATTCACATGGACAGCTCAGAGATATGAGTCTTCCTTTCAGTCATATCGATATCTATCATGGATTCAAATTCTGTCTAGACTCATTAGGCAATGACATTGACTTTGATCAAATGGAGGAGGCAGATATTGTCAAAGCACAACCATCTATTTCTCATAAAGCTGCATGCTTTGATACAGTTGTAGTAATGGATGAGCCTGACTGTGAATCTACTGGTTTAACAGGTGAGTAATATTGGTATATATATGGTCATTGATTGTATGAAAATTTCAACACTATAGGAATGCGTATTGGAAGGTTGAAAGTAATATTTCATCTGCCACAACAAGTATATGGCTTATTCAACCTGCATGGACCAAAGACCCTTTGGCATATGTTGAGTGGTATGCTCCATTGAAACCTGCAGCAGAAGACTATCATGAAATGTATACTGTCAAGAAACCCTTACTTTCCTCAGATGGCTCATTGCCAGGTAAAGTTATTCCACTGTTGTCTATTAGACAGACTTGTCAACTTGTTCCAAACTTTGGAACAACAATTCCTATAGATTGGACTTCTGATAATGTATTAGATAAATGCAATTCCTTCTTACTTAATTGTTTTACTTCTAAATACACTTACCAAACTTTATGGTAATATATAGATTTTCATGATGTCTATACTGGTCTATAGAGCTGTGATAGCTGGCCATAGACTGTACAGGGCTATGGTGTGCTATTGGGGCTATATAGAGGATGTTCCTCTATATAGAGAAACAGGTTTTCCTGATGAACCCACTCGACATCTACTCATCAAACACAGACATCAACAAATTCTAAGAAAAAAACATCATAGTAAGTTTTGATTGATAATTGTTGCATGAATTGTTGCTTACCAGGTGCTAGTGAACTGCATGGCTCCAGGATCTCATGTGCAAGTGCAACAAAAGATATGCAAGTGGGGAGATGTGACTGTCCAGGTAGAGGCTGCAATCAGAGCTGAGGCATTGGCAGAAGAAGCGGAGGTGAGAGCAGATGAAAGGATGGCGAGAGCAGATGAGATGAATGTGAAAGCGGTGTCTTAATAACCAAGGGTCTTATATAAATGCATGTAAAATGTAATGACACCACAATTACACTGGGATAAGACTTCTTGCCAGTCCTCGATTAACATGGTCTATGACTTTTCTTCTTTCGTGGTAGATAACATGTGAGTTCTTGGGAGGCTCGCTAAACCAATCAATGTGATTAACTTAGCAGGAGCTTTTGTGTTATATCCCATCTTATAAACTTGTCTAGGATAAACTGTCTAGACACTGGAATGTGGTTCCTTGTTAAGATAATTCTCTGTAGAGACTATGGTCTCAAATACAAATACGTTGACCAAAGACTGGTTGGTCAAATAGGCACAAAGTGGTGAGAAACTGGTCTCACAAATGAACAGATTGACCAAAGCTCATGTTGGTCAATATCAGATAACTAGGTGAGAAGCTGGTCTCACAAATGAACAGGTTGACCAAAGCTCATGTTGGTCAATATCAGAAACTAGGTGAGAAGCTGGTCTCAAATAAACTAAGTTTCTATCATAAGAAACTTATGTAATCTCAAGGGAATGTCTTTTCCCTGCACTTGGTACTTCAAAGGGGCTTTTCTTTGTAAGCAATAATCTTCACAGTGAGTAGCTCAAACTGAGATTCAAATGATTGCAAGTGGGAGATCCTATTTTTTGGGGGAGAATGGGCCCTCCTTATATACATTTTGTGTGGGAATATTATGTAAGTAAAAAAGCGGAGCAATGACATCAGAAGTGGAGCAGAATATTCCAGAAAGTGGAGCAGAATCAGAATATTCCATAGGTGGAGTAATGACATCAGAGGTGAGTCATTGTGGAGCAGAACATTCCAGAACAAATGACATCATCATGACATCATCATGACATCATACCTGTAGGTACAATTTTGTGAAGTATCTGATGGGTCAGAGCATCCCAATAGAAAAATAAATCAAGGAAATACTAGAGAAAACAACTCAGAAATAATAATACAATAACAAGACACAAAACACAGGCTTTTTAGATAGGTTTTTGTTAGGCTTTGAACTTTTCTCTATGGTTTTCTCCAGCCAAAGTGAATAAGCCAAAGGCAAGGCAATACCTTAACCTTCTTGCTTCACAATATCAACTAGGTCATTATGTGATTCCCATCTCACAAATGACTTTTCTTCAAGATATAATAAATTCATGAATCACAGAGGGGAAACTGAACTATATGACCAAGGTTTGAAACCAAGGTATGGGTTGACTAGCCTGATGCCTAAGCTAACAGACTTTGTCTTTTAGGGGGGCTACCTAGTAGTCATGTCCATGCATGATTCCCAAATCATGCAGGACAGCAGGAGCAGGATTACTGGGCTTCTTGAAGAGGGCACAGAGCCGCTTTTGAAGGAATCAAAACAGAGCATGTTGCTCAAGCCTCGAGTGACTGTAGACCATGGTGAGTACAAGTACATCTTGAATTTGATGAAGACTTACCTATCATTTGAGCAGGGATCAAAACAGAGCATGTGGCTCAAGTGTAGAGTGAGTTTTGTACAAGTGTATAATACAAATTTTGAGATCCATGTCGTCCATGCCAAAGAGTGCCTTGAAGAATGACTCTATGAAGATGGAGTCCTAGCAGACTCTCTTCAGCAATGTCAGGCTTGAGGTAGACAGTGCACCGTCCATACCATCTTCACCATACACAAACTGGATGAGATCTCCAAGTGAGTTGCGAACAGTGCTATCATAGTGTACCATCATGTCCTCCAATGCCTTGATGAGACAATGCTGGATATAACCAGTCTCTGCCATCTTGATGGCCATATCAATAAGACCTTCTCTTCCAGCCATGGCATGGAAGAAAAACTCCTGTGGCATCAACCCTCATAGATATGAGTTCTCGATAAAGCCACGTGCCTCTGGGCTGAAGTTGTCCTTGGTGAAATGAGGAAGAGTATGATGATGGAACCTGAATGGGATTTGATGACCTTCAATACTTTGCTGCCTGACACAGATAGACATTTGCGAGATGTTATGTATGAACCCTTGGAACCAGCTGTGACCATCTGCTTCACATTGTTGTCATCCTTCAGGTCCTTCTGCTGACTGGTTGAACTTGGCCTCCACTTCACCAAGTCAAATGCCTCTCTGGTAAGATGGCACTGTTTGAGTACATGATGAGTGGAGATGGTGGCCCATGGGGGAGGGAGGGGAGCAATATACTGAAGCCATCCATTTGCAAGACATCCTGCAGCACAGTGGCCATACCTGACAGTGAGGTTGAAGGCAGCAGGCCAGGAAAGCCACACAACCCATATGAAGATGATATGGTCTTGGAGCCTGCCTGCATGGGGAAATGTGGGTTGTCATAGGGGCAGCAGGTGTCAATCATTGCATTGTATTCTATCACCTAGATGGGTCTGTAGGGTATTTGATTAACAAAAGGACAACAAAATGAGAGGCAAGGACATACCACAATCATGCTATTTCAAAAGTGTGGTGATCCACATATCTGTTGACATAGTAGGAGTTGAACATGTTGTATGAGTTGTGTGGACTTATTTTTGGGATACAGTCCAGGCTGTAGACTGGAATCAGATGGGCAGTGCAAAAGATGCAATCAACATGAATTATTGAGACATCTGGGATGTCATCATCAGTTGTCATCAGCATGATGACATACATGCCTGTGTCAGGATCACATTCTTCATGGACATATGAATACCAATGAACTATGGCACAGGGATAGTATGATATCCAGTAGTTAAATGAGAAAAAGCAAAGGACTTGCACAACTGCAAGTCCATTCATGGGAGAGTCGAAGTCAACACCCATGTTGATGAAGATACAGTCATGCCTCGGTTTGCCAACACGCCACGATGGTGTTGCCTGGATGTGCTCACAACACATACCTCCCGTACCACTCAGATCACTGGGTGCATGGAACAAGGCTGCAGCAGAATTAAAGATGGTGAGTTTCCCTAGGAATACTTGCACTGTTGCTGGATCAAACTCAGGAGGGTTGGGATCTTCTGAACAGTATTGATCATGTATGAATTCTTGAATCATAAATAGGAGGCATGGAAGGTCAAGTTTGAGGCTAAGTGCATGAATATTTCATACACAACCTATTCATTGTCAGAAAGGGTCCAGGAGCAAACCATTTAACACACAGGGAGTTAATGCAAGCCCAACATGGGACTCCACAGTCAGTCCATCAATAATCTCACCAGCATCCACTTCAACAGATCAATTTTGAGGCTCGTGGATATGCAGGTGCCCATGACGGCCTTCTTGCGCCATATCAGCCACCGTGTTGTCATCCAGTTCTAAGTTGTCATCTGCAGGAATATTCTGACCTATTGGGGATATGAGAAGGGCTAAATCATCAGAGCGAAAGATCACATACATCTCCAGAGTTCTCCCAAAGCATTGGACAGACAAGAGCCACGAAGCATACCATGTGCCTCAAAATCTACACGAGTGGCTGCAAGTTTGTCAAGGCATTGATTTGTTAGTAGCATTTGTCTGAGTGCATTAAACCTGCTAGATTGGCACCAAGGTTCTTTAACTGCCTTGATGTGCTTGGACTTGGTAATTGAAGAGCAAAGGCCATTGGGTGTGCCAAAAAGTCAAATCAGTAATGTGTAGTGGCATAGGGAGTGTTGACATGAAAGGGAGAATGTTGAGACCACACCAGTTGTCTTGAAGATCTCCTGATGTTGGTGAAAGCAGTCGAGGGCATCTTGTAGTTTTACAAGGTCATCTTCAGTGAGAGCCTCGCACCTCACAGTGTAGCAAAATTCTAGAAATGCACTGAATGTGCACACCACATCTTGAGGAACGTGACCTTCAATTGCAGCTAGATAGACCTAAATACGAGTCAGCTCACATGTCATTTGGAACAGAATACACAGCATACCTTCATCAATGCCTTTGAGTCGTCACCCGTCCACTGCTGGAAACCTCACCCATCACAAAAGCATCACAACCCAGCAAATGGGGCAACTGCTGCTATCCTGTATGTTATTAGTAGTTATCAGCAAAACATCATAAATTTGTGTACCTGCAGTCAATGCCATCCATTATCTCAGCTGCATGATGGGTACCATGTGTGACCAGTAAATACTCTCCCACCCAATCAACCAGATGATCCTTGAAAGTTCCCTTGATTATTTGATGTAAGATATCCAGAGATAGGAGCTCATGGATGTCCACTTGAGGAAAATCATTTGTAAATGGCTAGAGAAGTGAAAAGGTGAGATTGGACCTAGCAAGTTTCAGCGAGCAACTTACAATGAGATTGGCAATGATGCCATACTGATCCCAAGCCTGTTTGTATGTGAGTTGTTCAACGAGCAACTCAGTATGTGCTTTGCATCAATGGATACACAGTTGAGAGCCATCAAGGTCCTTCCTATTTCCTAGACACCTATTTTGATAATAAATAAGTCATTCAAAAGCAACACAAAGTTTGATGATGCACTGTGGACACCAGTTCTGCATGATGCCAGAGAGAAGTATCTGTTCTGGATAGTCCACTATGTAAGGGCCCAAGCTGTACACTATTCATTGATAGTGGCCATCTGTTAAGGTCATACTCAAGGGATAACTGGATCTGAAGGGCTTTGGCCTCAGCTCATGCACTGTGCCCCTTACCCGAGTATTGCCCCTTATTTCAGGAAGGCAAGACTAATGCATCCAGAAGGTCGGACGAGTATCATAGCAGATCCGGATGACTTTTGGATGCAGGATAGGTATTGTAGGGCTAATCCAGATGAGTCCAGACTAGAAACTAACAGTAATGGACTGTTGGAGACAGAGGCGGATACAGATAGACTATAGGAATCAATCCTAAGTCTCAGAGGGTGACAAGAGTAGAGATACTCAAGTCCAGAGGACAGGAATGAGTAGAACTAAGATGATATTCGAACTGAGGTACTACAGAGAGTTACAGGAGGTTATATACTATAGGTATCTAATGGAATGATCAATCAGCAGAGTCCAAGGCTATGTATGAAGCATATGGATAGTCTATTTGTAAGTAGAAATGGATCAGGGAGCAGGGCAGATATACAGATAACTGAAATACCAGAGTTAGGGGGTTACTGAAAAGAGACAAGTGCTGGTTGTGGATTTGGATGAGTTGTGGACTGGACCAGATGAGTGGACAGATTGAATGACGAGATGTTGGAGGGAGATAAGATGTGGATAGGATTGGAGATAAGATGTGGATCTGAGATGAGATAAGGGTCGGATCTGAGATCCGGTGTCATGCATGGTATGGAGTTCATACCATGACATATATAAGAAGAAGTATAGAAGGAGATGATTAGGAGAGTGTATGAGGATATATTTCTCACTCATGAGCTTAGTCATCTATTTCCCTTTATTTATTTAGTTGTATTTATAGTTTCAGCCACTTGATTACATCAGTGAACCACTCAGATATGTTTGTAAGCATGTCATGTGACTGGTAATATTCTGATTTGTAAGGATTTTTCCATGACTTATCATGTTTTGTCATGATTTGTCATGCTTTGTAATATTTTGCAGTGCTTTGTAATACTTTACTCATGTACTTTAGTAAGCAGCTGATTCAGCACACCAAAAGACTTGGTTTGTAAGCATATTCTTACCAATCCAGTGATGAGTCATTGCTTAGTAAGGATGGTTTCTAAAATGTATATAAGGACTCCATTCTCACATAATCAACAAGTTTTTCCCTCTTCTTTCTTGTCTCAAACCATGAGATTTGTAAGATTTGAAGTGCAGGAGTTTTCCCTCTTTCTGTCTCAATAGTGTGAGATTATGAAGAAAGTGAAGGCCTCAAGATTGCCTTTGAAAACTATAGTATTTCTAGTCTAGATTGGTTGTATACTATCTTACAGGGATTGCCTATACAACAGTCTATCATATTTGATTCAGCAGAGGTCCATATTACCTACTAGGTTTAAGTTAACCTGACAAAATATATACTTCCCTTTACTATCAAGAAGTGATCTAGCAAAGAAGTAATTTATTACCCTTTGGCCACCCACAAACAACACATTATCAACCTGAGAAGTAGAAAATCCGTTGACTGTGAACTTGAGGAGCTGGCACCTTAGTCTTATTGAAGTACAATTGTGATAGTCATTGTATTTCACCTCTACTTATATAAGACCCTCAAGTAGTAAGACACTGGATATGCAGATATGACAGTATCCCCCCTTTAGGGCTGATCCCTAGAGGCACAAGATCTGACAATCCGGACCAGACGATATGAGGGCGAGAATCAATGGAGAAGCTGATGGATGGAGTTTGTGAGTTCAGGTTTCCACAGATATACGGATGCCAAAGCATCCTAGGTCTTCCTTCCTTTCCTCACTTCACCCACTTATACTAGCTTTGAATATCATGTCTGGCAACAAATCCAGTGGTCAGAAATCCGCTAGGGAGACTCTTGTGGAACTTCAGCACCAGATGGCTCTTGCAGAGACTGCAGCTCAGAGAGAGGAAGAGGAGTGGAAATGTCAGGAAGCAGAGTGGATGCATCAGGAAGCAGAATGGGAACATGAGGAAGAGAGGAAGTGGATAGAGCAGTCTGACCTCCAGGTAGCACAGGAAGAGAAGAGGCAGAGGGCTGAGGTGGCCAGGAGGGTGAGTGATGATACCTCTATCAGATCCAGAACTAAGGGATATGTTAGTCTCAGTCTGCTTCTATGTCCTGGAGCTCAGGATGCTCCCTGCACTCATTGTGTCAATAAGAGCAAGACGTGCTCCTGGGAGGATGCTAAGTCTAATGCACTGGTGAGGTATTCCTTGTCTCAGACGTCTGGAACTGGGTGTACTGATATCTGGATAGATCAAGTCTTGTGATGTCTGCAGGATTGATAGGGCCTCCTGTCCTGGAAGTGCGGACAAGCCCAGACGTCAGAGGAGCCCTACCCCTGAGGAACTGGAAGTGGAGGATGCCTCCAATCTGTGGACCAGAATAGAGATGGATGAGGGGAGTGTGGAGTATGATGACCAGGCCTGGGTTGCTGCTGCCAACAGCATAGTAGCAGAACTGGCCTGGACCAATGGACTTCTCCAGGAGAGTATTGGAGCTGTGGAAGGGAGTAAGTTGGTGATGGAGCAGATGAATACTAACATGGAGGACTTCATCCAGCAGCAGAGGGACTTCCAGTCCATCCTCCTGGAGGGGATCCAGAATGGATTCTGGATTGCAGATGTCTCTACTCCGGATGATGCTGACAAGGATGTTGAGGAGGCTGGAGGATCTGGAGGGGACATGGAGACTGATGGATGAGGAGCTCCGGATTTCCATTTCTGCCCCTAATGTACTTGTATCTGATTTTGTACTCATTGTAACACAATTGAACTGGGTTTGTCTGGATACAAAGAGTGAGATACTGAAACTAGGTCCGATGCATTTCCAAGTTCCATGGCTAGTAACCAGGATGTCTCTTCGTCCGTCCCTTCATATCTGGACCACTGGATGAGGTAGAGAAGCTGACATTGTCGTCTCCAGCAGTCCAACTTAGAGTCTAGGATTTCGGATATCTCATATTCTGGTTCTCTGTCAACTTCTATTGGAGGTGGGAGTGGTTGGATACGATTAGGGATGGTGTTCAGAACTGCAGGTTCTAGTTGGGAGACATGGAAGACTGGATGTACTGAATGCATGGAATCTGGGAGTTAGATGGTGAAGGAATGTGATCTGGGACAGGATATAATGTCAAAAGGACCTAAGTTCTTTTCCGAGAGCTTCTTGGAAGGGCGAGTGGAATGGAAGTACTTTGCTTTGACAAAGACTTGATCTCCAACCTTGAAGTCTGGGGCTGGTATCCACCTTGCGTCTGCAGGTCCTTGATAACATTCTTGTGCATGGGTCATTTCTTCTCAGAGGAATTGGTGAAGCTCATTGAGGTCTATGGCATACTCCTGTGCACGGATGGAGGAAAGGTCATGTTCCAGGTGGATGGATATGTTTGGATGGTATCCCTTGTTGGCGAAGAAGGGCAAGACTCCAGTGGTAGCACTTGGAGCATTGTTGTATGCAAATTCAGCCAAGGGGAGTAGTTCCAACCAGTTATCCTGCTGATAGTTATAGTAGATCTGGAGGTATTGTTCTAGGGTTTGATTGGCACGCTCAGTTTGTCCATCCCCTTCTGGATGATATCCAGACATGAAGTGGAGGATCATATCTAATGCTTTTCCTAAGGACTGGAAGAAGTGGGATACGAACTCTGTTCCCCAGTCCGAGGTTACATGGGATGGAACACTGCTTGGAGAACACATGGAGTAGGAACAAGCAAGCAAGGTCCAGAGAGGTGATAGTATCATGAATTGGAACGAATATTGCTTGCTTGAATAGACAATCTATGATGACGAGGATGGCTGTGAAGCCGGAGGAGTCCAGAAGTTGCTCAATGAAATCCATGGAGATGGAGTTCCAAGGCTTGTCCAGAACAGGGAGTTGTTTGAGCAATCCATATGGCTTATGTCTCAGAACCTTGGCTCAGGCACAGGTGGTACATGATTTAACATAGTCTTTGACATAGGTGCATATTCCAGGCCAGGTATATTTGCGTCGGATGAGTTCTAATGTCTGGTTCTGGCCAAAGTGTCCAGACAGGGGATGGTCATGTGTGTTCTGGAGGACACGAAGTTGAAGGTCATTGGAATCAGGGACATATATATGATTGTTGCAATGGAGGAAACCACTATTGTCCATGGTCCATCTGGGATCCGGAGGACCGGACATTTGAGCAGACGTGATAGGGTCGTTAGGGAGAGCAGATAGGATATCGTTTCATAGTTGGTCAACATCCATGAGTACAGCTGCTTGGAGCACCAGATATGCTAAGGTTGAAGCTTGTAGGGACAAAGCTAACTGTTCAGATGTGAACACCAGACAAAAGTTATGAGGGTTAACTTGAGTGTAGTCCTTATCCCCCTCTTTGGGGTAGACATCCCAGTGTCTAGTGAGGGAATCTGGTTTTGCTCCAAGTTTTCCAGGACAGAAACGGATGATGAGATTGAATTGGTGGAGGAACTCCGACCAATGTGCCTGATGGCGAGAGAGGAGTTTGGTGGTTGCAAAGTACTCAAGGTTCTTGTGGTCCATGACAACATCAATAGGCTCAGACAAGCCTTCTAGGTAGTGTCACCAGGTCCAGAAAGCTTCATATATGGCTAGAAGTTCCTTGTCATGGGTATCATAGTTGAGTTCCGGAGCGGATAGGGTTCTAGAATAGAATGCTACCGGACGAAGCTCTGAGTCTGGACATACAATGGACAGTATTCCAGTGACAGCATAATCAGAGGCATCAGTCTCAACAACAATAGGAATGTTCAGGATCCAGTGTGTAAGCACCGGAGTGGATGTGAAGGCTTTCTTGAGTGCAGCAAATGATTTCCAGCAATCCTCTGAAAAGTCCCAGTTAACATTCTTGCATGTAAGCTGGGTGAGTGGAGTGATGATGTCTGAGTAGTTGAAGATGAAACGACAATAGAAATTTGTGAATCTGAGGAAGGATTTAACATCCTTGACCTTCTGTGGCTCCAGCCAGTCAACAATAGCTTTGACTTTATCAGATGACATAGTAAGGCCTTCTGCAGACAGGAGGTAACCAAGGTACTCTACAGAATCAGAGTGGAACTCACATTTCTCTGGTTTGGCATAGAGTTGATGCTTTCGGAGTCGTTGAAGTACTTCTTGGACGTGTTGCTTATGGGATGCAAGGTCATGGGAATAGATGAGGATGTCATCCAGATACACCACAACACATATGTCAAGCATATTGGCGAAGATGCTATTGACAAAACACTGGAAAGCCGCTGGAGCATTGGTGAGACCCTCAGGCATAACTAACCACTCATAGGAGCCATAGTGCATCCAGAAAGCTGTCTTCCACTCGTCTCTAGAAGAGATCCAGATGAGATGGTAAGCAGACCAGAGGTCGATCTTAGTGTAAACTTTGGCATAGCTCAGAGAGTCTAAGAGGTTAGCAATGAGGGGCAACAGATAGCGGTCTTTCTTGGTGATCTTGTTCAGGCCCTGGAAATCCACACAAAGATGCAGGGAGCCATCCTTCTTCTTGACAAACAGGACGGGGGCTCTGTGTGGAGAGGAGGAGGAGGAGAGGAGTCTGGACGAGATATTTTCATCCAGGAACTTCTGGAGAGCTTCGAGCTCAACCAGGGAAAGGGAATATATGGTGCCTAGGGGTGGAGCAGTACCTTCCTCTAAGTTGATCTTTAGGTCATAAGGCCTATGAGGAGGAAGTTGGCTGGCTTTTCCCTTGTAAAAGACATCCGCATATTCATGATACTCCAGAGGGATCACAGATAGATCTGGAGCATCAGATGAAGTGGATATGGAATGGATCTTGGCACTGGAAGGACATAGGAAGATGCTGAACTGCTTGGAGCCTTCTAACTTGCAGGCCTGGCAAAAGGCAACTGCATTGATTAGAGAAATGTTAGGCTCAGAGGTATCAGCAGAGGTGTCTGGAGTAGTTGGAGGGGTAGTTTCCACTGGAGGTGGCAGAGGTGATATTGGAGGGGTCAATGGCATTCCATGAGATGAAGTCCAGAACTCAATGCTGTGTGAAACCCAGTCAATCAACAGATTGTGTTGGGTAAGCCAGCTATATCCAAGGACAATAAGACAGGATGAATCCAAAGGAGTTACATAGAACATACGGAGGTGACTACACTGGACGAGAAACAGATGGGCAGATCTATAGCTTCGGAAATGGTTGCATTACAAGTACCATCAAACAAACGGAGCAGAATCGGAGGAATTGCACAGGTAGGTAGATTATATTTATGGATGAAGTCAGATTCTATGAAGCAATGGGAGGAACCACAATCTACAAGAGCTGGAAAGTCGGAAATATCAGAATACATAGGAATGGAAACATATGGACAGAGAGAGTTCGGATCGGACAAAGATACAGCATTGAGTCATAGCTCCATTGCACAGGTTGAGTCAATGCGACCCTCATCCCATGCGGAGTCAGGAGGGTCACGGATTATTTTTTCACCTCATCTGAGGCATCTGGTTTGGTTTCCGGATTGACTGTAGCTGCGTGACCTTTGGTAGCACGTGAAGTCGACTTTGTGCAGTCCTGAGCAGTATGCCCAGGTCCACCACAGAACAGACAGAGCTTCCTGTCCAGCCTTCTCTGACACTCTTCAGATGTAAGCTTTCCGTCCTTACCCAACTTGTTGCTGAGGTCCGGAGCTTTAGAAGCGGAGGTAGTGAATGAAGTCATCTTTCTGGATTTGTTGTTTCCAGAGGAAGTGCTTCCAGATCTGGACACATTGGTGTTGGTCCATTCAGAAGACTTGGCAGGAGGATTGGGTGTGGAGGATTTGGTTTCACAGGAGATCTCTCCCTTGCGTTCCCAATAGTGGGCATCAATGGTCTGCACAAGGGTTTTGTATTCCGAGAGTGTGCCAGGTTTTCCCATGCAACTGATTTCATCCTTGATATAAGCAGGAAGTCCATTATAGAATTGTCGATGTAGGGCTCCATCACCCCATCCATGGACCTGAGAGGCAAGTTGTTGGAATTCTACAATGTACTTGTTGATGTGCTGTCCATTGTGCATATTGAGTTGCTCGAGCTGCATTTCCACATCTCCGGAGGGGTCGTGAGGTCCAAAATTGGTCTGGAGTTCAAGCATGAACTTGGAATAGTCATCTATCCAGTCCGGACAATCAGTAGGTTCATTGGAAAGGAGGTCAGGTTTGAACCATTCAAGGGCCATTCCTTTGAGATAGGATTGGGCGAAATTGACTTTAGACCTTCCAGTACAGAAAGCATTGGGTTTGCTCTGGAAGTTGAGCTCGCACTGGACAAAGAATGCACGAAGTTTCCAGGGCTCAGTGCCATCAAAGACATCTGGCTCCCGGACCTTGACTTTAGGATCTTCAGGGAGGGTGGTGCGACAATTGTTTCAGGTGAGATTGTTGATAGCTCTGGATAGGAGTACCATAATGTGATCCTGTGGACCCAGGCCATCATCTCTATCATCATTGTCTTCATCATCTGGATCATCATCTGGATTTCCACTGTTACCATCCAGCAGGTTTCCACCAGGGGTATCATGATCAATGTCATCGTCATCCAGATCTCTCTGGCCCAGAGGGGCTAGGGCTGGAGTCCATGTAGGGGTCTTCAGATGTTGATGACTCAGAAGCTCTGAGATGCTTCTGGCAGTAGTGCGCTGGCTAACACAATGCTGCAAGAAGCTATTGAAGGTTTTGACAATAGGAGTGGAATCACAGCGGGTGGATACTAACCTGGCCACTCGGAGAGTGTTTGCAGTTTTGGTTGGAGCCATAGGAAGTGTAAGTATACTCAGTAAGGTGTGAGTTTGAATATACTGTTAAGGTCATACTCAAGGGATAACTGGATCTGAAGGGCTTTAGCCTCAGCTCGTGCACTGTGCCCCTTACCCGAGTATTGCCCCTTATTTCAGGAAGGCAAGACTAATGCATCTAGAAGGTCGGACAAGTATCATAGCAGATCCGGATGACTTTTGGATGCAGGATAGGTATTGTAGGGCTAATCCAGATGAGTCCAGACTAGAAACTAATGGTAATGGACTGTTGGAGACAGAGGCGGATATGGATAGACTATAGGAATCAATCCTAAGTCTCGGAGGGTGACAAGAGTAGAGATACTCAAGTCCAGAGGACAGGAATGAGTAGAACTAAGATGATATTCAAACTGAGGTACTACAGAGAGTTACAGGAGGTTATATACTATAGGTATCTAACAGAATGATCAATCAGCAGAGTCCAAGGCTATGTACGAAGCATATGGATAGTCTATTGGTAAGTAGAAACAGATCACAAATCATGAAACAGAAATGAAACATAGGTAATGGATCAGGGAGCAGGATGGATATACAGATAACCAAAATACCAGAGTTAGGGGGTTACCGAAAAGAGACGAGCACTGGTTGTGGATTTGGATGAGTTGTGGACCAGACTGGACAAGTGGACAGATTGAATGACAAGATGTTGGAGGGAGATAAGATGTGGATAGGATTGGAGATAAGATGTGGATCTGAGATGAGATAAGGGTCAGATCTGAGATCCAGATATGCAGATCTGACAGTCCTCGGTAGTATAATCGTGGTAGGGTGAATACTTGATTCCTCCATTGAAATTGCAGTTTGCCAAAAGGCTGCACATCATTTGCAATGGATCTCTATACCATATGTCATATTGTCCATCCATCCATGGCGGTATGTCTTGCTCAGGTTTGGCTCCATTGTAGCACAGTGTAAAGCTCTTCCAAGGGGTATTGCTGAGTGGTGTTGCATCTATTGTAGTGTACATGTCCCTATGGTTTGCAAATGGGGGGGCATCATTGTGCTTAATGAGAGTCACGGCCCACAAGTCAAGAAGTGTATCAATCTGCTTTGCAGACATTTGATTGCGAGTGAATAAGAATTCTGCCATCTCAAATTCAACATGATTGTCATAAGGCATCCAATTGGTTGGGAGGGCATCCATATGAGGTGGCGGGGGTGCATCCTGGTCAATAAATGCCCCATTAGCATCACATTTGAGTCCTAAGACAAAAAATGAGTAACAGTAAGATGGACTCCTTAAAAAACACCCACCTGTGAGGTGCAGATGGAAAGTATGGAATAAGCGCCCTATATCCACCCAGGTACCTTCCTCAGGTACAAAACCCTGGTTGCCTGCCAGGTCTTGATAAACATTCTCATCAATAACACCTGCTGGAGTGGGAGAACCACTCCATGGAGGTATGAATCTGGGACCTGTGAGTGGAGCTGTGCGATTGAGGTTTTGTACTTGAGGGATGCCATGCCTCGCATGTATGTGAGGCCAGACTTGTTTTTGAAGACCTGATTGCAGTTTGGAAACTGACAAATGAGCCTGGTGACAGCTGGGGCCATGTTGGACAGTAGGCAGTTGCAGCGAGATGGATACCAGGGAGCAGAATACGTAGAATGTAGACTAGACTAATACTAAGTGTGGGAATCAGAAATTACAACATGCTCAATTGAAAAAAATATAACTTCACCCATTCATTGCCACCTTTTGCTAGTGTCCATATTCATTCAACACCTCACTACCAGCATTCCTCCAACAGCTTGTCCTAGATCTCAACATGCCTTGATCTGCAACACACCCAGGAAATGCTAACAAACATCCTGGACAGATAGTTCTTGAAGCAAGTCGTGTAGCATGCCCAAAGGATGTAATTGCAGCTGAAAAAAAAAGGTGTCAGCAGAGAAATTAGCCAAGGCAACCACCTTAGAAAATGCTCAAAAGAAGGTCGCTGCAACGGAAGATGCTATGGCTGTCGAGCAGATGGCTCAATGCAATGGCCCAGGACCCCTCGTCAGACCAAAGCCTAAGCTGCGCCCAGTGACCAAGGCAGCACCAACTGCAAACCCCAACAAGATGTGTAAGCCTTATGCAATACAATGCTGTTGCAAGACTTACCAGACCTTTGACAACAGCTGTTGGGGCAAAAATGGTATCCCAAAGCACTGACGCCCCAAAGAAGAAATATCCAGGCTTGAAACTTACCTTCAAGGATGGTGTCAATGCCAGTTGAAAGGTGTCAAACAATGGTACATCATCTACAACTTGTGTTGTACTAAGCATGGGTAGGGGCAGTGACAGTGGGAAAAATCAAAGGTCACTGTAAGTTCATCTTAACTGCAATGTTACTCTTATCAGAGCTGACTCTTTAATACTTCAATATATTTCACTCACTGCAATGTAGGGGATCTGAACAAGCCATATCGACAGAGGAGGTGGAAGTAGGGAAATGGGCTAGAAGTGTGGCATCGAAGTCCCAATGGAAGCCATCTGCACCACCAAGTGCACATGCCAGTGGTAAGTTCAGTTTCATGTCTGCACACTTTGCTAACAGTTTTTAGTGATTGCAAGCAAGGATGTGGACATATCTAAAGATGAAAACCTACCTGAAGATCATGATGAGAGTGTAACTGCGAGTTGGGGTGGCCAGGTGAGTGACTTCATGATTGTGAATGGGGAATGCTAAAATCAATGCAGGGTGTTGTGCATATTATTGAGACTGTTGATGATGCCACAAGGGGATGGAAGCATACCTTGTCCACAACCTTGTTGGATGACCTTGAACCCGAAGAGCAGCATGAGATGGAAGAAGACCCAGATGCCAACACATATATTCCAGATGAGGATGATGATGTTGACATGACAGATCAGCAGGGTGATATTATTGAGGTAAGTACTAGTGGGTCCTGTGAGATAGATGAATTGCTCACCATGATCATGGATTTTATAGGTCTGTGAAATGTCAAACAGTCGACTCACAAGCTTGGTATGGAGAATTTGCTCTGATCACCTGACAATGCTGACAAATTCCTATGCAGATGTCAGTTAGTGTCATGGATACCACAATGGACAGTCCAAAATCCAAGTACATCAAAACCAAAAATGGATGTGTGCCACATACTATACTCAATCTGAAGAAAGAAAAGCTGAAGAATTCTCACTTACCTAGCGCTGTTCAGAATCTAAGCTTTCACTCCATATTTATTCCAATGGTCATGCACTGGGTTGGCAATAACAACTATCCATGGATCATCCCTGAGGAGAAACTCTCAGACGTTCTCGAGGATATCTTCATAGCAGTCTGTAAGCAGCCTGGAGACTTTAGGAATGATGATGGCTGCAATCTCGCCTTCAACATCATGAGTGAATTCCCATTCCAGTACTTCTAGCTGACAACTATGCTGGCAGGTATGCCAAAGGATCTCTGAGTAGAGAGGTAACTTTGGCTCCACTGCTACTATCATTCGGGTAATCTGCAACATTTTCAGCAAATCTTTTGTAGCTCGTCAATCACTTCATATTATCTTCCACGAATTTAGAGTGTTGTAGATTCGTACCGCCTCTATATAGATCTTATTTTTGCTCATTTTTAGGATTTTGTGGTGTGGTGTCAGATGAAAGCCAAGAAAATTCAGGGTCTGACTGCTAATCTGCAAAATATAGTCACATCGAGTCACACCTTGGCATAGCACTGGCACGGTCAACTTTGACTCTCCGCACTGCGCTCTCGATCTGTTGGCGTTGAGTTGTCAAACTGGAAGCTTGAAACTTAATGCTCTGATAAATAATGAATACAGCAATATATTATCATCAAGTATCGTGATTCATGTAATTATTGTGAGTGTACTGGTGATATGGTCCTGAATAAGGTTCTTGGTCTTCTCCTCTCTGATAGCCTGAATAGCAGCAATGAAGTTGGCTTCGCGAATCACATCTTCTTCAGCTTTCTTCTGACTGGTAGTATGCCTGCAGTTTGGTGCCATTGTAACAAGGATGTGAGAATGATGCAAGAGGAGACAACAATGCAAGACTTCGTGCACTTGCCGAGTGTGCTGTAGAGGAGATTGAATTTGTTACACACTCTCCTATCTACTGTCACATTTTCATACATGTCGTCAATTCTTCCTCTATAGCATCTTAAAATGACAGGATGAGCTTCATCGAAATTGTGTTCTGTAATCCTGACGAGGTGATTGTTGTGCTCCAGGTATAACTTCAGGAATATACCTGCAGGATCTATGGGATCTGGATAATTTATGTTCCTGCATGGTTACAAATTACCACTATTTCATCCCTCGCAGCTGCAACACGCAAGAAATTTTCATTCTACTTGGACAGTACATCATATATAAGTAGTCTACATATGCATGAATTTTTTTGAAGTGAGTTGAGCAGTGCATTGAGGTGTTTTGAACATTTTGCATATTACATGCATGTTGCAGATTACCCGGAATGATAGTATCACCATTCTCATGGTGTTTTTCGCCTCCATGGACAAATACAAGACCAAGGAGGCACACAAAGAATGTGCTGAATATCAACTTGAAGATTCACACTTTGTATATGAAGATCCAGATAATGAAGACTCACCTGGAGCTTTCTTATCGGAATTCATCTTGTGCATCTTTGCTGTTCAACTCAATGCCACCCAAGGGTGCCAGATAATTGACTCACTTGACTTTGGCTTACCAGGATATCCAATAGCCCTTGCACTGACCACTGCAGCCGTGAGTTTTGCACCGCCTTTACAAAACTTGCTAACTTTCATTACGAGCTGCTTCACAACTTGCTGTTGGTAAACTCACAACAGAGGATGTGTTGGAGGCATTGGCTAAGGGCCAGGAGGTATGTTCGAGCCTGTTCCCGCCAGTAGACATCTCGTGAAATTTTGCAGAAGTTGTACCTCGCGAGGTTGAAGCGCATCGGCTTTGACCATGCTTTGGATCAGCGCATTCAAGATGAAGCTTCTCGCATGACACAGGACAAAGCTGGAGTGCATTGCCCTTCAAGTCTGGACATACCGATTGAAACAGGCCCACCATCAGATGTCAGAGAACGAATTGCTAAGAGGATGCGAGGCTGACATTGGCAGTATACACAATCTACTGATTCATTCTCGTGCTTATTCATTGTGTTTCAAGTACGTGCTAACTAACTCGGTAGATATGGTGGCGGCGATGAGTACTGAGTTTCAAAATGGTAATACTAATAGCGACTGGTACTTGGAGTCAACGTTAATTTGCAAGCATCCACTGAGTGACCAAGTCCTGCCCTAACCTCGTACTTTGTAATGAACTTGAAGCTTGAAGTTGTACCAGATGGGCCTTATTTCCACTGCCGAACTCCCTCCCTACCAAAGTAGGGCGGCTGGGTGCAAGACTACACATGCATGGGTCGGGCATGCCGCAAAGAAAAGAAACTTCAACTTATTGCGTAGTTCTGTGGCACGTACATTGACTCATCCTAACTTGAAGCTGACGGTAGCATGCTGCATGCAACTGTTCCAGACGCGTGTTCGACATGACATGTCATGGTAAACACGACTACCGGTTCCCATTGCAAGTCGTTATGCTAAACCTGTTGATCTCAATTCAGACCAGTTTAGCATACGTGCTTCCTGTGTGGGGGGTGACGTCGTATGTTTCACATACATCCTTTTCCTGCAGGGTATAAAGTCTTGATGTTTTCGAAATATTTATGTTTTCCATCTCATTCTCCTACCGCACAGATCCTGGTGATTTGTTGCACGACCGTGACAGTATTGCGACAGGCATCGTATTCCTCAGATTTATCTACCCTCCTTGTGTCTCTTAACGCTGCGCTAGACCGCATCCTCTCCTTGTACGCAATTTCATCATGCGCTTCACATCTCAGTTTGTCGCATTCACAAGCATCTGTACGATCATCGCTATCGTGCTTCCACCCCCTGCCGACGCTGCATATATTGCATGCCATCCCAGTGGCAACCGGATTGCCGCTGCATATGAGGCTGATAAGCCCCGCACTATCATTTCACTTCCGAGGCTGACTGCCGGACATGTTCCCAACAAACCCTCCGAGGGCAAAGGAAAGTCGATCACCGATACTCCTAGCTCGGTAAGTTAGCTTGTCTTTTGCTGGCGTCTTCTGATACCTACCAATATTGCAGAGGTTCTTCAGGTTTTCCGATTCCGACCCATCGAGCCCGCTGGCCGGAATTCTGGGTCTCAGTTTTGCTCATGTTCACGGCGATGATGTTCATCCACCTTTCTCGCCGCGCGATACATTCTCACGTCGTCCTACTCCTCTCTCTCGCCGCTCGTCTGCTCTCGTCCATGGTGCAGGTGGAAATAACTATCTAGTCTCCAGGGGAGCAGCCTCCACGCGCTCGTCAAAACGAAGACTGGGTCGTCGCGATACGTCCGGTCTTGTTTCTGGGATTATTGACATTGTGGTATGGAACTTTTTCTCCCCACTTCTATGCTCTTATAATCGCACTTCTAGAGCGGAGGGCAAGGCCAGCACCTCGCATCTCTTGCCCTCGATCCTTCGACATATAACTCCACCAATAATACGTCTACCAACTCGACCAGTAGTAGCGGTTCCTTCCCTCTCAATGCGTCGAGCACAAACGGGACGCAGTTCTACTTGGTCGACGCTAACGACAGCTCATTCAGCGACCCTGGTATTTATCTTGTTGCACTTGTTTTATCGCTGAACTCAAATATCTTCATAGCAAACACGACGAAACACGTCATGGTTCAAACTGATATCTTGGATTCCCTCTACTGCGCGACTTTTGACCCGAACCCGTCTGGGCCTGAGCCAATGGTGATGGAGAAGTGCCGTCCGTCGGAATCCGAAAATGACGTCAAAAACTTGGATTACTCATATGCCAACGGTATGGCGCCTATCGTCGACTACACCATATTGGCTGCGGATCCACACAAAAGCCAGATCTTCGAGTACAATCCCTCTACTGGTGTCATCAAGCCAGTGTGGACGAACAGTGACAGCAGCACTTCCTCGCATGCGATGTTTGTTGAGCGGGACACTACGACTTCTTCCACCACAGGCTCCAACACGATGACATCCGCCGGATCTAGTACCGCCAGCTCCACGTATGCGCCTCGGCCCACCACTTCATCGTCCGTGCCGGAAGCACAGAACGTGACTCTTGTGTTCCGGCCTTCCAGTCTTGCGGTCTCTGCACCTCCGCCTTCTACCAATGTCGCTGACTCGAGCGCGGGCGATGTGGTAACGACGACGATTACCACGACGGTCGTCTACACCGCCACTGCAACTCCGTCTTCATCTTCGTCTTCCGCTGCTGGAAGCCCTATGGCCGCTATCGCTGCACTTACAATGACATCTTCATCATGTTCGTCAATGCCAGTAGCATGCAATTCGACATCCACACCCTCTCCTGCTGTCCACGCTGCTGCTGCTGCTGCTGCTGCAGCTTCAAGCGCGGGGTCGCCTTCTTCGCAAGCAACTTCCACGGGCTCCACCAGGTCCACCACCATCCAAGCTACATCGTCATCGACGCCACCTTCTCCTTCTGTCTACGCTGCCATTGTTGCCTCAAGCCCGGGGTCGTCATCTTCTGAGGCAACCTCCACGAACTCGGCGACCGGCACCCAAGTGACATCACTATCGATGCCGCCCCCTCCATCTGTCCACGCTGCTATTGTCGCTTCAATCCCAGGATCGTCATCTTCTCAAGCAACATCCATGGGCTCGACGACTACCACTCAGGTGACATCGACCTCGCAGCCCGTGAGGGGCTCACTAGAAATCGAGTTCGTCCCGATTGCAGATTCACCGTCTTCTGCGTCCATCACTTCATCTTCCCCGCCATCCTCTTCTTCCTCTCCCACTTCACCTTCATCATCATCCGTAACACCCAGCCGGATGAACGCGGCTGCAATCGCTTCGATAATTGCTAACTCCCGTTCTAGTGCTTCGACGATGAGCGACACTAACACAAGCAGTTCTTCTGTTAGTACAACAGTTGCACCGGCAACCACCGCAAAGTAGGTGGGTAGTCATATCTGAAGCTCGCTTAGATAAGTAGTCTTCAGACTGTAGTTATATCAATGCAATGGATAGATTGTTATATGAATTACAAGAGAGCAAATAAGATGTGTTTTTTGGAACTCGCAAGAATACTTGCACCTGTCCTTCGTCGTCGTGTTGAAAGTCACATGTAGTTGAGGTGGGCTGGCACGACGAACACACTAGACGTCAGTGCGTACATAAGGAATAATGGGACTGTTTGCGCGGAGTCTTATTCACCTGTTGGAACTTTTCTAATTGCAACTCGATCGGAATGACCTCGCTTCAGGTCAAGAAATCAGAAAAGCATCTCATAACATAGATCTACCGAAGATACCTAGCAAAGTAGCCGCGAGCCAGATCCACTACCACTTCAAGAGAAGGCATGAGGGCAATGTATTCCGCTTGCTTCTTGTCCAGTTCTGAGGCTGTCATTGAATCACCAAGACTCAGGAACTCCAGTGGACACTTTGACCATACTAAAATGCTTTAAACTCCTCGTGAGGCCACTGCATCCATACAACGCCAGCCACAAACTCGCGTAAATTGGGGAGTGATAGGGGCATTACGCAGGTTGGAGAATGTTAACGGCGATCTGGAATAATTGATGTGCAAGACTTGCAGCTTCGTGTGCGTGCATGGCTCTACCGGTAAGGAAGGGTGTGTAGTATATTTTAAAGCTATGGAAATCTTGGCTGAGGATAGGTTGGGAGCCTGCTGCAGTAATCTGAGGAGCGCATCTTGTTGGTAAGCAGTGACCTCAACATGTGTGAGATGGGACCATCTGGAATTCTTGAAGAGGTCGAAGCCGGCGAAGTAAAATGAGAACGATAGTCTACTAACTTTGGGACTGCGCAAAGTGAATGAATGGTTCAAGATAGGTCGTGCGACAGTACTCCTCTCATGTGGAAAGTCACTGATCCACCCATCCACGATAAGTACCTGAAGTGTTGGGAGGTCGTTTGCCAAAAGGTCACATGTGACGGGGCAGTAAACGATACGGTGACACGAGATTTGACTCGTGTAAGGCTGAGGAAGCGGGTCAAGGGATTTGGGCGAGACGTAAGTGCTAACGACAATGGAAGTCCTCGCGATCGCTTGAGCCACGTCTTGTAGCAGAAGGCTTCTCGCCGCCTGTTCCAGCGGTGGAAGCTCATAAACCCACCAAACAGTCTGCACCATAAACTCGACGTGCACACAACAACTTTCCTTCATCTACGGCATATCTTGGTCAATAGCATGGGAGATCGTAGCTCTGATGGGGGCAATAATCCATCGAATGGTGGAAGTGTGTGCATAAAATTTTCGGATAAGAGTTCAGCTGCTAAGCAAGAGACAGCCAGCCCAAGCTCCTCGTGTAAGTTCACGGAGTAGATGATCTTGTCCCGCTTGTCGATGAGGTGCTGCCCATCAGCGATGACGGCGCCAACGCTCCGAGTCTAATACGTGCGCATGGCAGGGTGGTCGATATCATTGGAGTGCTGTGTTTCAAGGTCTGGCGCCTGGTTACCGTCAATACTGCGGTATCAGACATATCAGAATAGACATACGATTGGTTGTGACTGCACTGGAGGTGATTGATAATTAATTAATGAGACACGGTTACTTACAACTAGACACTTACGATGTTTTTTGTTTGTTTGCAGGCGCTTTCTGACCCAACTTGGTCGGATGGGCGTTGCAGAGGAGCGACGCTATGGATAAAAGGTTGACCATTAATGCTGAAAGTTGACACTGAACCACGAATAGAGGTGCACTCCGAAACATGCAATCCATAATGAACGGCGTTTGAATTTCTGAGTGCCAATGGCAGTAGTGATTGCTTGAGCCATGTATCGTAGCACAAAGCATCCCGCTCCTAGTCTCCTCATAGACGCAGACAGTTTACACCACAAACTTTGCATGTCCACAGTGACAGCCTTCCTCTATCGTCCATATAATACATATCCAGGTCAACAGTATGGGAGACTGTCACGGTAGCTTTGATGGACGCGATAACTTATCGAATTGCGGGAGAGTACTAGTGTAAATTGAAATGTCGGATAAGAGTTCAGTTGGCAATTTGATGAGTGGGAGATAGTCAATCATGATCAAAGAGTCTCGCCGCCTAATAGAATTTGTGTAATGTCAACACTTCAAAACAGATTTATGTATCGGCTATTTCGTACCACACCTATTCTCCTTGTGCTAGTATATCCCGTACACTCAGTATTCCCTAGGACAGTTCGTAGAGCGCTACGTATTACACGCGGTATGGAAATATAGAAACTCTCTCCGGAACAAGCTTCAATATATAGTAACTCCGACTAATCAGAGTTATTAGGGTTAGAATGTTTTAGGGTTACTATTCTGGACTGTAGATGGTCCAACAGTGACTGCGATGAGCACAGCGAGGCTGAAGCGCAAGCTCGGTGACCTAGGCATCGATACATCCAGCAGAAAGGCAAACGAGAATTTCTGCCTTGTGCGTAAACTTTTCCCATCCTCACAGCTTGCCAACTCTCCCTGACCACCTCAGATCGGCACCCCGTTGCCCCCACTCGAAAAGTCGAAAGACACAGGCGAGTTCGTACCGTTATGGAAGCAAGAGGTGGGCTCTTGTGTGCGTGGTCTTGTTCCAAACTCATGATATTCTTCAGGTGAGGGACGAGAAGGGTCGGAGAAGGTTACATGGTGCCTTTACTGGCGGTTTCTCTGCTGGGTACTTTAATACAGTGGGTTCTAAGGAAGGTGCGTCTACTGGGGAGAGATTCCTACGCAGCATCCCATTTAGCACTCTACTCCAGGATGGACACCGTCAACATTCATATCTTCTCGGTCCGACAGGGCCACCAACAAGAACCGCCCTTCCCGCCCAGAAGACTTCATGGACGAGGAAGATCTCACAGGAATGCATGACGATCAAAAGTTGATCGATGAGCATGAGCAGATGGATTTACTTGGCACACAAGACGAGATGAGAAAACGTGCTGAGGGTGCCGACAAGAAAGAGTGCGTACCACGTATATCCCCTCATGTGATGCATCGCTTACCGGACACATCTCACCAAGCGCAATCACCCTCGCACTCGAGAGGTCTCTCCTCCCAGCACCAAAGGACTCTGTAGGCGCTCGAATTCTGAAGAAGATGGGCTGGCGCATTGGCCAGGGTATCGGCCCACGGATAACATGGCGTCAGCGTGAAATGGCATTCGGCCGAGACCCGGATGTGCCTTCCGATGACATAGACGAGGAAGCGAAGAAACACCTGTACGCCCCTCGAGACACGCCACTAATCATCGTCGAGAGGAAAGATAACTTTCACGGCTTGGGCTATGACCCTGGACTAGGGCTGCATGCGAGTCTTGGCGTTGCGCCTGAGACTTCCAAACAATCCAACGGCCCACGTTTAGCTGGCGCGTATTCTTGCTGTTGCTTCTGTATGCGATCTTTTGACTCTGACTTGTGACGACAGGTGGTTTTGGCCTCGGCGCGCTGAATGATGCAGACGACGACGACTTAGATGTTTATGATCAGTCCCAAGTTCACGGTAGGAATCGTCATGCATACGATGCGAATGATCTCCATGATGAGGAGCGGGTTTTTATGAGTTCGCGATCGCAAGGCGCACGGGATTTAGGAAAGGTAGCACAACCTCAAGTAGGTCCTCATCTGAGGGAACTGGGACATTACGGTTCAGCTTATGAATTCTAGAGACCTTCTACTGGGCTAGTAACGTTTCGTGATGGGAGACAGCCTTTAAACGGGTTCGTCATATCCGAGAAACCCGTAGCGGAGGATCTTTGGTTAGTAGCTCTTTTTGCGCGTACGTTCCTCATGGGATATTCACAATCACCAGCTTCCCAATACCAGATGTGCCAAAAGACTGGACGCCAAATCCCAAACGCGTTTGGGAGAGGGAGAAAGCTAATTCAAAAGATAAAGAGAACGCAGCCATACTTCCTCCGTCACAAACTCAGTCGCACGCCCAATGGAAAACAGGCATCTCTGCGAACCAGGTTTGACAAAGTTCATCTTCTACAGATCTCACGTGCTTACATGCTATGAATAGCGGGGAGCAGCACTCGGTGAGACACCCCTCCCTTCTGCACCCAGGTCCATCTTCGAGTACATCTCCAAGAAAGACCAAGAACGCATTAAGAACACCACTGGGAGCCGCTTTGCTCCCCCTTCCACGTCGGATGATCCATCGCCAGGCCTTTCACTCCCCACGCCCCCTAGGATCACACACACCGAGCCCCACGTTGCCCAAGCTGCTCTCCACGGTTTTCAGCCCTTCACGGCCGATCCTTCTAAGCAGGCAAGGTACACTGCCTACCTCCGTGCACACGCAAACCCTGGCTCAGGCGCAATTCCACCCGCACAGGAAGCCTGAGCAGACACCCGAGGAGTTCGCAAAAGAGATAAGCGATTATGCAAAGTCAGCTGCGTTGTTCCGCCCCGTTTCTGGAGCCATGGCTGGGCGGTTTACAAGTGCCGCTGTTCTAGATCTCGGGCCGAAGATCGTCGAGGGCCTGCATACGCCTGCTGCACAGCCAGAAGAGGGGGCGGACAGTATGGACGTGGCGGAGGAGAAGCCGAAGGAGGAAGTAAAGGAAGAAGCTCCGAAGGTGCATGCTGCTCGACTGGGCATGTATGGTGTTATGACACGCGAGGTGTGTACGTGGCAGCCTGCACGGCTACTGTGCAAGCGCTTTGGCGTCAAGGACCCGGATCTGGAGGTCCCTGTCGATACCTCTGGGCCGTCAGCGCAGGCTGCGGCACCTGAGTTCACGAGCACAGCGTCAGCAGACGAATTCGCAGGTGCAAGTGCGGGAGCGACGCAAGTGGACAGTGGGGGGTCCGGGAGTAGCAAGCGCGACGTTGCGAATATTGGCTTGGGGGAAGATGATGGGCAGGGGGATGACGTGCTCACGTATGAGCGTCCCGGGATGGATATTTTTAAAGCAATTTTTGCGAGTGATGATGAGGAGAGCGATGAGGAGAAGGATCGCATGGACAATGACGACGAGGTGGACGAGCCCCCTGCTGTCTCTGTGCCAGCTGGGCCGTCTCAACCAGGCCCGGATGTCAAGCCACCACCACCAGCGAATGGTATCGTGGAAGATGTTGACCTGGCTACGTTCAAGCCTACCTTCATACCCAGGGGATCCAAGCCGAAAGACGGGGAAAAGGAAAAGAAGGAAAAGAGAAACAAGAAACAGAAGAGTTCCAAGGGTGGCACGCTTGTTTCTTTTGATGTAGACGAGGATGGGGGAGAGTCATTGTCGCTCACTGCTGCGCGTCAAACACACCGAGATCGGGATAGCGAGAGGCCGAGGAAAAAGAAACGGAAGGATCGGGATCGGGATGGAGGTGAGGATATGTGGGTTGAAAAGCCCCCGCCGGATATCGTGAAGGCCCTGCCTATCACTGATGTGTCCCCTGATGAAGGCGGTCAGGTTAGTGGACAGGAAAGCGGACCTCCTCGTGCTCGTAAGAGGGCAATTGATTTCATGTAACATTATATTCTGCTAGGATATATATATATGCAGGTTCAAAAGTTGGCGTCGATTTCGGCGTGTAGCTGCGTCTCTTGTAATGTTTCGCACTTCCTTTTTCCTGCAGTGGGAGCCGACAAGGAAGTCAAACTTCACTTGAAGGTCTACTCAGTGTCATGTGCATCCATGCATGCACATGGGCTCTCACCACACATCCTATCTCAGCGACCATCCAGATCCTGCCAGTGCATGCTGTCTCTAACGTTGTTGATCGGTTATGTCGGCGATGTAATGTGCACAAAAGGTTTGGCCCAGTGCATCAAATTTGCTGAAGCCATCGAGTGCAATTGCCCTTCGACAAGTATTCACCCGCTGAGTCGCTTTGCAAGGCCAGTAGGCATGGCGAGCGTTGTGACAGCAGCTAAGTTAGTATGAGATGAGTGCGGGCTAGTACTATGCTTATGTACAACTTGATCCAAATGTGCGGAAGTGGAAGCTGAGATTGCCGGCAGCTTCAAACCACGCCATCCTCCTCGAACGTTTTAACCTGTGCATTGTGCAACAAACAACATGCAGAGCCAGACGGTTAACCTAAATGTCGACTTCTCCTCACTCTCTGATGCAATCGGTATACTGCAGAATATCGTAAGAGCTTAGTTTTATAGGCACTCGCCAGTCTGAGTATAACAATAATTAACATTCATTTCAACTCGCTCGTTCTCAAGTACTTATGTCGAATCTGTATGATGCACCAGTTCCATTCGTTTAAAATAGTCAGATGCCAGACCTCGAAACCCCATACTCCCGAGCCAGATTTTTTCCTGCCAATCACTCTGCTATCGAACTCAAAGACTACGGTATCAGCGCCATTGTCACTGAACGCCAGGAGCAATTGGATGGAGTTTTGTATGAGAACTCAGGCCTGGAAACAGTGATGGACAGTATCAACCATATTCACCGATAACTCGTCGAAAAGAAGGACAAGATCGCCCAGTCTATTAATTTGCACAACAAATTTGCAATGGCTCTCTAGCGCTTGCCAACTGAAATCACATCCCAAATTCTTGTCCATTCTCTCCCGAAATACCGTTACTTGTATCCTTCATCAAAGCTCGCACCCCTGCTCTTGACGAGAATTTGCCGCCGATGGAAGGATGTTGCTGTGGGTTTGCCCAGTTTATGGTGTAGGCTATACTTGGACGTCAACGAAGTCCATGGCAGACTGGCAGCCGATAGCTTCTGCTATGACTCATGGCTCAGAAGATCACAAGGACTTCCACCCATTGGAATTTCAGTGCTACACAGGTAACTCGACTACCAAAATACGAAGCCTTATTCAGCCTTACGTCAATCAAATCTCGTCTCTTTCTATCCGTTTTTCCCTCGACGCCGACAAACTTGAACATATGTTAACAGATCTCCCAGCGCTTCGGGAACCAGCAATAGGTGTCAGTGGTGATTCCGCTATTTCAGCTATTACACAATCTGTTTCGCAACTGTCGTTCACTATGCGCGACCTCAAAGTAACATGGCCAGTATTCCAACTCGAGGACTTCTCTGCCTTCAATCCCCTATTGGCTCACTTGACAAATCTCGAGCTTGCCATTAGTCAAATGGATCTAGTACCTCACTTGCTCTATCTGTGTGCCGACCTCTCTTCGTTAACGATTCGTGCAGGTGCCAAGTCCCAGCTACTACGAACTATCGAGTCCTTCACACATACCAAACTTCAATCCTTACGGGTTGCTCATGACCTCAGGAACACAATACCTTTAGCGGCCCGTTCGTTGCCCTATCACTCCCCGATCTACATTTGCTTGAAGCTCGCTATATACAACCATTCCAAACACATGCCCAGTTCGATGCCCTGCCACCTCCAGATTTGCTTCAACTTAAAGCCTGTAAAAGAAAAAGAATATGGCCTCATGCGCAATTGACGGCATTCTCGGCAGGGTCAAATTGTCCGCTGGAGAGTTTGGTCTTTGGTGCTGGAGTGACGGCGACAGATGAGCAACGAGCGACATACATTGCCCATATGTAGTCGTGGATCCCATGTGTTATGGTCGCGATTAATACATGTAATGATATTGGGCTACAGGGACTTGTAGTCGCTCTACGCCACTACCACTTTGTAAGCTATCTCTCTTCGCAGCTCCAAATAAGTTAATGTGTCTATAGCAGGACCAACCCTATTTAGGCAGCCAACTAGTGATCCAGACCCATCATCCGTGCCCTATCAGCACCGACTCGTACATTGTCTCGTTGTCCCTATAATAATTCCAATGATTACTCTGCACCCCATGTGTATCCTAGTAGGAGACGAGAGAATAAAGGCGTCGCTGCCAATGATGCAGCGGTGGCACTACTCGGACAGCGGACAAAGGGAAGCCTTTTGGCTAGCCTTTGACCTAGCATGCAAGGTACGTAGTGATCTCAACAAGTGTGATTGTATGAAGTGGCACCATGCCTTATATTCTTTCACTGGAGCGCAAATATTATACATACCCCCCTTTCACAGGTGCTGCCGTGTGGCGGTGGTATTGTGACCTAGCCAGATGTTTATAAGCAGTCAAGTTATAGTGGTATAATTTATTTTCATCTTCCTTGAACATCTTGACCTGCCCCATGTTACATTGTCAACGACATGCAGACAGTCGGTAACTCAAAATTTGTCAAGTTCTCCTCGCTCTCTGCCGATACCAATGGTGAACTGCAGAAGATGGTACATGATATTGTAAGTGCTCAGTTTTATAGGCTCTCGGTTCTGAATGTAATAAGAACAGCCGTATATATTCGCTACCGATCGTTCACAAGCAATCGTATGTCATCAACTCTGCACGATATTTCGGGAATTTGTTCATTGATGATGACCAGATACCAGACCTCGAGATTCTGCACTCCCAGGCCGGTTTGACCAACGACTGCTCTGCTGGAAGGTTCGAGGCCCCATGTATTCGTGCAATTATTACCGAACACCAACAGCAGTTGGATGGAGTTTTGCGCGAAATGTCAGGCCTGAAAACAGTCGTGGATACTGTCAACAACCTTCACGAACAACTCGTCAAAAAGCAGGACAAGATTACCCAGTCCATGAATTTGCATAAGCGACTCATATCATCTCTCTGGGGTCTGCCAACTGAAGTCCTATCCCAAATTTTTATTTACTGCCTTCCGGAAGATAGCCACCTATCGCTCGCACAAAACCAAGCTCTGGTGCTATTGACCAGAATATGCCGAAAATGGAGGAATGTTGCTGTGGACATGCCCATTTTATGGTGCAGGCTGCACTTGAAGCTCAAGAACCGTAGAAACTTGCAGCAGCAAGAAAATCTCTACCACTTATGCCTGGAGCGATCACGAGGACGTCCGCTCTCGTTGCTAATCGATTGCTATGCAAACCAGATGGTCAAGTTGCAAAAGTTTCTTCAGCCTCACGGCTATCACATCTCGTCTCTCTCTATCCCTTGTGTCCGCGGCACCCCCGAGGTATTTAGGGGATTCCTAGCACACCAGGAGCTGGTTTTAAACAACACGACCAGTCGTACTTCGTCAACTGTTGCGAATTGCATCGAGGTAGTTCCATCGACCGTGCGCAGTCTCAAGGTTACAGGGTCGTTCTCCCTCGACAGGGACTTATCTCCTATCGCTGCATCGGCTCGCCTGACACATATCGAGGTCTCACTATGCTCCCTGAGTGTGGTCATCCGCTTGATCCGTCCATCCTCCAACCTCTCCTTGTTAGTGATTCATAAACATACGAGCGAGCGAATCCCAGCTACCGACTCGACCATGGTGCTGACGCACACCACACTTCAATCCTTACGCATCCTCGACGCCGACACGGGCGCGACCTCCCTACTACCTAGCCTGTTCAATATTGTGACATTCCCCAATTTACGCATACTTGAAATTTCGGGTTCACGAGCATGGCCTTATGAAGAAGTAAAAGCATTCTTGACACGGTCGAACTGTCCCTTGGAGAGCCTGATTATCGGCGCTGGGATGGTAACGACAGATGAACAGCGAGCAGAGTATGTTGCCCTTATTCCTTCCTTGGTAGTAACACATTTCCTAAAATGATGATATTGGGCTTCACGTATTTATGCAATGGGCTTATCTTTATTGTCTTCTATGCTACTAGTACTATAGGTGTTTGTCTGCCCTGGTTGCCGACGGTGAAGAAGTGAATATCTCTGGCACCATTAACCCTTTGTGGTCTCTGAGAATACGATCGACCCCGATGACGACGAGAAAAAATGAAAGCTTATTATCACACCTTATTTGCATGTACGAGAAATATATTCAAGTTTCACGCTGTGACACAATTTTGAGTAGCAACACGTGGATAGCTAGAGTGGCATTTGTGAATACGCAAGGAGAACCAACAAGACCGCATGAATATCTTGAATTAATCCTCGTCGATATCAGTGTTGAAGTCCGAAGGATCCGACATGATAGGTACGAGCGAGAGAGAGAGGTCCGAGCGCATGAGGCAGACGGGCCAATAGGCTGCGCCCAAATGACATCGGCTTGCGCCCTGCAATATACATATGTCAGAAAACTTCACCTTTGCGTTCCTTACTTACCTTCCTATAAAACCAAGCGCCCATCAGACGCGCACATCTCAGTTCTAGTTGAAACTGAGATGTGAGTACTTGGAAACATGTATGTCAGCAATTACTGACCAAAACCGTAGCGTACCTTTGTGTTCTAGGTACTATACACGTTAATATGAGTTCTAGTTGAAACTGAGATCGTACCTTTGTGTTCTAGCTCCCTCTCCCGTCGTTCGCTCGCCTGTTCTCGCAACAATCAGCAGTAGCTTGGGAGACGGTAATGATAGGGTAATTAGGGATGTACTCCGTGCATGCAAGGATACGGATCTGTCACTTCCCAATTTGGGCTCGCTTCAAGTTGAAGCTCGCTATATACAACTATTGCACGTATCCTCCGTGTTCGATACCCCACACCCCCCAAGCATCAGAGAACCTGTGAGAAGAAGATATCGTAATATATAGGAAAGGTTTTCGTCACATTAGAATATAAAGTGATATAAAGCAATATAAAGCAATATATGGCTATGTAAAAGCACCATAATCAGCATAATCCCCAGCAAGAACTCACGGGTTTACTGATGTAAAGTGCATGAGTTCGCAGCTCGCGCCGTGCAACCACCTCATGAACAGTTGACGGCATGCTTGTTACAGTCAAATTATCGCCTGAAGACCCTGACTTTTAGTACTGGAGTGACAACGACGGATGAGCAGCAAACAGAATACATTGCCATATTCCCTCCCAAAGTAGTGGTGGATCCCACGTATAATCACTCTTAAGACTTCATCGTCATAAGCCATTCGACTGCCACGGCCGCTGTGCATGTCTGCATTTTGAGGGGCGCTGACAGTCTACACTTGTCTCACTGAGCCCCAGAATGCTCCCAAGCTCCTCCCAGGCGTGTTTGGTTTTCATTTTGCTTGATGTGTGCGCACCGCACTAATCATGATAGTAGGCGGTAGTTGTACTCAAATGCGAGCTTCGGGAAAATGCGTCTGCGATTTGAGCAGAGGTGGGCGTTGTCTCGATTGCACTGCGACTAGTTGCCTAGTCTCTGGCTTGGGTCCCAGCGGATCCTGGGCCCGGTAATGAAAATACAGAGTTACAAACTCCAATTGTCATGAGCCTCATTGGACCTGATGCACACGCCACCGAGTAAGATTACACTTTGACATGCGCTTGCTCGATCTTGTCGTCGCCATCCTTTCAGGTCTTGGAGAGTACGGGTATCCAGATTCAAGACGTACCACAGATGTGATTTGCAGACTCTTTATACTGGTCTACAGCGAGCCGTAAGGTGAGACCTTGGACCTGAAAGTTCTTGTACTGTGAATAATTGCTTTTTTTTTTTTTTGATTCCAGTTTCTGTCCTTTGCAGAGTAATACTCTATGTAGGACAATACGAACTAATCTAAGGGACCCCCGGTGTCCTATCCGCATCTCTAGAATACGCGAATGCCCTGATGTGAGGCGTACCCCCATCAGTCCGCCGTTCCTGCTGGCCGTTTTAGACGCGCTGTTCGAAGAGTGAGATGACTTTTTAAGGGTACTATGTGCGTAATATGTAGGCTGTCATGATATCGAATTGACACGTACTCGGCCGCAAGCAGCGGGCTGGTACAGGATTTTGTGATATGAACATGTATGGTATGGGTGGTCCTTGGAGGCAGAAGGAGTGGCCAGATACGCGTTTGGTGGGTGAATCCATGTAGGCGAGTGGGTGGTGGTGTACAGAGATTATACAGGTGTGTTGTTACATTATTTGAGGGTGAAGGTGGGGGGGGTGGTTCGTTCTTGCGGGGTTTGTTTACATTCATTTTTATCTACATATTTACGAAGCTTTATCAGTCCGGTGGCTTGCGAGGCAGGGGTACTTCACCGAATGTCTTGCTGAGTCGTTTTGTGGAGTTGATGAACCGGACGAGGCTTGGTGTGGCAGAGGGGTCTGAGAGGAGGAAGGATAGGGACATGGCATCGCGACCCAGTTCTAGGAGTAGCGCATGGTGCTCTCTACGGTATTGTGGGCAGTCGAGAAGGTAGTGCGGTACTGTTTCGTCCACATTTGGACAGTGCGGACAACTGGGAGAGGGAGCTTTGCCTATGTGGTGCAGGTACTTGCGGAGGGGGATATGCTGCGTGCGTAGAGCAATATAGAGGCCGGTTAGGCGTTTAGGGAAGTCCGCAGTCAGCTTGACAAAGGAACGATGCAGCAACTTGGGGTCAATGCGATTCATACGATTGAATCTCGGTGATTTGCGCCAGGGGCGCTTCCAATGTTCATCAGTTACTTTGTGGTGGGCTTGCTGCAGCGCGGATATGCTTAGTGGTAAGGTGTTGTAACGTAGGAATTCGGGGAGGGTTCCTGATGGGCTGTTACAGTGCCGGCCCTCTGCTGCCTTCTTTGCGTGCTTGTCGGCTTCTTCATTCCCATGGACGTCAGAGTGGCCCGGTACCCATCTTAGTGTGATTCGGAAGTCTGCTTCGTTCCTGGCTAACTTGTTGAGACGTTCTCGGAAGCGATCGATTAAGTAGGATCCTGGGTTCGAGTAGTGGCTCTCACCGGCTTGGATGACAGCTTGGTTGTCCACGAAAATGGAGATAGGGTAGACGGGGTCCTCTTCTGTGACAATGAGTTCAGCAGCTAACGTGAGACCTACCGCTTCAGCTTCGAAAACCGTGTGCTCTTCATCGGATCCTAGATGAAAGAGGAGTTTGTGGGGTTGACACCCTGTTCTGAACAAAATCGCTGCTGCGCCAATCTGGCCTTGGTGTCCCGAGCCGTCACTGTACACTTGTATAGAATAATTGCTTGAATGTTGCGATACTCAAGTGGTGTGGGGTAGACGTGTGGGCAGCGATCGATAACACAACATTGCTGAACACTGCAGTGACACGTCAATGATGAAATGCGGGCTCGTGTGGCTTTGACTGTAATGCGAGCTCACTGATGCATGATTGCAACAAGAATGGACACGAGAAGATTATGAGCGAATGAGAAAAACTGAAACCAGTTGAGCCGGGAGTCAGCTGAGAAACCGAGATGAGCTTGAAGCAAAGGGCTGTAAGCAAGGCTGTGACACCTTTGAAAATTATGATTTATATAAAACGTATATTGAAAGATAGACACTTCTCCATTAGAAGCGGGTTGGAGACGTGATGAGAGAAATTTGGTTGCATCTGGCACACAAGCAGATCTTGGGAATCGATAAGATGAGGAGATGATATGGCAGTATGCTAAGTGCACTCGGACACGTTGCATGATGAAATGTTGGAGAAACTGATATTTATGCTGCAATCTATGTGGGATAGATAGCTTTCAGCCAAATTCGAAGACCGGGAAGTAGCAAGTGCGCTATGCCATTGGACGGGACGGGGTATATTCTGGAAGCTGTGAAGACATGAGTCGAACACATGTACACAGTGCTGTCAAGGCGGTTATAACTTGTAGGCCCAGGGACCATTCTTGCCGGAACGGAGGCGAACTGCCTCGTGTCTTGGGCGTATGGAAGGAAACAAATTAGGTTAGGGTAATGAATAGCAAAAACGCATAATACACACACCTCTGCAGCTTAGAGAAAGACACCCACAACCCCCCGACCGTGCTCAACATCAAGTAAAATGTTACAGCTCATTCCAAGCACCACACCCCTTCGAACTTTTGATGATCATGAGCTTGCCGTAATGGCAGTCGCAGTTTTCCCAGATAAGCGACGAATGGTTTCGGGCTCGGACGACAAGACACTTCGTCTTTGGGACTTGGAGACAGGTGTTGTGTTGAAGAAGATGGAGGGACATCGCAATTGGGTGTGGGCATTGGCGGTATCACGAGATGGTCAAATAATAGCAAGTGGTGATTCAAAAGGAGAAATCATCGGCTGGCACGGTGAAACTGGTGAATCTCTCACTCAACCCATCAAAGGCCACTCCGATTGGATGAACTCATTGGATTTTTCTCCGGATGGTGCGGTGCTGGCCACTGGTTCAAGGGACAAGATGGTGAAGTTTTGGTGTACCAAAACGTGGCAGATGCAAGGAGAACCAATCAAGTATGATTCTGATCCCACTTGCGTGAGCACGGCCCACGTTCGATATTCACCTTCTGGTGAACTTCTTGCCATCGGAACATTCGGGAACATCGGAATTTATAATCCGGGCACGAGGGAATGTGTCGCATCTTTCAAGGCTCAGCGCTCACGCAACATCACTCTGCATGTGGACACCCGATGGCACACGCATTCTTTCAGGAGGCGAAGGTCCAGATCATAGTGGTATCATACGAGAGTGGGATACAACGACTTGGAAGCAGGTCGGTCATCCCTGGGAAGGTCACACCAACGTTATCACCACCATTGCCATTCATCCTGCTGGCACCCTCGCTGCTTCTGCATCTTTTCACACCGATCGTGATATCCGTCTCTGGCGGTTCTCAGATCGACGAACCATCGCCATCTTCCAGTCCTCGTCCTGGCCAGAATCTGTGACTTTCTCTGCGGACGGCAAGCATATCTTCAGCGCAGGCGAATTTAATAAGATCTCAGAGTGGGCAGTACCCAATTCAAAGGTAAGTTTCCATTCTTGACTCATGTACCACAAGTAGATCATCCTTCGTGCAGATATAAGGTATTACGACAGCCTGCGATGCATGCATCGCTGGGGACCTGGACGCCGCTCAAGAGTTACTCACCCAAGAGATCCACACGGACACTAACGAGTATATTTTATATTCCCATCGCTCATTCGTTATGTCCCGAAAACACGCCTGGGACCTTGCCCTCGATGATGCAATCAAGGTCAGTTATACTGACCCATCATGGCCCTCTTACTGAAGGCTTGCTTCATTCGTGATATAGTCCATCAGCATTCAGCCCTCATTAACAGGCTACATCTCAAAGGGCATCACCCTCTGCGGAAAAGGCCACATCCGGGAGGCAAGGATAGCATTCGACGTCGCATCCATGTTCACGAACCAAGATTCAGAAACCAACCATTGTCTTCTCCTGATCAAGGTAAATTCCATTTGTCTCGCATATTCTCTGTTTCATTGCGGTTTTCAGGCCATCGCCCTCTTCAATGCAGATCAACATGAGGAAGCAATGTTGCTCATCAAAGAGCTAGCTGCCGCTTGTCCGGAAACTGGTCTTCTCGGGTGTCGTGTCGTGGAAGTAAGTGCCATGCGGCTACGCTTGGTGATCGATGCTGATCTTTACACCTCGTATGTTAGGCATATCTACGCGTTCAGCTCGGAATCAATGCTTTCGATGGCGCACGTCATGACGAAGCTGCTGACCTCTTCAGCGCTGCTGTCAACTCGGGCGCTTTCTCATCGAAATTCATACCTCAAATATATGAGGATTTGACTGTGGTGCGTCAAGATGATGCATACATAGTGCTTTTCATGACTGAGTGCTTTGTTCAGCTGTTCGGCTGGGATCTCGAGTCTTTGTGTCTCACTGCCCACCAGAAACGGTGCCAAGCATTCCTTTCGGCAGGTAAACTTGATGAAGCCCTCGAAGCACACCGATACATGATGGGTGCAATGGACAAATCTGCAAAGGCGAAATGCTTCGATTGGTTCAATGGCAAGTCCAGATTTCGTGGTGTCACGTAGACTACAGTCCTCACCCATATTTTGCTCAGCTTTCAAGCAAGAATGCAGTGTGCTCTGTGCCGCCAATGGAGATGCCGCCCTCATTGCAGGCGATTATGACAGGGCTATTGACCTCTACTCGGCAGCAGTCAACCTCGATCCTGCATTTGATGCTGTCTTTGCAAATCGTAGTAAGGCAAAGTTAGGTAAGATGCTATGGATGGAAGGACTTCTCGATGCGCAGAAGGTGCGATGCCATTCGTTGTCTCATAACTGGTGCTCATTGTCGTGATGCATAGGTTCTTGAACTCGACTCTTTGTCTTATCTTGGATACAATTTGAAGCACGCAGCGCTTCATGGTGCACGTCGCTATGACGAAGCGATCCAGACCTTCGAAACGATGTTCTCCAAATTGGATGATGCATCCGACGTTCAGACCCGAAGTTAGCCTTTGAATAACACATTCGCCAACATGTTTAACTCTTTCTCCAGAGCTGTGCCAGCATCTCAGACCCTCTGAGGTCGAATGTGCTATTCGACGAGTCATTGATGCCCAACTTGACAATGCTCCGCTCCATGTACTCAACACCACCAGCGGTCTCTTATGCGATCGAGAAGCGCAGATAAGCGCTTTCAAAACGTGCGAAGAGTATAAAGAGCTTGTGTCATCAACAATCATGCATCGAGAACTCCCCATGGAGCACATCGAAGAGGTGGTGATGTCGTATCTCCAATATGCCACGTTATCACACAGGTGGGAAGGGAAGGAGCCGCTGTTGCAGGATATCCAGGGCAAGAACATCTATGACTCGGAGTTGGATCCAGTTGGTGGCATGACAAAGTTGCGGTCCTTCTGCACAACTGCTCGTGATGCGGGGTGTAACTGGGCATGGAGCGATACATGCTGTATTGATAAGAGCAATGACGTCGAACTCCAAGAATCAGTTAACTCCATGTTCATCTGGTATCTTCACTCCGCACTCACGATTGTCTACCTGTCGGATGTTCCGCCTTCGTCAAAACCTGGCGCACTGGCAAAGAGCGCTTGGAACACGCGTGGATGGACGGTTCAAGAATTCATCGCTCCCAAAGTCATTCTCTTCTATCAGAATAATTGGACCCTTTATCTTAATGATTGTACTCCAAACCACAAGGAGTCCGTTGCAATCATGCAGGAGTTAAAGGACGTGACGAGCATAGACCCACTAGCCATTGCGGCCTTCCGTCCCAGTATGAATGGTGCCCGAGAGAAACTTCATTGGGCCTCAACCCGCATTACCACGCGTCAGGAAGATGTCGCATACTCGTTGTTTGGCATCTTCGGTGTCCGCCTACCTGTAAATTATGGCGAGGAGCAGGACAAGGCTCTCGGGCGGCTCCTGCAGGAGATCGTGGATCAGTCGGGTGACATCACTGGCCTCGACTGGGTCGGAAAATCGTCAGAGTTCAATAGCTGTCTACCAGCCTCCATCACTTCATACGACACTCCAGCATGCAAGCTACCACCTCTACTCGAAGATGAAATCCAGTCATCGGTTTCTTCGCTGCGAAAGACGGTAGCTGCTGATTTCGCTTCAAACCTTTATACCCTGCTTCACAACGTGAGCGCCCCTCGCTTCGCAGCACAGAGACTGCACCTGCCTTGCATTGTATTCAATGTCAGGGAAGTCAGACGGGTGCGCAGTCCAGCACCAGAAACTCTGTTCACGTATGGAGTGAAGGCAGACGGGCTTCACGACTTACTTATCACAACCGAAGAGACCCTGGTTCAGTTCTGGCCTGCAAGGCCCACTGAGAAAAAATTTGTCCTTGTCCGTCCTTGGGATCGGTCTCTCCTCAAGCTATCTGACTTTGTAGAACCGACTAAATTTGTGGAACCGTCTGACTTTGGACATGATATGGAGAGCGAGGAGGATTATTGCACGCCACCTTCTTCCCCGTCAGATGCCTGGTCCAGTGGTTCTCCTGTAAATCAGGGGGTGGTTGACCTAGAATCATGAGCATTCCGGTTGCTTGTTTGCCTTGGGCAGCCTTTCGGTGCATTCTTGCTAGCGCAGCAGGGCAGTGGAGAATATAAGAGGATCGTGTCAGATCATGATATCATTGGACAAGTCAATGACGTGGTTTCTGTTGGAGACTTGATGGACATCAGGACCATAGAAATATTGTAGTCGTATGTTTTTCTTTTAAAGTTTATGGATTTCTGAGCGGTTTGCATTTATGCTTCAAAGATCATATTCGTACAGTATACGTATCATATATGCATGTGAATTGGACTACATCCTTACTTATCATTTCTTGCAACTTGGATGGGTTCATCATATTTGAAAAATGCGCAGTGAAGGACCTTTGGTCAGTAGCTCTTTTACGCGCATGTTGCTCAATGGGATATTCACAATTACCAGTTTCCTAATACCAGATGTCCCGAAAGATTGGATGCCAAATCCCAAACACATTTGGGAGAGGGAGAAAGCTAATTCAAAAGATAAAGAGAACGCAGTTATACCTCCTCCGTCACATACTCAGTCGCACGCCCAGTGGAGAATAGGTATATTTGCGAGCCAGGTTTGACAAAATTCATCTTCTACAGATCTCACATGTTTACATGCTATGGACAGCGGGGCTCCCTTCTGAACCCAGGTCCATTTTCGAGTACATCTCCAAGAAAGACCGAGGATGCATTAAGAACATCGATGTAAGCCGCTTTGGCCCCCTGTCCACGTCGGATGATCCCTCGCCAGGTCTCTCACTCTGCACGTCTCCCAGGATCACACACACCAAACCTCGCTTCGCCCAAGCTGCCCACCATGGTTTTCAGCCCTTCATGGCCGACTCCTCTAAGCAGGTGAGGTGCACTGCCTATCTCCGCGTATGCAAATCCTGGCTCAGGTGCAATTCCACCCGGTTAGAAGCCCGAGCAGGCACTTGAGAAGTTCGCAAAAGAGATAAGCGATTATGCAAAGTCAGCTGCGTTATTCCACGCCGTTTCTGGAGCCACGGCTGGGCGGTTTACAAGTGCCGTTTGTTTGGATCTCGGGACAAGGATCATCTCGGGCCTGCACACGCCTGCTGCACAGCTGGAAGAGGGGGCGGATAGTATGGATGTGGCACTCAACTGGGCATGTGACGCGCGAGGTGTGTACGTGGCAGCCTCGGCGGCTGCTGTGCAAGTGCTTTGGCGTCAGGGACTCGGTTCTGGAAGTCCCTGTCGATACCTCTGGGTCGTCAGCGCAGGGTACGGAGCCTGAGTTCACAGCACAACGTCAGCAGACGAATTCACGGGGGCAAGGGAGGGAGCGACGCAAGTGGAGAATGGGGACTCTGGGAGTAGTAAGCGCAATGTTGCGAATATTGGCATGAGGAGAGGGATGATGTGCACATGTATGAACAACCTGGGATGGATATTTTTAAAGCAATTTTTGTGAGTAATGATGAGGATAGTGACGAGAAGGATCGTATCAATGATGTTGATGAGGTGGATGAGCCCCCTGCCGTCCCTGCACCGTCCAAACCAAGCCCAGATGTCAAGCCACTACCAGCGAATGGTATCGTGGAAGATGTTGACCTGGTTACGTTCAAGCCTACCTTCATACCCAGGGGATCCAAACCAAAAGACGCGGAGAAGAAGGAAAAGAGAAACAAGAGATAGAAAGGTTCCAAGGGTGGTGCGCTTGCTTCCTTTGATGTAGATGAGGATGGGGGAGGGTCATTGTCGCTCACTGTTGTGCGTCAGAAACACCGAGGATGGCGAGAGGTCGAGGAGGAAGAAACGGAAGTATCGAGAGGGGGATGGAAGTGAGGATATGTGAGTTGAAAAGCCTCCACCGGATATCATGAATGCCCTGCCTAATGTGTCCTCTGGTGAAGGCAGTCTCCCGTGTAACGCGCATCACCATCGACTGTGCTATCGCCATTAGATGGAGGAGATATATTCTGGAAGATGTGGAGACATGAGTCGGAAACATGTACACAGTGCAGTCGAGGAAGGTGGTTATGACTCGTGGAGAGCATCCTTGCTGGAACGGAGGCAAACTGCCTCGTGTCTTGGGCGTCTACGGAAATGAGTTAGGTTTGGCGTGGTGAAGCAGCATAGAAACGCACAATACACGCATCTCTGCAGCTTAGAGAAAGACATCCACTATCCCTCGACCGTGCTTGACACCCTCCCAGTAAAATGCCACAGGTCATTCCAAGCACCACGCCCATTCGAACTTTTGAGGATCATCAATATGCCGTAATGGCAGTCGCAGTTTTCCCCGATAAGCGACGAATGGTTACGGGCTCGCACGACAAGACACTTCGTCTTTGGGACTTGGAGACAGGTGTTGTGTTGAAGAAGATGGAGGGGCATAGCAGTGCAGTGACGGCATTGGCGGTATCACGAAATGGTCAAATAATAGCAAGTGGTGATGGCAATGGAGAAATCATCACCTGGCATGGTGAAACTGGGGAATCTCTCACCCAACCCATCAAAGCCCACTCTGATTATATCTTCTCGGTGGATTTTTCTCCGGATGATGCAGTGCTGGCTACTGCAGCTGGTGTAAGGGACAAAACGACGAAGTTTTGGTGTACCAAAACGTGGCAGATGCAAGGAGAACCAGTTGACTGTGGTGATTATGTCTTCTGCGTTCGATATTCGCCTTCCGGTCAACTTCTTGCCATCGCAACAGGACAGAATATCCAAGTTTATAATCCAAGCACAAGGGAACGTGTCGCATCTTTTGGGGGTTACAGCTTGTCACTCGCATGGACGCCAGATGGCACACGTCTTCTTTCAGCGGGCAATTACAGTGATCCTACCATACGAGAGTGGGATCTGTTGACCTGGCAGCAGCTCGGTGATCCCTGGAAAGGCCACACCAACAAGATCAATGCCATTGCCATTCATCCCGCTGGCACCATCGTCGCTTCTGCGTCTAATGACAAGCAAGTCCGTCTCTGGCGGCTCTCAGATCGACAAACCATCGCCATCTTCCAGCATTCATCCGTGCAGACACCTGTCACTTTCTCCTCGGACGGCAAGCACATCTTCAGCGGAGGCGGGAATAAAAAGATCTCACAGTGGGCTGTCAGCAACGCTAATTCAAAGGCGAGTTTCTATCTTTGATCCTCAGAACACAATTCGAGCATCCTTCGTGCAGGTACTGGATATCACGACAGCCCGCGATGCATGTATAACTGGGGATCTGGACTCCGCTGAAGAGTTGCTCACCCAAGAGATCCACACTGACGCCAATGACTGTACTTCATATGCTCATCGCTCATTCGTTATGTCCCGAAAATACGCCTGGGACCTCGCCCTCGATGATGCAATCAAGGTCAGTTATACTGGCCCGTCATGACCCTTATGAAAAGGCTTACTCTCATTCGTGATATAGTCCATTAGTATTCGGCCCTCATTGACGGGCTGCATCTCCAAAGGCATTGCCCTCTGCGGAAAAGGCCATGTCCGGAACGCCAGGATAGCGTTCGACGTCGCATCCATGTTCACGAACCAAGATTCAGAAACCAACCATTTTCTTATATTGACCAAGGTAACTTCAATTTGTTTTGCACATTCTCTGCTTCATTGCGTATTTCAGGCCATCGCCCTCTTCAACGCAGATCAACATGAGGAAGCAATGTTACTCATCAAAGAGCTGGCTGCCGCTTGTCCCAATGTCGATCCTCACGCGCGTCGCGTCGTGGAAGTAAGTGGCATGCTTGGTCATCGATGCTCATCTTTGCAACTCACATATTAGACATACCTACGCGTCCAGCTCGGAATCAATGCCTTGGATGGTGCGCGTCACAATGAAGCTGCTGACAACTTCACTGCCGCTGTCAACTCAGGCGTTATCTCATCGAAATACCTGCATGAAACATACGAGGACTTGACCGTGGTGCGTCAAGATGATGCATACATAATACTTTTTATAACAGAGTGCTTTGTCCAGCTCTTTGGGTGGGATCTCCGGTCTTTGTGTCTCATGACACACCAGAAACGGTGCCAGGCATTCCTTTCGGCAGGTAAACCTGAGGAAGCCCTTGAAGCACACCGATACATGATGGGCGCCATCAACGGATCTATGAAGGCAAGCTGCCTCGACTGGTCCAACGGCAAGTCCAGAGTCCGTGATATCACCTGGACTACAATACTCACCCATATTCCACTCAGCTTTCAAGCAAGAATGCAATGCGCTCTGTACTACCAACGGAAATGTCGCCCTCACTGCGGGCGATTATGACAGGGCTATTGACCTATACTCGGCGGCAATCAACCTGAATTCTGCGTCTGATACTCTCTTTGCAAATCGTAGTAAGGCAAGGTTAGGCAAAATGCTATGGACGGAAGCACTTCTTGATGCGCAGAAGGTACGTTGGCATCTATCGTTTGGTAACCAATGCTCATTGTGGCGATACACAGGTCATCGAACTCGATTCTTTCTCTTATCTTGGATACAGTTTGAAGCATGCAGCGCTTCATGGTGCACGACGCTATGATGAAGCGATCCAGACCATCCAAACGATGATCTCCAAATTGGACAATGCTCCTGACACTGAGACACGAAGTAAGCTTTCGATAACACCTTTGTCGACATGTTTATCTCTTTCTCCAGAGTCGCGCCAGCAGTTCCTCGGACCTTCTGAAGTAGAACGTAGTATTCGACGGGTCATTGATGCCAAACTCGACAATGCTCCACTCTGTGTACTCGACACCACCACCGGTCTCTTATGCGATCAAGAGGCGCAGATAAGCGCCTTCAAAATGAGCATAGAATACAAGGAGCTTGTGTCATCAACAATCACGCATCTAGACCTCCCCATGAAGCGCATCGAAGAGGTGGTGATGTCGTATCTCCAATATGCCATGCTATCACACAGGTGGGAAGGGAAGGAGCCGCTGTTGCAGGACATTCAGGGCAAGAGCGTGTATGACTCAGAGTTGGATCCGGTTGGTGGCATGACGAAGCTGCGGTCGTTTTGCAAAACTGCTCATGATGCGGGGTATAACTGGGCATGGAGCGATACATGCTGCATCGATAAGGGCAACAACGTCGAACTCCAAGAATCAGTTAACTCCATGTTCGTCTGGTATCTCCACTCCGCGCTCACGATTATCTACCTGTCGGATGTTCCACCTTCGTCAAAGTCCGGTGCACTGGCGAAGAGCGCTTGGAACACGCGTGGATGGACGGTTCAAGAATTTATCGCTCCCAAAGTCATTCTGTTTTATCAGAACAATTGGACTCTTTATCTTGATGATCACACTCCCAATCACAAGGAGTCCGCTGCAATCATGCAGGAGTTAAAGGGTGCGACGGGCATAGACCCACCAGCCGTTGCAGCCTTCCATCCTAGTATGAATGGTGCCCGAGAGAGGCTCCGTTGGGCGTCAACCCGCGTTACCACGCGTCAGGAAGACATCGCATACTCGTTGTTTGGCATCTTCGGTGTCCGCCTGCCTGTAGATTATGGCGAGAAGCAGGACAAGGCTCTCGGGCGGCTCCTGCAGGAGATTGTGGCTCGGTCGGGTGACATCACTGGCCTCGACTGGGTCGGAAAATCATCAGAGTTCAATAGCTGTCTGCCAGCCTCCATCACTTCATACGAAGCTCGACCATACAAGCTACCACCCCTACCCGAAGATGAAATTCAGTCATCGGTTTCTTTGCTGCGAGAGACGGTGGCTGTGGATTTCGCTTCAAACCTTTATACCCTGCTTCACAACATGAGCGCCCCTCGCTTCGCAGCACAGAGACTGCACCTGCCTTGTATTGTATCCAATGTCAGGGAAATCAGATGGATGCGTACTAGTCCAGCCCCGGAAACTCATTTCACGTATGGAGTGAAGGTAGACGGGCTTCGCGACTTGCTTATCACCACCGAAGGGACGTTGGTTCAGTTCTGGCCGGCAAAGCCCACTGAGCGAAAATTTGTCCTTGTCCGTCCTTGGGATCGGTCTCTCCTCGAGCTACCTGACTTTGCAGAACCGCCTGAATTCGTGGAGCCGTCTGACTTTGGAAATGATGTGGAGAGCGAGGAGGATTATTGCACGCCACCCTCTTCTCCGTCAGACAACTGGTCCAGTGATTATCCTGTAAATCAGGATGTGGTTGACCTAGAATCACGAGCATTCCGGTTGCTTGTTCGCCTTGGGCAGCCTTTCAGCGCATTTTTGCTAGCGCAGCAGCGCAGTGGAGAATACAAGAGGATCGCGTCGGATCACGATATCATTGGACAAGTCAATGACGTGCGTTCTGTTGGAGACTTGATGGACATCAGGACCATAGAAATATTGTAGTCACATGGTTTTTTCAAAGTTTATACGGTTTACATTGATGATTTAAAGATGATACTCGTACAGTACACATGTGTATCGGACTGAGGTCTCGTCACTTCTCTACTTGCCATTTCTTGCAGCTTGAATGGGTTCGTCATATCTGAGAAACTCGTGGCGGAGGACTTCATACCATCTATCTGCGTGCACACGCAAGTCCTGGATTAGGCGCAATTCTACCTGTACAGAAGCCTGAGTAGATACTCGAGGAGTTCGCAAAAGAGATAAACAATTATTTGAAATCAACTGCGTTATTCCGCCCCATTTCTGGAGCCATAGCTGGACGGTTTACAAGTACCGTTTGTTTGGATCCCGGGACAAATATCATCTCGGGCCTGCACAGCCAGAAGAGGGGGCGGACAGTATGGATGTGGCAGAGGAGAAGCCGAAGGAAGAAATCAAGGAAGAAGCTCTGAAGGTGCATGCTGCTCGACTGGGCATGCGCTCGTGTATGAACGTCCTGGGATGGATATTTTCAAAGCAATTTTTGTAAGTGACGACGAGGATAGCGACGAGGAGACGGATCGCACGAATGACGTGGATGGGCCCCATGTTGTCTCTGCGCCAGCTGGTCCGTCTATACCAGGCCCAGATGACAAGCCACCAGCAGCAAATGGTATCGTGGAAGACGTTGATCTGGCTACATTCAAGCCTACCTTTATACCCAGGGGATCCAAAGCAAAAGATGCAGAGAAGAACGAAAAGACAAACAAGAAACAGAAGGGTTCCAAGGTGGTATGTTTGTTTCTTTTAATGTAGACGAGGATGGCAGAGTCGTTGTCGCTCAGTGCTGCGCATTACAAACACCGAGGTCGGGATAGCGAGAGGCCGAGAAAGAAGAAAGGGAAGGATCAAATCAAGAGGGGGATGGAGGTGAGGATATGTGGGTCAAAAAACCTCCGCCGGATATCGCGAAAGTCCTGCCTATCACTGATATATCCCCTGATGAGGGCAGTCAGATTAGTGGAGAGGAAAGCGGACCTTGTCGAGACTCGTAAGAGGGCAATTGATTCATGTAGCGCTATATACAAGTTCAAATTCAAAAGTTAACGTTAATTTTGGCAAGTAGCTGCGTCTCTTGTAACGCTTCACCATGTACGTGCGGGTAAGTAACATCAACTGCGTTATCGCCATTGGATATATTCTGAAAGTTGTGAAGACATGAGTCGGACGCATGTACACAGTGCTATCAAGGCGGGAGGCGAACTGCCTCGTGTCTTGGGCGTTATTGGAAACGAAATTGGTTAGGGTAGTGAATAGCACAAAAACGCACAATACACACACCTCTGCAGCTTAGAGAAAGACACCCACAATCCTTCGACTGCGCTCAACACCGTCAACCTCTAGTAAAATGCCAGAGCTCATTCCAAGTAACACACCCATTCGAACTTTTGAAGATCATGACGGTAGCGTAAATGCAGTCGCAGTTTTTCCCGATAAGCAACGAATGGTTACGGGCTCGAAGCACAAGACGCTTCGTCTTTGAGACTTGGAGACAGGTGTTGTGTTGAAGAAGATGGAGGGACATAGCAGTGGGGTGACGGCATTGGCGGTATCACGAGATGGTCAAATAATAGCAAGCGGTGATCACAAAGGAGAAATCATTCCCTGGCACAGTGAAACTGGAGAATCCCTCATCCAACAACCCATCAAAGCCCACTCTGATACAATCCACTCGGTGGATTTTTCTCCGCGGCCAGAGTCAGATAGTAGTGCTAGCAAGCATTAACCTGAAACTTTACCGTGCTCGCTTCACAGATCGACGATGGGGAGCTGCTGCACGTACTCACACATATCCTTTTGTCACCCGGCGGCCCAAACCTTTCTTGACAGATAGATTATGATGCATGATGCAAATGCAATTGTCCTTGAGAGGGGAGGGACACCCTGTGCAGTAAGTAGCCGGGCGTTTGCTTGTGTCCGTCGATGGGTGCGTGATCTGCCGTTGGATGTCTTGCTGGTAGTCAGCCTTGATTATGTGTCACCAGGAAATTTTATCACTGCACCTGTCAATGAACAAATTGGCGACAGGAACAGACGATGCAGTCGCTGTGCTTTCAGACCATTAGCACAGGCATCAAGATCCAAGACGCACCTGATAGACATGATTTGCAGACTCTTTATACCGGTTTACAGCGAGTCGTAAGGTAAGGGATCACGAGACATTGGACCTGAAAGTTCTTGTACCGTGAAAGATTGCTTGTTACTGAACACTGCAGTGACACGTCAATAATGAAATGCAGGCTCGCGCACCTTTGGCCGTAGTGAAAGCCCACCGATGTCAGCAGAGTATTATCACCATATTTCAGGTGCGGGATTGCAACAAGAATGGACATGTACATGAAGGTTATTGGCGAATGAGAAAATTTTGAAATCACATGGGCCGGGGGAAGCAGAGAAACTGATGTGAGCGAGGAGCGAACCGCTGAAAATCAAGCTGACACCTTTGAAAATTATAATTTGGATAAAATGCGTGTTGGGTGGCGGAAACTACTCCGTTAGGAGCGAGTTTGAGACACGAGAAGAGAGAGATTTGGTTGCATCCGAGGCACAGGCAGATCTTGGGAATCGACAATATGAGGAGATGATATGTACAGTAAGTTATGTGCACTCGGATGAGTTACAGTGAAGTGTTGGAGAAACTGCTGGACACGAGAAAAATGCTATTCATGCGGCAATCTATGTAGGGTAGATAGCTTTCAGCTAGGATTGGGAAGTAGAACCTGAACTATCGCCATTGGATGGGAGTGGATATATTCCGGAAGCCGTGGAAACATGAGTACACAGTCACGGCGCAGTCAAGGAAGGTGATTATGACCTGTAGAGAGCATCCTTGCCGGAACAGCTACCTCGTGTGTTGGGCGTCTATGGAAATGAGATGGGTTAGTGTGGCGAAGCAGCATAAAAGCGCACAATATGCGCACCTCTGCAGCTTAGAGAAAGACACCCACAATCCCTCAACCGTGCTCAACACCATCAACCTCCAGTAAAATGTCACAGCTCATTCCAAACACCACACCGATTCGAACTTTCGAAGATCATGAGGGGACCGTACGGGCAGTCGCAGTTTTCCCCGATAAGCAACGAATGGTTACGGGCTCGAACTACGGGACACTTCGTCTTTGGGACTTGGAGACAGGTGTTGCGTTGAAGAAGGCAGAAAGGCATAGAAATCTGGTATGGGCATTGGCAGTATCACGAGATGGTCAAATAATAGTGAGCGGTGATTTGGGGGGAGAAATCATCGCCTGGCATGGAGAAACTGGTGAATCTCTCATTCAACCCATCAAAGCCCACTCCGATTGCACCAACTCCGGTATTAATGGAACCACCTCATTGGATTTTTCTTCGGATGGTACGGTGCTGGCTACGGGTGGATGGGACACCACGGTGAAGTTTTGGTGTACTAAAACGTGGCAGATGCAGGGAGAACCGATTGAGTGTGATGAAGACATCTACTGCGTTCGATATTCGCCATCTAGTGAACTTCTTGCCATCGCAACATCCGGGAATATCGAAATTTACAATCCAGGCACGAGGGAACGCGTCGCATCTTTGAAGGGTTATGAGTCTTACGACCAGTCACTCGCATGGACGCCCGATGGCACACGCCTGCTTTCAGCAGGCTCTTATTTCGACCGTACTATACGAGAGTGGGATCCATTGACTTGGCAGCAAGTCGGTCATCCTTGGGAAGGCCACACTAGCAGTATCAATGCCATTGCCATTCATCCGGCTGGGACCCTCGTCGCTTCTGCATCTGAGGACAACCATGTCCGTCTTTGGCGGCTCTCAGATCGGCAAACTATTGCCATCTTTAAGTACTCATCCCCGCAGACATCTGTCACTTTTTCCGCGGACGGTAGGCACATCCTCAGCGGAGGCAAAGATAAGACCTCAGAGTGGGCAGTACCCAATCCAAAGGCGGGTTTCTATCCTTGACTGAAGTACCGCAATTAGAATATCCTTCCTGCAGATCTTGGCTATCACAACAGCCCGCAATGCATGCATCGCTGGGGACTTGGACACCGCTGAAAAGTTACTCACTCAAGAGATCCACACCAACGCCAACTACTACTATACTTCATATGCCCATCGCTCATTCATTATGGCTCGAAAGCACACCTGGGACCTTGCCCTTGATGATGCAATCAAGGTGAGCTATGCTGGCACGTTATGTCCCTCTTACTAAAGGCTTACTTTCATTTGTGACGTAGTCCGTCAGCATTCAGCCCTCATTGACAGGTTACATCTCCAAGGGCATCGCCCTCTATGGAAAAGGCCATGTCCGAGAGGCAAGGATAGCATTCGACGTCGCATCCATGTTCACCAACCAAGATTCTGAAATCAATCATTTTCTTATCTTGATAAAGGTAGCTTCAATTTGTCTCGCATATTCTCTGCTTCACTGCATGTTTTAGGCCATTGCACTCTTTAACGCAGATCAACATGAAGAAGCAATATTGCTCATCAAAGAGCTGGCTGCCGCTTGTCCGAATACCGATCCTCTCGCGCATCGTGTCGTGGAAGTAAGTGTCGTTCAGTTATGCTTGGTCACCGACGCTGATATTGTAACTCGCACATTAGACATATCTACGCGTTCAGCTTGGAATCACTGCCTTTGATGGCGCGCGTCATGACGAAGCTGCTGATTACTTCACTGCAGCTATCAAATCAGGCGCTTTCTCGTCGAAAGCCATTCATGAAACATACGAGGACTTGACCGTGGTGCGTCAAGATGATCCATGCATACACCTTTCATAGCTGAGTGCTTTGCCCAGCTCTTCGGCTGGGATCTCAAGTCTTTGTGTCTCACTGCCCACCTGAAACGGTGCCAGGCATTACTTTCGGCAGGTAAACCCGATGAATCTCTCGAAGCACACCGATACATGATGGACACCATGGACGAACCTGCGAAGGCCAGCTGCCTCGATTGGTCCAACGGCAAGTCCAGGGTCCATGGTGTCATGTAGACTACAATCCTCACCTATATTTCACTCAGCTTTCAAGCAAGAATGCATTGCACTCTGTGCTACCAACGGAGATGCCGCCCTCACTGCGAGCGATTATGACAGGGCTATTGACCTATACTCCGCAGTAATCGACCTGAATCCTGCATTTGATACTGTTTTTGCAAATCGTAGTAGGGCGAAGTTGGGTAAGATGCTATGGATGGAAGCACTTTTCGATGCACAGAAGGTGCAATGGCATCTATCGTTTCATAATCAGTGCTCATTGTGGCGATTTATAGGTCATTGAACTCGACCCTTTTTCTTATCTTGGATACAATCTGAAGCATGCAGCACTTCATGGTTCACGACGCTACGATGAAGCAATCCAGACCTTCGAAACGATGTTCTCCAAATTGGATGATGCACCCGACGTTCAGACACGAAGTAAGCCTCTGAATGACACATTCGCCAACACTTTTAACTCTTTCTTCAGAGCTGTGCCAACAACACCTCAAACCCTCTGTAGTGGAACATGCTATTCGCAGGGTCATCGATACCCAACTCGACAATGTTCCACTGCGTATACTTGACACCACCACTGGTCTCTTATGCGATCGAGAGGCGCAGATAAGCACCTTCAAAATGAGCATAGAGTATAAGGAGCTTGTGTCATTATCAATCACGCACCTAAACCTCCCCATGAAGCGCATCGAAGAAGTGGTGATGAAGTATCTCCAATATGCCATGCTATCACACAGGTGGGAAGGGAAGGAGGCGCTACTGCAGGATATCCAGGGCAAGAATATCTATGACTCGGAGTTGGATCTGGTTAGTGGCATGACAAAGTTGCGGTCGTTTTGCAAAACTGCTCGTGATGCGGGATACAACTGGGCATAGAGCGATACATGCTGCATCGATAAGAGCAATAACGTCGAACTCCAAGAATCAGTTAACTCCATGTTCGTCTGGTATCACCACTCTGCACTCACGATTGTCTACCTGTCGGATGTTCCGCCTTCGTCAAAGTCTGGCGCACTGGCAAAGAGCGCTTGGAACACGCGCGGATGGACGGTTCAAGAATTCATCGCTCCCAAAGTCATTCTCTTCTATCAGAACAATTGGACTCTTTATCTCAGTGATCATACTCCCAACCACAAGGAGTCCATTGCAATCATGCAGGAGTTAAAGGATGCGTCAGGCATAGACGGATCAGTCATTGCGGCCTTCCGTCCCAGTATGAGTGGCGCCCGAGAGAAACTCCATTGGGCATCAACCCGCGCTACCACACGCCAGGAAGATGTCGCATACTCGTTGTTTGGCATCTTCGGTGTCCGCCTGCCTGTAGATTATGGGGAGAAGCAGGACAAGGCTCTCGGGCGGCTCCTGCAGGAAATCGTGGCTCGGTCGGGTGACATCACTGGCCTCGATTGGGTCGGAAAATCGTCAGAGTTCAATAGCTGTCTACCAGCCTCCATCACTTCATACGAAGCTCCACCATACAAGCTACCACCCCTACCCGAAGATGAAATTCAGTCATCAGTTTCTTTGCTGCGAGAGACGGTGGCTGTGGATTTCGCTTCGAACCTTTATACCCTGCTTCAGAATATGAACGCCCCTCGCTTCGCAGCGCAGAGACTGCATCTGCCTTGTATTGTATCCAATGTCAGGGAAATCAGACGGATACGTACTAGTCCAGCCCCGGCAACTCATTTCACGTATGGAGTGAAGGCAGACGGGCTTCGCGACTTGCTTATCACTACCGAAGAGACCCTACTTCAGTTCTCGCCCGCAAGGCGGCGCACTGAGCAACAATTTGTCCTTGTCCGTCCCTGGGATCGGTCTCTCCTCGAGCTACCTGACTTTGTAGAACCGTCTGACTTTGGGAACGATATGGAGAGTGAGGAGGATTGTGGGACGCTGCCCTCTTCTCCGTCACATCACTGGTCCAGTAATTATCCTGTAAAACAGGAGATGGTTGACTTAGAATCACGAGCATTGCGGTTGCTTGTTCGCCTTGGGCAGCCTTTCGGCGCATTTCTGCTAGCGCAGCAGCGCAGTGGAGAATACAAGAGGATCGCGTCGGATCATGATATCATTGGACAGGTCAACGACGTGCGTTCTGTTGGAGACTTGATGGACATCAGGACCATAGAAATATTGTAGTCGTATGTTTTTTGTTTCAAAGTTCATAGATCTCTGAGCGGTGCTTTAAAGATGATACTCGTACTGTATACCCGTCATATATGCATGTGTATTAGACTATAGTCTCGTCACCTCCCTATCTACCATTTCTTGCAACTTTCGTTCATCCTCTATAATTTTCAGGAGTGGGACTGTGACAAGTTGGCAGTAACCCACCAACTGACGTCATCTTACCTTTCGATGAGTAAACATCACATGTCCCTTTCATTCCTCGCTATCCAGAATTGCGCATTGGCACGAGGCTGTTGTAGACTAATAAACAACATGGATGATCGATGACTACCATAATGATAAATATCAGATCGCGACCCAAGGAACATCTTCGACTGAGTAGAACGCAGGATATGTATTCAGTCGTTGGGAACATGTCATGAGAGAGAAATGCACTTACCCGCCTCTCCGGCCCCCCCAACAGAATATACAGCCACGTACTATCGTCTTACTGGGACATCCACTTTGTTGGGAATGACGCGCAGTAAAGAAGTACAGACATTCTGGGTGAGAGCTCTTCGGCGCTGTTACTGAGCCCGGCGTGGTGCACGTACGTACGTGGGCGTGAGGTTGAGCGTAGAAAGACGGCGAAATGCGTTGAGAAGGCGTGAAGGTGCTGCTAGTAAGCACGGCAAAAATACAATTATCAGTGCGAATGAGGACATAGCATATAGCACATCATCCGTTCATCGTGGACAGATATAGTAGTTATAAATAACGTGAAATATGAGCTTGGCAAACAAGGACTGCGACATCGTCCAGCGTCGTAAGTTAGGAAGGGCCAGGTTTTGCGCAGGCACAAGAGACGTCACGCAGGACTGCTTAGTGAAGGTGAAACCAAAATGAGGTACAAGCGATTGGGATTGTGAGCCGTAACGTGGAAACCATTGTTGACGATATCAGCGCGCAGGAGTACGTCGATGGAGGTGTCATCTGCATCACTGATATGTTGAGTGATCACGGTGAGTTCCTGTCACCCTGCACTACTGGTCAGGCAGTAGTCCGATTAGCACTATAGCCGACAGGAGGCGCGTTTGGGTGAGGGAAACTATGCATCGATGACGGTTGGACTAACATCAGGTTGTGATGATTTACCGCTTGATCGATTAGTGTTGACAGACATAGGCCAGACAACGGATGCGTTTGAGGAGCGGCTGGCTGGGTAAAGACAGATGTGCGACCTGAGGCGCAATGTATCATCGGCCAGGCAATAACAACGGGGATCAAGATTGTAACTGAGAGAAGACGAGTCATAGTCACAGATAAGGCTTGAGCGCTTCAGCTGCACAGCTTATAATACATGCTGTGAAGTAATCACGAGGATGTCACATATAAAACGTACCATCTCGAACATCCAGTGCACTCGACTGTGACTTGATCTAAACGCCCATCGTGTCTCTGTGTTAAAACACATCGTAGTAAGTGATGAATTTGGACTTTGTTGAATGAAAGCTGAGTTGAAACTGAGGACCATGTCTTCACCCATCGTCGAAACAGGAGAGGGATCAGAGACAAAGCCCTGCCAGAAATTTGAAGGACACACCAAATGTCTCGAGGGCGCCATATATTTCCCGGGCGGACAACGAATGATGACTTGTTCATGGGACGGCTCGCTGCGGATATGGAACTTGAAGAGTGGGAAACAGATAGAAGAGGACTGGCGGGATGGGGATAACAGTGTGTGGACGATAGCGTTGTCTCCGAACGGGAGGCAAGTGGTTAGCGGAAGTAAGGATGGTGGTGTGAGGTTGTGGGACATCGACACAGGCAAAGTTATCGCGAAATGGACAGGACATACAGAAGCTGTGAGGTCTGTCTGCTGGAGTCGAGATGGTCAGCGAGTGATGAGCGGATCAATCGATGGGACTGTAAGGGAATGGGATGTGGAGAAGGGAGAGACGATCCTCAGTCTAATCGAGACTGGGCACAAAAGGGTGTTCACAGTGGTCTACTCACCAGACATGACCATGTTTGCAATTGCTGGATGGGACGGGCCTGACTCCAAGTGCGCAGTCAAAATCTGGGGTGCGAAGATAAGTGTGCTTGTCGCCACTCTCAAAGGACACACAGATCGGTGATGTACCTGGCTTGGACCCCGAGCGGAAAAACGCTTGTCTCCGGGTCAGTCGATCACTCGATTAGGACATGGAATACTTCAAACTGGAAGCAAATCGCTGTGCTGGACGGGCACACCGACGCAGTCTTTGGCATTGCAATATCTCCCAATGGCCGCATCCTCGCAAGCGCATCTGCGGACAAGACAGCGCGATTATGGAACCTCGACGACAACCAGCCCATCAGTTCGCTCCTCAATCATGCAAATACAGTGGCCGCTGTGTCGTTTTCAGCAGATGGAAAGCTACTAGCCACCGGCTGCGATGACAGCAATGCATACATATGGGATATTTCTGTGATATTAAAAGAAGCTGGCCTGGATGATCTTTTGGACAGGCCCGACAAGTCGCTACTGGCTGTACGTGAAACTTTCATCAACAGTTATCATTGCACCCAAGCTCGTGCACTCTAGACTGATGCTACATGCCGTCCTGTCCGCCAGCCAATCAAGGTCGCAAATCGGGTACCCCAAAATTTTTCGACGACACACCTGATCTTGCCCACGTACGTCGTTAATTATGTCTCATCTGGTCCTATTTTCATCGCCCAAATGTGTTCAGTCTTCTGCACCACACCGCCTCGATCATCGATCATCACCATCGCATAGAAGCATGCTTCTTAGTCGTTTTTTGTCTTTCTTCCGCCCCATACACCACGATACACACGATACGCTATCCAGACATCGCCCTTTTCATTGGGTTCGAAACCGTCTCTTTGCTAGACCAAGCGGCGCAGATATCGAGTTACACGAGCGTCCCTCGGCAGTAGTCGATGTCCCATATGCCAAAGGCAAACGTGTACGTTCCTATCTTTCTTCTCAAATATAAAACTCCTGATATTTTTTTCTCCCTCGAACTCTATCTCGCATCACGTAGAGAAACGCTTCAGCAAGAGAGAGACGGAGGCTAATCCTGAAAATTCCTACTGCGGGCAGCTTACGTCCTCCCAATAGCACTGTCGCGCAGCAATCCGATGGTGGAACTCAAAACCAGTCGTCTTCGCAATCCAATGTTGCCGTCTCCACCTCCAATGCACCTCCCATCGCGAATTCAAACACTAATCCTCATGCAACGATTAAACACGCTGGTCGCTGGACTCGTTTCTGGCTCTTTGTCTGTTGCACCGCTCCTGAGTATACCGATGGTCAGCATTAATTTTTACAACGATCTCTCTCTCGCCACAAGATGTTATCTTATCCCTCGAGTACAGTATCGTTTATTGCATGCTTTATATGCAAGTCCCGGAGTCACGGAAATTACCTCCGTGGACCAACCGTTTCGTCCTTACATATAGTAGACGTCGACCACACTCAATTCTAGTCCACATTGCATACACATCGATTAACACAGTTGTATATTAATCACACCTTCACAGGAGGCAACTCCCGCTGATCTGGCCCAAACTGTGGTATCAACATCATTACACCCGTATTGTTTCTCAACGGTCTGGAAAGCAGGCACATACTCTGTTTTCTAAAACTTGACAGCCCTGCAGGATTTATGACCGCGAGTCCTTCATCTTTGCCAGCATCTAATATAGCATATAGCACGTCATCCATTCATCGTGGACACAGATAACACAGCAGGTTCAAATAAGGTGAAATAGGAATCGGCTCGGTAAACAATGACTGCTAGCGTAATTGATCTTGTCGTTGTCCTTTCAGACCTTGGAGAGCATGGGCATCAAAATTCAAGACGCACCATAAGACATGGTTTACAGACTCTTTATACTAGTCTACGGCGAGTTGTAAGGTGAGAGATCGCGAGACCTTGGACCTGACAAGTTCTTGTACCGTGAAAGATTGCTTGAAAGTTGTGATACTTGATTGGTGTCTCGGTAGGAGTCGAGGATTGAGTTCATATATTCCGTGATCGATAACATAACGTTGTTGAACACTACAATAATTGATGCGGGCTCGCGCAGCTTCAGCTGCAGTGAGAGCTCACCAATGTTAATAGAGTGTGATGGTTGTGTTGCAAGCTTCTGTGGTGGGCATTCGTGACTCCAGAGATGCGACAGGGCACAGGGGCCCTTAGACTAGAAAGTACTGTCCTACATAGAGTCACTCTCTCAACGGACATAAATGGATACAAAAAAAAAAAAAGCTTCTGTGGTGCAGGATTGCAACAAGAATGGGCATGGGAAGTTTATTGGCGAACGATAAAAACTAAAACCAGATGGCCGGGAGTCGGCTGAGAAACCGAAATGAGCGAGGAGGAAAGGGCTGGAAGGAAAGCTGTGATACATCATGATGTGGATAAAACATGTATTGAAAGACGGATACTCCTCCATTAGAAACAGATTGGAGACATGGTGAGAGAAATTTGGTTGCATCTGGTCAACAGGCAGATCTTTGGAATCGACGAGGTGAGGAGATTATATTTGCAGTAAGCTATGTGCACTTGGACAAGTTACATGATGAAGCGTTGGATAAATTGCTGGACACGAGTAACAATGCTATTCATGCGGCAATCTATGCGGGATAGATAGCCTTCAGCTAGATTCGAGGACCGGGAAGTAGGAAATATATATTCTGGAAGCTGTGGAGACCGGAGGCATGTACACAGGAAGGCGGTTCAGGGAGCATTATGTAAGTTGCTGGAACGGACCTTGTGTCTTAGGCGTCTATGGAGCCAAGGTAGTTAGCGTGGTGAAGCAGCATAAAAACACGCAATACACGTACCTCTGTAGCTTAGAGAAAGACGCCCACAGTCCCCCGACCGTGCTCGATACCATCTGCCTCTAGCAAAATGTCACAACTCATTCCAAATACTACACCCATTCGAGTTTTTGAAGATCATGAGCAGGGCGTAAACGCAGTCGCAGTTTTCCCTGATAAGCGACGAATGATTACGGGCTCGGATGACTATACGCTTCGTCTTTGGGACTTGGAGACAGGCATTGTGTTGAAGAAGATGGAGGGGCATAGCAGTCGGGTGCAGGCGTTGGCGGTATCACGAAATGGTCAAATAATAGCAAGCGGTGATGACAAAGGAGAGCTCATCATCTGGCACGGTGAAACAGGTGAAACTCTCATTCGACCCATCAAAGCCCACACCAATGAAATCAGCTCGCTGGATTTCTCTCTGGATGGTGCGGTGCTGGCTACTGGTGGATGGGACAAGACGGTGAAGCTTTGGCGTACCAAAACGTGGCAGATGCAAGGACAACCGATCGAGTGTGGTGGTTATGTCCGTTGCGTTCGATATTCGCCTGCCCATGGTGAACTTCTTGCCATCGCAACATCCGACAATATCCAAATTTATAATCCAGGGACAAGGGAGCGCATCGCATCTTTCAAGGCTCACACATCATCCAACTGGTCACTTGCATGGACGCCCGATGGCACACGCCTTCTTTCAGCTGGCAATTATAGTGATCCTACCATAAGAGAGTGGGATGCTTTGACTTGGGAGCAGGTCGGCCATTCCTGGGAAGGCCATACCAGCTATGTCAACGCCATTGCCATTCATCCCGCTGGCGCCCTTGTCACTTCCGCATCTGATGATAACGATGGCCGCCTCTGGCGGCTCTCAGATCGACGAACCATCGCCATCTTTCAGCACTCATCCCCGCCGCAATCTGTCACTTTCTCCGCGGACGGCAAGCATATCCTCAGTGGAGGCTATGATGATGCGATCTCAGAGTGGGAAGTACCCAGTGACACTCATTCAAAGGCGAGTTTCCATCCTTAACTCTCATAATGCAATTCGAGCATCCTTCGTGCAGATCCTGGCTAGCACGGCAGTCCGCAATGCATGCATCGCTGGGGACCTGGACACTGCTGAAAAGCTCCTCACCCAAGAGATCCACACCGACGCCAACGACTATACTCCATATGCCAATCGCTCATTTGTTATGTCCCGAAAACATGCCTGGGACCCTCGCCCTCGATGATGCAATCAAGGTGAGCTATGCTGACCCATTATAGCCCTCTTACTCAGTGCTTGCTTTTATTCGTGACATAGTCCATCAGCATTCGGCCCTCATTGACAGGCTACATCTCCAAGGGCATCTCCCTCTGCGGAAAAGGCCACATCCGGGAGGCAAGGATAGCATTCGATATCGCATCCATGTTCACGACCCAAGATTCGAACACCAACCATTTTCTTATTTTGATCAAGGTCACTTCAATTTGTCTCAGCGTATCCCCTGCTTTAATGCATGTTTCAGGCCATCGCGCTCTTCAGCGCAGATCAACACGAGGAAGCCATGTTACTTGTCAAAGAGCTAGGCTGCCGCTTGTCCGAATACTGGTCTTCTCGGATGTCGTGTTGTGGAAGTAAGTGTGATGCGGGTACGCTTGGTGAACGACGCTGATATTTGCAACTTGCACATTAGACATATCTACGCGTTCAGCTCGGAATCAATGCCTTGAATGGCGCGCGTCACGACGAAGCCGCTGACTACTTCACTGCCGCTATCAACTCAGGGGCTTTCTCATCGAAAATCATTCATTTGATATACGAGGACCTGACTGCGGTGCGTCAAGATGATGCATACATAATGCTTTTCACAACTGAGTGTTTTGTCCAGCTCTTCGGCTGGGATCTCGAGTCTTTGTGTCTTACTGCCCACCAGAAACGGTGCCAGGCATTCCTTTCGGCGGGTAAACTTGACGAAGCCCTAAAAGCACACAAATATATGATGGGCGCCATCGACGAATCTGCGAAGGCCAGCTGCCTTGATTGGTCTAATGGTAAGATTTCATTGACGTCACCTGGGGTTACCGTACTCATCGCCGTCTCACCCAGAATTTACAGAACAGTGTAGTACGCTCACTGAGCAGGATAACCGTATTCTTGGTGTATGCACTCCCTTCTTCAACTCTTTCGCTACTGACCGTTATGCAGGTGGAGATCCCAGGGCAAGAGCAAGATGGCTATGATACAGAACCCAATTTCTTCCACGGAATGTATCAAGTGCGTGCACCAGCGTATCTTCCCTTCTTTCTTAATCACAGCATTCTCAATCTTCCCAACCACGACCTCAACAACGCCATGGGCGTCTGAAAAGACTGAAGCTCGCTATGACGAGGAGCCCTTATCCTCCACCTCCACCACCTGCAGCTGCACCACCTACGACCCCACCGCCAGTCGCCGCCGCTACCACCTTTGGAACCCACCTACGACATTTATTCGCTCGGCCCCCCCATCATGCAACACCATCCGTCGTCGATGTTCCGTTCACGAAGGCTAAAGAGGTGCGACTGGTTGATTTTCTTAAATGTGTCTTGGATTTCTGATGCGTAATACACAGCGTACTGCTGCTGCGGATGCTCCCAGCAAAGACCCGAACATCGTACCTTATGAAGATCAGGATCAAGATACTACTCAACCGGACTCCAATACACAACAGCAGCAACAATCAGTAGCGGTGCGGGTAGACACCGGGGAACATGGACGCGGATGGTCGTGTTGCTGCTGCTAGAGCAGGTGGTAGATATCCGCGGGTATTTCAGTTTTACTGTCGATCTTGTTATGATATCTATATTGCATTAAAGCAGTACATGTTTTATCGATAGCTATTGCCCATTCATCCGAAATGTCGTCCATAACGATCACCAAACCGATCACCGGAAACAACGACAGGACGATCTAGCGGAGTCTAGCGGAGACTGCTGAGCACTGGTACAAATTATGTAAATTCCTAAAACAAGATGAAAAAGACAGAAATCCACAAGGATGTACACGTGTAGAAATAAATGGGCGACGAGCGTCAAGAGTGCCTGTGTGATGTGATCATCTCCAGGATGTCATCGGGAGGAGGTTGGGGGACTGCGGAGGAGAAACGGCTTGCTGCTGGAGGTACGTCGAGTTGTTGGGTGATCCAGGTGCACCAGGTGGATAGAGCGGCGTCGTGGGTGTCAGCTCAAACACGTGTTGAGCCACTGAGCGAGGGCGCCCCACCGCGCCGTGTTGAATGGGCTCCGGCGCAGCCATGACACAGTGAATCCGGGGGTCAAGGCTCATTTGTTGGAAGCTTTCCGGTCCAGTCGATGGAGGGGCACAGGTGCCACGACCGTCCCAAATACAGCGTATCTCATTTCCGGGAATTATCTGTGCGAGCAGACCCGACGATACATGCCTGATTTCAATGAAGCGGGAGTCGAAGAGAAGTATATAAGGCCAGTGAATTGCCACGCGCTCAGCCGTGCCCTCCCATTCGATAGTGCCCGTGTTGCGACTAGGTGCGCCGTGCTTGTTGACGTAGATACCGAACTCTAGGGTCTTATCATCAGCGCTGACTAAAGATCAAATCAAAACAACTGACCATCATAGCACAAAAGGAATTCATTTTCCACGCGGAACATCCCCATTGGCCGGCAAGATTCTCCGCGTTTTGCAAGTCTTTCGTAGCCATCGTCACGCAGTGGAATAGTGACACTTTTGAAACTCGAATGATCATTAAAACGAAGGAATGGATAGGTGATGTGGTAAAGGTAACATACTCAGTTAGGTCCATGATTTCGAAACCTTTGGTGCAAAGAATCGCGATCTTTGCTTTGAGGAAGACCAGGTCGAAAGATTCCGAGGGCAGGAAGAACTCCTACAGAAGAAAATCAACATGACAATATCATCCACTAATAACCGCGTACCCTGTACAGTCGGAACCACTCTGAACGCGCAGGCCGTATACCAAAGCGAGAGGTGAACGACGCAGGTGCCTTACTCCTTTCATTGATTTTTTCCACCACCGGTTCCAAAACGCGGAAGACACTGTCGAGCTGTTCACATTGTCAGTAGGCACATCTTGGGATGTCGCAGAACTGACCCCTTTCTTCTTCATGTATATGACTAGCGTTCGTCCGCCTTGGTTGCCGACGCTAAAGAAGTGAACGTCCCTGGTCCCATTAACCCTCTGTGGTGTCTGAGACGTATGAGCGCTCTGGGGGGATGATGGAACGAGAGCCTCGATGTGGTATGCAAAGAGAGCCTATTTGCAGGTTAGTATCTTGTGATGGTGATTGCTAGTAGAAATACCTTGTCTGCAAGTACGAGGAACATTCCGAAATCCTCAAGCATTGCACACTGCTGTTACCATCTTCAGATGTAATACACGGCGCATAGCTAAAGTAGGATTTGTCAGTCTGCAAAGAGAACAAATACGACTGCACGAACATCTTGAATCATGTCTAAAGCCTATCCAAACACCCTCGGCACAACCAATAGCCACCAATGCTCGTCCATCAGCGGTAGCTTGAACAACGTATCAGTAAGACACATGCAAGAAGATGGACTTTGAGCTCACTAAAGGGCACAGAGCAAGTAACCTTGCCTGTGAGGGAATTCTCGTGGTTCCAAGATGGTACAGCAGCTGAAGATATGGAGGGCACAAGGAAGGTGTCTGTACTGAGCGGCTCCAGCTCGAAGACTTTGTTTGACTCTTGAACAACCTTGCGCAAGCCGATGGCCTCGTCCAGCTTCTGCTTCCACTCCGCTCGCGCTTGCTGAGACTCCGTAAATAAGGTATGCAAACCACCGAGCCTACCATTATAGTGAATGGTACAAGGATATACAAGACGCTGAATCGTTAGCGGTGTCGGGAACACCGCTACCTGGAGAGGGTCCAGCCTTCTGCATGCCTGTTCCCTCCACCAAGGCCGAGACGTAATATGCTTGTGCTGCGCTGTGTCGGGGGATCAGTGAAGCTGGCCAGGGTAAGAAGGTCCAGCGGTATGGGCTAAGCCACAAGTGAGATATTATACAAACCCATACTTACAATCACTTACTCTCCGGTTAACGTTATATTTTGTCACGCCATCTTTTTCTTTTGTCTTGGTCATGACCACTGGATTTGGGTGTGAAGTTTCCGGTACGACACAAAGGTTGGAACACTTACAGTAATTATCGAACAGCAAGACGAAAAGCTCGGTCCATCCGTTCCATTCAAAGCCGGTATCGGGTTGTCGCAGCAGCTTTCCAGCGTGAATAAGAGAGCGGTTTTCATTCAAAAGATCCATGTCCTGCAAGGATCGTTCAGTATGTGGCGGCAAATAAAATTCTTAGAGACTAACAACAGACTCGTTGGGCTTGAACTGCAAATTTGAGTTATAGCACCAGAGCTGAACCTTCTGTTTCGCTGATTGAACTCCCGGCTCGGTCTCCTTGCCTAGAGCCTTTATGATCTCCAAGACCTGAGGGATCGCTTCACGATCCTCGTGGGTAGCAGGTGTCTCGTCCATTACGCCCTTCAAGAGCAATTCGTACCGCAATAATCGAGGGATAGGACGGTTGATAAAATTCTTCATGTCTAAGCGGTGAGCATCCGGATGCCGTATACATTGCTGCATGCTTATCAGAAATATAAAGGAAGTAAAAGAACAAGTCTCACGTCAACAAACGTCTTGAAATCGACGTTGTTGGCCATCTCGTCATCGATGCGATAGGCAGCGATAGGGTAGTTGGGGATGTACTCCATGTATGCATCCCTGAAGTTCAAAGCAGCGTCAAACAAAGGTGCTGTAACACTCCTGATCACTGGATGCTCATCGCGCTGTATATCATGCAGTTGGTCTAGGAGCTTCCGATGATGTGAGTGGAGCTCAGCAAAGTTGTGGAAAACGTCGGTGATAAAACCGTTCAGCCTCTCACGACTAATGACTGGAGGATCGCTTTCTCGCAGGGCCTGGATGTAAATCTGTGGTGGCAAGAATGAGCTATGATGTTGGGATCGAGTACTTGCACAGGACAACACACCAAGTCGATATTTTCTAGGTCCCTGACGTATGCCATCTCGCCTTTGATCAGTTCAAATATGATGCTACACAAAGTTGAGCATTTCATAACAACTCAAAGAAAAAATAAACGTACGACTGACGCTTGGCCTCAGCCTTGCTGAGGCCCTCTCGAACATCCTTGGCTACGATATCATGCCACTCCCATTTTCCAGTCGGACCTTTGCCCATCGCAGTCTGGAATGTCCGGAGCTGTGCAACGTTCTGAAGATTCCTGATGGCTTCGATGGCTTCTGCAAGGTAGTACGCGTCTGGGTTGCCTTCAGTTGTCTCTTTCATGATCGCCTCCAGCGCAATGGGGTACTTCTGCAGATGTTCAGAAGGTCGCGATAAGAAGTGTTTCAAGTCCAGTCGACGAGCTTCCTGTTGCTTGGATTGTCGCGAGCACTCCTACAAAACAGTCTAGCAACGACTCCTGATTTTCAGATAAAATATCATACCTCGAGGAACAAGCGAAGGTCCGCGTTGGACTCGATCTCATCTTTGAAGCGCTTTTCTGCGAGGGGCAGATGTCCAACGTATGTCGGATATGCGAACCGGAACTCTCTCGCGGCGTCCAAAAACACATCTCCAATCCTTTGGATGATCGGTGCTTGCTCACGCTGCCGAACATACATAGCTTCCACCAGCCGCCTGTTGCATTCTCGAAGATCTAGGATGTTTCCAAAAACCTCTTCAACAAACTCATCTAGCTTGTTAGCCGGCATGACAGGAGGACTTGCTTTCAGCAGTGGCCGAATGAACAGCTAAAACGAGGAAATTAAGTGGGTCGGAACTATCAGGTAATATAAGGCACTGACCGCCTCCACGGTGTCCAGGTCTTGGACGTATTGCTCTTCCTGAGTGATAGTTTTATAAATGATGCTAGTCTGATCTTTAGTACAGCGCCAAACAAAGTTTACCAAGATACTCACGTTTGTCGATGAACTTCACTTTCTGGAAGAGTGTGAAGGATACCGGGATCAACTGTACTTAACCAGTCTTCGGTTTGCTGTTGTGGAGACAATAGTTGATGTTCAATTCAATCAATCAAACGTGAATGGTGACTTACGTGGTGTACTTCCGGTTCGGCTACCGGACCAAAATCGACGATCGGACCAGCTTGCTATAGAAACATTAGTTCAGACTCACGACTACGGGATCACAGGAACTTACTCGACGTGGACAAGCAAACGAATAACATGGGTCGTCCTCACTGCAACCAGACGCATAGCACCGAGTGAGTGAAGTGATGACTGCCGTTGGCAGTTCTTCCCTCTCGCGGTGAGCCTCAGAGTTGCCCTCGAGGTCATCCAGGAACATATACACGTCCTCGACACCATCTTGCAGCAGCTTCTGACCCCACTCAACTTCGTAGAAAAATAGTTGCTGTTGTAGACTCCGCGCGACCTGAAGGGCAGCACGGCGATCGGTGGTCGAAACACCATGATTGATCAGCAGTTCACGTTGGATTTGGCTTTGAATGGTAGACTGAAACCACGGCATTGCGTCAAGTTTTGTCAGAGAATTCTAGTAGCGGACTTACGACGATGTCCTTCCCGGTGAAAGCACGAGGGTAAGGGATGCTGCTTTTCACATGGGTGCCGCGAGGTACCTTGTCGCGCAAGCGGACGGCCAAGTGAGATAGCAAGCTGAAGTTAACAAATCTGTCTGGATCTGGATCATCGCTCTCGGAGTCAAAGTAATCGTCGTCGTCTTCTTCTTCTTCTTCCTGGTCGCCAAGCGGAGGTCCAGGTGTGCCGCTGTACACACTCGGACGGGCACGCGCTAACGAGTCCACGCTTCCACCTTGGAAACCGCCACTGCCAGAATCTGAGTGACCATGACTATATTTAAGTGCCGAAGGGCCTGCCGATGGGAACCCGTAGGACCCTTCCCTACTGAGTATCGCTGGCCCAACTTTGGCAGTTGAACTGTCGGTATCAGTGTAACTTGTGGCTGCTGTCGTCACTGAGACATTGCGACCTAGTGAGTCCGCTACAAATGAAGATGTGGTAGAGCCTGTAGAAATTGCACGGCCTAGTTTAGGGTCAGTATCTTGATGATCTACAGATGGTGTGAGCCAGCGATCAAAGTTTCTCGTTTCGGTGTGGACTTACAATTAGGGATATAGTCGGACGACGATGAAGGGCGATGACGCAAATCATTTACCCGAGCAGATGGTGCTGGACCATTGATGCCATCGTTTGGATGCAATCGCGCATGAGGCTGGGGGTAGGCATCCGCAGGACGAAATTGTTCCGAAGATTGTTGGGGGCGATGAGATGGGCGGTTCTTCATATCATCTGGACCATGGTCGATCGAGAAGTCATCAAGTATATTGCTGTGACCTGGAATGTTCGGAGCCGAAGCACCAGGAGGCCGAGGAGATGGTTTGGGCGCGACGGTGACACCGTATCCTTGCACATCGAGGCTGCTATCTGATTGTTGCAAACGGTACACATCAACACTATTAACAGACGCTCCATTGGTCTGCGAGGGAACAGCAGGGACGGCTTTGTGTATATTTGGCAGCCCGTCGGCATGAGAGCCAGTAGCGACTGGTTTACTTGTAGATGAGGTTGGGGATGTTGCAGAACCTGTGGATGGGCGACTGCCGTTATAGCCATTGGGTTGCACCGTAGGGGCCTGGGGAAGCTGACGACGCCTGCGTATGTGATAAAAACTTACTGAATGGAATTAAAAAAGTGATAACATACCCATCAACTCCAGCCGTCGCAGGGCGAGAAGTACTTGCAACTGGAGGTGGTTGTTCATGAGGCTGAGGACCTAAAGAAGCACCTGGAGGCAATGGAAGTGGTCTTAATCTCCTCTGTGTAGGAGAGGTCGCAGTATCAGGTTGTGGGCGTATTTCAGGAGAATGCGGTCGCTGGGGCGCAGGTACTGTATGCCATAGTCAGGTTACTCGCTCACAACTCGAGTGAATATAGAACGAACCAGGAGGACGATGAAGGGCGTTTCTGATTGAAGACGAAGGGGATATAGTCGCGCGAACGTCGTGGAATGAACCATTAGAATGGGGCTCGTGTGTATGGGCAGAAACCGCACTTGTTGGCGAGCGCTCGATTGGGGAAGCTGTTTCTTCGCCAAAGATCCGCCAAACTTCATCATAAAGGTGCTGGAGATCCTCGTCACCGGGTGGAGGAGGACGACCATTGGAATTGAGAGCAGACATGATTCCGGTCAATTATCGAATTAGAAACTGGTTGGCCAAGTTGATCAGGACCTATGGCTGCGCAGCAGTCTAATACTACCTGGAGACCAACCAGATGCAGATTTTGATGGTGGTCGACGTCAGGAACAGTGACAGAACACGATTTTCTGTGTTATCAGAAAACTTGGATCCCGGTGTTGGACGAGTAGGAAGACGAGACTGTTGCTTGGTGAGCGCTCAGGGAAGCCAAGCCAATAATCAGCATCGGATTTCGGCTACATCCGGAGCTAAACTCATCCATTGCAGTGACCAGTCCACGTTTACTGATCTTTTTTCTCTGATCGCATTTGCACCAGAGCGTGCTGCTGTGTCGGGACAAAAACGCATTGTTTCACCATCAGGATCTCGACCTGTGCCGTGTGCTCCGTATGATTTCTTCACCGGAAGCCAAACCTGTGCGCATACCGAAGCTAAGCTCGTCGGTGCACGACATCAACGCTGAGAAACCCCCCTTTGGATCCAGGTAACCATGAGGAACATCAACACAGTCACTAATACTTGATCTGAGTCATCAAATGTATAGATTTCTTACGCAAGACTCTGATGTCTGGACCCAGAACGCTTGGGACCATGTTCCGCCCCCTGAAGATCAAACTGAAACGATAACTGCATCATTGGCGAGGCAACGTCTTGCTCCAGTACCTGAAGATGACAAGAATAATTATAATGCAAAACCTGCGAAATATTGGTTCCTAAGTTTCATTTTTTCATCGCTCCATTCTCTCTGACGCTTTCGATTGGTAGGGATAATTTTTACAAGACGAATGCCGACAATTTCTTCCGAAATAGAAAGTGGTAGGCATCACTCTTTCTGTCCTTAGTGATGCCCTCACCCTTTTTACTGAAGGTTACATCTTGAATTTCCAGAGCTGCTGGCAGCGGCAGAACCGGATGTAAGGGATTGTACTTCATCAATGATTTCTCTTATGTAGTCAGGCAGGAGATGTAACCATTTGCGAGATTGGATGCGGTGAGTGTCAATATCATCTTTGATGAAACACACCTAAGCCTTGTCTAGGCGCCGGCAACGCTGCATTTCCCCTCCTTACGGCGAACCAAAACCCAGATCTTATCATCCGCGCCTACGATTACTCAACCCACGCAGTAAAATTAGTACAGGTATGCACAGGTTAACTATCCTCGTGTCTTCGGCTCAGTCCACGAATAGACAAACGCTCTCTATAGCTCCCCGCCTGTTGGCAAGATAGATGCAGCTGTCTGGGATTTATCCTCATTGGATACACTACCACCAGGAGTAGAGCCAGGGACTGTAGACATTATTATCTTGGTGTTCGTGCTCAGTGCGCTCCACCCGGACGAATGGGGTAAAGCTATCGCTAACATTCATAAGGTATTTAAATGGTTTCACCAAGACGGTCACATCATCACCTGCCATTAGATGCTCAAGCCTGGTGGGCTTGTATTATTCCGCGACTATGGTAGACATGATCTCACGCAGCTGCGATTCAAATCCGGTCGTCTCCTTGAAGATAATTTTTACATCCGGGGTGATAAGACACGAGTCTATTTCTTTGAGCTTGGTACGTCGCGAACGAAACTCAACCAACCGAGTTTCTTAATTCCGTTACTGTATTCAGACGAGCTTGCATTGATCTTCACCGGATCGCGCACCTCGCCTGCTCAGAAAACATCAACAATGACAGAAATTGTAGATGAAGATGAAGATAACGAGCCAACGTCACTGCCCACGCCATCACAGACTGCCAGTCTCGCCTCTCACATACCGGCGGACACCCCCAACCCAGGATCTGACGATAATCTCAGCTTACCCTCTTCAGGTCCATCTTCTGACGTACATCACAACCTCCTTCGTCCTCTGCTCCACTCTCCACCACACCCTCTGTTTACAATCGAACAACTCGGTGTCGACCGCCGGCTTCTGGTCAATCGAAAACGGCAGTTGAAGATGTATCGCATCTGGATGCAAGGAAAATTTCGTAAAGCTGAGTGATGCAAACGTGGCATGAGTCAAGTGATGTAGCCCAGGTAGCTGAACGTGTATGAATGCTCCTCCTGGTTGGATCATATCAAGTACACGTCTGGGAACTGAACATCTTAGAGCAATGAGCTACGAAGGTGGCTCTATAACTTAGGCGTTGCCAAAGGTGATATATCTTTTCGACCTTTTCCGGCGAATTGAATTATGACAAGATGGTGTGGCGAATCATGTTCAACCACTACAGACCAATAGGCTCCCGCTGGCAAATTCATACGCTTTAATGCGTCAGTGATGCCAATAAGTAAATGCAAATCTGGTTTAGAGTTTCACATCCGTCATGCCTATTCCAAATTGAATGATCCCCCAATTTTCGATCCATATTCTGAAGCGCAGGTAATAAGGTGCAAATTCAGTTGCACATGAGCCTCATGTAGGAGAGGCAGATGACTGACCGCTTTAACAGTTTCAATTCTATAATAAGGATCACATTTACCAGCGATAGAGAATGATCAATCTCGCTTGTACTGCTTTGCATCAGGCTTTGTCCCGATAGAGCCGCCAGTGATAATATCTGTGCATCCGCTTATGTTGATGGTTCGGAGGTCGAGGATCACACTAGTGGGGTGCAAGTGTATAAGGGAAGGTAGGTGAGATCTTTTACAGGCTTAGGAGACTTTGACCAACCAACCGCATCACAGCCTACGCCGAGCTTGACCGGCTCCAGGCATGCTTAAACTTCGCACTCGAAAACTCTCAGCTTCGCCTGAGCCAACACAGCTCAGTAGAACACCCTTTGGGCGACGCAACAACCTACCTACCGTTGTTTGAAGCTCGCCGCCTCCTTCTTGGTATGCCATTTTGCTTTACACCATCAATATAAGGTTTGAATTGATTAATCATCCCTAAGCATGCCTGGTTGGTTGCTAACTGAGTCCTGCATTCTATTCATCTAGGCGCTTGTACTAGCGGGAAGTAAAGAACCTTACCCAGCCTTTAGATAAGCTCATGGATGAGGCTAGCGCACGCTAACTCATCAGATTTTTAGTCCTTCCCATCAATGGACGATTCTTGAGGTGACCCTCCCCCCGGATGTTCTCGGTCTTGTCCGGCAACTAATGAGATACATCCCGTCTTTTAAGAGACTGAAACTTTTGTACCATCCCTAATTACCCAACAATTAGTTCGGACCAGGTTGAATCAAGTCCTTGAACCGTGGACCAGATTAACGGTTTGGTTCTCCTTATTGCCCGAACTTCGAATCGGACTTCGGTCGGATTCGAACCGCGGTTTAGAACTACTAGACCCGACCACCACTGCACGGTGACAAAAGTTCCGACCTCGTTCGTCAAGGGGTACTTAGGCCACAAACCCATCAAGTGTGCCCTTCCGTTTAATGGCCTTAGTCACTGGTTTTGATCTATCTTCTTGGACAGAAGAAGTGCTGGTACCACCATCAATAGACACAACGACTTTCCCACCAGCCTTCCCCATCATGAAAAAGTTTGTGTCGCGCGACTCGCGCCTCATTCTACCAACACTACTGGGGGCTGATCACTCGTATCCAAGGCTCTTTATGAGTGCTGCAACAATACTCCAAATGAACAGAAATCGATGTATATACATATATAAAGGATGATAACACCATCGACGAGAAACCGAAACTATGCAAACCACGTAGCAGGCCATAAGTTACGGTCAGTACACAGTATACAGTTGTTACATTACCTACAAACAACTGACAGACTTGTGAGCTACGATACAAGACCACGCATGCGACTAGGATTTATGCATACTCCCACAAGCCTTATTATATCTGTATGTCTCAGTAGACGCTTGTTTAGGTGACATCTTGTGCTTCCCATCTGTCTCTTGCACAGGTAATGAGTTTATATACATTCTCATTTGATCAGGATAATGGGCACATCAAATTGCACTACAGCTGCTAGAGTACACTCAGCTATAATAGGCTGTGGCCAGCGGGCACAGAAATCAAGTGTGAATGTAAGTTGAGATATAAATATATAAGCAAGTACTGAATGTGCAAGGTGACGAGGCGAAGTCATGATAGGCGCAGCAGCAGAGTGGAGGATAAACAAGAGATAAAGTGGAATTGATGACAATGCGAAAAGACGCAAGGGAATGTAAGAAGGGTGTAAGATTGTACGAGAAGGCGGGGCATAGTCTCAGATGATGTGGGTGCAGAAGGCTATTAAAAGTTAGAAGATGAGGATCCAGAGAAATGAAAAAATTTATATGCAAAAAGTAGTGATGGGCGCACGAGGTATGGTATATAAAAAGGAAGAGACAGAAGAAAAAAGTATCATGGATGATGCGAGATCCGGAGTTGAGTGCAGGAAATGCAAGCGGGTAAATGTCGGCAGAAGAAGGCAGGAAAAACTGTCTTCGGTGAGAAAGAGGAAAACGATGTGTAAGGTGGGTGGGGATGGCAGAATGCAAGAGGTAGGAGCTGCAGGGTGTAGGCAGTCACAGCAGGGTATGGTAGGCAGCACAATGACATTGCAGTGGGTGGAGACAGTACTTAGGATGCAAGTAAGAGTCTCTGAGTAGTACTGTTAATACTAAGAGGAAAAGAAAGAAAAGTACTTATAAGGGCGGTGGCAGGCGAAGTAGAATTGTTAGCTAGGACATAGCAGGAGGGATGATCGAAAGAGGTGTACAGTTTAATAACTTGGCCAAAATTCCAAGATGATATGTAACGTGATGAAGTCCATGCATGACATATGTAGATACCGAATGTGCATCACGCGCACTAAATCTGATACAACTGGCCATCTAGTTTCGGACGGAAAGTGCTGCACCAGCGTGTCCTGATTGACGAATCTGTTATGTGGTACCTTGAAAGATCTCGTCAGTGCGAGACTCCGATTCTATGAAAATATTCTGCAACTTTGCGTGTTACATGACCTGGTTAGCGGGTATCTCGATATGGCCTACTGAACACAAGCATATAATATCTAGTCTTTCCGTATTCACAACGTCGCGCTCCGTATGATCTTACTCGACTCGTCTGTTCCATGTCAGATAACGCTGTGGAAGCCAATCGGGCTCCTTCCACTCTTTATCAGAAATCTCAGCAAAAATCATTTGCGCAATGACTTCGGCACTGGGAGTCATATCATGTATGAATTGAGCCTGAGATGGTGCAGTCTCACAATATGAGACTTACCATCCAAATGCGCGCGGCATTCCATGGCCAGAATATCCTGCAGCGATGTACTGTTTCTTGTACAGGTCTCCGTCTGAATTGGCTACGAATAAGTCTGCTACGGAACCAACCTAGCAAAGGACACATCAACGATGGTAGCTGCAAGAGTTGCTTGGACGTACAAATGGGTCCCCCATCTTCGTGTAGCCCATGATGCCAGTCTAAACCATCGTTAGGGATATCCTCACACACAAAAAAGAGTACCTACCCATTCCATCTCAGGCTCTGAATCGGGGTCATGTTTACCTTCGAATACAGACGGCAAGAACTCGCGAAGCGCTTTCCCAACAAGCGGGTGCGTTTCGGAGTCATCGTCCACATATAGCTCGTAACCGGGTGACACAGCTTCCCGGCCACCACCGATGATAACCAGCGGTTTTTCGGTGTCGTGTGTTACGGGTCGAGGGAACCAGTATGCAAACCCCTAAAAGAGAGATTGGTCACGACAAGACGGGTTGGGATGCAGTGGTTTACTTCGTTTCCGCTCCAGCTCGGTATCTTAATTTGATCTGTACCGACAGAAGCACGTGTGGCCATTACTTGTCCTCGAGTGGGTATAATTCCAGCTGGACCTGCGAGGAAGGGAAGGAGATAAGAGGAGTACGCATTCGTGGCATGGACGACGCGGGAGCACGATATGCTACCTCGGTTTGTCACGACTGTATAAGTGGAAGAGTTGTCGATCGTTTCATGCGTGACTGCAGTCGCTGATGTCCGAGTGTACAAGCTGAGAGAGGCGTATTGCCCAGCGTGTGCTTGAGCATGCTGGTACAGCTTCGTAACGAGTTTCAGCGGCCAGACATTATGCCCTGGCTCGCGGAATCCTGGGTAAGGGGCGCCATATTCCTGGTGATGAGTGCGTTGAATCAGACTAGAGAGATGACTAGCGAGAACAAGCACCTCCTCGACTTCCTCTTTCGAGAGCCATTCCACACTATCCAGATTGAGCTGTGCTTGACGTGCCATATCAAAGTCCTTGTGCGCATCTTGTACTTCTTTCTCTGTAAATAAGAGATTTACGTGTCCACCTTCTACGAGGTCGATGTCGCTCGTCCAGCCATTTTCCTCTATGATTTTGACCAGCAGAGAAGCGGTGTATTGCTCGAGTTCATAGGACTTAATTGCCTCCACCGTACCGAATAATGCCTGACGATGAGAAAACTCGAGGAAAGCGGCCGGCGTAAGATGTCCACCATTCCTTCCTACAAACAATATTCTCTGCACGAGGGACTAAAGAAACACTTAGTGCTCCACGCACCGGTCGCTCCTGAGCCTGAAACGCGTCAGTACTGTACGAAAAACTTACAATAAGCATGAGACAAACTGACAGAAATCTCTCGCCTCAAGCACCACGATCCTGAGCGGGCGTTTGACGGAAAGTGAGGCGTTATTCAAGAGTTCGATAAGATGGTATGCGACGCCAACGCCAGTGATACCAGCCCCAATGATGCAGATGTCTGCTTCGCTAGGCAGAGGATCTTTGCTGCCTTGACCAGCGAGTGGATTTGCGTCCGGGGAGGAATCGATCCAGAAGGAGCGGGTTGGATTGCGAGATGGGAGTTTAGCAGGAGGAATTGGATGTTCCAATGGCGGTGTCTCGAGTACCTTCTGAGAATGTTCTAACTTGCCGAGTATCTGAGGGTTAACAGGCATTATCGACCAACTGAGAAGAAAACAGACAACGAGAAAGGTCCAGTCTTTCATTTCCGTGAACTCGAGTCCAAAAGATAAGATAACATGACCATTAGCCTGTCGTGGTGTTCGAATTACAACCACAAATATCAAGATTCAATATTTAAGTGGCGGTGACTTGGTTCGACTCTCTTCAAAACTTTTACTTCGCGTCGTCAGCAAACAACACGAAGGCAATTGACGGAATGGGCAGCCAACTCGAAAGCAAAGTTTTCTCTAGTCTCTGATATCATCACTGCACTGCAAGACGTTGTAAGTGTCCAGTCTTGTAAGTTCAATCCTTACGCATCAATTGTGATTTTGCGCTCCAACCCCGATTATGTGACCTGTTCGACTCTCTCTCACTCCCTATTACGTACGTTTGAAGCTGGCTTTATGGAACCGTGGCCTCATGTGAAGTTTAAGGCATTCCCGACGCGGTCAAATTGTGTCCTGGAGACCCTGATTTCAGGCTCTGGGACTGGGACCACAGATGAGCAGCGAGCGGAATATGTCGCCCTTGTCCCTTCCCTTAAAGTAGTGAGCGACTTGATTACTTGCATTCACTTCTAGTCATTACGCATGTTGGTCAGTGTTTTAGGGTACCACAATCTCCTTCATCCTCTCACGGGCCACTGTCTACCCCACAGTCTGTTTACAACTGAAGAATTCGGTGTCTGCCACTGGCTTCTGGTAAACTATAAACGCCATTTGAAAATGTATCGTATCTAGATGCAAGGAAAGTTTCGTAAAGCTGAGTAATGCAGACGTGGCATGAATAAAAGGTGACGGAACTCGGGTGGTTGACGGCCACTGACTTCAAACGATAAGCCTGCACCTCCTGGCAGGGTTTATGATCAAGTATACATCTGGGAATCAATTATTGGTCTTAGAGCGATGAAAATACTGGGCCCCTCCAAGACGTTTTGTTGCATGCAAGGTAACCTACATTTTAGACTGTATGATGATTTAAGTTAATTTCTAGATTATGCATATGACAAGGTGGTAATTGCGAGGTACAGCAGAAATATGCCTGCCAGTTATATTCCGTCACTACAGATCAATATGTTCCAGCTGGCAAATATGTCGCTCTGGTTCGTCAGTGATTGCAAGAGGAAATCATGTTTGGTTTCTCATCCGTCATGCTTATTTCCAATCATCGAAATGTCCGCACCGCTATTAACCCACATCCAGGAACGGCTGCATACAAGTCTCATGAAGAAGATGTCCATGACTCACGCGCTCTAACGCTTTAATTATATCATAGGGATCACTTGGACAAGGGCCGGGCGAACTTCTCCAGCCATAGTCTCGCTCCTGCTGCATCACGTGTGGTTCTGTCAGTGACAATGTATAATTCTTTATATCGATAGGCCGGACACCGAGGGTCATACTAGAGTGGGGTGCGGGTACTCAAGGGAAGGCAGGTAAAGCTCATTTAAAGAAGCTCAAGATTTCATTGTTCCTTGCAAAGAAAACTGCACCATGATCCATGCAGGGCTTGATCATCTCCAAGCATGTTTGAACTTCGCACTCGGTACCCTTCGCAAAGAGATGGACAACTCTCAGCTTCCTCCTTTAAGCCAACACGGCTCAGTAGAGCACCCATTGGACGACCCAACAACCTACCTACCTACCTAGTACAGCGTTGTTTGAGGCTCGCCATCTTTCTCTAGGTGAGTCGTTATTCTTACATGCATCAATGCACAAGCGTAATATTCCTTCAGCATGTCTGGTTGGTCACAACCGAGCCCTGTCTCTTATTATCTGAGCGTATCTTCTAAGGAGAGTTGAAGAGCCTTGTACAGTCCCCTTTGGATAAGCGCATGGATGAGGTTCGCGGCGTACGCCGCTGTCTGCACCGACAACCTCATCAAGACTAGTATCATCGATTACCTGTCTGACGCACCAAACCCCCTCCCCAAGATGTCCCGGCCGCTGAACTGGCTTCGAAATTTGAACTTGATTCTCAAAAACTCGTTCCCATTCTCCGTTGCTATGCAGCCAATGGTTGGGCTAGGGAGACCTATTATTCCTCATTTGCTCTGAACAGATGCTCGCGCACTTTCATCAAAGATCACCCAGGTCGGAGATTGGGCCTTTCGCAGGTGTTCACTATATGAGCACCTACCAAGAGGCTAAATGTCGAGGAGTAGGCCTGGATTTATGACGATGGTAGAAGCCGTACCACATTGGGCAACAGAATCAGATCGGAAACTATCGCGCTCCGCAACGCAGACTGCTTTCCAGATCGCGTTCAAGACCCCCTTGCACCGATTCTCTGGATTATGCAGAATCGAGGGACTGTCATTTCAATGTCGGATCACGTTCAAGTCAGTAATTTTTAGAGTTGCATAGCGCTTATTGGAATTTTGTTGTTCTAGGTCTTCAGTGACATGTCTACGCCAAGTATCGTGGAAGACTACCCATGGGAACTGCTGGAAACATCATCATCGTTGATTGCGGAGTAGGCATGGGCGGTCTAGTTTCGGCCATCCTAGACGCGTAATCTGACACACGACATGTTCCTCATATTCCTGTCTCTCAATCATGGCAGGCATCCTTCCTTGCGAGCCGTCGCGCAGGACACAGAGGATGTTGTCTCACTCACCGAAGAGCGCCGTCCTCGCCATGTTGAAAGTGGTATACTCAAGGTGGAAGTCCACGTCTTTTTCCAGCCTCATCATCGGATCGGAAACGAGTATAGCTAGCTTTATCTTGCGTCACATAATGTGAGTACCTGTTCGCCTCACGCTGATTTTGCTCACACCTGTCCTACCAAAGGCATAATTGGCCGAACAAAGAAGCGGCCAGTGTTTCTCGTCCCATATTCATCGGTGTAACTGACTTTGCCTCAGGCGATGATACTGGGCAATGTAGCTCGTGCACTGGGTCCCAAGGTAACAGCCAATTGGCAGATAAATGTGCCATATCCGAATGCCTGATGTGTTTCATAGTCCAAAATACTCATCATCGACATAGTAGCCATCCCGAACGCAGATTCAACTGCTAGAACGAGCGCCAAATTATTCTTACTGGACAGCCATGCTAAACGCCTCGACTATAGTATTCCATTGCACTTTGGTTCAGCGTCTGAACTTAGCAAGCGCTTTCTCGGTGCACATGCTGACGACGATGAACGGTTGCGAGAGGTCTTTGGTGCGTGTCAAACACAGTTTGACCATGCCCCGCCCACTGGTGATTGAACAGCGTGAATGGGAGACATTTGTAAAGGGGCTCTGCATCACGAACGTTAACCCCCTGCGAGCTCACACTTCCATTATTGAATGTGCACATGATGCAAGAGCATTACTACAACTTTAGAAGAGAATACTAAATCCTACAATTGCAGTGATTCCGGAGTAGATTTTTGGTGTTCCAGGTAGATATAATTTGCTGTCCTCCATGGCACTAATGGGTCGCAAAAATTCAAATGAATTGGCAATCTACGTTCCGAGACCTCAAATGATTTGCCGAAACCCACCGCATCGAGCCGGACATGACGCGTGACATGCGTGTCGTTGGCCCAGCGCCCATCTACGTGGTCACCGAGTCACCACTAATTCAGAAAGAACCACTGTCTTCCTCTACTGGAGAGGAAGACACAGGTTCTCTCTGAATAATCATTCGAATGGTTGTCATGATCATGGTATAGAAATACTTCTACCCCCGCCTGTCAATTTGAACATGGACGAGCGACGAGTGTGCTTGATCGGCGTCAAGTATATCACGGGTTCGACTACAAACCCTTCGGAACTAAATGTACATTAGTAGTGACAAGGACTGCAGTGCTTACCATGATATAAAGATTCCACGAAGCTAGAATGCTCCTTGACCATCAGCAGTGAGAATGAACGCACGAGACGTCGCTCGGCTTGTACCTGTCATTTATTGGTGTAGATGATAATGAAGAATAGTAGAAATACAGTCGAACTCCGTCTATGTTCAATGCTCGCGGCAGCAACGGTAGGGACTTGATTACTTTCTCTCAGCCTTGTGGTCACAGCTACAACGCGCATCGCGCTCCTCTTGCTCCAACTGGTATTCCCGTACGCGCCGTCTAATTTCCCTTCGCCGCTCCATCCCGTACTCCTGAGCTTCACTGCGAGCTTGGGCAAGGTTTTGGACTGCACTCATATGGCGCTTATCGGAGCTATGACTGAAAAATATAGGAGCAATACCAATGATGAAGCACTGCATGGAATATTAATATATAGAGGAGCCATAAACGACTGGTTGGAAGAGAAGACATACCGCAGTGCCCACGAATATTATTGACCAGTCCTTCCATCTCTCATCGGGCCTCGCAGTCCATTCCCTCCCAGGCGTTCCACTTGCAAAGCCAAACGGATGATCGCGGTCAAAGTCCATCCCCGCACTTCTATGGTGCGCGCGTCTCCGCCGTCTCAACTCTTCATACATGTGGGAATCGGACGGACTGCTGCGGAGCCCCGAATCAAGCTGTAAGCGAGATTTCCCAGTAAGAGTCTCATATGCGGCAGTTATGGATTGAAAGCGGGAGTGTCGTTCTGAAGCAGGGATATGTTGCGCATGGGCAGAATCGGGATGGTGTTCTCGGACGAGTTCATAGTCTGGGGATGTCGATCAGAAGTTAGTGTGTGAGTATGAGCAAGTATACAAACATCTTGACTTGATATCAGCTTGAGATGCGTTGTGGGAGAGGTGGAATATTTGGTGCGGAGTTGGTCGTGGGTGATGCGGGAATGGGTACTGGGACATAGTACTAGATGCGAGTCGGGAATGTATGAGAACACGCAAACCTGCACCTGCACTTGGAAGCCTCCCTCGACATGACTCAAATAAATGCACGGCCATCGTTTCACTTAATGATGCCCGTCGGGACTGTTCATTGCAAGTCTCCAGTCAAGCTGGTGCCAGTAATACTGAACTTCGGAGTGGCTCGGCATTTTCCGCCAGTTTCGTCACTTGTCACAGAACGACGAGCACAAACAGTGAGAGACCCAGCAACGATGCACAGTGAAGACGAGTTTGTATCATTGTAGGTCACAATATCTGTTGCAGTAATCTAACCACCACCATTACTTGCGATGTCGTCGTGGCGCCGGTCCACTCCACAAATGAATAGAGAACCGCAGCAAAACCGCAGACAACCCTCCTTCATGCAATTAAATTAGCTTCTCTCGTGCTCCTTTTCTTTGACGATGGGGTGCACAGGTGAGGTTATCACATGTCGAAGATGCAGTAAAGCCTTCACATTGGGTCACGGATGGATGTCGAAGCTAATACACTGAGCGTGAAGACGGAGAGAGTCCCCCGGAAGCAGATTTAGAGACATGGAAATGAGATTAGAGCCCCAGTGTCTAGGATCATCTGACTGGAATCAGAAGTATCACATATATGTTCGTGCCAACGCAAGAAGGTGTGTTTCGTTGTACTATTATTCTACTGTATTGCGCCCTCGCTTCAGCCAGATTTTCATTCCTAGGTGATCTCGACCTGGACTATGAGGAACATGTGCTCCAGTCTCAGGTAAGTCCTTTCCTTTTCGCTGACTCTCTGTTCACGTTTCTCCATCGCGAATGGTAAACTTCCTTACGGGCCGGTGACGGAACCGCAGAGTTTGCTTCTATTCTCACCCTACCTTCGAAATTTACTCCCAAATCGGAATCCAAACAGATGCGCTGACGAGGGATTGGAAGGCCTTCAAAGTGGAAGAGGGGGAAACAGAAGTGGAACTGAAAGCTAGAATGTGGGTATCCCCGCCAAGGTCCTATCATCAGTTCCCTTGGACGTCATATCCATTATTACAACTTCGCGTCATGGAGGATCTCAAACAAACAAAAAGTGTCTCCTGCCCCACAACGCCACCTCATGAGTAATCTTGTGCATTTCTGCACGTTCTTAACTCATAACTCAAGCATCAGGCCTCGCTTTCCGAGGTTCGTCTTATCCTTCGATAGATATCTCTCATATCTATCCTGCCTTTAGAATTTCCTGTCAGCGCCCAGTCATGAATTTGTCGCAAATCTTATTGTTTGATTGGTCTCACGAATTCTACTCATATCTCACCACTTTTCCATTCTCGCTCGAGCTTCAAGTGCTTGATATCTAGGGGCTCCAAAAGGAGGATTTTGCAATTCAGGGAGATAGGACAACGCCGATCGCGTGTTTGCACGCCACAGAGACATACCATTTGAAAGGAGTCCAGTGGTTCCCGTTGGCCAGTCCATTCATGTTCATAGCTGGCCCAGGGTGCACAGGGAGCACGCGGACGTACTCAAGGCTTGGTGACCTGCCCGAGTGTTCCACGCCGCTGGGTGTGTGACCGACAACATCTGAGACAAAGACATTGACGCAGCTACTTGTGAGTTTTCCATCGTTTAGTTGATCGGCACCTCCTTGTGACATCTTCGCTTGAAACGCGAACACAGGAGATTCCTGGCTGTGGGTGATCTCTCGGCACTCATTCCACAGTTGCCCTTGATATTCAGATGTTCATGCAGTTCAATGAATACAGGTCTGCCACCTCACATTTTCGATCTGTATCGTCTCTTACACCTTCTTCAGCACAATTTGGGTCTCTCTTCTCTGGTTCTTGTCGTGTCGTATCCTGCCATGAAGCGGGTAATCAACTATCCACAAGCTGTACTTGGTATGTTCCTGCTCGTCTCCGTCATCATGGTTACTGATGTCACTAAATAGCCGTGCTTCCTCTATGAATCAGGGTTGGATGCTGGATAGTCAATCCCATTTCCAACTTGTTTCACCGACTGCAACTGTTGAACCTGAAGAGTAAGTAAGTACCTCATTGGACGCGATATATGTTGGGTTTCATTTAATGACAGCATGAACTGTATTTCGAATGTACGCAGAAGACGTGAGTCTCTGAAAAGTCAAATTTTTGGTCAGTGCCCCTCTTCGATGACGAACCTTGAACATCAGTAACGAATGAGACAGCCGTACTGACAGGGACCTGCCTGCATCCCGGATCCCGATCGAGGAGAAACTTGGAAGTCGTAGATGTGACCTCTAGCTAAAACAACAAAGAAGTTAGCGCCAATAAGTACTCGCCAGGCACATTTTCCGCCGAACTGGTACTCATATTATAGCCGAACGAACGGTATAATATTATACTTACCTCACAGATCAAGCATTCCCATAACCGGAACTTGCTTCTGTTGCTTGTGAGTTACAATCATAATAATATTTTGATAACTAATGCGACTCTGAAAACAAGATTTGGAGGGCCGAAAGAGGCCGAAGCTCCTAGGCAACGCGCGCCACTGTCGCATTGCAACACGATAACCACAACTCACTTTTGGAAAAAGTTGACGGGGCAGGTCGTGGCAGACCGTCATACACGTTCACATCTGACCGGCACACTGGCATAGATGCGAGCCAAAACCTGTCCTTCGAGCCTGGGAAAGGTGAGGACTGGGACTTGGGATCTGAATGCGGTGCAGCAAGGAACGCAATCGAGAAGATGAATGTATATATCACCAAGTGAGTTCAAACTCTTATGCACTCGTGCACTTGCCTCGTAATCGAATCGGTTACAATACCCGAAGATAGCCGGCTGAGAGGTTCTGACAAGTTGACAATTTACATTTCATTTTGGCAGATAATGGGCCTCCGAGATACCGCTTTCCAGCTCTGAAAGGTTCGGATGATGTAGCAGCTATGTCACTTCAACTATCTTGGGACTTGGTTGTTGTTTCATATCCTTTGCAAACTCATTCTGTTAGCCTAACGAGGTCCAAGATTCTAAGTATCGCATATAATTGAACAAATTATTTGTCTCCCAGCGAAATTGATAATTGGCCTTGTATAAAACCAGTCGTACCGTCTTCGCCGGTCCGTCTACGTTCAAATCTACCTGCTCTTTCCATGGGGAACAGATCACAAATAATCAGACGGCACCTTCAGGATTTCCCGGCTCCGACCGCCACATGGGTGGACTACCTTCCTTCCAAGATACGTCCTTACTTTTATCTCGCACGAGTCCACAGACCCTCTGGAATACTTTTGCTATTCTATCCATGCGGTGAGTGTATCTTTATGACGAAAGTATTTTCCGTTAGTGATCCGAATGACTCAGCATGGTCGGTTACCATGACCTGCTACACGCTCGGTGCGCCGATGACGACAGCATGGACCTATCTTGGATTTTTCCTTGTAGCCTCCCAAGTGTTCTGTGCGACTGGGTGTATAATCGATGACATGTGGGACAAAGACATCGACGCTGCCACTTGTGAGTTTTCCCTTGTTCAAGTTAATCGGCAACTCCTTGTGACACCTTCACTTGAAGCGCGAACACGCAAGCGACCCTTGGCTGCGGGTGATCTCTCGATGTTACAGGCATTTGTGTTCCTTATTTTGCATTTGACCTTTGGTATCTGGCTGTTTATGCAGTTAAATGCTTACAGGTATGTTATCTCACATTCTTGGATTATTTTACTGTTTTTATCATTCCTCGCACCCCTCTTGAGTTTGATTCTTGGACTCTCCTCCCTTGTTTTAGTTGTGTTGTATCCTACCATGAAGCGGGTAATCGACTGGCCACAAGCTGTGCTTGGTAAGTTGCTACCAATCTACACCACGGACACTAATGTTTATTGAATAGGAATGTGCTTCAGCTGGGGATCATTTTTGGGAACAGCTTCTGTTGCTGGAACGGTTGACTGGCATATATATATCCCCCTATATATGGGGAGTGTATGCTGGACCATCGTGTACGATACTTGTTACGCCCGTCAAGTGAATCAATCTTTTGCATCCTGTTCTCGCTGGCTGAACAAACCGAAACCAGGACAGAGATGAAGACATCATAAATGGCGTCCACTCGACAGCAGTTGTTTTTGGGGACCAGATCCGGCCTATTCTCGTCATGTTCTCCTGCGTTCTTTATTCTTTGGTGTCGTACGCTGGGATCCTGAACGGACATAGCGTCTCATTTTTCATTGGTGTGACCCTTGGGGCACGCCACCTTATCCGACTCATCGCCAGGATTGACTTTGAAAATGAGGAGAGTTGCGATGCTGTTCTCATCAACAACACTTGGTTTGGCTTCTGGGTTTGGGCGGGAGCTATGGTTGACTACGTTGTGAAGATGCAATCATAGATGCTACGCCTTTGCTGCTCCCCGCTCATGATCCTAACGTTGCATGCACCCCCTTCTCCCTTTTGTTTTTGTATTCCATCTATGCTTAAGCTCACTGTCTCACTGCCGCCCTCTGTATGTATAACCACGGGCACTTGATTGCGTTTTTTCTAATTGAAACGAGCCTGGATCGACAAGCCAAATTTTGATTATCTATGCAGCATCGGGCCCACAAACTACATCGGCCATTAGCTAAAAATTACGATTATCTTCGTTTGATGTCCGTTCGATCACCTTGCCAATGCACATTACTAGTTCGTCAGAACCCCACTGTCCAACAACGCTGACCCCAACAGGCCAACCGTCGGCGGCTAACCCGGCAGGGATACTCACTGCTGGTAAGCCAGCCAGAGAAGCAGGAACAGTCATAACGTCCTGCAGATATGGACCCAGACCAGAGGCTGCATCTGAGTCTAGTCGAGGTGCGGTACGAATCGCAGAAGGATGCAAAAGAATATCCACGCCATCGGGATTTGGCGAAGGATCGGATAGTTGAGCATTGGGGACGCGAAAAGCAGAGTCGAAGTCGGTCTTGATCCGCTGCCGGATGCGCTGAGCTTGAAGAAAGTAATTGTCGAATGCACTGTGACCAATGGCTCGAGTCAGGGCTTCACATTAAGAACGGGATGCACGTACTCAGCTGTGAGTGCATGAGTGCCAAGGAGGATGCGCTTCTGCACCTCCGCTCCAAAACCTACCGAGCGTGTGTGTGCGTACACATTGCCTGGTTTGGATTTATCTGCGCCAGGAAGCAGACGGGAACGAGTACCTGGACAGGATCGGTTAATGAAGAATAGACTTTCAGACGTCATCACCAACCGTATTGAACCCCGTCATATCGCGCTAAATTGCTTGACGCTTCTGCACTTGCTATGACGTAATATGCACTCAATGCATAGGGCGTCGATGGAAGAGAGACAGGAATCAATTGAGCGCCAAGGGACGACAGTCGCTCTAGAACCCTGCGAACCGCGGTCACAATAGTAGTGTTAAGTTCAGAAGGGAAATATTCCTATCTTAAACCGTGAGCATGTCGAACGAATTGAGAACCGAGACGGACTTGTGGTATCCCAATCCGAAGTGACGAGAGGTCAGGGCTAGACAAATCCGCATCCAGAGTTGATAACAGTGATTCTGCTGAAACTTTTGCCTTCTCCCTTGCATGAGGTGTCGCCTGCGGTAGGATCCTTTGGATCATATGATGAAATCGAGTCTGTTTGAACTGTCAACTCAGGTGCTCTCGGTCACTGGTACCATGTTCACCGAATACGGTCTTTACTGTGTCGACGGACTTGCCAAGCACACCGACGCAGTCAAGACTATCAGCATAAGACACCACACCCCATCTGCCGTCTATGAGCTTCTGAAAATATGAGTTGTAAAGTAACAAACCTGCTAATAAGGCCATATGAGGGCTTCAAGCCCGTGATACCGCAGTATGATGCGGGAAGACGAACAGAGCCACCTGTATCTGTACCTAGTGCACTGTACCACGGTGAGTGCTATGCCACTTTGATAAGTTGGCAACTCACGCATCACACATACCAGCTGCAACAGCTGCAGCACTTCCACCCGAGCTTCCACCCGCCGATCTTCGTTCGCGTTCGGCCCAAGGTATGGATTTCTCATTTAGAGAATGATACGGATTTACCACAGGGCCATGGATGCTATTCACATTCAGGGACCTGAGTAGACAAGTGTTAGCGGAAAGCTGCGAAACTCAAGGGTAAGACTCGCCCCATTCCAAATTCATCACAGTTAGCTTTCCCAATTATATTCGCGCCTCTTGCCTTCAGAAGCTCCACCGCCGTCGCGTCAAATGGTGAAGTGAAGTCTGCAATAGAATTAGAACGCGAATGAGGTACGCTATGGGACATACGGCGAAGCATGCCTGACGAGCATGTCGTCGGTAGGTGCATTGTGCATATATTATCCTTGACTGCGACTTTAAGATCACTCAAAGGTCCATGAGGATTAGGATTGTGATTTTTAGTTGAGAAGCTGACTAGCGCATTCGTGCTTTCATTTAGTGACTGAGCATGTTTAGCATGGGTGGTAGCAGAGCGCCCCGGATGCGAAGTTGTAAAAGAACGAGCGCGACAGCCAGCACAAGACCTGGGTGGATATACACGTCCTAATCCACTGACGCTCGGGTGCATGACTCTGTTAGAAGAACTCTCATTACAGAAGTTCAAAGGACTTGTTTGCGTCTGTTGTTGTACAATACCTTCAGAAATAAATGTTGCCAAACAACCCTTATGTATATGGATAGATGCAGTTTAATATGTTCAGTGCGAGAGGTACCACAGGGACAGATGGCCGAGCGGTCCAAGGCGCCAGACTAAGGAGTACCAGCTCATCAGATGAGCACGGAATCTGGTCTCTTCGGGGGCGTGAGTTCGAATCTCACTCTGTTCAAATCTTTTTGTCCGTCGAGAACTCCTGCGCAATTGTTGACGCTCACGCCAATATTGAGGCTCTTTCCCAAACTACACAGGACATTCTGCCTCATAAACGACGCAATGATGTTTGATGCCACAATTAGGGAGACCAATTTCCATCATCGTCACCCTAGCATGGGCCAGATTTCAGTGACAGCAACAATGTCGGACAAGACGCGTCAGGACCTCGGAAGCGAATAAAGGTCACAGTGGCACTAAGATGATGTCCACGACTGCGCAGTCACTCGTTCGGAAGAAAGAAAAATAGCATCAATGGTATGCGGAGGAATCAGACTACAATGTAATAGGATATTGTTTAGTGACAAAGAAGACAGTCGTTGAAACAATCTAGGGAAGACCTGACTTGCAGACTGGGGCTGGGAGTAGTACTTGTGTGAATCTTGATGGTATCGCCTGACGGTGGCTCTGTGAGCATGGATATGAATATAAGGATCCGGCGCACGCTTGACTCCGTGGTTCGTTTGAAGGACAGGCACTGGGAGGTTCCAGTGACTAGCAGTACTAACTACTAAGTATAGTTGATGCGCACTCACTGGTCGCGGCAGTTGCCGCAGCTGGCAGTGAAGTTGAATGCCACTCATAATGATCTTGGTGTTTTGTTCGTCCAGAACACTGGCACTCTTGTAATTTTAGTGCCCACATCCAATCTCTGTGATTGGACATCCCAGATCTCGAGGCAATCTCCCACCCAGCGGCGTCCCAGCCTGCGTTTTGGCTGTGAGTGTTGAGGATCGAGCTGCGCCCATAAAACGACCCGGGGTGTCAAATGGTCCAATCATGAGTTTGCCAGTGTCCAAGTTCCATATCTGCATTGATTTTATTATGCCCCACTCACCAGCAGCGTGTTGCCCACAAAGATATTAATGCAGGTGATCATCCGTGAGTGGCCTTGAAGTTTTTTCACGATCCCAGTCTCAATCTCACAGACTTTCAGCTCCGCACAATCGTCTTCCCCACCACTAGCACTGAATCGTGACAACCCACCAACTATCCCTTGATACGCTCGATTCTTGGGACACAGCCATGGCCGAGGCAGTGCCATTACTAGAGCAACGATCAGTATTCTTGTTCTTCTGAGGGAGCACGTTGTCAAACGTTTGGTGTCAACTCGGAGCCCAGAGACACTCATCGAGTTGCCTCGTTTTAATGTCACTTCTTGGTGTTTGATCAGTGTTCTAATTCCCATTAATATTGGGGGTAGGGAACTGAAGATGACGTATTGTTTACAATTTCAACAAGAGCATGGCTCTGTTGAAGTTCAGGTGTGTCAGTGTCAAAATGTGATTGACAAAAAGGGAATCGGACCTTGAGTGCTTCCGGTAGGAATGCGGAGACGTGCCAAGGAGACTCAAAGCCTGATTTTCGTGAGTACCTTCACACATCAAACTAACAACACGATACTATAGTAGGGCGAAATAAAGGCCACAGCTCAACAAAGCTGTTCTATGACCTTCAGTTATTGTCTACACAAGGTCTTGGATGGTCTAGCAGTGCTGATCAGGTGGGTCGAAGCCACCAGCGAGCGAGATCACACTTCCACAGATTCCGCAGGCGCTCCCTTTGCAACTATGCAAGGTCTCTAAATGTGGATGGCTGGTGTTTTACCTAAGACCCACTGTGAGAGTACAGTGGCAGGGTGTGTTTGTTGTGGACCTGTGGTTTGCGAAGCGTTGTGATTTAAATAGGGACGCAAGGGTTGGCCTTACGCTAGTCCCACTTCTGCTTCCAATCTCCATCTCTGACATCTCAACCTCCTTCGTGTTAATATGCAAACCTTCAACTCAAACGCTAATTTATCAGCAGTCTCGGATGCCCTGCAGAGCATTGTAAGTGCTCGGTTTTGGACGTATTGATGTATGAATATAATAATAAACATCCACTTCAGCAGTCGGATGTAGTCATGCACGACGTTCCAGCCCTAAACGGTGCCAGGTATCGTCACCGGCAACTCGTCGAAGAGAAGGTCAAGATCGTGCAGTCCAACATTTCCCACGGAGGATTTTCATCTGCTATTTGGCGCCTGCCCACGGAGATCCTCACGGAAATCTTCCTTTACTGCATACCAGAAGACGGAAACTGGACGCCCGCGCCATATCTGGCCCCGATGCTGTTGACAACAGTATGTCAACGATGGAGGGAGGTTGCCGTGAATATGCCAAGTCTATGGCGCAGGCTGCGATTGGAAGCCGGCCACGGCGACTGGCAGCAGAGAGCTTACCGCTATGACTCCTGCCTCAAGCGATCACGAGGACGTCAGCTGTCGTTGACGCTTGAGTGTCATAACAACGACTGGACGGAGCTACGAAGCCTGCTCCAGCCGTACGTCGATCAAATATTGTCGCTGTCTCTTGGGTTTTTCACCGGTGCCGGCTCCTTGGTGGTGGCGGACTTCCGCGGACTTGACGAGCTGGTTATATATACGGATGGTTCAGATCCTATACTATCTGTCACTCACTCTATCGCGCAATTGCCATCCAGCATGCGTAGTCTCAAGTTAATGGACCTGTGGTTTAACCTCAAGTTGCTATCTGGCTTTAATCCTCTCGCATGGGCCAGTCTCACAAATCTTGAGATCGTGGTAGACGGATTAGATTCCTTCCCCTGCCTGCTCCGCCTATGTCCGAACCTCTCGTCCTTGACGATGATTGGAATATTCACTGCGATCGAGACCTCTGAACCACTCACTCACGCCAATCTTCAATCCCTGCGCATCTCCGGGGATTTGCATCTAGACTCGATCGGAAGTCTTGGGCTATTTGATGCTATCGCGCTCCCCGATCTACGCGCGCTTGAAGTTCGCAATATCGGACAGTGGCCTCATGAAGAATTCAAGGCGTTTTTGACACGGTCGCAGTGTCACCTGGGGAGCCTGATCTTCGGTGGTGGAGTGATGATAACGAATCAACAGCTAGCTGAATATGTTACCCTTTTCCCTTCCCTCGAATTAGTAGCAGACCCTATGCGTTCCACATTTTACTTTTAACTTAGATAGACAGTCGTTACGATGTACATATGTCAAGAAATGATGATATTGGGCTTGTGCTATAACCTATACTTACCCTTCCACAACCCTTTGATAGTCCTCGATACATTTCCGTTTTTACGCCTTCCTGTTCCTATTTTTCTTTCCCTTGGGTAGACAAGACTTCCAAGCTTCGATAATATTGGTGCAATAGCCAATTCAAACCAAAGTGCTACTGCATACGTCATTCCGAAAGCAAGCAGGTTTTTCAAACATTCGACATGCTTTACCTCCGTCAAGCAAGCCGTTCGTGCTAGCAGTGGTACACGTTATAGCGGGTCGGTGAACTTTGTACATATTCGTAAGATTTTACAGTAATCCTACCAAAGCAAGTTCCAAGCAAGCTCATAATGATACAACACCGTGACATATGATGAGATGTGAAAGACAAGACGACAAAGGACAACATTGGCACAACACAACTCACAAATACAACACTGATTAAAAGATAGAAGGACTGTTGTAACTTCACTGTGTACCGGTACTACCCGTCCCCTGCCGTGTCAATCTTGCTAAAAAGGCATGAAGCATAGTACGGGCATAACGCTTTTCTCCTCGGGAAACAGCTTCAATCATTCGCTCCAGACGACTTGATACTTCAAGTGAGCTGCGGAACTCCATTAGGAGGTCTAGCTCCATGTTTTGAATGTCGGTGTACCTGTGGTGATCGAGGATCAAAGAGGATCAGGGTGTAGAACAAGAAAGCCGTACTGAGCTGTAAACCACGAGAATGCCTCGGCCAAGATATTGCTCTCGCGTAAACTAGATTTGATTGCCTGGAACGCCAGAGCTTCTAAACGTGCGTTCTTGAGCTTCGGGATTCTTGTTAACCTGTTGCCATGAAGGACGCAAGATAGTACACTAACCTTAAGGGCGAGTCGGTACATCGACTTAGGAGAGCAGCGTAAAGTCTGAGTTGTGTTGTTGCGTCGGCTGAGCGGATCTTTAGACCTCAGAGGGTAGAAAGAAACTTGGCCAGTGTAGCAATAGTATATGTAGCATGCCCAGCTGCACGAACAGTTTGAGTCACTTTGAGCTGGTCAGAGTAGCTGTATTAGTAGCTTACGTCGCGAATGCCGTGCTCCGAACTAACACCATTCGCTGGGTCGGAGAAAAGGGTCGAGACAGCGGCTCAGCAGTCAATGTGTCCGTCGAGCGGAAACCTGGAGGCCGCGCAACCGCCGATTCCGTCCAGTCAGGGTCTAAGTAGCAGACTCAGTACGAGAGATCACCCAGGCCCAGGGAGGAGACAGGACTCACTGTCATCATCTGAACTTAAAGCACTGCTATCGGAAGTGGCATCAGAAAAATCGGACTCAGCAGGTGCCGCCCCAGGGGAATAACTCTGGTTACAGTAAGGCGGGGGTTGGCTAGGCGCTCCTTGTTTTATTTCTTCTTCCTCGATATCGCTGTCGAGGTCATAATCCTGATATAGCTCAGCGTCCCTCATCAGCCTAGATTCAGTCCGGTAGTGAACGAGTAAAGAGTTCTCGTTGGGAGATGCTAAACGATAGTTCTATTATCATTCGTCCACCAGGCGAGATGAGAAACCACTGACAAGAGCGAACTGGCGCGATTCCGGCACCGTGCTCTAAAACAGCATTATTCGCATATACAAAACGAGTTTCTCCAGAAGATCTCCAAGTTCTACGTTTGGACACGGCATGGTATTTAGTATCGGCGAATTCACCGTCATTCATGGACTGCCTGAGAGCAGACGCAGTATTGATGAGGGGGTCAGCGATGACTGGAGCAAAGTTTGCTTTCGTAGTGACCATAAACCACATGTAAGGGTGTGCAACAATAGTGGACGGCGAGAACGAGCCAAGAAGTGCGGGGGGGCCATGGCCAAAGTCAGCAATCGAGACCGTCTTGCTGCCAAAAGAAGGAACCTCTGAAGCAGACCCATCTTTAAGGCAGACGGTCACCGTGGCGGCGTCTGTCGCCGACGAGCAATGGGTGTGATCAAGGTAAACCTTGACTTTATTAGCAGAAGCCCAACCTCCTTTTGCGTACTGCAGCCCAAAACGCCACCCCAATCCGAACTTGTCGCTATAAACTATGGTTGAACCCCCTTGCAGGCAAGTGGCAAGGCGTCCGTCCCTAGTTTCCAGCTGGAAGATCGATGTAACAGAATCGGACACCCTCTGCATGGTGGATAAAGGCAACGGGGAAATGCTTAGGCGCCTCTTTGAGCAGTCTCTTATCCGGAAGGCAGTGTCATGTTTCCATATTTGTAACTGGTAATAATCCCTAGATCAGCAGGATTCCAATTTTGACACGAGTTCGACAACACGCGAAATACTTGTCAAGCAAACCATCAACAGCATTCTAGATATGCTAGAACAACGACAACCATCGTCTCAGAATAGCACTGAGTAGATCGAACGGTGAGCAGCATTCCACGAGTTCGACAGCATATGCACATAATACTCATCAAGCAGGCCATCAGCAACAGTGAACGTGATAGTAGGTTCGGCAAACGATGGTCAGTGATGCTATCAGGTTCAATTCTAGCCAGGTATCTGCATAGTTAACGCAGTGAGAACTTGTCCAGCGTTGGGTATATTACCCCTGGCCACAGCTTTCAGGGACCCTGCAGCACTTCTGGCGCATTCCTATGTTTCAGCAAGGACACCGTTTCCATTACTCTGATGGGATCATGCCTTTGAGGAGTGGCAGTAAGCAACAAGCAGATTTACAACGAGATTATCAATACCTGGAAGTAAATTTGGAGAATGCCTCATCCAGTATATGGACCACGGACAACCTGGTTTCAATAACCTTTAAAGCAAGTCGAGATAATGGTTCGTGTTCAAGCTGCAGCTTTGAGTTCATACATATACACCAACACAAGTTTCATGGATTTACCTTCCTAGTCAGTTGATACATCGACTTCGGGGAGCAATGTGGTGGACTGTTTTAAGCGACTCTGCTCACCAGACGCACTTTGAGACCGCAAGTTTGCAATGCTGACGGTGCTGGTATAACAGTAATAAATCAAGGTGTGTCACCTGAAAACTTCATTCAGTAGCAGCTCTGTGACACAATAATCATACATACATCTTCCAGGCAACACCCTTCACGAGAACAACTCGAGATTCACGTTTCAAGTTCTCGCCAATCACAACTGATACCATCCTAACATCTTCCAAAAGCAACGGCCGATTGTCTAGCTGCGCTTGAAGTCCAGCTGTAAGATTGTCAATGTCAATCTGATATACGTATGAAATTTCAAGTTTCAGTACCTTCTATGCTAGAGAAAGACGAAATTGAACCAGTATCAGTCGTGTCTGAGATCAAAACTTCAACACTGGAAAGAAACAAACAAACCTTAGTGTGATCCATTGTCGACTGGTGTAGGATTATTGTTATTCTTAACGAAATCATTGTAGTCTAGATCACTGTCAGAATCGTATTCATAACTCTCCAGGGACGTGGAAGAGTGTCGCCTTCAGAGTTCAAAGAGAAGGACAAATCAAGGTCACCTCCGGCTGCCAATAGCACTCAGTAGCCATGAATAAGAATAAGAATATAACATACAAAAGTCTGGCAAAGTTGTTCGAATCACAGCGGTGCTCGCATAAATCGAAATTGGTCTGGTACCTTTCCGAGGGACAAACGACGAGCATAAACCTGGAATACTCGTACCATGGCAAGATAGTTGTTCATGAGCTCATCTCCGATATGAGAAGGCGATACAGTCCGTTGCAAATGACTTTAGAGTCTCATTCAAAATTTCGCCAGATTTTGTTTGTTCCTTTGTTTTGACGCAGACGTCTGCTCACGCTTGGCCTCCGAGTCAGTCATACACTGCTGCATCAGGCATTCGGCCTGAGAATGTGGGCGTCTAACCCAAACCAGCATGACTTATTCAGCGGCGCTCCAGCCTCGATTCCAGGTTTTCATTGAATGTTTACCCTCATGCCAGCAAGCGACATGCAAACAGTCAACTCAACAGAAAACGTCAATCTCTCGCCTGCCTCGGAGATCATTAGTGCACTGTAGATCATCGTAAGTGTCGAAGTGCATCCTTCCCTGTGAATAATAACTATTTGCTTCAGCTACGTTCACAACCAGTGGTCTGTCTATGTAGATGCATCCGACGCGTTATTGACCATTACCAGATTCCAGACCTCGAAACCCATACTCCCGAACCAATTTCACTAATCCGAACCACTGTGCGGTTGGTCTTGAAGACCAGAGCGTCAGAGCCATTATCACCGATCGTCAGCAGCAGCTAGATGCAGCTTTACAAGTCTGGAAACGGTCATTGACAAAATCAACAACCTTCGCCGACAACTAACCAAACAGAAGAAAAAGATCATCTCGTCCATCACGTTGCACAAGGGACTCTGGCGCAAGCCAACTGAAGTCTTCAAGTTGCGTCCGCATGACCACCCTGATCCTTCTATCATTTCGTTTTAGTACCATGATATCAGTGTACGTGACAAAAATGCATTTCTATTAAATTTAAGTGCGTCCCACCCCGACCAGTCATCTAGTAGTCCAAATTCCATTCCTCCAACAATTGATAAGCCACACGATAAGATGTTACACCTGTACAGTCTGCAGGTGACATGTCGGACATAGAGATATTCACGGGGGCGTCAGAGTCGCGCACGTGCTGGTCAAGATGCCAGAGATGGAGGTGCATGCGCGTGGCGATGATCCGAAGGACACATACCTGAAAACTATAAGTGTTTTTTTGGGGTATCCTCAGTAGTGGGAATTCGCGATGGAAGTTGGAGGTGCATACTCTTCGAAGACGATATAGTATGCGGACTGTATGTGCGGAACATCAACGACTCGATCATATTGAAGGGTACCGGGAGGTTTACGCACATCGGGAAATAGCACTGGCATGAGGACGTTCACGGCAGAGAGCACTTTCGGAACAATAATCACCGATGAGCACGGAAATATGCATAATTCCGGACTCACTGAGACCACATCCATAGTAGAATATGTTATGCTTTACAAGGGCAGGCGTGCAGATGGCCCTTGGCCGACCGCCAGCTCTGTATGACACGTATAAGTGTGAGGGAGACCAATCCTGGGGTAAGCGTCAGTCAGCGCGTGTCTGTAATTTATCCCCCCAATTCCCGACAACACACCCAGTTGAAACACAAACAAGAAAATAAACAACATGAAGTATAGGACACCGTTCGAGCTCCAGGAGCAGCCTGGGACGCTTGGTATTGTGCTAGTCGTAACTGTGAAAGTGGAGTGATCATGTGCGATCAGTAGTAGGGGAAGGTGAGAGCACAAACCATATGAGGTGGCAATAATAGCAAAACGGATGCCGACAGATGTTACAACCATAGCCTAACGATTTATCAACCACGAGCATGGGTGTGTTAAGGGCACGGGGCTCACAAAAGCTGTGGACAGCATGCCTCCGAGTACGATCCTATTATTGTTCCAGAGCGCACGTGTTCTGAGCACAAATAAACCTTAATGAATCAGATGAGGAATATGTGTATGTCGTGTAAGAAGAAGAAATACTTTCAGAGCAAGTGAGTGATATCTGGCTAAAACCTACGAGGAAAGGGCAGCGCTCGACAGGGAGGTGTATGGAGCGTGTACCGTGCACGTACATGAGTAAATATTGATCAATACCCTACATTTCTGGCGCAATCATGCAGTAAGCATCAGCTGAAGTCTGCTGTAAGTCCACATACATTGGGGTTTTCGGGGGTGAAGTTCACTAAAATACAACATGTCAGTTTGTTGTTGGGAAGATTATGCTGGAGCTCATCAACGCACGGCATAAGTACATGGCGATAAGAAGAAAGGGGAGATATCGTGTAGTGATATAAAGGGCTTTTACTTTGGTCCAGCGTGACTTACGCAGAAATTTCCACTTTGAACAGTGTTCAATATCCAAACAGAGGTGTATCATGACACGAGTCATTACCTCTTTGTGAAGTGAAGAAACATAGTCACAGATCTGGATAAACGAGCTTAGCGATAGACGGGAACTCGAAGAGCTGGGATAAGCCTACCCAGAACGTCGTTATCGATACTGAGCTATCAAGTCAGAACGAGGAAGAAGCAGTTCAGAAAGCACGTACCATATATGTACTGGTGGAACATGGTACGTTATCTTGCATTCGTGTTAAGAAAGCGACGCACCGTTAATCGCTGCAGAGTCATGACCGCTGCGATATCGACTGCCGAATACTCCATCTGCGTTTATTCGATAAGTGAAGAAACGGGGGTTCTCGCATACGCGTCACATACCTTCTTATGGCTGAGAGAACCCATCAGAATCGGGACAGCACTCAAGTGGCAGGCTGGGCTTGATGATCGTTGCTAGCGCCCACAGATTGTACTAGCAGACAATTAGGCCTATAGGATTAATTAGGTTTGAAACAACATAATCGCCTTAGAGGAACCTATGTTTATACAAGGAACGTTTAACCTCTTTTGATTGACTCCAACCGTTTTAGACGTACGCCTCTTCGAGAAAGAGATGGCTTTACAGTAATACACACGTGATCATGATATGCAAAGCAGATTAATACAGGAATCTAAAATGGGGCAGGTGTGGTATATCGGCGAGGTGAACCATAGTCTTCGTCTGAATGATGCTTTGATAATCTGGCGAATGCTCCGTAGGCGGAATAGAGGCTGATAAAGTACAGTATGGATGGTTGAGACTGTTCGAGGGATCTTATTCACATTTAGCTGCAGGCGTGTACCAGTTCCATCACTTGACTAGCAGGGGTACCTCACCAATCGCTTTCAATCATTTCACAGCGCTGCTATGCCTGTGTAGACGGATGATAGCATCAGGGTTGGAGGCGTCTCATCCTAGAGAATGTATCATTCTCTGCGGTACTGCATGCATTCTGGGGGGTAAACAGTGCTAGAAGCAGTGTTGGGACCAGTGTTGTTACTAACCCGCTAAAAAGGATGGTTAAATGAATCTGCCGTTTAGGTCGCTAGGGATTCATAGGGTTGATGTACCAGGAGTTATTTGGCATTAAAAAGAGGTACCTCACCCAAGATGTTTTCGATCGGATAGCGTTGATGTACCTGCTAGATGGACGATGGTATCGGGATCAGTGAGGTGATGAGAAACGGTAAAAACGTCCCTTCCGAGAGCGCATTGGATGTCCACAATACTGCGTACATTCTAGAAGGAAACGGTGAACTGCTGCCTCAGTCTCTGGACAATGTGGACAGTCTCAAGGGTTGTCGGTCTTGCACATGCAGTGAGGTTGCTTATTGACGGACTCCACGAGAACTTTGCAGGTAGCCAGGCATTAAATAATGTCAGAAATATGGGGTGCCAAAATGGTGGAGCCCTCACAGTTGCCCGTATGTTAGACTCCAACCCATCCGGCTGTGGGGAAGTCCTTCATCCTAGAGCAGCCACGATACAAATAAAACAAATCATTAGTCATCATACTGTAGCCGAAATTTTGGAGGACGACCAGAGCGACTACTGGTAAAACTTCTTGTATGGCGCGATAGTTCAGTTTCCTCGAATAATTTCTTAACCGACAACTTGAATATATACAAACAGTCGATTCAAACACAAATTTCCAAACATAATTCAAATTGGCGCATTGCAGAACATAGTAAGTGCCGAGGTTTCATATCAACACACAACTCTGTGAATAGTAACCAATTGCTTCCTGAAAGCTACGTTCACGAGCAACTGTATGTCTAGGTATATGCGATGTGTTATTCACCATGAGCAGACCTTCGAGCGAAAACTCGTGTTCCAGAGCCACTATCTTAATCGTGCGAGCTCAAAGGTTAAAGCCTGAACGCTATCATCACCGAACGCCAGGAGCAGTTAGGTACGATTTTGCACGAGATCTCAGACCTGCAAACAGTTATGGATATTATCCAAATCCTTGACCGGCAACTCATCGAAAAGAAGGACGAAATCATCCAATTTGCACGAGACTTGGATCGCCAGCTCTGTGGCGCTTTTTGACTGAAGTCTTATCTCACATCTACTTCACGGAATATGGGTATTTTCGCCTGCGTTAAGGCTAGCTCCCATCCTGTTGACCAGAATATACCGACGATGGAGGGAGGTTGTTGTGGGCATGCCCAGTTTATGATGCAACCTGCAGTTGGAAGTCGCTCACGATGACTGGCAACAGAAAGCTTTCTGTTATGGGGCATGGCTCAAGCGAACCCTAGGTCGACCGCTCTCCCTGGCACTCCACTTCTACGGTAGCTGGACCCGACGAGTGCAAAGCCTTCTTCAGCCTTACATTCATCGATTTTCTCTCCTCTAGATCGACTTTCAAGGAGTGGACCGACTTTCATTTTAATTCAAAAAATTTCCAGTACTTCAGAAGCTAATCGTTGTCAGTCATACCACAGCTATCGTATGATGCGTCTCGTAACTGTCGTCCACATTAACCAGTCTCAAGTTCCCAGGGACGTAGTTTGAACTCGAGCTGCTATCTTTTTTTGACTCCCACCTGACAGAAGTCGAGATTTACGCAGGAAAACAAGATGCATTCATCTGCCTGCTCCAGCTATATCCTAACTGCTTCTTATTAACGACTGGTATCCTATTATCCTAAATACAGGCGTTGTAGCCGTTCACGCATACCACACTTAGATCCTTGCGTCTCCGTAGCAGGGCCTGGATGTTTGACGCTTCCCAATTTACGCGTACTTGATGTTTGCAATATATCAACATGTCCCCACAAGGAGTTCAAGACGTTTCTGGTTCAGTTAGAGCGTCCCCCTGGAGATTTCATTTTCGGCACTAGTACGTAGTGGTCACGACAACGTGTATAATACGTTGCCCTTATTTCCTTCCTCAAAGTAGTAGTAGATCCCACACTTCTATGGCGACTGTGGCTACGCTACGAATACTAGTACTGCGTGTCATATGTTATAGATGACCTTCATGGCATCTCTCTTTGCAGCTTCAATCACCTAAGGTATTTTTCATCTGCAATCTGACCCTCCTAATTTAACTTCTCAGACAACGATTATTCAGTTTGATGCATGCGATGATAGGTATCTGGATGATTTTTGTCGTGTCATTATTAAGACTGTTCCTCTAATGGTCTGATTCGAATGAGTCATGTGCCTCTCAGCAGTGCGCTTATCTCTATAAGAGTCATCAAGCCCACTTGATCAACAGATCGCTATATCCTCGTCAGAGACAACATGCCCACTTTTCCCTATGTCATCATAAACGCATTCACGCGTGCGTCCTTCGGTGGTAATCCAGCTGTGATCATCGCTCTCCCACCAGGTTCTCTTTCCCAACCCCAAACATTCAGCGAAGAGACCATGATTAAAATCAGTCTCGCACTCGCGCAGCCCATGTCAATTTTCCTCTCGTTATCCCTAGATGATTCTACACTCCTTGATGTCTGCTTCCATAACGGGACCTGTGCGCCACTTATCTGTGGACATGGGGTGTTGGCTGCAGTCAAGGCGCTATGCACGAACGCTCTGCCATCCCTTGGTCAATTGGGTCCAGAAGTGAAGCTGCGCACGAAGGCAGGCACGATTATTTCTGCATGCAGCATCACAGAGAGCGGGTCCAAAGAGGAAAAGTATGAGATCGCGCTTCCTGCAACTCCAGTCGTTACGATTCCGGACGTGGAGATAGATAGAATTGCAGGTGTAATCAGTGAAGCCGCCGGTAGGAATGTACAGGTAGAGTATGCCGCTAAAGGCGAAGGCAAGATGGACGATTACTTGATGACTGTCGTTGGTCCAGACGAAAACATAGGCGATATGAAACTAGACATCGATGTTCTGGTAAGCACACAATTCTACCTAAGTGGACCATCATCTAAAATATGTATGAGTAGCGCAAAACTTCTTACAGTGTCAATATTATCACAAACGCTACCCCTGACGCTGACCAGGTCTTCGTCTCGCGTATGTTTGCACCTGCAGCAGGTATCCCTGAAGATCATGTCTGTGGAAGCGCGCACACGTTACTCGTACCTTACTGGGTGACTCGACTCGGAAAGAAGAATCAGGAGGCGATGTACGTTCGTCAAGTGAGCCCGCGTGGAGGAGAGCTGTGGGTGATTTGGGATCAGGATAAAGGTCTTGTCAGGCTCAAGGGCCACGCGAAGGCTTTCGGAAAGGGCGACTTTACTATCTAAATTTGTGTGGCAATCCGCCTTGGGGGAAAGGAAGTGACGCGGGAAATCTCGATGCCAGTGTCATTACTGCGGGACTATTTTACAGCAATGCTCGTGTATCAAGTGCACATTCGATGATGGAAGTGTGAGCTCGCAGCGGGTAAATGTTCGTGATACGGAGCCCGCACCCCTTCACTAGTTTCTCCCACTCACGCTGTTTAATCTTCAGCAACACATCATTAAATTTTGTTCCGCACGCACCAAAGACCTCTCACAACCGTTTATCATGGTCAGCATGTGCACAGAAGAGCCGCTTACGATTCTAGACGCTGAACCAAAGTGCGATGGAATCCTGTAGTCAGGACCTTTAGCTCCACCATCAAGCATCAAGGATTTGACGCTCGTTGTAGCAGTCGAATCCACATTCGGAACAGCTACCATGTCGACGATGAGTATCTTGGACTGTAAAATGCATCAGATATAGCACATTGGTCTGTAAATTTGACTGTTGACCTTAGGACCCAGTGCGCGGGCTACATTTCCCAGTATCGTTGCCTGAGTCAAAGTCAGCTATGTCATTGAACAATGTGCTACACTGACCGCTTCTTTGTCTGGCCAATCATGCCTATGGCGCAAAAGTGGTATGAGCGAATTCGGGGTAAGGGGAACGAGCATTCACATTATATGACGCAAGATAAAGCTATACTCGTTTCCAATCCGAGGCTGAGGCTGGAAAAAGTCGTGGGCTTCCACCTTGATTACACCATTTTCAATGTCACGAGGGCGGCGTTCTTCCATAATCGAACTTGTCAATGGGACTACATTCTCCATGTCTTGCACGATGGCTCGGAAGGAAGGGTGCCTGTCACGATTGAGAGACCTCTGGAAAAGGAATGTATACGCCAACCTACGCATCTAGAATGGCCGAAATTAGACCGCCCTCGCCCCCTCCACAATCAACGATGACGGGGGTTTGCAACTGTTCCCATGGGTAGTCCGCCACGACACTCGGCGTAGACATGTCACCATAGACCTAGAACAGCAAGGTCCGGTAAGTGCTTTGTAATTCTCTCACGGAACAACTGACTTGGAGATGATCCGCGATTGGAACGAGGACATCTGGGTTTTCCACAATCCAAGAGAATGCCAATAAGGGTGTGTTGAACGCGATTTGAAAAGCGGTCTGCTCTGGAGAACGCGATAGTTTCCAATCAGATTCCGCCACCCAGTGTGGTATAGTTTCGATCATCGACATAAAACCAGGCATACTGCTCGATATTTAGCCTTGGCAAGCGCTGATGCAGTGAAAAACATACGAAAAGTTTAGTTTCCGACCAGCGTTGCCTTCAATGAAAGTGCGCGAGCATCTGTTCAAAGCAAATGAAGAATCACGAGTCTCCCTGACCCAACCGCTGGCTGCACAGCAGCGGAGAATGGGAACGAGTTTTTGAGAATCAAGTTCAAACTTCGAGGCCAGTTCAGCGGCCGGGACACCTTGGGAGGGATTTGGCACATCGGACAAGTAGTCGATGATGCCAGTTTTGATGAGGGTGTCAGTGCAGGCAACACCATATACTGTAAACCTCTCTTCCATGCACTTATCCAAAGGCGACTGGATGAGGTTCTTTAGCTCTCCCTAGAAGAGGTACTCAGATGAATAAAAGGGGCTCAGTTAGTAACCAACCAGACATGCTGATCGATGATTAGGGTTATGCATTGGTGCATATAGAGCAAATATAACGTACCTAAAGAGAGACGGCGAGCTTCAAACAACCCCGTACTAGGTAGGTATGTTGTTGAGTCGTCCAACGGGTGTTCTACTGAGCTGTGTTGACTCAGGGGAGGAAGCTGAGAGTTGTCCATCTCCTTGCGGAGTGTGTCAAGTGCGAAGTTCAAACATGCTTGCAGACGGTCAAGCTCTGCATGGGCCATGGCGAAGTTTGCTCTCAAGAAACAACGAAGTCTCGCAGTCTTTATAGGCTTTATGTGCCTTGCATATCATACCCGTTCCCAATACTGATCCACTGCCAGCACGGTGTCCGGTCCGTCGGCTTGAAAAAGAAGGAACGACTTGACTACGCTGGTCCATCGGTAGCATAAGTCATTCGATGATTCTATTTGTCCATTCTCATGGTATATCCGGAGAACATGGCAGCATTTGCCTTTCTAAAGTGATCCTATGCTACTGTACAATTGAAAACATTAGAGCAGGTGAAATCATGACGAATGAGAAACTAAACCCAATATTTTGCAGGCGCACTCCCGTCGCAACTTGATATCATCCGGAGCGTATTTGCCAGTGACCTGCAGTGGTGGAACATAACTGGAAGCCGCATCCGGGGTTCGGAGTTCTACCAACTATTACATAATAATATCCGCCACATCACGATCTCCAAAATCCAATAGGCTTCTCAAGGTCAATTCCACCGCACGAATTCAGCGCTCGCGACGCATGACTAAACATCAAAATTGCCTCACCGCACGCCGGGCTGCGGTATACATCTTCATTCTTCATTCTTGAAGCTTGAAGCTTGAAGCTAAGGCGCAGTACCACCAAGTCTTGCAAAGTATCACCGTAACAATTTAGTAACGCCGCGCAACTCGCCGAGTCTTCTCTTCAAAAAACGACTGCACCGCAAGAACTTTCGGTGATGCCATTCCTGTGGAGAACTGAAGTACTCCTTCCGCAGCTAGCACAGCATGAGTTGGCAACTCGGTCAGGACGGGCCAGAAGTTCAAAGAACAAGGATCAGAAGGTACTGATACTGACATAATAAGCTACCCACCCACTTAGGCTACACGGGCCTACGTTTATATGGTTCATCCCAAGTTTGTCCAGTCAGATTCTGTCAGTCGCCGTTTCAATGGAAGCTTCGTCAGGGCAATCCATCCAGCCTGTGTTCTGAATGCAGTATGGTCACGCTAAGGCTCGAGGCCCACGTCCTCGCCGCAGTTTACATTGTTCACTAAGGGGGCGGCGACGTACTGAATCGTCGGACATACTGCGAGGGAGCCACAAACGAGGCAGTAAATGCACTGAATCAGCGAGCAACACTTCGATTGCAAAATGATCGGTTAAAGTAACATAACCCGCATCTCGTCTCTGCGTACAAATTTAGTGACTTCAACCCAAAGTTAGATTTGTGCATGGCTCATCTCGACAAACCGCTTGTTCAAAACCTCTATCTCAACATCATCCAGCATAGTGCCAAAGTGCCTCTCCAAGTGGTCGCGTCTTAAGGCGGCAGGCCACGATGCGAGAAGTTCCAGCCTTTCCAAATTGAAAAGACCTGCTCGTCGGGTGACGAAAGCACTTGTGAGATGCCCGAGATCAAAGTCACAGGATCTCAAAAAATTCTCGATGTTTTCGGGAGCAGCGTCCGGATGCATGCTTGCACCAGGAGTCTCGCCGCCTATGGCTCGATCTTCCTCGTCGTAGGGTGGCGGCAGGTCGGCTGGTGACATCTCCGCTTCACCCTGTTGTACATAATGAGTGGATAGAAGGAAGGAAGGCGAAGAACCAACGTACTGTAGAAGAAGAGGACCTCAATCCCATCGTCCGTTTATACTTCGCCACTGCCTTTCTGAATTGGTGGCGGTCCTGTGCAATACGCTTGTTGAGGCTGATTTTCACATATAACTCAACCGGCCAAGCGTCTTCATATTTCGAAATCAGGGAGGGCATGGCCTCATAAGCCTTAAAAATAGATGTTAGAATCACCAAAGCACTGCAACAGTAAACATATTGACCCACCCATTGCACAAATCTTCGCCACGCTGAAGGATCTTGTTCATCAAATTTCTTCGAGTGATTGAGCGATGCATACATCTTTTCGCGAACTTGTTTCTGTATTCCGGATGATGGGTTCAGCAGGAAAGTGACGCAAGGGAACAGGGGTACCTTGAACTCCATGAAATCGTCAGTATTCATGTCCAAAGCTCGGGCAATTTCTTCATGCCTTGTATGTTGAAGTCGGCGAAAGTCGGCCTCAGATGGTCTTGGAATTGAAAAAGTTCGAGTAGCCGTTGCAGTCATCATGTCTGTCGAAAGAAACAGGGAAAAAAACAGAAGTGGTTGGTTTGAAAAGGGAGGGATATAATTCATCTCGTTCGCACTCATTGGATTTGACTTGCTGATAAGATCTGTAGGATGCAACGTGAACGCTCGCGCCGATTCTTCGTTCCCTTTTATCCCTACCCCGAGGCGCAAGTGACCCTATTCGAGTTTTTTTTTCCATCGACACAGCAATGTCGCAAACATGGATCAGAATCACCTGCAGATAGATAATCAGTAACCTTCCTGAGGGGCATGCCTTTCATTTATTCTCTCAGATTGGCACTTTCTGTACTCGTGCCAGGGAATGCTGTGGTCTCGTGCACCATTATATGATCTCAAGAGGAACATTTGGATCACACGTGTAGGTCCACCGCCGTCAGTAGTCTCACGGCATACCCAGAAGGGCTGCTTGAAATGACGGCCCCAATCATTGTCCTAAATCGGTCGATTTGTCAGTGAGTGAGATATGAAGGCCCTAGTACGCACCTTGCATGATGTGGATCACAAGGAATAAGACGCGCTATGACGCGCTGGATTGGTGGGCATGCGCGATGCGCGTGGTCATTAGAAGGATGCCTGCACACAAACTGCACACTGCAAATATTCCTACATTGTGAGTGACTCTATCAATCGCACGCCGGAGGAAGACAGAAACACCGATAGCAATAGACACGATCTTGAACAAAATACCGTATTATAAATCTACATTTACTCCTCATCTTCATCATCGTCCTTCGTGAGTCTACTAAGAATCGAACCATTGAACGCGTCTAATAAAATGATCAGAACCGGGCAAGGATGGAGGGAATGATGATGACTAACGTCCCGTGCTCGCTGAATGCTTCCCTCGGTACGCAGATAAAGGTGAGGGTGTCTGTGGCATACCAGTCGAGGAGTTCAGTGAGGAAAAAGGTGGAGGCGTAGGTCCAGGAATTGAGTATTGGAGGGTACGAGAAGGCGTAGACACTGGGGAAGAGACATATGGGGAGAAAGTGCGCTGCGGTTGTGGGCTCGTCTATTTATCATCAGTTAAGTACACTCGCCCAGATATGCCAGGACTTTACATGAGGTGACAACACGTTACGACGTTTTTGTAAGTGTGATTGTGGTGTCTTAATGCTCTTCGAAGGTGACGGCGCGGGTGGGAGAAGTGTTGGTGGATACATGAGCGCTATAGCTGCCTGAAGAGCATTCAGGGTGAAGAGACCTAGTATGGCCAACTCTAGGAACTACTATCAGCGACTTCATTGGCAAATTGGAGCGAGTAAGGTCACTCACCGGCAGCGCACATCATCCAAAATGCAGATTTTCCTTCTCCTGAATCATTGAAAACGACATCCACAGCTGTCCATAACGATGGTACTGGAGTAAGATGTGTAAGAAAGAATACAGCGACGAGGGCAGCAGAACTGTTGCGGATCCGGAGCGCAGCTTCATTTTTATGTAGTTTGAGACTGAGCATAGATGCCTTGAGCGGGGTAAGTGACGACATCTGTAGGTTGAATATAAGAGACAAAGAGGAGAATAAGTACTACTTGGTGTCTCTAACGGTGTTGGTCTAATATCTGAATGGTCTGGTCTCATGTTTTTAACGCGTGTGTCACAGTCACGTGAGTGTGGACCTCTTTGTATAACCCTCCTTTCGAGCCCACTACTCCACCAACCCCAGTATTCGTATACTCATACCCGCTCCTCACATGCTCCAACTCCCCACCACCACCCCCGCTCCCACTCAAAGCCACCCCGCAGAATACCTGGAAAAAATGAGCAAGGAGAATTTGGAGGTAAATACGGTAAAAATTTAAGTTAGTGCTCATCGACACTGCTGTCTGACTCTGACCGTAATACCAACCCAGGTGTCAACAACAAGTTCGTATGTGTCCCAAATGCAGATTCCAAGGCCATTTTGTCTCCCGAAGGTGTATATGCAGGAGCATACAACCTTCGACTGTGAAGTCGCTTCTTGCGCTCATTTGCCACACCGCCAGCTCCCGACTAACCGAGGAGTCCAAGGTCTCGCAATACTGAACCTAACGGCTCGCTGTAGAGCAGTATAAGGAGTTCAACAAATCATGTCTGTCACGGCGATGCATCTTAGATCTTTCCCCTGATGGTCCCAAAGGATAACAACATCAATTCCGATCTCGTCAATCGCTGACAACGCAGGAGTGATGCTGTCAGAAGGCCAGTCTATCAGACTTGAAGGTGGGTTACTCCGTCGTATCACCTTGGTATTCGTTACATAACCTACACGGTCTATCTACAGCCATCGGCGGAAAGAATCTTTTAAAGTCCCTTCCTAGTGCGCATGCCCGCAGAGAACTAATTATATGTCCTTCAAACTCGGTGAAATGGGACTCCAGGGATTAGATATCGGGGTACTGTCATCCGAGAGATCTGAGCGTGGGGTGATACTGTGACTCTGCAAGGCAATCCACAGAGGCTTGCAGACATGATTTGAAAACTGACTTTCGGTGAGTAGATCATCAATATGTCACCTGAAATATTCTGGAATGAGCTGTTCAATCAGGTTGACGATCCTTTCAATGGGTGATCCACTTGCCATTCGTCTATATCTCATTGCTTGTACATCTCGTATTTTGAATCCATACTTGTCTCTCGGGCTATGTTTGATCTCATGATCCATAATCGCAAGCGATCTGGAAACCTATTCGCCTGCAGAACCTTGTGCCAGCCCTAGGCGATTCATTGTTTGTGCATATTCATTGCCCTCAAGCTTCTGAGGTGATGTATCGAATCGTTCTCAAGTTCTCGTGAGTACGATCCAAAATTGGGAATGTGATGCGCAAGCAACTTTACGTGATACGAAGGACGCAAGGTTCTAAATACAAGGGCAAGAGATGATCTACAATAGTTATTGCTTATCGATAAACCATGTACTGCTCCAACTCGATGAAGATATCATAAAAAGATCGACGATAGATCTGAGACACTCAAGGGTCATGCATAAATTATCCTAGCAGCAACAACAGGACCGGCCGCCATGTTCTCCACGGTCTGCCTGCACTGCTCCTAATTGCTGTTGCTGTTGTAAATTGGCGTCTGGTGTAGGAGGTCCATGATAGTCTTCATCACGTATCAAAGAGTGCTCACTCCCAGGAGCACCCGCTGCAGCATAACGCTGTAAATGTACGCATCAGATACCCAAAACACATTTATAAAAATCGACTGGGCGAACCTGTAAACCCTGCGCATAAGAAACGTCCGCGACGGGAGGCGTTGCATGATGGGGTGGCCGGGTGAATAGCTGGCGTAGGTGAGTTCTCAAGGTGGTAGCGGCAGCGACTGGCGATGAGGTGGTAGGTGCTACAGATGCTGGCGGGGGAGTTGAACGAGGGGTTCTCATCACAGCGAACCTCAGTCTTTTGAGACGGCCGTGGCGTTGTTGATGTCGTGGTCGCGAAATTTGAGAATGCTGTAATGAACAATGTGTGAGAGAGAAGAAGGATCCGCTGTTGGACGCACTTGATTCATTCCATGGAAGAAATTAGGTTCTGTATTATAGCCATCTTGCCCTGGGATCTCCGCCTGCATAACGATCAGTAGCGAAACAGTTGAGGAAGGGAGTGCATACGCCAAGAATACGGTCATTCTGCTCAGCGAGGGCACTACACCGTTCCTGGAATTCTGAGCGAAATGCGGGTGAGCATGGCAGCCTCAGGTGACACCGCTGAAACTTGCCGTTGGACCAATCGAGGCAGCTGGCCTTTGTAGATTCGTCGATGGTGTCCATCATATATTTGTGGGCTTCGAGGCCTTCATCAGGTTTACCTGCCGAAAGGAGTGCCTCGCACCGTTTGTGATGTGTAGTGAGGCACAAAGACTCGAGATCCCAGCCAAAGAGCTGACAAATCACTCAGATATGAAAAGCATCATGTATGCATCATCTTGACGCACTGTGATCAAGTCCTGGTATAGCCAATGAATGTATTTCGATGAAAAAACGGTAGAGTTGACAGCGGCAGTGAAGTGGTCAGCGGCTTCGTCGTGACGTGCACCATCCAAGGCATCGATTCCGAGCTGAACACGTAGATATGTCTAATGTGCGAGGCAAAGATCAGCGTCGGTGATCAAGGGTAATCGCATGACGCTTACTTCCACGACACGAGGCGCGTGAGGATCGGTATTCGGACAGGCGGCAGCCAGCTCTTTGATGAGCAGCATTGCTTCCTCGTGTTGATCTGCGTTGAACAGGGTGATTGCCTGAAACACATAATGAAGCAGAGAACATGCGAGACAAATTGGAGTTACCTTGATCAATATAAGAAAATGGTTAGTTTCTGGATTTTGGTTGGTGAACATGGACGCGACATCGAATGCTATCCTGGCGTCCCGGATGTGGCCTTTTCCGCAGAGGGCGATACCCTTTGAGATGCAGCCTATCAATGAGGGTTGAATGCTGATAGACTATATCACGAATGAAAGCAAGCCTTTAGTAAGAGTGTCATGATGGGTCAGGACAACTCACCTTGATTGCATCGTCAAGGGCGAGATCCCAGGCGTGTTTTCGAGCCAGAATGAATGAGCGATGGGCATAAGAAGCATAGTCGCTGGGGTCAGTGTTGATGTCTTGGGCGAATAACTCTTCAGCGGTGTCCAGGTCCCCAGCGATGCATGCATCGCGGGCTGTCGTAATATCTAGGATCTGCACGAAGGATGCTCGAATTTTGTTATGAGGGTGAAAGATAGAAATTCGCCTTTGAATTAGCGTTCTTTGGTACTGCCCACTCTGAGATCTTTTTATCTTCGCCTCCACTGAGGATGTGCTTCCCGTCCGCGGAGAAAGTGACAGATGCCAGCGGGGATGAATGGAAGATGGCGATGGTTTGTCGATCTGAGAGCCGCCAGAGACGGACATGGTTGTCATGAGATGCAGAAGCGACGAGGGTGCCAGCGGGATGAACCGCAATGGCGTTGATATAGCTAGTGTGGCCTTCCCAAGGCTCACCGACCTGCTTCCAGGTCAATGGATCCCATTCTCGCATGGTAGGGTCTTTATCGCTGCCTCCTGAAAGAAGGCGTGTGCCATCGAGTGTCCACGCGAGTGACCAGTTGTCTGACATGTGACCCATTGAAAGATGCGATGCGTTCCCTTGCACCTGGACTATAAATTTGAATGTTCTCTTCTGTTGCGATAGCAAGAAGTTCACCAGAAGGCGAATATCGAACGCAGTAGACAGAAGCACCACATAGGATTGGTTCTCCTTGCATCTGCCACGTTTTGGTACACCAAAACTTCACCTTTTCGCCCCCTGAAACGGTAGACAGCACCACACCATCTGGAGCAAAATCAACCGAGCAGATCGTATAGGAGTGGGCTTTGATGGGTTGGGTAAGAGATTCTCCAGTTTCACCGTTCCAGCCGATAATTTCTCCATTGTCATCACCGCTTGCTATTATTTGACCATCTCGTGATACCGCCAGTGCCGTCACCTCACTGCTATGCCCCTCCATCTTCTTCAACACAACAGCTGTCTCCAAGTCCCAAAGACAAAGTGTCTTGTCCGTCGAGCTCGTAACTATTCGTCGTTGATCGGGGAAAATCGCTACTGCCCTTATACCCCCCTCATGATCTTCAAAAGTTCGAACGGGTGTGGTGCTTGTAATGACCTGTGGCATTTTACTGAGAGGTTGATGGTGTCGAGCACGGTCTAGGGAATGTGGGCGTCTTTCTCTAAGCTGTAGAGGTGCGTGTATTGTGCGTTTATATGCTGATTCACTACGGACCTAACCTAATTCATTTTCATAGACGCCCAAGACACAATGCAGTTCGCCTCCGTTCCAGCAAGAATGCTTTCTACACGGAATCATAACCGCCTTCCTCGGCTGCACTGTGTACATGCCTCCGACTCGTACATGTCTTCACAACTTCCAGAACATGTCTCCTCCATCCAATGGCGATAGTGCAGTCGATGTCACCCGCACGTCGATGGTGATACGCGTCGCAAGGGACGCAGCTACTCGGTAAACATTAGCTTTCGAGTTTAAACCTGTATATAGCACTACATGAAATCAATTGCCCTCTTACGAGCCTCGAGGAGGACCGATTTCTTGTCCACTAACCTGACTGCCCTCACCAGGGGACACATCAGTGATAGGCAGGGCTTTCACGATATCCGGTGGAGGTTTTTTAATCTACATATCTTCGTTTCCATCTCCCTCTCGATCCTTCCGTTTCTTCTTCCTCAACCTCTCGCCATCCCGATTTCGGTGTTTTGACGCGCAGCGGTGAGCGACAATGACTCTCCGCCATCCTCATCTACATCATAGGACACAGGCGCGCTACCCTTTGAACCCTTCTGTTTCTTGTTTTTCTTTCTCCCCGTCTTTCGGTTTGGATCCACTGGGTATGAAGGTAGGCTTGAATGTAGCCAGGTCAACATCTTCCACGATACTATTTGCTGGTGGTGGCTTGACATCTGGGCCTGGTTTGGACGGCGCAGGGACGGCAGGGGGCTCGTCTACCTCATCGACATCATTCATGAAATTCACGGGGGACAGCGTGGGAGCGACACGAGTGGAGAGTGTGGCTCCAGGAGTAGCAAGATGCCAAAGCGCTTGCACAGCAGCCGCCCAGGCTGCCACGCACACCTCGTGCATCATAACGCCATATGTGCCCAGTCGAGCAGCATGCACCTTCAGGGCTTCTTCCTTGATTTTTCCTTCGACTTCTCTCCGTCACATCTATACTGTCCGCCCGCTCTTCTAGCTGTGTACCAGGCGTGTGCAGGACCCAAAATGATCTTTGTCCCGAGATCCAAACAAACTGGCACTTGCAAATTGCCCAGCCATGGCTCCAGAAATGGTGCGGAATACCGCAGCTGACTTTGCATAATCGCTTATCTCCTTTGCGAACTAGGCTTCTGTCTCCCGAAGGTGTATATGCAAGAGCATACACCTTCCACTGTCAAAATCGCTTCTGGCGTTCATGCATTTGCTATGTTGCCAGTTCTTGATTAACTGAGGTCTAACGACTCGCTGTAGAGTAGTATAAGGAGTTCAGCAAATCATGTCTGTCACGGCGATGCATCTTGGATCTTGTCCCTAATGGTCCAAAAGGATAACAACAACGATTCCGATCTCGTCAATCGCTGACAACGCAGGAGTGATACCGTCAGAAGACCAGTCTATCAGACTTGAAGTTTGAAGGTGGGTTACTCCGTCGTATCACCTTGGTATTCATTTTATAATCTACACGGTCTGTCTACAGTTATCAACGGAAAGAATCTTTTAAAGTCCCTTCCTAGTGCGCACACTGCACGTATCCAATTATATGTCCTTCAAAGTCGACGGGATGGACCCCTGGGAACCAGCTGTCGGGGTATTGTCATCTGAGAGATCTGAGCGTAAGGTGATTCTGTGACTCTGCAAGGCAGTGCAAGAAGGCTTGCAGACATGATTAGAGAACTGATCTTCGGTTTGTAGATGTCACCTAGCATATCCTGGAATGAGCTGTTCGATCAGGTTGACGATCCTTTCAGTGAGCGATCGAGTTTGCATTCATCTACATCTCATTGGTTGTATATCTAGCATTTTGCATTCATACTTGTCTCTCGTGCTATGTTTGGTCTCATGATCTATGATCGCAAGTGATCTAGAAACCTATTCGTTTGCAGAACATTGTGCCAGCCCTAGGCGATTCATTCTTTGCGTGTATTCATTGCCTTCAAGCTTCTGGGGTGATGCATCGAATCCTTCTCAAGCTCTCCTAAGCACGACAACAATTCAAAAACTCGAACGTGATGCACAAGCAACGTTACATGATACGAAAGACGCGATGTTCATAATTAGCCCTAGATACAAGGACGAGAAATGATATACAGAACAATAGTCATTACTTGTCGATAAAACGTGTACTGCTCCAAGTCAATGTGCATATCATAACAAGATCGACGATAGATCTGAGACACTCAAGGGTCATGCGCAAATTATCCTAGCAGCAACAACAGGACCAGCCGCCTCCATGTTCTCCACGGTCTGCCTCCGTTGTTCCTGGTTGCTGTTGCTGTTGTAAATTGGGGTCCGGTGTAGGAGGTCCATGATAGTCTTCATCACGTATCAAGGAGTGCTCACTCCCAGGAGCACCCGCTGCAGCATAACGCTGTAAATGTATGCATCAGACACCCAAGACACATTTATAAAATTTGACTGGGCGAACCTGTAAACCTTGCGCATAAAAAACGTCAATAACGGGAGGCGTTGCATGATGGGGTGGCCGGTTGAATAGATGTCGTAGGTGGGTTCTGAAGGTGGTAGCGGTAGCGACTGGCAGTAGGGTGGTAGGTGCTACAGGTGCTGGCCGGGGAGCTGAACGAGGGGTTCTCATCATAACGAGCCTCAGTCTTTTGAGACGACCGTGGCGCTGTTGATGTCGTGGTCGCGAAATCTGAGAACGCTGTAATGAACGATGTGAGAGCTAAAGAAGGATCCGCTATTACACGTACTTGATGCATTCCGTGGAAGAAATTGGGTTCTGTATCATAGCCATCTTGCCCCGGGATCTCTGCCTGCATAACGATCAGTAGCGAAACAGTTGTGGAAGAAGGTACATACACCAAGAATACGGTCATCGTGTGCAGCGAGTGCACTACATTGCTCTTTGAATTCTGAGTGAAATGCGGGTGAGTATGGTAGCCTCATGTGACGTCACTGAAAACTTGCCGTTGGACCAATCAAGGCAGCTGGCCTTTGCGGAGTCGTCGATGGCGCCCATCATATATTTGTGTGCTTCGAGAGCTTCATCAGGTTTACCTGCCGAAAGGAATGCCTGGCACCGTTTCTGATGGGCAGTGAGACACAACGACTCGAGATCCCAGCCGAAGAGCTGGACAAGACACTCAGTTATGAAAAGCATATATGCATGATCTTGACGCACCACGGTCAAGTCCTCGTATAAGTGGTGGATGTATTTCGAAGAGAAAGCGCCCGAGTTGACAGCGGCAGTGAAGTGATCGGCGGCTTCGTTGTGACGGGCGCCGTCGAAGGCTTTTATTCCTCGCTGAACACATAGATATGTCTAATGAGCGAGTTGCAAAGATCAGCGTTGATGACCAAGCGTGATCGCATGACACTTACTTCCACGACACGACGAGCGAGAGGTTCGGTATTCGGACAGGCGGTAGCCAGCTCTTTTATGAGCAGCATTGCTTCCTCGTGCTGATCTGCGTTGAACAGGGCGATGGCCTGAAATACGTAATGAAGGAGAGAATGTGGGAGACAAATTGGAGTTACCTTGATCAAGATAAGAAAATGGTTGGTTTCTGAATCTTGGTTGGTGAACATGGATGCGGCGTCGAATGCTATCCTGGCCTCCCGGACGTGGCCTTTTCCGCAGAGGGCGATACCCTTTGAGATGTAGCCTGTCAATGAAGGTTGAATGCCGATGGACTATGTCACGAATGAAAGCAAGCCTTTAGTAAGATAGTCACGATTAGTCACTATAACTCACCTTAATTGCATCGTCAAGGGCGAGATCCCAGGCGTGTTTTCGAGCCAGAATGAACGAGCGATGGGCATATGAAATGTAGTCATTGGGGTCAGTGTTGATCTCTTGGGCGAGTAACTCTTCAGCGGTGTTCAGGTCCCCAGCAATGCATGCATCGCGGGCTGTCGTGATATCTAGGATCTGCACGAAGGATGCTCGAATTATGTTAAGAGGGTTAGAGAAGGAAACTCGCCTTTGAATTAGTGTTGCTGGGTACTGCCCACTCTGAGATCTTCTCATCTATGCCTCCACTGAGGATGTGCTTGCCGTCCGAGGAGAAAGTGACAGATCCCAGCGAGGATGAATGCTGGAAGATGGCGATGGTTTGTCGATCTGAGAGCCGCCAGAGACGGACATGCTTGTCGTGAGATGCAGAAGCGACGAGGGTGCCAGCGGGATGAATCGCAATGGCGTTGATATAGCTAGTGTGGCCTTCCCAAGGCTCACCGACCTGCTTCCAGGTCAATGGATCCCACTCTCGTATGGTAGGATCGTCTTTGTTGCCTCCTGAAAGAAGGCGTGTGCCATCGGGTGTCCACACGAGTGACCAGTTGTATAATGTGTGACCCTTGAAAGATGCGATGCGTTCCCTCGTGCCCGGGTTATAAATTTGGATATTCTCTTCTGTTGCGATGGCGAGAAGTTCGCCAGAAGGCGAATATCGAACGCAGTAGACATAACCACCACAGTGGATTGGTTCTCCTTGCATCTGCCACGTTTTGGTACACCAAAACTTTGTGGTTCTGTCCTTTGAACCGGTAGCCAGCACTGTACCATCCGGAGAAAAATCCACCGAGTATATGTCACTGGAGTGGGCTTTGATGGGTTGGGTGAGGGATTCTCCTGATTCACCGTGCCAGGGAATGATTTCTCCATTTTCACCACCACTTGCTATTGTTTGACCATCTCGTGATACCGCCAATCTCCACACCCCACTGCTATGCCCCTCCATCTTCTTCAACACAACACCTGTCTCCAAGTCCCAAACACGAAGTGTTTTGTCCCTCGAGCCCGTAACCATTCGTTGCTTATCGGGGAAAACTGCGATTGCCCTTACGCTCCCCTCATGATCTTCAAAAGTTCGAGTGGGTGTGGTGCTTGTAATGACCTGCGACATTTTACTGGGAGGTTGATAGTGTTGGACACGGTCGAGGGATTGTAGGTATCTTTCTCTAAGCTGCAGAGGTGCGTGTATTGTGCGTTTTTATGCTGATTCACTATGGGCCTAACCTAATTCGTTTCCATAGACGCCCAAGACACGAGGCAGTTCGCTTCCGTTCCAGCAAGAATGCTCTCTACGAGTCATAACCGCCTTCCTCGACTGTGCTCGTGTGCGGAGATAGGCAGTGTACCTCGCCTGCTTAGATGGATCAGTCATAACGGGCTGAAAACCGTGGAGGGCAGCTTGGGCGACGTGGGGCTCGGTGTGTGTGATCCTGGGAGGCTTGGGGGGTGACGGACCTGGCAAGGGATCATCCGACATGGAAAGGGGGACAGAGCGGCTTGCAGCGACGTTCTTAATGCGTTCTTGGTCTTTCTTGGAGATGTACTCGAAGATGGACCCGGGTGCAGAACGGAGGGTGTCTCACCGAGCGCTGCTCCCCGCTATCCATAGCATGCAAGCCCGTCAGATCCATAGAAGATGGATTTTGTCGAACCTGCCTCGCAAAGATGCCTGTCTTTCATTGTGCGTGCGACTGAGTTTATGATGGAGGTGTAGTTGCGTTCCAAGCCCACTATCCCCACCACCCACCCGCGCTCGACTCCACCCCTGCAGAATACCTCGAAAAATGAGCAAGGAGAATTTGGAGGTAAATACGGTAAAGTTTCAAGTTGGTGCTCATCGACACTGCTGTCTGACTCTGACCGCAATACCAACCCAGGTGTCAATAACAAGTTCGTATGTGTTCCAAATTCGAATTCCAAGGCTATTTTGTCTCCGGAAGGTGTATATGCAAGACCATACACCTTCGACTGTCAAAATCGCTTCTGGCGCTCATGCATTTGCCATGTTGCCAGTTCTTGATTAACTGAGGTCTAAGGTCTTGCAATACCGAACCTAACAACTCGCTGTAGAGCAGTATAAGGAGTTCAGCAAATCATGTCTGTCACGGCGATGCATCTTGGATCTTGTCCCTAATGGTCCCAAAGGATAACAACAACGATTCCGATCTCGTCAATCGCGCACGATGCAGGAGTGATACCGTCAGAAGACCAGTCTATCAGACTTGAAGCTTGAAGGTGGGTTATTCCGTCGTATCACCTTGGTGTTCGTTTTATAATCCACGCGGTCTATCTACAGTCATCAAAGGAAAGAATCTTTTAAAATCCCTTCCTAGTGCGCACACTGCACGTATCCAATTATATGTCCTTCAAAGTCGACGGGATGGACCCCTGGGAATCAACTGTCGGGGTACTGTCATCTGAGAGATCTGAGCGTGGGGTGATGCTGTGACTCTGCAAGGCAGTCCAAGAAGGCTTGCAGACATGATTGGAGAACTGATTTTCGGTGTGTAGATCATCAAAATGTCACCTGGGATCCTCCTGGAATGAGCTGTGTTGATGATACTTTCGGTGAGTGATCTACTTCTCATCCATCTACATCTCATTGATTGTGTATATCTCACTTCGAATTCGCACTCGCCTCTCACGCTATGCTCTATCTCATGATCCATAATCGTAAGTGATCTAGAAACCTATTCGCCTGCCAGCCCTAGGCGATTCATTCCTTGTGTGTATCCATTGCCTTCAAGCCTCTGGGGTGATGTATCGAATCCTTCTCAGCTCCTCATGAGCCCGAAGACGATTCAAAAACTCGAACGTGACGTGCAAGCAACATTACATGATACGAAAGACGCGAGGTTCGTAATTGGCCCTAGATACCAGGACGAGAAATGATATACAGAACAATAGTCATTACTTATCGTTCAAACACGTACTGCTCCAAGTCAATGTAGATATCATAGTAGATATCATAACGACAGAGCTGAGATACTCAAAGGATATGCACAAATTGCCCTAGCGACAACATGACCGGCCGCCTCCATGTTCCCCGGTGTCTTCCCCGGTGTCTACCTGCACTGCTACTGGTTGTCGTTGCTGTTGTTGGAGCTCGTGCTGTGGCTGCTGTCGTGTATTGGGGTCCGGTTCAGTGGTATCGAGATCTTGATCTTCATAAGGTACGATGTCTGGGTCTTGGCCAGGAGCATCCGCAGCAGCATTGCTGCAGGTGGCTTGACATCCGGGCCTGGTATAGACGGACCAGCTGGCGCAGAGACGACATGGGGCTCGTCCACCTCATCAACATCTTTCATACGATCCTTCTCCTTGTCGTCACTTGCAAAAATTGCTTTAAAAATATCCATCCCAGGACGTTCATACACGAGCGCATGCCCAGTCGAGTAGCATGTACCTTCAGAGCTTCTTCCTTGTTTTCTTCCTTCGGCTTCTCCTCTGCCACATCCATACTGTCCGCCCCCTCTTCTGGCTGCGTAGCAGGCGTGTGCAGGCCCGAGATGATCTTTGTCCCGGGACCCAAACAAACGGTACTTGTGAACCGTCCAGCTATGGCTGCAGAAATGGGGCGGAATAAGGCAGCTGACTTCACATAATCACTTATGTCTTTTGCGAACTCCTCGAGTATCTACTCAGGTTTCTGTGCAGGTAGAATTGCGCCTAACCCAGGACTTGCGTGTGTATACAGATAGGCGGTGTAAGGTCCTCCGCCACGAGTTTCTCAGATATGACGAACCTCTTCAAGTTGCAAGAAATGGCAAGTAGGGAAGTGACGAGACCTCAGTCCGATACACATGTGTACTGTACGAGTATCATCTTTAAAGTATCAATGCAAACCATATAAACGTCGAAAAGAACATACGACTACAATATTTCAATAGTCCTGATGTACATGTCCATCGACTCTCCAACAGAAACCACGTCGTCGACCTGTCCAATGATATCATGATCCGACGCGATCCTCTTGTATTCTACACTGCCCTGCTGCGCTAGCAAAAATGCGCAGAAAGGCTGCCCAAGGCGAACAAGCAACCGCAATGCTCGTGATTCTAGGTCAAACACCTCGAGATTTACAGAAGAACCACTGGACTGCTCGTCTGACGGAGAAGAGGGCGGGGTGCAATAATCTTCCTCGTCCTCTGTGTCGTTGCCAAAACCGGACAGTTCCACAAATTTAGGCAGTTCTGCAAAGTTAGGTAGCTCGAGGAGAGACCGATCCCAAGGACGGACAAGGATAAATTTTTGCTCAGTGGGCCTTGCAGGCCAGAACTGAACTAGGGTCTCTTCGGTACTGATAAGCAAGTCGTGAAGTCCGTCTGCCTTCACTCTATACGTGAACAGAGTTTCTGGGGCTGGACTACGCACCCGTCTGACTTCCCTGACATTGAATGCAATGCAAGGCAGATGCAATCTCTGTGCTGCGAAGCGAGGGGCGCTCACGTTCCGAAGCAGGGTATAAAGGTTCGAAGCGACATCAGCGGCCACCGTCTTTCGCAGTGAAAAAACCGATGATCGAATTTCATCTTCGAGTAGGGGTGGTAGCTTACATGGTGGAGCTTCGTATGAAGTGATGGAGGCCGGTAAACAGCTATTGAACTGTGATGATCTTCCGACCCAATCGAGGCCAGTGATGTCGCCCGACCGAGCCACGATCTCCTGCAGGAGCCGCCCGAGAGCCTTGTCCTGCCTTTCCCCATAATCTACAGGCAGGCGGACACCGAAGATGCCAAACAACGAGTATGCAATGTCTTCCTGACGTGTGGTAACGCGGGTTGACGCCCAATGGAGCTTCTCTCGGGCGCCACTCATACTGGGACGGAAGGCTACAATGGCTGGTCGGTCTATGCCTGTTGCACCTTTTAACTCCTGCATGATTGCGACGGACTCCTTGTGATTGGGAGTACGATCATTAAGGTAAAGGGTCCAATTGTTCTGATAAAAGAGAATGACTTTGGGAGCGATGAATTCTTGAACCGTCCATCCGCGCGTGTTCCAAGCGCTCTTTGCCAGTGCGCCAGACTCTGACGAAGGCGGAATATCCGACAGGTAGACAATCGTAAGTGCGGAGTGGAGATACCAGACGAACATGGAGTTGACCGATTCTTGGAGTTCGACGTTGTTGCTCCTATCAATGCAGCATGTATCACTCCATGCCCAGTTATACCCCGCATCACGAGCAGTTTTGCAAAAGGACCGCAGCTTCGTCATGCCACCAACCGGATCCAACTCCGAGTCATACACGCTCCTGCCCTGAATATCCTGCAACAGCGGCTCCCTCCCTTCCCACCTGTGCGATAGCATGGCATATTGGAGATACATCATCACCACTTTTTTGATGTGCTTCATGGGGAGTTCTAGATGCGTGATTGTTGATGACACAAGCTCCTTATACTCTATGCTCTTTTTGAAGGCGCTTATCTGCGCCTCTCGATCGCACAAGAGACCAGTGGTGGTGTCGAGTACACGCAGCGGAACATTGTCGAGTTGGGCATCGATGACCCTGCGAATAGCATGTTCCACTACAGAGGGTTTGAGATGTTGCTGGCACAGCTCTGGAGAAAGAGTTAAACATGTTGACGAGTGCGTCATTCAGAGGCTTACTGCGTGTATGAACCTCGGGTGCATCATCCAATTTGGAGAACATCGTTTCGAAGGTCTGGATCGCTTCATCGTAGCGTTGTGCACCATGAAGCGCTGCGTGCTTCAGATTGTATCCAAGATAAGAAAAAGGGTCGAGCTCAATGACCTATGTATCGCCACAATGAGCATTAGTTGCCAAACGATAGATGCCAACGCACCTTCTGCGCGTCGAAAAGTGCTTCCGTCCATAGCATTTTGCCCAACCTTGCCTTACTACGATTTACAAAGAGAATATCAGATGCAGAATTCAGGTTGATTGCTGCCGAGTATAGGTCAATAGCCCTGTCATAATCGCTCGCAGTGAGGGCGATATCTCCATCGGCAGCACAGGACGCGCTGCATTCTTGCTTGAAAGCTGAGTGAAATATGGGTGAGGATTGTAGTCTAGATGATATCACGGACTCATGACTTGCCGTTGGACCAGTCAAGGCAGCTTGCCTTGGTAGACTCGTCGATGGTGTCCATCATGCATTGGTGTGCTTCGACGGCTTCATCAGGTTTGCCTGCCGAAAGGAGTGCCTGGCACCGTTTTTGGTGTGTAGTGAGACAGAAAGACTTGAGATCCCAGCCAAAGAGCTGGACAAATCACTCAGTTACGAAAAGTACGATGTATGCATTATCTTGACACACCATGGTCAAGTCATCGTATATCAAATGAACGATTTTCGATGAGAGAGCAGTGGAGTTGACAGCGGTAGTGGAGTGGTTAGTAGCCTCGTCGTGCTGCGCGCCATCCAAGGCATTTATTCCGAGCTGAACACGTAGATATGTCTAATGAACGAGTTGTAAAGATCAGCGTCGATGACCAAGCACAGCCGCATGACGCTTACTTCCACGATACGACGTGCGATAGGATCGGTATTTGGACAAGCGGCAGCTAGCTCTTTGATGAGCAACATTGCTTCCTCGTGTTGATCTGCGGTGAAGAGTGCGATGGCCTGAAACACGAAATGAAACAGAGAATATGCGAGACAAATTGAAGCTACCTTTATCAAGAGAAGAAAATGGTTGGTTTCTGAATCTTGGTTGGTGAACATGGATGCGATATCGAATGTTGCCCTTGCCTCCCGGACGTGACCCATTCCGCAGAGGGCGATGCCCTTGGAGATGTAGCCTGTCAATGAGGGTTGAATGCTGATGGACTATGTCACGAATGCCTTCAGTAAGAGGGCCATGATGGGTCAGTACAACTCACCCTGACTGCATCATTAAGGGCGAGGTCCCAGGCATTTTTTCGAGCCTGAATGAATGAGCGGTGGGCATATAAAGTATGGTCGTTGGGGTTGGTGTGGATGTCTTGAGTGAGTAACTTTTCAGCAGAGTCCAGGTCCCCAGCAATGCATGCATCGTGGGCTGTCGTGATATCCAGGATCTGCACGAAGGATGCTCGAATTATGTTAAGAGGGTCAGGGATGGAAACTCGCCTTTGAAATTTTAGTGTTGCTGGGTACTGCCCACTCTGAGATCTTTTTATCATAACCGCCGCTGAGGATGTGCTTGCCGTCCGAGGAGAAAGTGACAGATCCCAGCGAGGATGAATGCTGGAAGATGGCGATGGTTCGTCGATCTGAGAGCCGCCAGAGACGGACATGCTTGTCATCAGATGCAGAAGCGACGAGGGTGCCAGCGGGATGAATCGCAATGGCGTTGATATAGCTAGTGTGGCCTTTCCAGGGATGACCGACCTGCTTCCAGGTCAATGGATCCCACTCTCGTATGGTAGGATCGTCTTTGTTGCCTCCTGAAAGAAGGCGTGTGCCATCGGGTGTCCACGCGAGTGACCAGTTGTATAATGTGTGACCCTTGAAAGATGCGATGCGTTCCCTCGTGCCCGGGTTATAAACTTGGATATTCTCTTCTGTTGCGATGGCGAGAAGTTCGCCAGAAGGCGAATATCGAACGCAGTAGATATAACCACCACAGTGGATTGGTTCTCCTTGCATCTGCCACGTTTTGGTACACCAAAACTTTGTAGTTCTGTCCTTTGAACCGGTAGCCAGCACTGTACCATCCGGAGAAAAATCCACCGAGTAGATGTCACTGGAGTGGGCTTTGATGGGTTGGGTGAGGGATTCTCCTGATTCACCGTGCCAGGGAATGATTTCTCCATTTTCACCACCACTTGCTATTATTTGACCATCTCGTGATACTGCTAATACCCGCACCTCACTGCTATGCCCCTCCATCTTCTTCAACACAACACCTGTTTCCAAGTCCCAAAGACGAAGTGTCTCGTTGTCCGAGCCCGTAACCATTCGTCGCTTATCGGGAAAAACTGCGACTGCATTTACGCTACCGTCATCATCTTCAAAAGTTTGAATAGGTGTGTTACTTGGAATGAGCTGTGGCATTTTATTGGAGGTTGATGGTGTTGAGCGCAGTCGAAGGATGGGTGTCTTTCTCTAAGCTGCAGAGGTGCGTGTATTGTGCGTTTTTACGCTGGTTCACCACCCTAACCTAATTCGTTCCCATAGACGCCCAAGACACGAGGCAGTTCGCCTCAAGAACACTCTACGAGTCATAAACCGTCTTACTCGACTGCACTGTGTACATGCCTCCGGCTCGTGTCTCCACACCTTCCAGAATTTATCCCCTCCATCCAACGGCGATAGTGCAGTCGATGTTACCCGCACGTCACGCGTCAATGGTGATGCCTACATCATGGTGAAGCGTTACAAGACCATCCCGATCTCGGTGTTTTTGACGCGCAGCAGTGAGCAACAACCAACCACCCTCCGCCATCCTCGTCTACGTCAAAGGGAATGAGCGCGCCACCGTTGGAACTCTTCTGTTTCTTGTTTTTTTTTTTTTTTGCTTCTTCTCCGTGTCTTTCGGTTTGGACCCCTGCGTATGAAGGTAGGCTTGAATGTAGCCAGGTCAACATCTTCCACGATACCATTCGCTGGTGGTGGCTTGATACCTGGGCCTCGTTTGGACGGTAAAGAGACGGCAGAGGCTCGTCCACCTCATCAATATTGCCCATGCGATCCTTCTCGTTGCTATCTTGATCATTACTCGCAAAAAAATATCCATCCCAGGACATTCGTACGTGAACAGGTCATTCCCCTGCCCATCATCTTCCCCATGCCAATGTTCGCAACTTCGCGCTTGCTGCTCCTGGAGCCCCCACTCTTTGTCGATCCCGCGAATTCGTCTGCTGACGCTGTGCTAGTGGAGTAGATTCTCATTAGCAACGAGTTCAATATAGTACTTATACTAGTCATGCTAGCGGGGTGTACTTTACAGGTGGAGACAACTCCGACGCGAACTCCCTTGGAGTTCAGCTTTGCCAACAACACGAACATTCACCTCTGCATTCATAATGCTTGACCTCAACCTGCTGAAGCAGCGAGACTGTGACACGAACATGTGAGGGATGATAATGATAATTTTTTGCATCATCTTTGCACGCTCATCTACTCTACACCTTCCAAGCTATCAAAAAATGTGATTGGTACTTTTCATCAGACTGTGTCAGCGGTCAGAACCCCAAACGTTGTAGGACAAGCTCTATGGGTAGACTATAACTTCGGGCATCCACGGGGAAAAGGGACACCGATGGATGTAATGGTATCCCGAACGTTTTCGTACTGGCGCGTTGGCTGTGATTCATAAACTTGTGTTCGAACCAGGCTTCATTAAGTCCCTCCTTTCGTATGCTGGGATGATTCTGGCCGTGTTCGCCTGGTACGAGTAGTGAATGGTAAAAAATGCAAGTCAGAAACAGAATACACAAATGAAAGAGCCCTCCGGCACCCACTGGCATATGTGAAATTCAGTATCCCTTATCATATGTGTGGGTAACACTTACATTTCGAATCATCGAAATGAGTGCCCGTATTTAGGGGTACAGAATCGGAAGTTGGCTTGCAAGTTGGGACGCGTGATAGGGGGAATGGTACTACAATACCCGGTCGTAGCCGGTTCCTTCCGGATCACCCTGTTACTTAAGTAACAGCTCCTCTATGTAAAGAGACCGGGACTCCTCCAACTACGACTCGTCATGGTGAGTTAACTTATCCCACTCAACAGAAGCGAACCGAATTGATCATCATATCAGTCAAACCAGTCCTTCCGCACTGAGCGTGACACTTTCGGTGAGCTTCAGGTCCCAGCCGATCGCTATTGGGGGGCACAGACACAGCGGTGTGCATATTTGATCTGATGTGCATACTTAACTACTGAGCCTATCCCCAAGGTCGCTACAAAACTTTGACATCGGTGGTCCCTCACAACGTCTACCGCCTCCCCTACTCAAGGCTTTCGGCGTGGTGAAGAAGGCAGCATCCATCGTTAATATCGGCTATGGCCTAGATCATACAATAGGCGAAGCCATCCAGAAAGCAGCTGATGATGTGAGAGATTGTATCCTAGGCTTCGGATGTGTGTGTCGAATTAAGCTTTTCTTCAGGTCATTTCCGGGAAGCTCATGGACCACTTCCCCTTGGTTGTCTTCCAGACTGGAAGTGGAACTCAAACCAACATGAACGTAAACGAGGTGAGCATACCAAACACTTGAGTGCTCACTAACTTTACCTCATCGGTTAACAGGTGATTTCGAACCGTGCGATCGAACTTCTTGGCGGCGAACTCGGTTCCAAGAAACCGGTCCATCCCAATGACCATGTTAACATGAGCCAGAGCAGTAACGATACGTGAGCTGCCGCACGAAGAATACTTAATTTAACAATTTTATTGGTAACTGCAGCTTCCCAACAGCTATGCACGTCGCCGCCGTGACTGAAATTAGCCACTCGCTGCTTCCGGCATTGACAGAACTCAGGGATGCACTTGACGAAAAGGTTCAGTCATTCAGTCACGTTATCAAAATCGGACGCACGCACTTGCAGGTATGAAAGGATCGGCCTTACATTTGAAAGCCGTCTTATCGTTATCAGGACGCTACTCCCCTGACCCTTGGCCAAGAGTTCAGCGGATATGTCCAGCAAATCGATAATGGCATCGCTCGTGCTAAAGACGTCCTTCCTCGCTTAAGTTTTCTAGCTCAAGGTGGAACTGCTGTTGGCACAGTAAGCCATCTAGCATCCAATGAGTATATGCGCTCAAGTGTTGTGCAGGGTCTTAACACGAAAAAGGGTTTCGACGTGAAGATTGCAGCCGAGATCTCCAAGATTACAGGCTTGGAATTCCGGACCGCACCTAACAAGGTAAAACATCTCATAGCTTGTGCTTCGTCCGACTTCTGATCGAAACCCGTAGTTTGAAGCTCTAGCGTGCCACGACGCCCTTGCCGAGGCTCATGGTGCTCTGAATGTCATCGCTTGTTCTCTGATGAAGATCGCCAATGACATTCGATTCCTTGGCTCTGGTCCTCGCTGTGGTTTCGGTGAACTGATTCTCCCCGAGAATGAACCTGGCAGCAGCATCATGCCCGGTAAGGTCAATCCCACGCAGTGCGAGGCCGTGACTATGGTCGCCGCTCAAGTGATGGGTAACCAGACTACTGTTAGCATTGCTAGTGCTAGCGGACACTTCGAGGTATCCATACTTCATGCGACACATTACCACTTAATGATTTATTCCTTTCTCAAACCAGCTCAACGTCTTCAAACCCGTTATAATTATGAACGTGTTACAGAGCATTCGTCTTCTCTCTGATGGTGGGGGTCTATAACTCAGACTACGCTTGTTGGTCCGCTTATCTGGTCTCGTCAGCTTCCCGTTCGTTCACAAAGAATTGCGTGGTTGGTATCCAAGCCAACGAGAAGCGCATCAACCACCTCCTGAACGAGAGTTTGATGCTGGCAACAATTCTAAACAGCCACCTTGGCTATGATAGTGCGTGCTAATTATAAATGTGCGAATTCACTCGAGATCAATCATGCTTTTGCAGATGTAGCCAAGTGCGCAAAGAAAGCGCACAAAGAAGGAACGACGCTGAAGGAAGCAACGGTTGCGCTCGGATTCCTGACATCTGAGGAGTTCAATGAGAAAGTACGCCCTGAGTTGATGCTGTACCCAGATGACGAATAGTCACAAACTGTTCACATCACCGTTTACTGTGGGGAGTGATGGCTTTGTTGTGCACTGTTATGGAGCTGTGCCAAGAATCTCAAGAGAGCATGCAGTATGATTGAAGATGATCAAGTGATGCGCCTCCAAGTTTATGCCGCGGCGACCCCTGCGCGCGTACCGTTGTGTGGGTGCACCCATGCCAAATAATCTTCTGTTTCTTTTCCTTTGTAGACCTTCCAGCGATGATCAAACTGGTAGATCATTCTCGTTCCGAGTTGGAGGCTTGATTAGGACGAGAGATTCTGATTATCACGTACTACGTCAGGGCATTGTCCCAGCCGAGTATGTCAAATTGATCATGGATGCAGATCAAAACTGGGATGATATCATGAGGGACTACCGCGACATCATGTATCATGACCTATCATGGTGGCAGGGTATGCGATCACAACACATTCGTAATACATATTGGATGGCGGATAAACAGTCCTTGATGACGGGAGTAGCAAGCCCTCCCATTCCAGAGCGCGAGAATACGGGTAATGTTACCAACCAGAAGATGAAATTTGATTGAGGACAAGTTACACTATGATAAATGCACATACTGGTACAGATGCAAAGTAGAAAGTATTAACAGCCATGGTGAATAGCATATCGTATCAATATCCCAATATCCCTTTATATTAGCACCTCCTATCCGAACATACACGTACCTACCGCAAGTTACGCCCGATTCCACCACACACGGAGCATGGTCGGACGTCAATGATCAAGAGTGGTAGTGTTCCCGTGCCACCACATTTCTGACACATTTGACCTCCAAGGCGCGGATCTCCTGGGGGCACAGGAATGGCATGCGGGACAGGTGGGGTTCGACCCATGCCTATTATGGGATTATGTACGTATAGGTGCTGGCCGTAAGATGTAGGTGCCTGTGGGAGAATGGCATGCGGCGGCCGGCCAGTGTAACTTGAGGACTGGAGTAAAAGCTGCGATGCCTGCGGTGGGGCGAACCTGGGTAGAGCACGCTGAAACTTGGAGCTACGAGATGACGACTCGGTGTTCCAGGATGTGTACGTCAATGCGCCGGCATAACGCTTCCCATATTTCTCCCAGCACTTTCTGCAGGGGTGGGAGGGATCATAGTTTTTGTACCCCGTATTTTTGCCTAAAAGGGAGGGACGTGAGTTAGCTACATGAGAGGATGTGAATACACTGACATTTGATACATATGTAGTCCTTATTGGGGTACACGAGGAGGTATCCGTTGTTTAGCAGTGGGTGTCCAGGCGCGGGCGTTGTAGTCGGACTACCGTCATCCGGAACGTGCCGCGGAGGGGTCTGCTGCGCCGAAGGCACCCCAGGAACTGGGCCTTGACCTCCCTGGTATGACGACGTATAAGTGCTCTGGATCATACCAGCAGAAGAAGACGTTGGATACGGAGCTGCATAGGCGCCTGCTTGGGACTGCTGCATGCTCCGTATCTGCTCATCGTGTAGACCCGAAACTGCATCGACTGCATCGCGCACCGTACTGATGAGTGCTCCAACCAGGCCGCCTCCTCGGTGAGACTGGTATTGCTGACCAGCAGGTGCAGACCACGAGCTTGGGACTGTCCACAGTGGCTGCTGCGGATGTTGTCGGGATGGGGAGAGCGGCTGTGAATGTGATGATGAGGAAGTGGCATGCGATGAGTAGGAATGAGAGCCTGAGGATGAATGGGAATGTGAGGGTCTGCGTGTACTGTGACTAGGTCGCGGTTGTTGGTGGAAGGGTCTGCGAGGACCACTGTCTACTGTGGTCTCTCCATGGTAAGTGTCTGCAGATGGAGTGTACGCTGGGGGCATTTCCTCGTCAAGTCCTATCGGATCTGTCGCGTGTGGTGGTGCAGACCCATACTGAAAAGCGCTCGAGGACTCAGCTGCTAGTTGACTGGAATGCGCTGGGGGGTAATGGTTTGTTGGCGACATCGGTTCTGAAAATGAAAAGTATGAGTATGAATGTAGAATGAGGAAGTTATATATATCGTGTGCCCGTTCCAAAATCTTGCGCAAGAACGGAAGACGCAAGGAGACACAGCCAGCTGCGCAGGTCTCGTCAATAATTAGTTTACAAGATTTTACTATATAGGCACAGCAGCATGACTGCACAGCCACTCATTGCCAAGTCGATAAGATAAGCCGAGAATTTCCTGTGCAAAGTTACACACAGCGAAGCGCTTGCAAGAAAATGGTATAACGGTGGCGGCGCTTAACCACCAGGGAGTACTAGGAAAAATCAGGTGCCGTAAGTCATCTTCACAGTTGAGACCGCCATCTCTACATCTGTCCGAATGTTGACAACCAGCCTTGGCATGACCACGGATTGCTGGATGAATTGGTTGATGTCATTGTCATAGTAGATGTACCACGCGGTCGAGGAACTATTTTCAATCTTTCTGAATAGAGACATCAAAGAAAATTCTAACTTCTTTAATAACGGGATGCATGTCGAGGATGGGAAGAAAATCCAACTTTGCAAAAGTCTCGTGTCTCCTTCAAGTAAAGTACAACCACCATAGCGTATAATCTTTAAATAGACAGTCACGTTTCTTCCATTGCCAGCCGCAGTCACCGCAGTTCAGAACGTTCAAGTATGTGTATGACGGAACAACGTGCAGCGAGACCAAATACGAAGATCTCCCAAACACAACTCGGCGTAATCGCATAATAAAAAGGCCATCAAATAGTCCTTATTCAAATCAACAATTGCAGGTTCCCGAAAACATGGCGTCTTGACCTGTAATATTCAATACTCCCCAGAACAACGGCTCATCCAAAGCAAAACACTCACGATTCAAACTACTATTCGTAACCGGGCCGACAGCTATGCCTATCAAGATATCCGCAACGAGTGAATCTTCGCTAGTGTTGATACGTTGCGGATAAACCCATCAACCAACATAACTGCCGCGCGAGTGATCATAAACTTCTCTGGACCACTTGCTAACGGGAAACACTCACCATCCACAGAAACTGGGCAACATATTTGATAATGCCTAGCAAGCATCAAGATATAGCAAAGCCGTCTCAACATCACAATTTACATCTATGGCTGAGGATCATCTTGATCAGCATCCAGCAGAGTATACACTCACACAGATAAATTCAAGCCGGTGATCCGCTGCCCGCAATGCAAAAGAATCCTGATCGTTTCCTAAAGTCAGTACTAAATGGCATGTGAGACTTCGTGGATTGTTGTTCTGGATAGACAGGAGTTTACCGGACTCCGAGTCGTACAAGATCATTATCGCAGAAGAACCTGTCAAGCCTCAGTCATATCATCCCGGGGATGCCGGTGATGAACGAAGTTATGACATACGGAAAAGGTATGTTGCATGTGGGGCGTACTTCTGAATTGTCAGAAGACCGGAGAGCCCGGGTGCTACATATATATAGCCATTGAGTTTAATGTGCCTAGGACTTTGAATGTCCCTGCGAGCGCGGAGGCACAGGCTCTAGGTTCATCCAAAGAGAGGCCTGATTCCCCAACGCGAGAGAATCCGGTGAAATTGGACCTAAGACCGTACCTAGTAGCAGCATGATAGGAGACGGGCCAGACTGAGCGTCAATACGTATGAACCTAAAACCTAAGTGGAATGGCAGAAGGCTGGGAGTTGGGAGAAGAACAGAGAGTGGGTAGCGAAAATACAACGTTATCATGCTTCTACACCAGTAACAAGCAACATACCCAACGCGACGACGAGTGCACGAGAAGAGGCGAGGAACTCCTAAAAATCGACCGCATTGGATCTGAGGAATTTCTGAACGCGCAGGTCCTGCTTAGCATGTGTGCCATGCCAAAAGTGCCCGGAGCACTGACCCTGGAGGTGCTCCGCACAAAACTCGATCTTATCGTTAGACCTAGAAACCATTAAACTCAGTGAGAGTTTTACGTAACACTGAAAGTCTTGAAAGTTCGGGTAACTATGTACACCGGAACTACACAGCGGCACAGCAGCCGACTGGCAATTGACGTAGTTTGATCACATACGCGCTAGTGGACAGCATTTGCTGCGTCAATCACTGAAGCCATATGCATCAGGCGAGGCTGCCCACGACAAGACACGCAGTGTGCCTGGTCCTCAAAGGACCCGCGATTGCAAAATATTGATTGCCCATATTTATAAGACAAAGCGGAGCCCCCTGTATATGAAACGATCGAGGGCTGTATAACCACCTTCGTTACGATCTCTCCTTACCACTGCTCAGACTTCTGAAAAATTCGGCATATGCATGTTCGACATCAAATGAAAGCTATGATGATATCAATGCGAAGCGCACGCGGATCAGCAGAGATCGTGAGCTTACCTGCCGGGACTGTTCTTCTGTGATTTCTTCGGATGCCTTCATGCTGTTCAAGGTAATAAGCCTGATAATGTGAGCCCGATATTGAAAGTAAGCAAGCAATAGAATGGTACACACCAGCTGACCATTTTGCTCCGTCCTTCCCAGTCCTTGCTTCCCTTGAACCTCGCATACCCTGTGACAAGTTCTTGCAAGATCGGGTGAAGTTGATCCTTAGCGCGTAGCCTGAGCTTCAATGCATCCATGAATGTGATAAAATTCTGTGCTAGTGGTTAGAAAGGGAAAGATTCCAACACAAGATTCCAACCTGTGTCGTCTCAGCAATCCACTTTCCAGTCTCAGGTCCCGCCTCACTAGAATGTTCAACAGTCGCAGGCACGCCAACTCGTATGCGATGTAATGCCGCAGGGTTATCCATCCGATACCGTGTCATGAACTGCTCAATGGAAGGAACGGAATCCTTGACAAGCTTGAGCATGGTCATATACTGCGAGAGGAGACGTGTGCATGCAGGAGAGTATCTCTTGTAGCGTATGTATTCCTAAGTCTGGCATGAAGTGAATTTAAGATGGAAACATACTGTGCTGCGGTAATTGCATCACGAACATAGGCGCGCTCGAGGTAGTCAAGATGCGACGATGATCCCGTATAAGGTACCAAGGAGATTGTACTTCTCTCGCTCAGCATTGTTCGTGAACAGTCGAACTTCTTCGTCCAGCGAAAGGGTGGCCATCTTCGAGAGATCTTCTCCTGAACTGAACGGTCCTGGGACTCTTGACGGCAAGGGATTAATCGATTGTCGAAGTCTGGATTCAAGTCAATTGTTTGTCATTGTTTGTGAGGCATCTTTGATCAAGGCGTGTTCAGGGGCAACTCAAGTTCAGTGTCCAAACAAGAACACTGTCATCCTCAAACCTTGAAGCTTGACTTGAAGCTTGAAGGCCTGGGCCTGATAGTACGAGCGCAAGTTTGTATTACATAGGCGCTCGCTCACAGTAGAAGTGCGCAGAAATGGTGCGTTTACATAATTTCGAATTATCGGTTGCCAGTCACAATGAGGCTTGAGCAAGTTCATTAATTGCACAAAGGTCTCCACTACAACATTGAAGTGCTGCACGCCGCATGCTGATCTCTTTGTTCTTTTTCCTCGTTTCTTAGTCACATTTTACGGCACAATACTAGTATTTAAGATCCTGCAGGTCCGTCCGATGTTTGTCAGTCGCCATTCTCCACCTCATTTTCTCATTACGTCGTCCATTCAACTTGAAGTTGAACCAGATTTAATACACGTAATTTCATAGGTTTGGTCTTTCTTCCTTGAGGTCTATGACAAGCTCAACTTGAATCAGATTGCAGCAAACGATGCCGAAATCCAAGAAACATCAAAGCCTCTTGCGCAATAGTTTCAACTTCCCAACTTTCAGCGGCCTTCCAGATGAGCCTGAGAATGAAATTGACCTCAGATACTACGATAATGGCCCGTTCGGATTCAAACCCGGCCAGCACTGGTGCTTTCTCGGCGAAATTGTCGAGTCCATCGGTCTTGTGCGAGTCCTGTTACGCGTAAAGGATAAGGACGGTCAAGTCGTTACTGTTGGGCTGTACACAGACGACCGTGGACAAGCGCTTGCTCCGCAAATCAAGGAAGGTCACACAGTTGCTGTACTGTATGGCGAGCAACATGGTTTCCTAGACATGTCCGTTGGCATACGCGTCGAAGATACCTCCAACATCAAAATTATACCATGCTCACTCGAGCAGCTGCTAAAGGCTAGCGATGATGTGGCTACACTGCGCAAAGGCCAGCCAAGACGTTGTGGATCCTGTGGTAAGGAGGAGAACGCCTCTGACAACACGCACTTGCGTTTGTGCTCTCGCTGCAGGCACACGCCTTATTGTGGAGAGGTGAGCGTTGGCGATGTTATGTCCCAATCCAATTCAGGTACCTGACTTGAGCACATTTTTAGGATTGTCAGAAGAAAGCCTGGGCGGCCGGTCACAAGGCTAACTGCAAGGCACTTGTTGGGGTACGGTGGTTCACAGAAAGGAACTGGAGAACGTTCCATGACTGGTTTAATTTCTGATGCTTCGCCCTTAAGCTGATAAATTGTTGGCTTAATTATCATATTATCCTGCCAGTCTCATTTTATTGTGTCGTACTTCCCTAGTCCATGATTCCAGGACATTGACCAAGCATTAGAATTTTTCGCGAGGCATGAACGTGCATGAACGATACACAACCAGCTGTAGTTGAATAGTCGAACGTCTTCGTCCGAAAACAAGCTTCGCAAGTCAATTATTTGTCGTCATTTGTGAAGCACCATTAACGGTAACCTGCCCCTCTACCGTGATATGATCGAATCAAGCAGGCAGCCTACACCTGAAACTTGTGTGCTTCGGATAGACTCGTGACCAGTGCGTACTATCGAAGCCTTGCCTCATGATGGGGGACCAGGAACCTGGTCCCATACGGAAACCCAGATACGCCGCCAATTAACACGCTACCAACACGCCCACAGAGCCTGTCACTGTTTGCAACAAACTTCCCCCAGAGTGTCCATTACCAGGACACTCTCTTGTCTCCCCCAAGTCATTACTTCGTCCAACTCAGCTCGAAGTCAAAGCAACTTCAAACACACAGAATCTCACAGGTTTAGTTGTCCTTCCTCGAGGTCTATTCAAACAAGCTCAACTTCAAGTTTGAACCAGTTCACCGCATCAAACAATGCCAGAAACCAAGACTTCTCAAAGCCTCCTGCGCAACACCATCAACTTCCCATCATTCAGCGACCTTCCGCATGAGAATGGTATTGATCTCACCTACTACGCCCAGGGTCGATACAGCTTTTCACCCAGACAGCACTGGTGCTTCTTAGGCGAGATTGTAGGCTCTTACGGTCTCGGTCGAGTCCTGTTACGTGCAAAGGACAAGGATGGTCAGGTCGTTACTATCGGTCTGTACACCGACGACCGCGGACAAGCGCTTGTTCCGCAAATCAAGGAAGGGTACACGGTTGCTGTGCTGTATGGCGAGCAACATGGTTTCCTCGACATGACCGTTGGGATACGCGTCGAAGAAGCCTCTATTATAAGGATTATACCATGCTCGCTTGAGCAGCTGCTGAAGGCAAGCGATGATGTGGCTGCACGCAGCTTGAATAGCCAATCAAGATGTTGTGGGTCTTGTGGTAAAAAGGAGGATACCTTTGATAATACGCACTTGCGCTTGTGCTCTCGCTGCAAACAAGCGTCATATTGTGGAGGGGTGAGTGTTGGCGTATTATGTTCCAATTCAAGCTGTGTCTGACTCGACCCTATTCTTAGGTTTGTCAGAAGAAAGCCTGGGTAGACGGTCACAAGACTGACTGCAAGGCACTGGTTTGGGCACAGTGGTTCGTGGCAAAAAACTGGGGAGTGTTCAATGGATATTTCAATTTCTGATGCCTTCGTACTGATCAGTTTCGCCTTCGCAAGTTATACTATTCTCCCAGTCTCATTGTGTCATTTTACTGCCAACCTGATAGCGTCATTTCTTGGAATGTATAACGACCCAGTCTTATAAAATGCGTCTACCATTGTGATCTATTATTATTTCGAGGGAAGGAATGAGGGAAACATATTCCGCTCGTTGCGCATCTGTTATCGTCACTTGACCGCCGACAATCAGGATCTTCAGTGGACACATTGACCGTGCCAAAAATGCCTTCATATCCTCGTGAGGCCAAGATGCATTGCGGCAAGCTTCAAACGCACGCAAATTGGGGAGCGATAGAGCACTGAGCAGGCCAGATAAAGGGCGGGTGAGCAAAGCGTCATAAGTGATGCATAACGTTTGTAATCTGGTGTGCGTGAATGATTTCGAGGGATCTGTTTGGTCGAATGCTACGCGGAGAGTTAACGAGGAGAGGTTGGGACATAGCTGAAGCAAATGGAGGACTGCGTCCTGTTGACGTACGGCGATCAGGATATCCGTCAAATGGGCCCATACGGGACTGAAAGAAGACAAGCGCTCGATGTCGAACAACGGCCGCATGTCAATGACTTTGAGACTGCGCATAGTGGGCGGTAGACGTGAGATGGATTGTGCAACAGTTGGAATATCAAGAGTTGACATCCCTAGTATGGCCAGCTCCTGAAGTGCTGGGAGGTCTGACACAAAAAGCTGAGGGCATTGGCCCTGGAAGGAACGAACAGTGACTCGGAGAGATGTGATTTGTGTGATATAAGGCTGAAGAAGGTTTCGTAGTTTGGTCGAGTGGTAGCACCCGAATGCTAACGAGAGCGGACGTCCTTGTGAACGCTTGAACCACAAGTCATAGCAGAAAGCTGCCCGCTCCCAGTCCCTGTTATCGACTTCGACATACAACCTGCACCATAAATTGGGCATACCCACAGCAACCTCCCTCCATCGTCGGCATATTCCTGTTAACAACATAGGGGCTTTTAGGGCTGATGGGGGTAACAACAATTTGGTTTCGGGGAGACAGTGGTTAAATATCTGGGATAGGATTTCCGTTGGCAGACGCCTGAGAGTCGATACGAGTGCCTTGTGCAGATTCATCGACTGCTTAATCTTCTCCTTCTTCTCGACGACCTGCTGATGAAGATTTTTGATACTATCCATCACGGCCTCCAGGCCCGAGATCTCGTGCAGGACTGCATCCAATTGCTGCTGGCGCTCAGCGATGACATTGATAACGCTCCGGCCTTCGACCTCGACGGTAGAGCGATCAGTATTGGGGAATCTGGAGTATGGAGTTTCAAGGACTGGAATCTGCCAGCCATGGTCAGTGACACGACATGAGATATATCGGAATAGACCAAAAAGTATACGCACAATCACTTGCGAGCGTGCGAGCTGGAACGGGTGATTGTTTTTCTTAGCTGACACGAATTCTGATTCAAGAAACTGGACACTTACGATGCTTTGTAGTGCAGCGATGATATCTGAGACAGACTCGGAGACATTGAATTTTGAGTAGGTTGTCTGCATGTTGTTAGCTAAGGCGAGAAGCAAAGTTGAAGCATCAGAAGGAGTTTGCGATAATCCATCGATGACCTTTCAGCTGCTTCAGGATCATCGATCGCTGAGGAAGGGAATAACCGTACCAATTCTAATTTCAAGGTTTACAGATGCGGGGCCGGCAACTGCCAGTGGAGCCTGTCGACGTCGAAGTGGGCCAACTTCGAAGACGTAGCTTGATACAAAATCTGTTAACGAGTCTGGTCGACGACACTTTCAGGTATCAGCCTAGCACAAGATCCCAATCATCGTATATCTGAACCCATTCTAGAAAACCTGGGTTGACAGTCACACAGTGGAGTGGTTGTGGCAAAAACTGAAAAAACTCCCATGACATCTGGCAGGATCAGCTGCAGCCTGGTATGGTTTAGTTCATATTAGCTAAAAACCTTTCGGTTTCGCGAACCAGTCAGTTCATTTTCCCCAGTCCAGGACTCCGGGTGAAGTCCTCTATGACTCACTCGGAGACGCTGCAGAAATACAGCCTTCCCAGCCTTTCGCGAAATATGTAACCGCGACTTAATCTGATGCAGATCTACGACTGCAATCCTTTACCACTTCGAGGGGATGAATGAGGATTTAAATTTCCAAATGAAGTGTGCTAGCGCAAGCGTAACACTGGGTCAGTTGTTGGTTGGACTGGAAATATAGAAGGTCATGTCGCAGATCTTGAAGAATTAGTCACAGCCGCGAAGAGTGCAGTACTACGATAGCGTCAAGTACACAGAATCCTAGTTCAAGCTTGTGAGATATGTACCAATTAAGTCTTCTGCAAAGTATCAAATCTCTCGTTGTAGCACGAAAACTTCGAGGGAAGGAATAAGGGCAACGTACTCCGCTCGCTGCTCATGTGTCGTCTTCACATCAGTGCCCAAAATCAGAGTCTCCAGGGGACACTTTGACCGTGTCAGGAATGCCTTGAACTTCTCATGAGGCCACGGTGGTTCACCGCTAACTTTGAATATGCGTAAACTGGGGAACGAGAGCGCATCGAATAGCTTGGACAATCGCCTCGTGGATCTGTAATCAGTCTCGCAAGTAATGCGCAAGGATTGAAGTGTGGTGTGTGCGAATAGCTCCAAGTCCATGGTTTCATCGGTAATGAAGACAATCATGTGCACTGAGGAGATGTTTGGAGCCAACCGGAGTAAGTGGAGAACTGTATCTGATTCGTCTGTGTTTATTGTGACGTTTGTCAAGCGTGCCCATACGGAATTGAAACGAGATAAGAGCTCGATGTTGAACGACAGTCCTAGGATATGGAGACTGCGCAGAACAGACAGTCGCGAGATGCTTTGTACAAATATATCAGTCGTTTCCATTGCGAAAATGGTCAATTCCTGAAGTGTCGGGCTGAGGATGTTTAAAATATATTCGGCTTGGTCCTCTTCGAAGGGAACATGGATGCAGAGAGACACTATTTGGTTGACGTGAGGATGAAGAAAGTGGAGTATCTTGGTCCAGTCATATGCGCAGTTGTAGGACATGAGTTCTATCGAGAGCGGACATCCTCGTGATCGTTTGAGCCATGATTGATAACAGAATATCTGCCGCTTCCACTGGCCTTCGCGGTCGATTGACACAGCGAGTCTACACCATAAACTGAGCATAGCCACAGCAACCTCCCTCCATCGTCGGCATACTGCAGTCAACAGCATGGGCGCTTCCGATACTGATGGCTTATTCAATCGATTGAATTCCTGAATTTCTGGTAAACAGTGATGAAAAATTTGAGACAGGACTTCGGTTGGCAAGCGCCAGAGAGCCGATATAAAGCCCTTGTGCAAATTAATGGACTTGATGATATTTTCCTTCTTTCCAATGAGCTGCTGGCGAAGGTTTTGGATACTATCCATAACTGTTTCCAGGTCTGAAATCTCGTGCAGAGTTGCATCCAGCTGCTGTTCACGTTCAGTGATGATCGCACCGATGGTCCGATATTCGAGCTGGGCGTTAGAGTAAGTCGTATTGGGGAGACTTGCTTTGGAATACGGAGTTTCGAGATCTGGCATCTGGTTGATATTAAGTAGTGCATCAGACATATAATTAGGCCGCTAAACCTACGATTAGTTAGGAATGGCGCAGCTAAAGCGATTGATTGTTAATTATTGGCAGATACTACAACGCACTGACCCGTTACTTACGATGTTTTGCAGCGCACCAATGATATCCAAGGCTGCTGAGAAAATGACTTGCGAGTTGACCGCCTGCATGTTATTCGCTAGATAATGATTAGAATTTAACTTTGAGATGTTCAAGGGTTGAAATTGAAGGAAAGGTGACGTTACTACCGCATGAGGCATCCACGTCCGCGCGCAGGCAGACGACTCCTACGCCCCAACCACAACTCCAGACGGAAGTACAAACGATGCATCGGCCGCAGACTTCATGGACTTGGATGTCAATCTCGTTTCCCTTTGTACTATCTTTCATGTGTCATCCCGTCGTGCAGACTACGCCTTTCATACTTCCGTCTTATCAGTTCGCCTTTGTCTCTTGCCACTCGATTGCAAACTTCGTGTTGTCATGCTCTTGCTCTTACATATAAAGGCAGCTATGTGCTCTCGTAGTTGCTTGTCAAATTCTATCAAATTTCACCCGACGTACTGCAGTCCAAACTCGCTTGCAAAATTTCCGTTGTCTCGCTTTATTCAAACAAAACTCATACACTCCTACGTCCACCCACAATGAGACCGCCCTGTTTACCTGATCTTTCAAGTTGGTGTTGACACGCTCGATCCAAACATTGCCCCTAGCACGGCCCTCTGCGTCCTGAGATGGTCCAACGGCCATCTATCCATTCTCCACAACCTTATGGCGTGTATGCCCTGGGTCCCAGGTTATGCGTGTACCCCGTTTTACGCAGCGGCGGTTTTCACTGCGCAGGTGTGGAGTTCGTTGTTGCACCTGCAAAATTGCTGGCTTCTCATCCCTCGAAGGACTTCAAGACCCCGTCTTTCAGCACCACTCTTCTGTACGCTCTATGAGGCAGTCTTGCAGGGAATTTATAACTGACATTTTAAGCAGGGATTCATGTAGCAAGCGTCAGCCACCTGTACTTCGTACCTGCGTCGAACCCTCAGTATAGTATGAGAAGCACAAGGTGGTGATCGATAGCACAGTACGAAAGAAGCATACGAGCCCCTACATTTGCAGTGATAACCATCCTGACTTTGTGAGTCCAATCTATGTCTTTAATTTTGCCATCCTGCTGCCAATGGCTGTTTCGTCAGCAATGGACCAAACGGGAGAAGATATTGATACACGATTTTGCCGTCTCCGAAATCTTGTACAAATACCTTCTCCTGATGTAAGGAGCCTCATCTTGATATCATTCTTGCTCACCTCCCACCTTGTATATTGACTCCGGCGTCCGTTCGCCGTGCGCGAAGCTTCTCCTTATCGTACAAATGCGTCTTTCACTGCCTTTGTCTCCGTTTGCTTCACTCATCCTTTCACTTATCCTTTGTTTGGCTGTTGAGTCACTCACGAATGTATATAGCCTGGGCATGTACCCTCATTATCGATAGCAGAATCACACTCGATTCTTCCCTCTCTCCCAGCGGTTCCGATATTTCCAAAACTTCCAACTTCGGCAGGATTGAGGTTATAGCACATCAATTGGAATTGAAGCTCAAGCACTCTCCATAATCCTCACTTGTACTTCAAAGCTTCAAGCTTCACTTTCCAAGTTTCGTCACATCCTCACACCAGTCGCGCGTGTAAGCAGCAGACGTTACACATACAACTGCTGTGACGAGAGATAAGTATCGATAAGTCTTCGTTGATAGCATATGCTAGTCGTAGCACAGAATTTACAGAATAATCCGACTGTTTGATAGCTGCCCCATTTATTCCCCATCCTCAATATGTAATGAGATCTGCGTATCTTCATCCAAAGACACAGCCCCATTTTTACGCCTAGCGCGGTAGCCCTTCGACATATATTTAAAGGTATTACCCAAAAGCCCGAGCAGGAACCATGGCACAGATGCTAGCATAGCAAGCACACCAGGACCTAACCTCGGCGAATTATCATCGTCTTCGGGTAAACTAATGGCCCTGTGTATTGTCAATGAGCATAGAACGCGCATATAATATGTGAATGTCACTTGCCCTCTCGCCACCTTACTCTTGTTGTACCACCACCATGCAACAACAAGCGTTGTGATTGCAAAGGGGAACACAATCGCCGTGATCCAAAACATCGCGCCGTGGCCAGTGATGTGGTCGGGAACAAGGCACGGGTGTTGGGTGCCTCGGTCTATGGAGTCGCCGCCCTCACAAGTGGAGTAGTGCACCTTGCGGTACGCCGTGCGTTCATACCAATAGTCTTCTCCATTGCGACATGAATCATCGGGCGGGAGTGAACTCGTCCCTGGAATAAGAACACATTCTCCATCTCCATTGCGGATATGATTGAATTCACTTTTTTGTGCCGAGATTTAAATTAGCTCTGAGCAGGTGGTATCACAGCCATGACTCACCACTCGAAATCCTCCAGCCTACATCTGCAGTTCCGCACGGTCTTATCTAGTACCTTGGGCGTGTCTCCAACAACACAGTTTACATCTCGTTTGCGGCGATGGTAGAGCGTCTGCATGATATGGGTGACAATGGAAAGACTCAAGTTCAGGTGACCCACCTGTCGTCCGAACAAGCAAAGTGAGTCTCTTTCCTCGCTGGGGCTCCACAGCTCGAAGTCATCATGTCCAGGATGTTCCACATCCACGAGGCCTAGAAGAATGAGCTCACCATCAATCATTGAGCACAAGAGCACCCTACTCACATTTCCTATGCGTGAGAGATGAGAAATCCAAGTACACGATCACCGAGCCAGCCGTCGCGGGATAACGACCCAGGAGCAGAAACTTCCGGCTTGTATCCTCCGGCACCGTCATAATATCTCTCACTCTGATCTTCTCAGTCGTAAACTTGAATTCTCGCCAAGTGAGACCCTCATCTGTGGTAAACAGGATGTGGTCCGTCGGCTCTTTGTCGTTTACGATCACAATGACAGATCCTGAGTCGCCGAACTTCCAGAGATGGGCGTCCTTATGCACTTCTTCCCATGTGAACCCGCCATCCCGGGATAGGAAGGTATCGCTTTCGGTGTAGGTGGCGAGCGAATCACCCACATTTCCGACTGCCATCACCACGCCGACGGCGGATGGGCTGCTATATGTCGCCCGGGCGTCAAAGCGCTCTGTATACCCGTGAACATGGAGTGTACAGCCCTAAACACGATAAAATAAGTCAATTGAATAGTGATGCGCAAAAAAGCAGAAATATCACTGATGTACAAGGGTACTTCATACCCAGCGAATCTACTGAAGGGGGTAGAAGCGGTTTCCAAGTGCCACCTGACGCAGCAAGCAACCGTCAACGAGAGGCAAAAGATACCCATGAAACAAAGCATACCGTCATTATGCGTGATCCTTGTCTGCAGAGCCTTGCGTCCCATGAGCGCAGCCTCTGCAGGATTGGCTACTATATTAGCCATCGCAATGCCATCCAACCCCGCGAATTTCTCAAAGTCGATAAAGCCGCCTAGATTCCTGTTCACGTTCTCGAGGGACAGCCCAAAGTAAGTTCCGTTAGAGTTGGATTTGAGGATGTTGCCCCATGGCGTTGGCACTTCGTTCATGGTCATGTGTAGGAAGATGGATTTAGTGCTCGACTCGAAGACAGTGTATGCCTAGAAACATTCATCAGCAATTCCAGCGTTTGTAGAGTTAGGGTGATGCTACCTACGTGAGAATCTGGATGCATGCCAGGAGAGAAGCTCCCAGAAGCAAACGTCCGTCCATCAAGTGAGACCTGGATGTTAAGCGTGCCCCTCATCGGGAGGTACTGTAAGTACACAGCCAGTCAATCAACAGCGGACGCATAAGACAACCAAAAAAAAATCACCTCAGCCACGATCAAAAACTCTGAAAACTTGGTGAACCCCATGACATGGTCGAATAGCTTCTTCTTCGTCGCATAATAGTCCGTCCCAGACACAAGCTGCAATGCATTATCTCTCCCGAAAAACACTTGCGAGCCCTGTTTGTTCACATACGACTCGCATAGGATCTGAGATGGATCAATCCGCAGCTCCTCATCGCGTGCCCAGTCACAGTTAACGACGTAGTCCTCTATCAACTCCCAATTCCGCCCATTATTCCACGTGTACTGGGCCTGTGCGCGACAGTTTTCGTACCCCGATTGGCAGTCCACATTACCGATCCAGATGAGATACTCTGTCCTGGGCTGGAAGTGAAGCACTTGGGCCCCGAAGGTGTTGGGAGGCGAAGGCGCTTCAACGGAGTGCCAGTAGTGGCCTGTGTCTATTGTGTGGTAGAATCTCTCGGAGTCGGTGATAAGGTATGCGCGCTCGTTGCTGTGCGTGTGCATATAGAACACTAGGAAACGCTCCTCTGGGAACTTTTGTTCCCATGTGTAACCCTCGTTGCTAGATTGCCATATTGTGAGGTCGGCAAGACGGACAAGGACAGTCTACGGAGGCAGACGTGAGCTGGGAAATTGATATGGTACGATACACAGGATGCTCACCTTCGAGTCCTTGAAATACTCGCTCTGCACAATATCACCAGGGAATGAATGCTACACTATCGTAAGTTTCCATACTGGGAAGAAAGGCGAGAACAGAAACATACAATCTGGCGAACGATCGCTCCTTCGACAGGTTCAGCTGTAAATGACGCATGAGACACAGACCTTCCTTCGCTTCTGAAGCACTCACCTCCAAAACAATCTTTGGGGATGGGCTTGTCCATGCGAGAGCCACCCTCACACTTGTTCCCAGGGATCTTGCGATATCCCGATGAACCCATGTACTTTTCGTTGGGCTTCCCAATGGTACACTGGGTGCTGGGTATGCGCTCTGGACCCGAAGGTATACATTTACCATAGCTTCGCACGTAGTTGTAGTCACTAGAACAACGCATGAGCGGTCGTACTGGGCACAGGAACGAGGAACGATGTACCACTCATAATCATGTTCCTCGCATGAGCACTTATCGTCATGAACTTCCGGATCATGGAACACCTCACCCATGTAGCAATCTGCGTCAGCCTTGCGCCTCATGTACCATTGCTTCGAAGTATATCAGCAAAACCATTCTCATGGCAAGGTTTACATCAGTAACAGACCTTGGTACCCATGATGCACTCTGATTTGGAATTGACTCTTGCATACCATGACTCCTTGTCGTTTGGATCACACTCCGGACGCCCGAGGGTAGTGAAGTCGAGGTAGATGGCAAGCGTCGCAGCCATTGTCAGATTGTTGGGACTGTGGCATCACATGGCCGAGTAGGAGGAACTTCTGAGACGTTGAATCCGATACCGCAGTTAATCCCTTGACACGAAATTGGATGCCAATATTATATGTCTTCCTATAGAGCCGGGCATTTCAGTAAAATATAATATATATACAGGGTGCAAAGACATACCAGGTCTGGCCCATGTCCGTGGAGTACAGGACTGGAGTCGGTAGGTTGCTGGTCATCGACGATGACGATGACACTTCCAAAATTGCCAAATTCAAATTTATATGGGCCTTTGCGGAGCATCTTCCATGTCAGGCCGGCATCGGTGCTGATATAGGTGTTGCTCTCTTCATATGGTGCAAGTGTCATTCCGACTGAACCCACGCCCATGACATAGCCAGGGGCGGGGGACGAGAAAATTGGGCCGTAGTTGTGCGTGTCTGTCACCGAGTGCAGATGCAGCGAGCATGCGTAATGGGAGCAGGTACCTGCTAGGAGCGAGAAGAGGAGCCCAGGAGCTACCTGCGAAGATATGATGTCAATACAGAGGAAAATATTTAAGAAACATCATTCCTCACCGTCATCGAATGTAATGACCGACCGTAATTGCTTGGCTGCCATCCGCCCCTCAACGTCTTGTGCATTAACAACGACATTGGCGATACCAACACCTTGAACGCCGTATATGTCCTCATAATCAACGTACCCCGCCATGTTCCTGTTCGTGTCTTTCAAACTCTCAACAAAGTAGGTGCCTTTGGAGTTGCTGACGAACAGTGTACTGCTAGCGAACAGGGTACCGGGGTTCGGACTGTGCAGGACGATATCCACTGCAAGAGAGTGGATCGTAGACTCGACGATGGAGTATGCGTTCTCCCGTAGGCGCACCTCAGAGGGGAACTGTGCCTTGACCCACTCCTTGGTGTTCACAGTAACATATAACAGCATATCGCCGTCGCTCCCGGGCGTCAAATCCTTGAGCGCAGCTACGGCGAACTTGGACACGATCGCAAATGCCATGACACCCTTGGCATTCTTGCCAATGCCAAGGTCTTCGTTCTGCTTAGTGGCAAAAAAGTCTGTGCTGGAGTACAGACGACTGCTTGCGAGGTTGTGCGAGCCAGTCATGGCGGAAGAGTCATAGGCGACGCAGTAGATGAGGTCTTCGTGAGCGTCATGTTTGAAGTCCTTACTACTATGAGCGAATTGGCAACGGGAGACGTCCTCTAGGAGTAGTTGTGGTGATGAGGCGAATCCATCTTTGGTGTAGTATGTCTACATAGAAATTTGGATGCAAGTAATATATACATATAAAATAAGCGCGCACCACGTCTCGACATCGCTCTCCCCAGGGAATTTGGTCACATTCGGTAGCCTGGAAGAGGGTATATTCCCACTTCGTGGAATCTGAATGGAATGAGAGTGGATTTGGGACGTAGGCTATTAGCTCAGGGACGTCGAACGTGCGCCATGACTTTCCGCGGTTGTCTGTGCGGTAATGTGTGTAAGAATTTGTTAATACGAATGCCTAGATAGAGTTTGGTCGGGTCGAAAGCCACGTCAGTGTGTTCAGGCAGATAAATATAAGTATGGACAGTAACGTACCACGCGATTGTCGAATGGGTGCTCAATAAACATTGCAGCCTCGCCAGATGGTATGTCATCTGCGCGTTTCCAGGTCTTGCCTTCGTCCTGAGAAACATGTATGTCCCCGAAGATGGCATCGTGGTATATCACATTCTAGAGGATAAAGTGAATTATTATTAAGAGAACCCTGAGGCAGATATGATTGTCTCACAGTGGTCTCGTCGAAAAAGAACAACCGGGTTGGTGTATTGTTGAAGTAGTTTATGGCATGTTCTGGATCAGCAGCAAACGCAACGCCAAAATAAAGAAATGCAAGGGTTGACCACATGAAAGCGACCGTCCCGTGCCAGAGAGCCATGCAGGACGTTGTGAATAAAGAAATGTGCAGTGCACAGTCCACCGCTCCCCAGAGCCTGCAGGTTAGTGATTGAAAACAGCGTCTGTCAATCACATCAGCTCGTGCAAGAGAAAGACGAGAAAAACGAGCCCGTCTTCCGCTCTCACACTACCTTCGAAATTCACTCCCAATACAAAACGCAAACTGGTGGGCTGATGAGGGAGTGGAAGGCTCAATGGACAGGCTTCAATTGAGGCAAAGCAGAAGCGCAACTTCAAGTTAGAATGCAGTGTGTATCCATGGATATAAAATCCTGTCATAAGAAACGCCGGCCACCGCCATCAGATGTCTACTATCGCATACGACAAGGCTAAGTTCGCATAATCTCAACCCACATGTGAGCAGTTCGACTCACGCGGTTAGTGTCACGTCAGACTGAACCATGGCTGCTTGAATCAAAATCTAGAAAAAGATCCACAAGGAGGGAGTACGATAGATATGATGAAGCTGTGAACGAGTCTTTACTAGTCTCCCCCTAGTCAGACATAGACGATAAACCAACCATAAACGATAAGTTGATTTTAATTGGCAAAAAATGATCTGCGAGTCTTTACGTAATACATTCCCAATGACTGGGACCTGGTCACCTAGACTATGCCGAAACTTCGCGGAAGTGTTTCGCGGCAATCCCGAGCCTGCGAAACACAGCGTGATGGTCTCCCATGTAGTGGTGAGCGCCCAAGTCACAGCAACCCTTGTGGAGGTGGGCTTTCAGGTAGGTTACTACCTAAAATGAAACCTTCCCTGAAAGACTTTTGGTACTTTTCCAAGTGATACTAAGGGTGCAAAGGCATATACTAGCAGACGGTGTCACATCAAGTATACCTTGAAGCAAACATGTCAGGGGTGTCCTGGGGTCTTGCACTGAATGCCGTGAGGGTGTTTGGGCTTTTTCCGAGGTAGTTGAAGGAACCGAGCTTGGAGCCATAACAGCCTGTGTGCTGCAAACTCGCGTTTTACTGATGCGGTTCTTTGCTCTGCACACTGGCCCTTTCCTACCGTATTTCGTTTTTAGACTCCTCTCTTAGGTATTGTCAATGTCATAGCGGTTCTTTCACACAGACTTGTCTCTTAGTTTCTACTTCTAACAGCTTGAACCTGAATGTTCCGTTTTACCGCCAATCATTTTTCAAAATTTGTCGAGTCAGTGATCGCGTCAAGGCTCGTTGCGCGCACCTCTTCTATCACCAAGGGCAATACTATCTTGACTCGTCGCCCTGATCAGGCGTTTCCAAGGTAAGTATGATATCACCTCCAATGTATTAAACACTCAATTTCGCTGAACTGCACTAACACAGAATGGACCTGCATGAGAATCCGAGACCAAGACAGTGACCGCGACATTCGAACTTCCCGGTATCAAACAACAGGATGTCAACATCGAGGTCCACGGAAACTCTCTGACCATATCTGGGGAGTCGAAACGCCCGGAGAATTTTGACAAGGGCGGCTATACAGTGCAGGAGCGTTCGTATGGCAAGTTTTCCAGGAGCCTTCAGATTCCTCAGGGAATCAAGGTGAGTACACTGACAATCTAAATTCCGGGTAGTGATTTGGTACTTATGGTCACCGTATCGCCCAGGTCCAGGATGTCAACGCAAGGATGAAGGATGGATTGCTCACTGTATGTTTCCCGAAGGCTAGACCGGGCCAGCAACCCCAGCGGGTTACGATCGCGTGAAGACAGGTGAAGACGTGGTGGTGTCTGCTTGATCCCACCTACAATTGTTTCAAATATGAATCATTATCGTACTGTGAAGGTGGAAAAGGAACATGAGCCTTTGAAACGACAATATATCTGTACGATAGTGCATACCTGGTCCGCCCGATATTTTTTTCGAATCAGAGCTTTATTTGAATCATGATGTGCAATTAGGCTCATAGAATTGTACGATATATAGAAAACAGATGCGCTTAAGCTCAAGTTGCGAGACATTCTACTCGATTTTAGCGCATCACTTGGCGCAGTGTAGGTGGGCGATTACTAATACCTGCAAGCTTTACTTAGACCCATGTTTTTTTCTTCAAAATTACTTCGAACAACAATTTCCGATATCCGACACTACTGACCTGCAGCGACTCGTCTATGGTCGGTCTCCAAACTTCAGTACCTTCGAAAACATTTGATTCGAGGCATAGGAAAATTCAATGTACGAGGCCGTGACAGACGCTTGATGATGGAAGGTCGTACAAAGTGTGAGTTTACTTTTCCCTTGCTTTTCCCCGACTGCTATCATCTAGCGACTCGATTGATAGCAAGTTGTGATGCACATAGGCGTGTTCATGTAGTAAGTACTCCGCAAGTTTGGATACTGCCAAGCTTCGTGTTGGAGATTCATTTTTTGATTTCTAGACCGTTCCGCACCCCGTGCCACTATAACTTGCTGCAAAGCACGACGAACAGACACAAGTTCTGAACCGTTGAATAGAATCGGCAACCTGATCCCCCATAAATGCGACAGATCCTCACGGCGACATACTAGTCGAAGTTCCTCACGCTTGACATTTTTCTACCTATTTAGTTCACTACAGCTGCCCTGAGTTGGGCTTTGTACACATGTTCCTCCATAAAGGACGACTTCCCGCTATCGATACAGTACTAGTTGCTCTTGCTCTGTTCACCCGCTCCACAAGCTCTTTTCCTCATTGGTTATCCGACCGGCCCCTCCATGGATACATATATATACCCATCGACGTTCACATCTTTGAATCCAAAATCAAATCGCTACTCTCCAACCATACATCAGATTCAAATCTGTTCATTCACCCCATGTAAATGTTGCATACATACCCTTTACCAGGGGATAATTCTATTCAATAACTCAATTTTATTTGTAGACGCACTTCTGAATGCACTTATAACACAACATTTCCAGTCTTCCCTGTGCTCATCTGCATGCTCCAATACGGGTGCCTGCTTCTGGTGCTCGTATTGAAGACGGCTTATTCAGAGCATCTTATTTTTTTGCTAGCTGTAAGTAATCTGTATCTTGGCCTCATTCCACTATTGTCATACTCTAAGAACTGAGCGTCGGTGATACCGGCGCCTGCGAGTGCTCCTCGTGTGCTTGTATCTGACCGCCGTCCTCGAGCATGGCAGACCTTGAAATATCTCGTAAGTACTTACTTACATATTCTCGGCCCCTCGACCGAAGTCCGGTGGTTCAGCTTGTCCATTAACTGTTGAGAATAAGTGGACCTACTCCAGTGCCCTTGTACGCCCTCAAATTTTCCACTGCTAGTGCTGGTGGGTCTGGAGACTTGCGTTACAGATGAAGAGTAACTTTAAGGTGCAAAGAGATATGAGTACATTGTGAAGCTGATAGCATGCAGTATCCACCGTAGCCCGGTTGATCACTGGATTGAAAAATTCGTAACAACTAAGGGCGAAGCATCACGAAAGTGTCTTCGCACTGCAAATATGAAGGATGAAGCAACGGCAACGTATTCCACTCACCATTCATCTATCTCCGCTAACTGCCCACCTTTCATTTTACTTTTACTGAAGACAACAAGGCTCTCTAGTGGACACTTTGATCGTGCGAGGAACGTCTTGAATGCCTCATGAGGCCACCCCGGTACATCCCAAATATGAAGCATGTGCAGATTAGGGAGTGAAAGAGCATTGAACAGGTCGGACAGTTGAAGCGCGTGCGTTATGTACGTACAAGTTATGTGTAAGGATTGAAGTTTGTTGTGCGTGAATGGATCCAGGGCCTCGTCGTCGTCGAAATATATGCGAGTCGTTAACGAGGAGAGGTTAGTGGAGAATGACATCCGCCCCCCTTATATCGATCATAACATCTGTCAGGTGGGCCCATACAGGATTGAAAGAAGATAAACGTTCGAGGGTGAACCGAAACCTGTTTACACGAAGACTGGACAGAGTGACCGACAGTTGCGAGATATTGTGTGCAATGACTCTTATAGGTTCCACATTCGAAGTAATAGGCGCGGATATGGACAGCTTCTCAAGTGCTGGGAAGTCTGATAACCTAAATTTGGATATGTCGGAGCCTTTGAAACAATCGACAAATAGAGACGAGATTTGATTGATGTATGGTTGAAGAAGGCTTCCTAACGTAGCCCACTCGCTTGCAAAGTCAGGCCACAACCGTGCCAACGAGAATGGGTATCCGCTGGAACGCTTGAGCCATAAGTCATAGGAGGGGGCTTGCCGCTCCCAGTCTTCGCGATCAAGTCTTACAAGCAGACTGCACCATAACGTGGGCGTGCCCGTGGCAACATCCCTCCATTGTCAGCATATTGTGGTCAACAGCAAGGGGACTTCTAACTTTGATATGCATGACAAGCCAGCGAACTCAAATTCCGGAAGGCAGTCAGTGGTGAAAATTTGGGATAGGATTTCGGTTGGAAGGAGCCAGAGAGCTGATACAAGTCTCTTGTGAAAATCAATGGACTTAGTAATCCTGTCCTTCTTTTCCATGAGTTGCTGGTGAATATTTTGGATATTATCCGTGACTATTTCCAGGTCTGAGATCTCGTGTGAAACTGCATCCAAACGCTACTGGCGTTCGGTAATAATGGCGGTGATGAGGCTCTGATCGTCGATATCCTTGACATAGTGGTTGATACTGGAGAATCGAGAATACTGGGTTTTGAGGTCTGGAACTTGCTAATGGTCAGAAGGCACTGTCAGTTATACAACCAGTACAGATAGCCTTGCAGCACGGACATACGATCACTCGTGAGTGCGCCAGCTGCAGTGATTGATTATTATTTGCAGGGTGGAGTGTTCCAAACTTCAGCACTTACTATGACGGTCTACATTGCACCAATAATATTCGAGGCCGGCAAGAGATTGACTTTTGAATTGAGTGTCTGCATGTCGAGTTTGCTAGTGCGAATGTCGAGAAAAGGAGACCACGAGACTTTGACTACTAGTATAGTGAGTCAGTGACGTAAGTTACTTACCTGAAACCCGATCAAACCATCTCAGCGGCTTGCGCTCAGCACTCGCGAGCTTCTATCCCATGGGTTACGCCTTTAGCCTCGCCCCGCTTACGCTTCTCTAATAGTACCACCCTCCTCGTGCACTCTGCCTCTAGAAGCTTGGAGCATTCGCGCACAAATGTGTATCGATGAATTTGAGTCACACCAGTGTCACCGGGCTAACGGTAGCACTCTCGACCTCCAGCAGACGGAAGTCACCCTAGAAAACAGCATGACTCCTCCCATTACAACAAGATTCCTGAGTCAAAGAGTGATACAGATCGAGTCTGTACCTTGCCTCAGTGGCCTTTAGGTGATCACCGTGGGATATGGTCCTCTGGTATCATCCACGAATCCTAATCAAAACGAGTCTACCAGAGTCCACCATCTTCTCCTCATTGCAAACGTTCGAGGATTGCCAACGTCATGTAGTAAAGCAGGCTACAGGTGACGTGTTGGGACTCGCGAGTCGTTGTGTACGCTAAGTCACAACCACGTCATCTTCTGGCCCAGGCCAGCAGATGTCGATGAAGCATCAAACTCAAGATAGACCTCGTGCTCACATCGTGCCGTCATTACAGGCTTGGCGTTACATATCAACAAGTCTACGAAGTACCTCGCCTTGGCGATATCAACCCTCAAGGTCAAAAGATGATCACTTAGGGTAGGTGTCACCATCACTGTCATCGACTGTTTACTGATCCTGCTCGAAGTGAGGCTAGCATCTTCTTATCACGAGCATTAGGGTTGATAACGAAGATCACGGCAGACCAGACATGGTTCGATTTTTGTCAAGTCACAAGGTCAACACCGCGCCACCTCTTAGCCTGTCGATCTTTCACGGTCCAGGGTGGATATCGCCGTCAATATCTGCCTCTTCTGCTCATTGTCCCTGGGATCACCTCCACCATCGCTAGTGTTTCTCCATTCTAGACCAATCCTAGACTACCATCCCGGTTTGGCCTACAAGTAAATTTAAGGCGAGTTACTTATGTATTGGCGTCATCTACCACTAGTTCATATAGCCATGTTTAGGATCTTACAATTCACCGATAGGCACCGCAATATTCGTATCGTGATGCTGGCTGACGAATTGGCATGATGTATAAAATTTTATCGAAATGCAATCGAAAAGGGCACTTGCGATACAATGTGCACAGCTGACCGTCTAGCAGGTCTCCTAATCACTCCGACCATCTATCTTCACCCCCGACAATTCATTTTCTGTATTATCAAGCTCTGTCTCACTCAACTCGTTTGCCCAGTACATCAACATTTCACCTTTTTGAATTAGCGTCGTGGCGCGCGAAAAGGCTGAGTCAAGCACTTCAGCAAAACGAAAAGATAGAGAATGAGAAGTGTTGTTGGATCCACCAGTGACTGGTGCACTTCTTTGGACGAGATAAGTGCATAGTATCGCTAGTATGCACTTTGAGAAGGTGAGTCGCCACGTTGTGATACCTACTAACTAATTAAACAAGATACAGGCGGGAATGAGACGATTCCTCCTCGACAGCTTAAGCTGCCGCTTAGTTCAATATTGTATTGGCTTGAACACAAAGAAAAACCTTCAGCAGGTTGCAGCGCAAATAAAAAAGATTACATTCAGGTATAAATCGAGTATAAAGTTAAACCAATGTCACAACATGTCATACTATACACCCGCCTACTTCTACCGCCTTCGCAGAAGCGGAATACATCTGAACAATGTTCTGCTCTGATCTAGTTCCTTGTTCATCGTTGTTCATCGGTTTGTTCTTCTGATGTGTCTATCGTGCCTGAGAATGCTACAGTCGTAGGTGCTGCAGCGGCTCGGCTCAACCAATATTCGTGTGTATATCCCCGCCCTGTTGCAACACGAAGAATGATGAACAGTTGCGAAATGCCCTGGTTTAAGAACACAAAAATAGGATCAGGGATACAAGTAATACAGGTTTTGTCTGCTTACCTGCACTTGGCTAATAGACAGGAAGCACATAGTAGTGATGCCGTTTAAATGCAGAGCAAAGGCAACTATGAAAAGAGTAGCGAAGATAGAGTATCCCATGGCAGGACTCGACGATCATGAGGGCGATGGTATCATAGAGACTGGAATCATAATGTGCCATGACCCGCTTCATCTTGTTTCGCATGTCGAGTAAAATATACACCACGAGAATGGTGTAAATCACATTGAGTCCCACTTGGGTGCCGAGGTAGGCGGGCTCGACATCGATATCATAGAATGCTATTCCGGTACTCGCCTCCATCTGAATACGAATAGACAGTCCTGCTCAATGTATTAGTGACTAATGTCACTGGTAAATAAAGGAATTTACCGATCATAGCAAGAAAGAGTGTGATCATCGGGATTGTCACACATCTTGCCCAATTCCATAACGCAAAACACCGGTGAAGCTAAGTATACAAGGCATCAGACTCGCATCAGCCCACATGGCAAACTACCCGACTCACGAGCAGAGCTTGCATGAACCACTCCCCTATGTGGCCACTAGACGAGGTGTTAATACTAGAGGTCTGGAGGTGGAGACGTGCTTACGATGAAAGTGCCAGAACGTTGATACTATAAGGCATTTCGTTCTCGATTAGCGCGAGCGGACCACCAGGCGCATCACGAAGATCTATCCAAATCATCTCCGTATATTTTGCGTTCGCAGCAACACTTATCGTTATCAATATGAATGTGATAACAACGTAAAAAAGAAGTGCAACACGATGACCTCGAATCTTTCCCCCATGTCGAGGCCGCCGCATGAGAGCAATGCAGGACTGTACTGTAAGGAGGAAGAATGCGCCTATTGTAATATATGAGTCTAATTTCGAATTGTGCCGGTCGACAGAAAACACACCGTAGGATACACACCCCAACAACATTCCAGCGAGACGAGATCGTTCGATCCACAGATCTGTATTGGGAGTGTAGGACGACATGATCCACAAATCGGCCACTAAAAGGTGAGGTTAGGAGATATACAGGCGGGGGAGCAGGGGCACATTAGAAGACAGGCAAGGAAGTTATAGTCCTAAATACCATTACATGACAATATATACATGCAGAGCATGTCCTTTATTTTCGTCGCTAAAAGCAATATAACGTCATATATTACGACGGAATGACCCTGCAAGCAACTGGACTGATAAGGCTAAGTGAACAGGGTTAGATCTACCAAAGAGACAAAAACCTGACATACACATGAGATTGGGAATATGACCCTGGGGAGGAGGATCGCAGGGCTTGCCAGTGTTGTAGCATTTAACAGGAATTGACCAAGATGCCCGGACTCGGATGTAGCTAGCAGTCATCTCTCAGCTCAGCGCACAGTGCGCATCATCAGGCTGGCACCACTCTAATGGCTTGCCAACAGCAGGTAGTGGGACTGACTGAGACTCTTCTATGTGAGTGAAAGCTATCGAGCACATCCACTCCGCCCCTCAGATCTGATGCGACACACCCTTCCCAGATGAGTCTTAGAAAGGGCTAAGTTATGTACCGTGTTATGTACCGTGTGTCGCTATCATAGCTGTGCAAATATAACGGACCTTCGCAGGGGCTCCCAGGGCACCGACAGCTGCATCATATAACGTTTGACAGCACCGCTGATACGGTGGGTCACCCTCATTGCGGCAACTGTGCACGCTACTGATACGGCTGCTGGAGTTAGATAGGCCAGTGATCCCATAGTAGTGGTACGAAGTTGATGCAATATTATATCGTCCCGATGATATTACTGCACTGGTACATTGTCAGGCAATTCCTATGAGCGTAGGTTATATGCCGTCACAACCCAAGATAAGCTGCAATGAACCTTGAGGGTTGATAACAACTGAAGCATAATTTTCACTCACGCAGGACAAACGAACGTGAACATTGTGACGCGTGGGAGGAAAATGATAGGATTGCTCTCTCCCACGGGATAACGCCGCTCACGCGGCAAGTCCCCGACTCCGGCTCGCTTGGACTTTTCCTTCTAGGACGAGATACCTGACTTTAAATAGATTCAGACTATATTATCAGTCTACCGCGGATGTCACTTGATAGAACGGAGAGTATTCTCGTAATCTAACCAACACCGAACTTCAACTCATCATTCATATCCAGAACCCAGACTGATACACTAATCTGCTCCTTGTCAGTAGATACATCATGGCAGGCATCTTGGGCTTACTGTTTGATAATCTCGTTACCCGCAGCATATTCTCTTCTCCGCAGTCCATAACCTCTTGTTTATTCCCTTGCACCACTAACATGTTTCCAGCGATATCGTCTGCGTTCGACGTGATTCCTGCATTGGTGGCGCGTGTACCAAAGGAGGTTCCCGAAGGAACGTGTACCTCAAGTCGTAGGGGACACGTCCGTAATGAGATTGTACGTTTTACGAAATCGCCTTGTAAGTGAGACGAAGAGACCTCATCCAAGCTGATTAACAGAAGTTTCGAAGTATCGGTCACTGTCTCCACGAGCCGTCCCGGAGCTGGACCGACACCACGTGTGGAGTTCTGGTGCTACTGAGAATCATATTATAGTGCTTTAAGACAGCAAGTGTTGGCGCTGCGCGCCGTAAGGGTTAGGTACGAGTCCCTTTAGGACAGGCTTAGCGGCGATTAGCGTGTGTTCAGTGGCTCCCAAACGAGTCATTGGTATTTTGGAATTAAGCATCCCTTCAATGAGTGGCGACAAAGATGGCAATGCGCTATAGGCACAGTCACAGAATCAGGGCAGACGTTGTTATAGCCACAATAACAAGGGTTTTGGCTGCTGAGGATAAAAAAATATTCGATTGGAAGCATTACTGAGGCAACGTTGACCAGGCGGAGGACCAGCAGGAAGCGAGGAAAGGTTGCCGAAGAGCATAGTGAGAGAGCATGGGTGGAAGTGTTGAAACAGGTTTGTGCGATGGAAGGAGTGGGCAAGAAGTTAAGCAAGCGGGGTTGAGACGAATGACGCGACTGGAGATTGATAAACGGGGCAGACGGCATTATCCAAGAACTATACAGCAGGGAATAAAGTTAAAGTTGCAAGAGGCGATAAAGACGTAAGAAACCCAGAGTCGTCGTCGAGGTTGGAAGCAGAAAACTTATAGATTTACTGGGCTGGCCAACCATTGAAGGGTCTTTCGTCTATGTGATAATAATGTCGCAGAACAGACTTGCCCAGCTGTGGGTTTTCATTTTCCTACTGCAATGAACGCCAGGAGAGTCTGAGGAGTCGACGACGAGCACGACTGCCGTTAAGAGTCCCTCGCTATCATCACCCGTTCTGTCATTTTTCCCTATGTCGCTCGTCTGATTTCGTGACTGGGGAACCTCTCATACTCTCTTGCGCTCCTATCAAACTCAGGCGATATCCAGTAAAATGAAGTACCACGAGCAAAGTGATACATGATTTGTGTAGTTGTTAGCAACCACTTTGCGCCTCATTTAGACTCCACTACTAGGTTTCGTCACACTATCTCAACGGGAATCCAATCACAGCGGCTGCAGCCACTGTACTGTGAAGCCCCAACTTCACATCAGTTACAACTCGCTGGACTTGGAACATTACCAGCTAAACTCGTGCCTAACTGACAGACGTGCGGCGTCTTTGCTCATACCCGTTGACCACAGATTATCCAAAACATATCTAATCACCATGTTCCTGAAAGGAACTGACAGCCGCATCTTTTATCTCCCCCTAAGACGGTCTCCCCTACACAAACCGTAGACACATGACAATAGTCGTTCCCTCTTATCTCCCTCGAGGCTTTTTCTTTTTTTATCTGGAGCTTCGCGTCTATCTCCGCGATCACTAGATCAAACAGTTATGCTTTTCACGGAATTCGAATTGATTACTAGGTCGTGGGCTTCTTCGAGGGACTTTATACCAAGACTGGCTACCGTGTTATCTATTCTCGCGATTGTGAGTTCGTGCATATCATCTTACGACCGCTCACATAGCCTGCATTGACCCCAAAGATCATCTTCGGTCAAATTCTAGAAGTGTTAATTTGCACATACAGAATCATGCTTCGGTCCGATTCCAAGGGTATTGCATAACAAACTTTGTTCAGGAGGCTTCAATGCGACGAATAAGATCTGGATAAATGGCAAGTTTGGTCGTTAGTTTCACATGCGAAATCCCTCATATAGCACTCCTTCTTCCTATCCTTGCGCGAGCCTCTCTCGCTCTCTGTACCACAATACAGCTTATCTTGCTTACCTTCTGTCTTAGATCGAATGTCCGTTTCTATCTTGTGTCCATCATGGACCATAAACAAGAAAAATCAAACGCCATGTGATGTGGTCCAGGAGGTGGACAATGAGTGCTCGTGTACATGTGAGCCATTTTCAATGGTTTTATTTGTCGGCGCTTAAATTACTGTAGACGATACCATTTCCCCTCTCCCTTCTGAGCAAGCGTTTATTCCAGACGGCTCAAATGTGACCGCATGCACATGGTAGGCTCTCAATGCCCATACATGACTTGGTAAATAACGACGTCATGATAAACAGCTCCTGGGCGAGTTACAACTTATTTAGCGCCTGTATGTTCTGTGCTTCTTCGTCACCTTCACTAGTGAGGTAAGTCTTCCAAGGTCATCAGATATATATACGAGCCAACATAGTACAGCTGGGATGAGTGGACAGTCAATTGCCCTACAAACCTAACGTCGACATCAACGTGAGTTTCTACTAGTATAGCATGACCCTCGATGATCTGATTTGACGAATCTGTCAAAGATACTTCCCTTCGTATGCGGGGGTAACGTTGCCTTCCAATACCTCGATACCTTGTTACGCGGGCTACAATCGTACGTCCGAAAATCACTGATCGCTAAGCCACCTTTCATGGGGACTTTCCCGCAGCTCGAAGCTGGCCGAATGGGACATTTAGCGCAGTGGCTGCATCTGATATTGCTGACATATGTATGTTCACTTTGGTGAACTCGCGAACGCATATTGACTTCAATAAGCACACTCTGATTTGACGGGAGCCGCTGGCTCTTGCGCTTCATCATCAAGCTCTCATAAAACTCCGGTGGGTGCGATTGTCGGGGGAGTCGTCGGGGGAGCCCTTCTGCTGCTGCTGGTCTGTGGTTGTGTCCTGTTTGTCACACATCGCAGGCGCAGAAGGGCAAAACCCTCCCCTGAAATTACTCGGTCGAACAGCCCACACTTGGACGATAAGTCGGCCAAAGACGTGTATCTGTCTCCTCCGAGTCCACAAGATTCGCTATCTTCGCCAGCATTGGCTGTTGATTCTGGGGGGAAGCTCACGTGGGCGGGAATCACAGACGCACGTCCGGTCGCAACATCGGCTCCTGAACTAGCAATCGATGATGCTCCAGCAGATGGTCTTTGTAGTGCCTCTGTCCCTGGTTTGCACAAAGCGCCACAAGGACAGACCGCTGGGGTACACGATTTGGATGGGCGCCCAATCATAGGTCAAAACGTTCAAGCGACTGGCGTTCACGCGGGAGCAGATCACACTGGAATGGCGATCTCTGAACCGCGTGCTCCTCTGCGAGAACGGCCTACCGCAGTGGGGTTTGTGCGGGGACATGAGAACACGGTTCCAACTCTAGGACGAGCGATCGAAAGTGCTCCCTTGGAAGTAGAACATAGTAATGTTGCAATTCCTCATACACACCATTCATCACAGGAGCTGATTGGCGGAGTGGTACCTAGAGAAGAACCTCTCATCATAGCTCCAACATTAGACCTGGGGGTTACCGAAGGCGTCAGGTCCATCCCCGGTCCGTATGGCGCACTGCGAGCACAATCCGCTGGGGTAGACGTTCGGGATAGGTACCCGGTCTTGAGTCAGCAAGATATACAAGCACTTGACGTTAACGAGGAAGCGCATCACGTTAAGACGGCGATCACTGACATATGCTGTCCCCCACAAGAGCGGTCTACCGCGGAGGAGTTTATACAGGGACATGAGATGGCAGTTCCAACGCTTGAACTAGCGATCGAAAGCGCTCCCTCGGAGGCAGATGTCACAATGTCTCATGAGTACCATCCATCAGGGGAGCTAATCTCCAGAGCAGAACCTAGAGAAGAGCTTCTGACTATAGCTCCAGCATCAGAGCCGGGGATTGTCGAACATGAAGGGGAGCGCCTCAGCGATGACAGGGAGCTCGGATTCGTCTCTGTAAGTATTATCAATCATTCTCGATGTCTTGGACAACATCATGCATCACCCCCAGATTAGCGACGTTGCCACTGAAGCCACCCAACCCGAGGCTGAACAGGTCGGAAATCTCCTAGCACAGCTTTACATTGAAGAAAGCCCGTCCATCGATGTCGTTCATGATAACTCTACGAATCTTCGAACGGTATCTCAAGCAGAGGCAGAGGCTGTACAAGCTCTCCTAGTTTCAGACACACGTGACAGGGTGATAATGCCCATGGCCCGTAGAGTCCCGAGATCGTCTCTCCCACATATAGAGACACGGAAAGCACCTGTATCTGAGGACCTGGTAAGTCTTTGTCGGTATGCTGAAAAGAATACATGGACATTGGGTGTCGTTCGATATCATACATAGGTCAAGCGCGTGGTATACACGTACCTGATGGATCCTGCAACAAAGCAGAATGTACCTACTTCGCGTACACATGGCCTGAAGCTGTGAGTGATGCTTCGTCCGTTTTCCCATAGATCGAGACTGTTTATAACTTTTGTACAGCGACTTGCTGTTCATCCTGGATCTCACTGGCAGTCAACAGCCATACATAGACTCAGTCAGATCATCCATTAATGCTATCTGCGCGGAAATACTGGGATCAGATCATGTGAATTCAACTCGGCCAGGCGATCTTCGCGTCGCATTTATTGGGTTCCGCGATCATCCACCTCAGGAAGATTCTTTTGTTACCCGCGAATGGGATTTCGTGTCGGATATCACCCGGATTCACGCAAACTTGAGGAGTCTTCCTGGTGCTGATGGTGGTGGAGATGGGCCAGAAGCTGTAACGGCAGCTCTAGCTCGAGCTTTAACGATGAGGTGGAGGAATGACTGCAACAGGGTCGCTGTGTTAGTATCGGATGCTCCGCCCCACGGTATTGGATCTCAGGGCGATTACTGGCCCTACGGTGTACCAGGTGGTGAGAACTCGTTGCCATCCGTCGTGGTGAGCTCTGGAGTTCTGAATGAATGCAGTTCCGGACCCTCTTGATCTGGCGAGAGAGATGCTCAAAAAGAAGATCACTTTAGTGCGTGTTTCTCTTTCCAACCCATTCTATTTATTGACATGCATCTTTTAGCACTTCGTCGCTTGCGAACCGAGCTTGAGTCGCTTTCATGTAAGAACATACTAAGACCACGATAGACGTAATCATTCAATCTTACCTAGAATGCGCTTGATTTTTACCGTGGTCTGACCCGCATAACGGCGTAAGTCCCTTACGGAGGCAGACCATCAGTACGACTGACATCGATTTACTCAAGGGGCATCGTAGTCCCACTGCTTGACGCCAGGGTTATGTCAACCTGCATCATCGGCTCTGCTCTCGAAAGCCTTGCGATTCAGGATCTCATCAACGAATACAGGGAAACTCTCGACTGAGTTGGTCCCTTCACGAGAACCCTCGTTGGTGGTGAAATACCTCCATGCCCTAATGCGCGTCAGAGGCCGAACAGCCGACCAATTGATTATGGAGAATATTTATGCCATGTCTGATGATACGAAGGAAAATGTAGAAATCTGGTCGTCAGCTCGCAGCCTCGCTGATGCGAAGGCTCGATTGGAGGTACGCTTGTAAAATTCCCTGGGCTGGGATTTGAGTATTCGAATATTCGTGTTAGTCCTACTACTAGGTGGTTGGGTATACATGAAATAGCAGTGCTAGGCGCGAAGTTGTGTAGGATATGTTTTGATGTAGGCCGTGATCTTAATACGTACTTGGCCAAAATTCTTAATGTAAAGATATGTGGATTGTGACATATTTCTAACTTTAATGACGAGGAGTCTTGCGAAGATTAAAAGGCAGGCTTGAACACCGGTGGCTAGGATCACAAGAACCAGGAGAAATAGATTGGTAATTAGGTGAGGCTACTGCCGTTGGATCGCGTGAGGGAGGAATGGAGACACTGGATATCAGCTACAAATTTCAGGAATCGAAAGATTATAGCCATATAAACGGCAATGCATGGTGTAGATGAAGAACTACAGGTAACACAATTACAAGGGAATCGTCAATGGAGTACGCAGTACATAGAACAGGGATGAAACTAAGGATGGTGTTTCGCGTTCGTGGTGATCTAACCACAACAGTGGGGGACAACCTGCCCGTTTGATCAAGCAATCTGTGGCTCACGTGCTCCGTCACCTCGACTTGATGCGAGAATGTCGCGGGTGTGCACGACAAAGATTGCGAAAGTTACAAGAACCCTAACAAGAATATCATAAACAAGGAAGCATTATTAATAGATATGTATCAACGATACATACAAAATAACCCAGGCAAAAACACCTAGCGTGATAAGTTGACCGCAATACACGGAAAGGCTTTGGGCACTATAAAGATCCAAGGAGAACGATGAGTAATAAGAAAATGTACCAACTTGCGATTCAGTTGTCCACCGAGAACTACAGTTATACTTGTAGCGCCTGCGGTCCAGAAGACCCATGTTAGACACAGGCTATATATATAACAAGTTGGTCAGCAAGTTTAACTCGCTCCAAAGGAGGTCTACGTACAAGAAGATATGAGAAGCCATACTGCCCAAGACACTGTCTGGAGGAGGAAAGAAGAAAAACGTGCGGTAACTAAAGAATATGATCGTCCATGTGGAAGTGAATAATAAAAAATGAGTGCACTCTCGTTCAGCTAGACTGAAGTAATTATGGTGGTCATCAAATTGCGACGTGAGCCAGGCTGAGATAGCAAACTGCCACAAGGGGTCATTATTTCGCCATTAAGATGAAACGTGCATATACCTCGATGATACCGAAGAAAGTAATAAGCAAGAAGATAACTGAAATACAGAATACAGCTGACTGAGTAAAGCACGACGGCACAGAGGACGGAGACCCACTATTGTGTCCCCTTCTTATATGAGTATCCAAATCCACTGTGCGAGGTAACTGAACTTGCTGAGGGATGACGGGATTGTTGGGATTAGGGTATCGAGGTTGGGGATTTACAAGGATTTCCAGCTGAGAATGCAGTTGCGACAGCTACGAGGACGCAACGTAAGTCAAACATAATTGCCCCTGAATCAAATGGTCACCTTTCTGCGGAGAACTCATTTTAGAATATGTTCGTTTGTTTACAACCGGAGACTCACAGAGCATGTTCATTCTCTATTTTCTGAATCCTAGAAAGCAGACCTTCTTCAACTGCGCGAGATGTTTTGGAGTCGAGGTCCGCATAAAGTTTGCAGGTACGAAGCTTGTTACGAAGGCGACGACATTCTGCTTTATCGCGCTCGCTCTTATCCTGAAGAACTTTGATTCGCTGGAGGGAAGTTACGGCAGCTCGAAGTGGTTTATGCTAAAAGTGCCGCATGTGAGAAAGTAATGTATTAGCAGCAAGCACCAGTATACGTCGCGTTGGTGGTGCGTGCACGATGAAAAGGACCCACAGAATTGGGATTACCCGAATGAGATTTCAGCCATTCCTGCACCTCGGTGACTACGTTGACAACTTCTGCATCGCGTGCGTCTTCGCCCGAGACTAGAGATATGCGATGAAGAAGGAGACTAGCATGCTGATCGTCGATAATATCCTGTTCAGCATTGTCTTGTGTGGATGGATTTGCGATGTAGAGTTTCTTGATACAGTCTGACTGGAAAGGCTCACGGCAGAGGGGACATGCACTTAGGGACAAGGAGCGAAGGCATCTGGGATTGAAGAGTCACATATGAGGGGAGGGACATGAGTACCGGGCGGAACCTGGCAGGGAGTAGGGACGCACGTGAGACAGAATATATGACCACAGGCGATTGCATGTGGAGAATGAGCAGGTCCTGAGGAGATGGAATAGGATTCAAGGCAGACATCGCAGCAACTTGCAGGATGGACAACAAGCATACCTAGCTCACAAGAAAACTACACTACTTACCGCTCCTTTCCGCCACTGCTTCGAACGTATGTGGCGTACCGTGAGGCGTTGAGGAGGTGTGGACTTTGATTATTAGAACCAGTGCAAAGTTCAAACCCAGAACAACGTTGTGCCCCTCACGCGGCTGGCCTGGGACTGTGCGAAAGTCACTCGACTGTATCACTTATGCTTCAATCCGATCTATCAGGGTTTCGAAAGTCTGTGAACGAACATCCGCAATGTAGTGCATGCAGTCATTACTGATACAAATGTCAAAGAACTCCTACTCATGTTATTGGTAAGTTTACTCCCGCTCTTCTTGGCCAACTGGATGAGGTGTCGCGAAGTGAATCGGCGGCACTACGTCCACCGAAGTAAGATAGAGGCTGGTGATGCGACGAGGGTCATCATTTTCATCCGCCTGAACGTTAGAGTCTTCTGGGCGCTCCACCCTAGAGTTAAAATATGAGGGACAGCAGCATTATAATGAATTTAGATCATACTTTGCACTGAAGTTGATGTGAGTGAGGCGTTGAGCAGGAGCAGCGCGTATGCGGAACATCATGCTACGAGTGATGATCAAAGTTCCGGCAACCACTGAGGGCTATCAATAAGTGAAAATCAGAATAGTGATATCATAAGGTTGGGCATCGAGACTTACTTCGTCCGGACTATCACCTGTGGAGATCACGTTCTCCCAAGAGAGTGCAACTCCTCTAGTGGCGGCTTTGCGCGATGAGACGCTGTCCCTCAAAGCATCAAGTGTCGAAGGTGCATTGTTCACGCGAACCTCGCAAGAGGAGGAGAATGCAGTGTCGAAGGCGCTGGCAAATACCTCGTCCTCTCGTGCTTCATAGAGGGCACCGAGGTGAGATTGCGTCCAAGATATGAAGTCGGGCTTAGACATGTATGGTGATTGTTGTGAATTCGAGCCCAACACTATGCTGTTGTGGTACAAAGCGCGATTGTGGAAAAGATTGACTGTAGCTGCTGTAAGAGTCGAGCGCGTGGAAATCTGGAGAATTTGACCTAAGATGATGATGGAGCAGGTACAAAATCTGATCATAACGGTTCTCACTGCTCAGATATCGATCACTCAGAGGTCAATTGGGGCCCATCTGCATCAGCGGCCGCATCATGCATCATATGCACGCATACGCCATGCCAATGAAGTACTATACTACTAGAAGTAGCTCCTTTCCAAAATGGCCCCTTCACAGTACGCACTGGATATATTGTTCTTCTTCTTTCCCCTTTTCCGATATTCTTCCCATGGCAGTCGGCAATACGATGAGTTGAAGCCGGATTTTCATTACAAGATCATCTCGACCTGAACATTGAAAAGGCGAGTCCCGAAACTCCGGATCCCACTGGCAACCTGAGCACGTGCCGCTTGTTCCTCGTGCTCGTGTGGACGTTCGATCAGAACTATCCTTTCTTCCTCGCACTCTCACCAGCAATTCGTTCGCACACTGAATGTACCCAAGACCTGTTTTCCCTCTTTTGGCGAGAAGATAAAAGGGAAGGCTCATCCTTCTTCACTATGTGGCAGGTTCGTGCTAGAAGGCTTCGTGGACAAAGTCTTCAAATGGAGGTATCTGGTCAATTGAGGGCTTATTGTAGTAGCAAACACTATCGGAGCTGAGCAAGGGTAATGGCGTTGTGATAGGTATGCTGGAAACCTGAGGATGGACTATTTGGTCAATGCCTAACTTGGAGGAGGATCGTGAGAGTAAAAAAAAAACACCTCGCGATGGCGGTCCGTCTGTTGTATCGAAAGTCAGTCTCCAGCGGGTAAACAGTATGTGCTTTGCGACATGTTTGAGTTCAGGCTTTGATGGAACTCGAATAACTAGGGTGAGCGTGTATACATGCGTCGGAATCGTTTATGTATTCTAATACTCTCTTTCAAGCACGGAGCTTGTGGTGAAGTCTTGTGGACTAGACTGATTAGTCCAGCGAGGCGTCGATTTTGCTTATCTCGATCGATGAATGCGAGGACGTAGTTTGTTTTCGGCTACGCGCGGTTGCGTCGAGTGAAGATCCTCAACGGGAAGGTCTTTCGATGCATCACCATCATCTTTGCCACAGGTGATCCTTTCGATGACTTGAAGCACACAACCGGAAGAAAACATAACCTTCAAAAAGCAACTGAACAAGGATGGCCTGACTCGCTGGTTTCGAGTTTCTTGAAGTACCACTTCAGTGACGTGTGCACATCGCAGTGGGAGCAGCTAATACGTTCATGACTAAACAGCCTATCTCATCGTATCGAACTGTATGCTGTCGAAACCAATTGAACTTTCTGTTGGTCGTTTTTCTTGTGTATTGATCACGAGGCATGCTGATTTCTGTGGTACCACGCCTCCGTTTGTGCATTGAATTCGAGATGCACTGGTACTGGCCAACTGTCGTAATTGGAACCAAATAAGCGTGTGTATGTTTCTGTGCACACTAGGGGCGCAAGCACTTACAACATATTCAGTATAGCTTTCCAAACATGTGTTGTCGGGTGGAAGAGGGGCACTGAGGTTGACGGAAAGGGGTAATTCCGAGGGCTTTTGGCCTCAGATTTGGCTCGAGTCTCCTGCCATGAAGCTCGTGGCCCAAAAGAAACAACCTATTGCGGTTCCAGAAGGCATGGAACTGAAATTTTCTGCTTCGTCCGTGGTACTGGCAGCAGAGTGTCAATATTCGCTCCCAGACCAAATGATATTCGGGTCATTTCATTTCCAGTATCCCGCAAATCTCCTTTCCTGGCTCGGTGGCGTCATTGGAACTTGACCTCCCTATGACGTAATTTCAATCTGGACGATGGCCAAAGGTTGAACTGCGCAGTCTGAAACTATGCTGATACTCAAACACACTTCATGACTACCATCATGAACTATAATCCAACCCAAATAATTGCTGTTTTTCTCTGCATATCATCCTCTGCGTATGCGCAGGCACCTGATTCGTTCACCTACTGGGACAGTGGACGCATTGCTGGAATTGCTATCGGTGAGATATTCTTGACCAGTGTTAGAAGCATTAACCGAACGATAGGGATAAATTTAATCTGTAGGCGTCTCGTTTTTCCTATTATTACTCTTAATATATGGTTTTATAGCTATGTGTCACCGGTCCCGTTCGACACCCGTCACTGTATCTGGGACGAACGCTCAATCAGGTCCACCTTACGCACCTCCAATATGGCAAGGGGCACAGGCGTATGCACCTCCGCCTGGTCCCCCACCTGGTCCCCCATCTAATACTGCAAGCATGAATCCATATGAACTTAACGAGTATCCTGGATCACAGCCCCCTCCCCCTCCATATGTGAAAGGAGGAGAAGGAGCCAGCATGCCGCAGGAAACAAATTACTCCTCGGTAAGTAGTAAAACATCTTCATGAAACAATGCTTCATGCTCATGTCGTTACCCATAGCCTCCGGGTCTCCCGACGGCTGCACATACGGTGAGCCAATAATGCTGAATGGAAGGGGTTATAAGCTGATCACGGTCATGAGCAGAGAGAAGATAATCGTTTCGTATGAGGTCTCGCTGCTCAGGAACGGTTCATGAATTGCGGAATGGTTCCGCGGCATCTATTCTTGCTTCATGCATTTCAGACACAATGATCACCCTACTAAGAATGGCATATTGTTTGAACCCTTGTGTATCATGTCTTCTGAGTGTATAATACTGACAGATATTTGCTCATCCTAACCTAATCACACCTTTAGTTCCAGTCATGCGGCCTTAGTTGGCATAGACGTTCACATAATTTATCCCACTTACTGATTCCGGATGAGCTTCGCGGGTGTCAGTGTGCAAAATACCACCCGGCGGTCATCGATCAGTCATCTCCCAGTAATTAGCCTCCGCCGCGGGTTCTCATCGAACAAGAGCAACATCATGACCACCTAGTGCCAGGGCGTTGGCTCCCATTTCCCTGAAACGCTGACCAATGCAAAGGCAAAGCAACACTAATCGGTGGCCGCGAGAGCCCGCACTAACGAGGCACGTGAATCGAAGCGGTCAGGCTCTTCTCATGCGGCCTTCTATCGGCCAATGAATCTCGTTTCAGCCAAGTGTCATGATGCAACCACAGGAACAACTTCATTCTCAAACTCTATTGTGTCAAGCTTTCGAAGGTCTTCATCGTTGCGTGCAACCTGTGCGAACTACGAGGTTGCCTACTCATGACAGAAGAAGCGTTCATGGGGTGAGGCTGGACAATAGATCGTAAAGACGTGCCCCCATCGTGGATTGATTTTCCACGTCTTGCTTCGCGGGAACGGGCCGGAAAAGTGGGGGTAGCCCTTTGCCAAGGAGTCTCCATGTTGGAGGTGTCTGGAACACGGTAGGGCAACGAATGGTTCCCAAGTTTCCAATCCCGATAGTATCAATCAGAACGTTCCCGTGTGCTTGATCGTGGCGTAGGTCCTTGACGTGGCGTCCATCATGGCGACACCTGAAACATTGTCAAGATAGGAGCAACTTTGCGACACGGTGATTGATCGGCCAGACTTCACATGTGATCGTAGAATTCCTAGTGGTCCGTATGACAAGAGAAGTTATTTCATGAGTTAAGGGATTGGTGGGAGATCAGGGTGGAGTCAGGAGCTTCGAGCACACGTTTAAGGATCTCCGCATAGGATGATCGTCCGAGTAGGCAATCGCCGAATGTGATGTCGTGAAACACTGCGCGTACCATGTGACCAGATCGATAGCCTCGATCTTGAGAGTGGATGGTCAACTCACATATACTGGGATTCCATGGGTTCGTCACGGCATGCCTTTCGGAGAGAGATATGACAGAAGACAGCACAACAAAAGACAGTACGACAAGAGGCAGGAAGCCTCAAGGAAGACAGGAGATCACCGAGATATCTCCGTGGTGAGAGATAAGAGGATTACGTTGTTTGCCGTTCGTATGGCGGGCAGCGCCTGTACGGAAGTCCGAGGGAGTAAGACAGCTCGGGTTTTTTTGTGTGTGTGAGCGAACAGGACAGTCACTGGCATGAGACACATGTTCAGTAAGAGATCGCAGAAACGACACAGAGGATGTCGAAGAAAGGAAATCGGAAGGTATCATTAGGGTTGTGGAGTGGGTAAGCAACGAACTTTGTCACCTTTGATTGGTCTTATGGCATGCCGCCGGGAAGTCGGAACGAAGACGGAGTAAATGAACGAAGCCACTGAGGATTGCTGAATAATTCATGTCGGACATAGGAAATAGCCTAGGACTCGTATGGGGAGAAAATCAAGGGTATGCGTGTTCAGCTTGTGACAACAGACTGCCGCAGTCCAACAGCGAGTTATTCAATGTGTCCTAATTAACGGTTATAGCAAACAAACTAATGCTCGCTGAGTTATCGTGACAAAAATAATTATCGCTAACCGTATGGAAATACTAGGTGCTCTGGGGTTGAGGAGAGTGATCGAGGACATGGATCCTGAAATATCTGAGTGGGGGGAAGGTCGCGTCACATTCGTCGACACGGTGCTTTTCGAGGATTTTTGAGAGAGTAAAATAGCCATATTAGAACATACGGAAGCAATTGGAGTCAGAAGGGCTATAGATGAAGCTGCGGACGGCGAGAAGGAGGCTCGCGGGAAGACCGGGAATGATGGAGACGCGAGGCAAATAAACAAGCGCATAGGATGTGGTACTTGGTAGGCGTGGAAGTATATTGCGCGGCGGCCTGTTAGGAATTGCGTGATTATCACACACTGCGGCATGGAACACACAGCTGGGCGCCGTTTGAACGCGCCAGTGTTTTGTAGCAGCATCAATTTGTTGATGCTCGAGTGTTGGTGGTATACTACATCGACAAGCTGCAGAGGGTCAAAATTAATGGACAGAAATACGCACATGAATATGAATGTTCCAAAGATAACAAGCTAGCTTGTTATTTTGGGCCATACCATAATTTTGGGTTGTTCAGCGATCATAAATTCGCTTTGCAGCAGTGACGTCGCTTCGCAGAGTAGCACTCAAATCCGATCAGGAACGACAGCCTGGCCGTGTTAGTATGAATGCCGGCTGAAATTCGGTTCACTGGCGAGCAGTAGTCAGGTGTTATCAAAATGTCTAGAATGAAATCGCGCCAGGTGAACGGACGTCCTTGGATCCGAACCTGGAGTCAGAAGACAGGCACGATGACGGAACAAGGGGTGTGAAGATAAGACTTAAAGATCGGTTGCAGTGTAGTGTTGAACACTTACTGCGGAGGGACATGAGATGATAACTAGTACTACTACGCGGACATGAAAAGGTGGGCATCCGAGGGACTCAAGTCTCGCTGGGTTGAATCGAGGTTACTAAGGCTGCGGGGGGCGAGTTAGTGTGAGAAAAAAGGATGAATGATAGATAATGATGATACACAGGAAACTTACCATTGGATGAATTTAACTGACAAGTCATCTTGTCTAGCGAACATTTCAACTAAAGATGTTTAACCTAATTTGGTATTTCTAGTGTGATCTTTCTATGAACCTTACTTCCTAATTAAGATAAAATGATAGAATCCGGTGAGATCCGGAACTGTGGCTTTAATCCCGGAGAATGATCTCTGAATCTGATGAGCGCCGTTTGCAGTTGCTTGGGTTTCGGCACCCGTTCGCGGAATTACTTGCCGCCAGTGAAAGATCCAAACTTCAAAGACAAGGCTCCCATCCTCTCGCCCACTGCCATCTCTCTTCTGTACTCCCATCATCTCTCCCTCCATCGTCTCTTCCTCCCTTTCGATAGTAAAATGGGCAGGAGAAAAATTGAGATTCAACCGATCACTGTAAGTTTCATTTTTATTATGTAGTCGCCTGCTGCTATTCTCGGTCGCGGTTGTGCCAGCGCGCCTTACTCCAATTTTACTTGACCTCCTCTTGATCCATCATTAACGTCCCTCTCTGTAATTCTTAAACATAGCACGAGCGTAATCGTTCAGTGACTTTTTTAAAGGTAAGCCTTTGGCTATTTTTGCCATTAATAGCTTGGCAGCTGATAACTTATAATTATCCTCACCTCCTTACAGCGTAAGAATGGTCTCTTCAAAAAGGCCTATGAACTTGGTGTCCTTTGCTCTGTAGATGTCGCCGTCATCATCTTTGGCGAGTTCTTTTTCATGTCTCATCTCTGTCCTTCCTAACATGAGCATCATGATCAGAGGAACGCGCGGGTCATCACTTGAAACTTTATCAATATTGTTCTGGTGACATCCATGATATCATTCAGCGTCATGTTCGTGTAAGTAATTTCTTTTTCTTGTCTGTTCTTTACCAACTTTTTCTTCTGTTCAGTACGATGGAGAGAAGGACACCCGAACTCCCCACGATTTCGCGAACAACGCCAATGCCAAACTTAATCATGACGCTGATATTGACGATGACGAGGCGACGAGGACGACGACCCAGATTCTGCTCCTCCACGTGGAGGCAAGAGGCGCCACGACCCCAAGTTGAAAACAGAATATGGTAGCAACGCGAAACTCCTGATTCCTTCAGGAGGCGACATGGGTCTAAACGTCGATGTAAGATCATCATTGATATCTTTTTCCTCGTTCACTCATTCTGAAACAGATGGCTGATTATCACCGTCCTATGACCATCCCTCCCCCTCCTATGCCCCTTCACCACTCGTCACAGCTTCCATCGGTTGGTGGGGGATCTGCACTTCCTATTTCCACAGAACGCCATTCGTCTTCCGGTCGGTTACTCCCTCCAAACGGTCATATTAGCTCTCAAAAGAAGCCCCGTCTAGCGCCCAACGTTCATGGAGGCAATGGCTCCAAGCTTTCGGGGGACGAGTCTATGTACAATGGTTATCTCCCCTCACCCACGTCGGCTCATTCTACTGTATATCGATCCAACGGTCCATCGTCTCACCAACTTCCGTATAACGGATATATGGGAGTGTCAAACAGTCCCCCGCAGTCCTTCCTGCCGTCGAATTTCGACTTCCCGTCCTCGTCGTCCCGAGGCTCTAATTTACCGCGTAATAATAGCTACAACAGCCAACGGTCATCGTATTCTCAACCTCAGGACCCCCAATTACAGGGAATGTATCACCAGCTGATGCGGCAGAATCACCCACATGGTCAGCATTCCCACTCAAGTGGTTTACATTCCCAGCAGTCTCCAGACTCTTTGTTATCCACATTTCTAGACAATGATGAACATCGGCAGCCGCAAAACACAGGTCCGCAATACGCGCCGCTTGATTGGCCCTCCCATGGGCCATCACAGCCGCCGCTGCCACCCCCGTCGCAACCACCACAGCAAGAATCAGGTATGATTTACATTTCTTTTTCGGTGGAAGATATTCTCAGACTGTAATAGGGCCTCCTGGAGACCCTAGTTGGCTAGATTTCCTGTCGCAGAATGCATCTCAATCAGGTGCTCAACAGCTCCATATGACACTGCCCCCCGCTAATGGGCGAGATGGTCTCTCATGGGAACGAGATCGTGATGCGGAGCATTACTCCGCTGAGCGCGGTGGTGACCTTCATCCAGATAAGTCTTCCAATGGGGGAGCGTTGATGTCACCGCGTTCATCACGCAAACGGCCGCGTGCTGCATCAAGTGCTGCGGATGAAAAACGCTCATCGCCCAGCGCGCGAGCTGTCTCAGGACAGGATAAGATGCATGACCCTGGCAGCAGCAGTGGGATAGACAAACAAGACAAGTGACCAGGGCTATGAATTTCGAACAGTTTCTGTATGACTATGTTTATCTTGGACTCTGATTTTCTTGCGCAGTGATGTTTAACGTACTTCATGACGTATGGGCTTGTCTGGACATGCCGGGATTAATGCCACCTTGTTATCGATGTTCCCATGGCACATGCACCCCCGATTCGTGGCAGGTTTGCATATGATCATATCATTATGATGACTAAATAGTAAGACTTTTTGGGACTGTTGGTGAATAATACCTAGATGATTTCAACATCACCGGACGCCTACGAAATGACGTGTCCAACGAAGTCTTACAAGGGTGACAGTGTTAACATTCCGAGTCGCGATGATATGATCGTGTGCGCATACATCGTTCCAGGGAAAATCCTTAGAAAATCGCAACCGCCGGTGATGGTTCACGAAATCACCGCAGCACTACGTAATAGTCTAGCATGCATATGATCAGTCAAATTTCCCCTAATCGCCTCAGCTGGCAAGAAGTCCAAGAAGAAGTTTGGCCCTGGTAAAGACCCCAAGGACATTGGCGGCTACCCAAGTCGGAAATTATTCTTTCTCGTCGGGGAAAAAAGAAAGCAGATGCTGACAAGCCGGCGGCCCGGGCCTCCCCTTCTACTCTTCCTCTCACGCTCTTGGTGCAGCACAGTTGCACCGACTCAAGACACCCAAACACAACCTCCCCACAACCACGCGCAGCCCTAGTGCCGCCATCGAAGTGACTTCCTGCTGCCGACCATGCACAATTGCCACCTCCTGCTACCCTGACACAGCACCGCACCCGACTGTGCTGCCATCAATACAACCTCCCGCTGTCCCCTACCCTAGGTCAATCTCCCATACGTCCACAGCCCACGCTCCAAGGGCAACGCCACTACCCTGGCAAGCCCTTTTATGAATCTGGTATTGCCCATAAACCTGGCACTGCCGCCATGACTTACCGCAGTCTCCTGCTGCTCACTTCGACCTCCTGCACCTTCTTGTCCTCCTCGGCGCCTCGCGTGACCGCCCTGCAATATCTTGTTCTTTCCCTGGTTGGCACCCTGATTCTGTGCTCTTCGCCTCGTTCCCTTCACGCTACCCATACCTATATGATCATTGCATATCATATGGTTAGACCATTCTTTTTAAGCATGATGTTTGTTGACTCGAGCTTTGAGTAGAATTGAGTGTTGAGCTCGCAAGTACGCCAATGACACTTGCGCGTTCTTTACCAAGATTAAAATTTACAATTAGGCAGACACGCTGATACATATATTTCGTGTATTAGCTATTTATATAAAGCAATAGACCGACATGCATTAATAGATGATACGAAAAAGCATATGGAATAGGGACGATGCACCGTGAGCGCGAGAGAATATTACGGGTGGCGAAGCATGTCACAAGAGGAATTCGGCAAAGGCGAGCCTGTTGGGCTTCGTTGAGATGATGGCATGATAGATGTCGGTGGAGGTTGCTGCTACCGGACGGAGGATGGGTGGCGAAATAAAAAAGTGCTGACCATGGGGTAGAGAAATAGTAATCGTATATGCTAGCAGACGATGCCACCAAGTATACCTGGAAACGAATGTGTCCTCCTGTAAATGCCGTAAGGGCGTTCGAACTTTTTGCGGGGGTAGTTGAGGGAACCGGCTGGCTCGGCAAGATGGCTATAGCTTGTAACAAGCTTGTTTACGGGGTCCAACCTTTACTACATAACATCAGCCGAATGGTAACATGGTTTCTGAAAGATAGAGCCGAGCTCTGTAATGAACATCACTCCTCAGGCCTCAGGTTCCCAGTCAAATTGGAGACCCGACCACAGCTGGATCATTTCATTTGTCCATCTAATTCGGTCCTTTGCTCGGCCATTGCTCGGGTCGCTGCTCAGGTTCGTCTTGTTTTCGGGATAATTTGACTAGTCCTTCATGTCACGGTTATGCTGAGTCTGGAAGAGTCTCTGATTAGATGTGGATCATACACAGCTTGGTAGTATCATGATGCAGCCGGTTCTTGCGTTGGGAGAGCATTGAACCTAGGTCTTCGTTGTTCAACACGTCACAACATTCTTCTAGGCTGAACGATTGCCTCCGGCGCCTCAACTCCGCAACTTTTATCCAAAGCAGATTTATCGAAAGATACGTAAGAGAAGGTATTATAAAATAATTTTGTCAACCTACGCGACCTCACACGACGGACTCTCAGTGGCACTGGTGATGGCGAAGGTTCGTTCTGTGTCTACCTGGTTTCTGGTGGCCTTAGTGTCGTTTTGTGCGGCACTCAATACTGAGCTTGTCATCTCAAACTGCCAAGATCGCCCCCGACGGATATTTAATCAAGTATGCTATTAACATGTGATTGGTTGATATCTCATATACTTAACAAACATTTCCAGCGCTATCCTAGTCAATGGTCAAACCCCTGGACCAGTCCTCTCTGCACAGAAGGTAGTGATCTATTCATGTGGTTCGTACCAGGAGGATTGACTTCATTTAGGGCGAACGGTTTCAAATAAATGTCACGGATTTGTTGGTGGACGAGTCGATGAATAAGAGCACGAGCGTGGTTAGTATCTTCTTGTATTCTGGGACGGCGCTGACTTAGCTCCAGCATTGGCATGGAATCAAGCAGCATGGATCGGCTGACGTGGATGGAACAGCCATGGTGACTCAGTGCCCCATCGCGTCTGAGCATTCGTTCACGTATGACTTCACGCCAGCAAATCAGAGCGGGTCATTTTGGTGAGAAATATCGTTTTACTTTGCATGTATTTATTTACTGGTGTATTAGGTATCATTCACATTTCCAGCTCCAGTACTGTTGGTAATTTTATTCTTCACTGAAGTCAAAAAGATCTCACCGTTGATGCAGGCGAAGGTTTGAGAGGAGCCTTGGTCATCTATGACCCGTTGGATCCCTATCGGAGCTTGTATGACGTTGATAACGGTCGGTCTAAACCTTGATTACGTGTGTAGTTGAATGTGCTAATAACAATATAGACTCGACCATCATTACTCTCATGGACTGGTAGGATCATCAGCACTTTTACTACGTTGACTGAACCATTTGGTGAAAGGTACCATGTGAACGATTACGATGTCGGCTTTACCGATACTCCCGCTTCAATTCTCATTAATGGCGCGGGCCGTTATGAAGGTGGACCACCGGTACCTCTTTCTGTCGTGACTGTCGTGGCGGGAGGACGCTACCGTATTCGGTTAATGAATATGGCATGCAAATCAAACTTCGTGTTTACGATTGACAACCACATTTTTACAGTCATTGAGGCGGACAGTGACTACACAACGCCTCTGGAAGTTGACTCAATCCAGATTTTGGCTGGGCAACGATACTCTTTCATCCTGGTTGCAAACCAGCCGATCGACAACTACTGGATTCATGCGATGCCCAATTATGATACGACCTTTGCAGGAGGTCTCAACTCTGCGATACTTAGATATGCTGGAGCTCCAACACTGGATCCCGTCTACAGAAATTGGAATACGACCAATCCTTTGTTGGAACAGAACTTGCACGCGCTGGTGGACCCAGCAGCCCCTGGTGCCGCGGATACTGGTGCCGCGGACGTGACAATAAACCTAGAAAGCGTATGGGATGACAACCTTAGATTTCTCATTAATGGCTACACCTATACCCCGCCCTCCACTCCGGTCCTACTGCAAATTTTAAACGGCGATTTGAATGCCTCTGAGCTGAGTCCCAATGGATCGGTTTACACCTTGCCTGCCAACAAAACCATTGAACTGTCTATACCCGGCGGACAGCCTGAGGGACCGGTAAGCAATGCTGATACCTCTTTACATTACGTCTCTCATGTACCATCATCCTAGCATCCTTTCCACTTACACGGAGTGGGTATCGTTTGTTATATCCTGTTGTCACTCTGATTCATATTTCGTACAGCACGCCTTCTCTGTTGTAAGAAGCGCTGGAAGTGACGTCTACAACTATAATAATCCTGTCCGACGGGATACGACGAGCAATGGTGTATCAGGCGACAATGTGACGATTCGCTTTAGAACCGATAATCCAGGGCCATGGCTCTTTCACTGGTATGATCCCGATCCTGTTGTACCTGGTCAATTCAAATGACCGCTTTTAGTCACATCGACTTCCACTTGGCAGAGTAGGTGTTGTCTTGCCACTAGATGACCCATCTGATTCAACTTCTTTAGGGGTATGGCTGTGGTCTTCGCAGAGGATACCAAAGATATTGCATCAGACGTAAACGTAACAAGTAAGGTTCAGAACTGATATCTTGTATCCTGCCTCATTTATGGCTTCTGTAGGCACATGGAAGCAGTTATGCTCGACCTACGACGCCTTGTCTCCAACGGAACAAATCGTGGAGCGGCATCGCCGACATCATAAGAAGCATCAGATAGGTCATTGATTTTCTGTGCAGCCTTAGAATGCCATACTTTATTAGAATTACGCTGGTGTGAATTAGCTTGTCTTTTATAATTTGTGATACCCGCAGCACTTCAAATTGATAATGTCCCTGCCGTGGAATATGTCCGAGGATATTGGCTGCTTACATGTTTCACTGCTTCGTTCCCAAACTCTTCTAGTTCCTGGTGGGTGTCGATTACCTCTAGGCCCTGCATTCAGCACATGGACCTCCAAATTTCCATGGACCTTTCTGTCCATCACTCGGCCGCAGTCTCTACACAACCGCGTCTGGTTATTATTCTACCTCCTGTTCTTTTGCCCGAGGCAAAAATGGTACGCCGAACATCAGGACAATTGATCTAGTTACCTCCTACCTATGGGCATACGGTAAGTCTTCCAACTTGATCGAGTCCATGATCGTACTATATGGCAAGGTTACAATATCTTCCTTGGACCCTTTCGGACTGGCATTTCGGTCAGTCAACAAAAACATCTAAGGTACGTAGAACACTATCAGGGGATGCATTGCGCCGTGCTCATCATCTCCCCCTGATCAGCTTGATAGTTGGGCTATGTCGAACACGATCACTGCGCCCTCTGGTACGCCTTCAAAGTTTTGATGTTGCTATTTGCCTATTTCCTAACCTCGCCGTTGGTAGTACTTGTCTTCTACGCTCCATAGCAGCACTCTTCCACAAGTCGCTGAGACAAATCAGCTTGCCAACAACTATGCAGGGTATACACTCCATACAAGTTATCACTGGGTGGTGACGGCTTGAGATCTGGGACCTACTGGCTCTATGTCCGCTTTGCCACAAAACAAGGCTACTCACTTCGATGTTGCCCAGAGTGTGTACTGTGAGTCCTTTCAAACGCTCGTGATCGATTGTCCTTGATTACTGTAGTGACTTTTTTCACTTCTTAAACACTAAAAGATGGAAGTGAACATGAATACTTCGTATTCGACGACAGGGGGTGACGGCATCATCGCGGGCTCGGGCTTTGTCGTCATTGCCGTCTGCCAGTCCCGACACTGCGTGCCTGAGATTGAAAGGCTCAAAATTCTGTCAACACGCTGACTCATGTGTTGATGCCCAGGTATGTACCAAATGCGCATGCAGTGGAGGTGCTGCGCAAGGGTGTCCAATGCTGGCTCTCGCTTGTCCAGTACGCCGGCTGGCATCAGACTGAGTGATTGCTGCCGGAGATAATATGATTACTCATCGCGTCATCTGTGTTACATGCCAGGGTATCAACAGGGCTATAATATGGATTCACAAGCGACTCGGAAGGATGAAAGTTCGGTATGCGTGGATGGCTCCAAGGACCAAGAGCTATATGTGGTGGAACTTCTGCTGCGCGAACTGTTAACGAAGAAAAATCGGAATTCTGGACGTGGCAGATCTCAATATTTGTCAGGTAGGCCCATACCCACCCGTATGATACAGGATTGAGAAAATAGAAGCCCTTGATATCGAATTACGGCCCTATTGATACCTTGAAACCGTACAAGGTTTAGCCTAAGCGGATGGCAGATACGAAATGCATTGTGCTATTGTTAACGATGGTCCTGACAATATGTACTTGTCATAACTTAATTCCTGAAGTAAATCTGTTATCCGGCGCCGTATTGAAAATGGATGGGAAACATTGATACATGGTCGTGTGATCGTCGAGTCATTGGCGAGTACGTATACGTATTACGTAGTGCTTCGACCTTCCAGCACAACCTCCAGAATTTTATGCGATGTACTGAGTACTTACCTGCTGACACCAATTGTGAATACTCGTATGCAGTTATCATTCATTTCGAATACTAGTAATCGGGACTGCAAAATAGTAAAATGTCATATAAATACACCCTAAGTCATTAAGGTAGGAAAATGAGAGACGTATAGGTACAGGTAAGTGTTTCGAAGGCTACTGCTATATACTGATGATGCTTTGTGTGTTAAAAAATAGTTGTCGCCAAGCAGGCCGAGCTTGGCTAGAAAGATGGGAAAGCGACGATACTCAAATTAACAACGAAGTCAATACAGAGGCTGGGGAACAATAAATGAATAGAAAAAGAATTCATCCACGCACATGCTTCACTGTGTTCTGTACCCAACACCATCGAAATAACCAGAATCCCGCATGAAGGAGGTCCAACGTTCATCAAGCCTTGAATCCTGTGATACCAGGCCAAGTCCGGCGATCTCTGTAGGCACCGGCTGGCTCTGATGGCCATGGTATGGGGCCACAGAGGGCGAGCTGTACTGATAAGCGTGCGACTGGAAGTGAGGAGCTGTGAGCAAAGGCTGACTATATTGCTGCGAAGTTTCGCTCGCTGGGGCCCAGTAGGTGGATGAGCCTACAGCAGGCAGCGGAGCGTGATGCGCAAGCTGCACAGTTGAATGAGATACATGATGCAGGGGAGTATATGGATAATCAGAACTCTGGGGCTGTCGCCATGACTGGCTGGAAATGTTAGTGCTTGCACTGGGTGCGGTGGAACTTGAATGATGCATATCGAAACGACCACCACGGTCCGAGGCCGAATGAACCCACTCAGCTGCAGGCTCCGGGCGATATATTTGCGCGGTTGGTTGCTCGGTAGAACCAGCCACTGGATATGTGTTGCTGTTTGAAGAGGCTTCCGGGTAGTCTGCAGGGAGACCTGTAGGTCGTTTCACCGAAAGGAATCTAGTTCTTCCAGCAAAAATATCGAGTTCATCATCATCTTGCTCCACCTTTACGCTCCATTGCTGACCGAGCTGTTGTGGTGGCCGTTCATTTTGAGCGGCAGCGAGGGCTACATGCGCCTTCTCCCTCAGTTTGGAGATGATCGGCTGCGGTATTGACTCCATTACATAGTGTACCAAGCGTGGAAGGAACGAATACTGACCAGAGCCTTAGCGGCGCGTCTGCTATGTGTAGCTGCTCTTGAAAAAAGAAGGCACGCATCGTCCAGTTCCTTCATAGCATTAGACGCCAGTGGAGATTGTGGCCCTCGAGTGACAATTGTCCCAAAGACGATCTGTCTGGCTATCAGCTGCAATCGACGCCGAGACCCAAGATGCTTACGGCTGCAGAAAATGCGAAAGTCCAGACAGTCCAAAAGCGAGCACAGAGATTAGGACATTCTTGGAATGCTTGTTGGATGGTTCGCAGTATCGTTTGAGACGCCCGATAAGCAGCCAGGAATGATGGGGCATATGCACTCTTTAACGGATTCACAGGGTTCTCAATGATAGCCTGCGCGAAGAAACTGCGATGAATGTAGAGTAGCACTGAGCAACAGATTAGCCACGATGGCCACACGGTACGAAGGCAATTTAAACTTGCAGGTTTCCTTAGAGTGAGATATTACGAGACGGCCCATTGATTTTGCAAGACTCAGTGGTTCCTCAGTAATTGGGGGCGGCGAGGTACCAGATGCCAAAGCGGCAACATCTGGGAACGGATACTCGCGAACTTTGCGATCGATTTCCATGATTACAGCATAAGTCGGCGCTTCAGCCATCAATGTACGCGTGGCGACTTCTGCGACGCAGTCGGCCGCATACCTGACATACCATGCTGCGACTATATGGAAAGATCTAGTGGGTAAAGACATGAGAACGTATGTGCAGACTCACATTCTGCGTGACGACCAGATTCCCCGTCGTTTTCGGCGGAAGCTGGAGGCTCAGGGAAATGACAATCCGTGTAAGCCAAGGAAAAAGTCGGCGGGCGACCAGTGTGTAAGCTCTACATTGAGAATGTCGATAAAACCATCACAAGGAATCATACGGAAGAGAAGGCTGTGCTTACACTCCAGGCATCAGCAACAAAGAGATCCCAAAAGAGAAGGCGCCGCCTGTGCACAACTTTGGCAGGAAGACCCCACTTGGCACTATCCCGATCTACAGCGCGGAACCCGAGTAAGATTAAATTGTTCCTTGATAGACATGAACAAACATACGAAGACCGATCTAGGCGACCTTTCATCAGGTGAGAATCACACGAATGGAAAGACTACGCACGGATTGGGAGAGATGCGCGGCAAGGATATTCAACGACCATGTCGTCTCCATGCTGGTGTCTTTGGCAGCAAGTTCGTTGCCGCTCATAGCGTTGTAAGCACTCAACAGATGAAGTGCCTGAACAGTAACCAAGGTGGGTTTCTCCATGACCGGCTGCAAGCAGATGCTAGCGCAGGCAAGTTGATGGTAGTGCTCAGCCTCAGGGTTGGAGGCATCCTGCGTAAGGTCCACGAGAGCTCCGATAGCAAAGATGAGTAAAAGAAGACCAAGTTCATGAGCTCCTTTGGGTTCATCCGGCGGCGTCGCAGTGCTATTTGAGTAATATATTGGGAGTAACTCTTCCATCACTTGTTCTTGAGGCACGCTGCGGAATAGCCAGCTAGCTTGCTCGAAATAAGTCTGCGTGAGGAAGTTGGCCCGTTCCAAGGGTGGTAGATGACTTTCTATCAGATCCTGAGTAGCTGTTGTTGGGCCCATGGGGGTGAAAGGGAAGGCCTGCGAAAACATCCTAAATTCTTGCGGTAATCCAGGGCTCATTGAATCCCTTCCAGATTCAGGACTAGAGGCATCTGCATATTCATCTGAGGCGGCTTTATCCGACTAATGGGACGGTTGCATAAACCCTAGCCATACAAAAAGTAAAATGCGCACCGTCAACAAGCACTATCAGGTGGAATGAATACATGTATTTCACTGAGTGAGAAGGATAGAACACTCACTTCATGCCCGCCCGTGGGGCCGAAAAAGCGTGATATGCCGTGATCATTGATGGAAAGTGTTCCAAATGCATCTAGAATCTCTGGAGGATTCGACGGCCCCGCAACATTATCTCCAAGCTGGGCAATGGAGCTAATTTCGTCTTTTTGATCCGCACCACAAAGGTCATCGCGAAGGAGGGGATGGGGTTCTGCCGAATGTCGTGACTGGAGGAGTCCAAGAGCGTCTTCTAATTGGCGGATACGTCCACTCCTATTGGCTATCTGACGATGAAGATGCTCAGTGGCAGCCAGAACAAACCTTGTTGCGAGAATTAAGACAATCAAAGCTAGCAAGAGTTGCACTGTGCATACCGAGTCCCCTGTCCAGTAGCCAAGCTGCCTGTAAATGAGATGAGCAAATGGTCAATATAAATAGCATGTCATAGAAAATAGCTTACCATTAGGACACAATGCAGCACAACCTCGTCTCTAAATAGGCGCATGAAAGCTGTCTAGTTTCAACGTTGACGCTGTGTGACGTGGAGTACTTGCCTGACATGACTGGCAGGGAATCTGCTTGTCACACTTTATCTTGAGCCTTTAGACACATCATGTCAGATCGTCCAAAAAATCTTCTATAAGAATGATGCGAAGGTCACACCTCCTACACTCGGCGCATGAGATCTGCCCATTATTCCTTTTCTGTTCGATTTCGCGGGCATGGCTGCCGTCGAAACGGAGCTCTTCTCCCTCTCTGCGGCTCGACTTGTGCTTCAACTTGCCTTTCGTTGTGTCCGACGGCATGGATAATGCTGGGAGAAAATTGACATATGAAAGTTACTTTTATGCCAATCAAATACAGCACCAAATAAAGAAAGGCTAAACCATGTATTACCAGCCTATAAGCCTATAACGTCATTTTTATGCACAAGAACAGGCTAAGTAGCAGAGATTTCTAATGCAACAATGCTGCTAGAGAGGGCTTGATGCATTACTTACTATCCTAATAGGGAATGTGATGCGTTCTGATGCATTACATTGTGTCACCATTTTGGGCTACATCCACTGGCATCGAGATTCATTGTGGCCTGTGCCTTGCTTCTTGATGTCCTATCACAATTCTCTGGTTTTTCCCGCAACCCGTTGCTTCCTTACTTCAACCCAAACATACCCACATTGGGTATCCCACTATTTCATACCTCTCTGCCCCTTCTGCTTCACCACAGCATTCCCTTTGCTATCCTCCTGCATGTAAGTAGTAGGGTAATTTGTATACTGTAATGTAAATTCACAGCTTTTTGTCATCTCTGTGGCTTGCTTGAGCTTCAAAAGTGTTCTACAGCAGTAGATAAGTTACATGCACAAAAAAACATAAATCAGTTCGCATTTTTTTGTTATTTGAATATAGCCTTGTAAATATGCTTCCAACAACACAAATTTATATATTTGAAGCTTTGAAGTTCATATACATTAGCTTACCTTTCACTAGATAAGAATTGTTAGAAGTTATGCATACATAGCCTTGGACTTTTAGGTAAGTACTATCACTGAATACCACTACTGAGTACAGTTGAATAAAGTGAAAATTTTCAAGTCTTGTATACATCATAATATATCTACTGACTATCCATGGTATAATTTGCATGACTTTGAAAATTCACCAATGTGAGCAATACTTAATGCACCTAAGTGGCACCATCAAACACTATTATTAGTAATTATGTCAGGTACCTGTCCTCATCACTAAGTAGTAAGCCCTAGTAACATTCCACTACACCACTGAATAAACCAGCAGTTCAGCAGTCCCTTGGACACTCTTATTGACACTACCAAATATAGCAGCTGTTAAGAACCATGCTCAAAGGAGAGAGAGACTGACTCAGAGGGGCTTGGCCTCAGCTCGTATGCTGTGCCCCTTACCTGAGTATGTGCCCTTCATTTCAGAGGAAGTCTGATAATGGTCTGACAAAGTCCAGAGGACTTCTGGAGGCTGGCTACTCTGGTGGAGAGTGCAGGAGGACTTCCGGAGGAGTGCGGGAAACGTCCGGAGGAGCGTGGGAGAGTTCTGGAGGAATGCAGGAAATGCTCAGGAGAGTTCCTGCTGCAAGGTAATACTTCTACAGGAAAACAGGATGGAAGGATAGGAGGTCTGGAGGACAGGAGGACAGGATATCTGGAGGTCTGGAGTATGGAGGACAGGAGGACAGGAGGACAGGAGGTCCGGAGGTACATGGGACAGGACATGGAGGTATGGAGGACGGAACGTCCAAAGGACAGGATGCCCAGAGGTATGAGGGTCAGGATGCCCAGAGGTACAGAAGACAGGAGGTCCAGAGGTCTGGAAGGAATAGGGGCTACATCGGACTTTGTCCGATGTAGAAGCAAACAGAGGTAGACTACCCTAAGGTAGAGTCGGAGGGACAGGAAGTGGACCTAAGTCTGGAAAGAGGGTAAGTGCTAGAAAGGCAAGACTCCAGCCTAGGGAAGCAATCCCTAGACTTGGGACAGAGACATAGGGGACAAATCTGAAGGTCCAGAATTCTGGCCTAGGGAATCCATCCCTAGGCCTTATGGAAAAGGACAAACTCAGATGGACTGAAGTCCAGAAGAAGATTGGGCAAGTCTAAGGTGATATTCAGACTGAGGACTCTACTGCAGTTGTACAGGGGTTATATACTAAAGGCTATCTGAGAGGATCAGTAAGCAAAGGAGTAAGGCTATGTACAAGCATGCAGAAACACATTGGTAAGTAAGACAGAACATAAGTAAATGAACTTGGAGATGAAACTAGTACAAGGATCAATCAGCAAGATGGAAACAGAGATAACCGAGAACTGGAAAGGCAGAGATGCCTAAATGGGGATAGGCGCAGGATCTCAGACGGAGGGTGGGAATAGGTCTGGAGATAGTACAGTTAATATCCGGAGATCTGGGGATCTGGAAGGCAGGGCGGAAACAAGACTGAGATATGTGAGGTGGTGGATGTAGTCCGGAATCTGAGAGGAGGTAAAGTCTGGATGTCTTGCTGGACGGAATGTGCATAGGGTGGACAGGATAGGGGATCCAGGAAGGAGTTGGATATGGGATCCAGAAATAGGTCCGGAAAGCGTGGGAATATGATGGGATCTATGTCTGGCATATGGGATATGACAAGCAATGTGAAAGGCATGTGCTTCCAGCCTCCTCAGGGTAAACTTAGATCCCAGGGGCAATGCTTCACCACATAATGCCAAACACTGAGTCAACCATTGTAACAGTTGCCTAACTTGGTGTGCTTATTGTTGTTCACAGTGAGCTTGCTATTCCCTTCATTCTTGCCCCAATTTCTCACATTTTTTTTGTTCTTCAATCCACTATCATGCATGTAGTTCCTGAGGAGTGTATGGCTTGTTATAGCTGATGTTAGCCTCTTAGTTCCTTCTTCCTGCTTCATTGTTGACTGCAAGTTCAGCCACTGTGTCTCAATGCAAACATTTAGTGCTGGTACAGTCCAGTCTGGAACTGCATTTTGAACTGGACTTTTGGTCTGGTTCTCTGCAGTAAAGGTACAACAACTCTCTGCTGGGGTGCAGAGAAAAAGAAAGAAAGCTCTACACTCTCTGAAAAAGATAGATGCAGACCTTCAGAATGTCTGTCAAGGTGTGATGCAAATCATTCAACCCAAGGAAAAATAAATGGTGGCAGGAGGGTGATCCAAGGCATACTAATGAGCCTCTATGAGGGTGTGTGAAGCATAGGAAAATGTGCTCAAAGTGTGCAAAGTGTTACAAGAACATCTGCTTGTATGGCCCCTATTCATTTTTCTCTTACTTCTTGTGCTCCAATGGGACTTCTATTCTTGGGTGATTGCCAATCACCTTTTCTGGCTTGTTCTCCTCTTTCTGTATCTGTTTTACTTGCCAAGTTGCATAGCCCTTATCAATTGCTATGACAGTTGTACTAACCTTTCAGTTTGTCTATGACTCACCTACCCCTGCCTGACTAGTACCTTTCTTATCTCTGACTCACTTCCCTTTTGCCCTCACCATCCAACTGGTGTTATCTTTCATCTTTACTTACTTTGGTAATTTGACTTGTCTCTGACTTGTTTCCCCTCTACCCTTACCACTAATATGGCAGACCTGCCCTTATCCCCTCCATACAGTATATATACCTGTCAGGTAGTACTTGTATCTCTCTAACTTGAATCCACTTAATTCTATCTGGTTACTTGGTTGCCTTGTAACTATCCCTCTTAAGAAGACTAGTGATCTTCTACTTCTCTCTCAAGTACCTCATTGGAGCTTGTTAAGAAGCATGCTCAAGGGGGGAGGAACTGATTCAGAGTGTTATGATAACATCCACTTGTTTAGCCCCTATTCATTTTTCCTACCTTTTGTGCCTCACTGGACCTTCCACCTTCAGGCAATTGCCCTTATTTCCTTTTCCGACTTGTTCCCTTCATTTCTCTTTGATTCCACCAATCACTCTTATTGGTTGTACCACCTTGTTGGCTTGTCCAATGACTCACTGACCCTATGCCCTTACCGCTGTAGAGACCTGCACCTCTATATGGCTGTTATAGGACAATACACCACCCCCTCCTACTCATACTCCAGCTCTGATCCTCAGGATAAGTCACTCACGCTATCATGTGCTAATGTGCAATTGTTGCATCCACACAAATGCACTTGCATGTCCCACATGCCCACTCCAGGTCCTCTGCCATAGTCCATCCACCCATCCATGTCCTTGCTAAAGTTCACTGGTGCATTTTTTATTATGTTCTTATTGCTCTGACATATCTTCCAGGCTGACTATGGTACTGTAAGTGCATATGTGTGTGCTTAGGCACCATTACATACAGATATTGCTACCTACTTGCTTTGCTTCTGCGCTACAAGCATTGCCTAGCACTCAATATAGAGAAGGAACTTATAGTTTTTTAGAGTACCTTATCCTAGTACTCCCCACCTCTGTGTGTTATGATAACATCTGCTTGTTAGCCCCTATTCATTTTCCTCCCTCACATCCCCATTGGACTCCTTTCTTTTTGGACAATCCCCCCTTTTCTCTTTCTTGATTGTTCCATATGTTTCTTTTGATTATTCCACTGACCATCCTGTTGGTTGTACCACTTTATTGGTTCGTCCAATGACTCACCGACCCTATGCCCTTACTGCCCAACTAGTACCCTTTACTTACTATGGTATTATGACTCATCATGACTCACCATCACATACTGCAGTTACTTTACCCTTGATTAATACATACAGCCAAGGTTGAAAGATCCCTGTTCCACACAGGCCAGTGCATGTGGGCCCATGAATGTATTGTTCTGTTAAATACAGGTAGGCTGATGCAAAGTGTTTATCTGATACAATCAGTGGGCCCATGGTATATGGTGTAGTAGATAAGTGTAGACATTTCTATTGACTTTGGTAGATAGTGTATGGTAGGTAGTGTATGAAATATGTGCCTGATATGAACAGATGGGCCTATCACAAGTGTGTCTCTGATACCAACAGGTGGGCTGGTCAAAGTGTGTTTGTGATACTAACAGTGGGCCCATACTAGTAGTGTAGTAGATAATAGGTAGTGTATGATGTATGTACCTGATACAAACAGGTGGGCCAAGTGGCTGGTGGATCTGATATATACAGATGGGCTGAGATGGTCAGTCAATGGGCTGGTGGTCATGCAACTGCTTCCATAATATACATTCCAGGATCACCTCAGTCAAAAGATGATTGGTAAAACAACATCAGGCCAAATATGATGGATGGTTTAAATACCATCAGTCAAACAACATCAGACTGAGTCCTGGAATATCAGTCTGTATGTTGCCAGTCATACATGGAGCACTGGCTAATGAGAAATTGGCCATACCAACTTCAAATGATTGCCAAGATAAGTTGGGTGTCAGACTTCATACTGCAGGTCATATATTGAATGCTAGCCAACTGGTCACATGGAGTACAAATCAGTTCTGCCAACTAAAGAAAGTTAGTCAGATATGAACACTGATAAATTGTGCTGACTGGTAGGAGAGGTCACAAAGTGGTCAATTCAGAAAGATGAGATGAATTGAAGTATATTATACTGCACCAACTGCAAAATCTGACCAAGAATAATTGTGCTGACAGACTGTTGGTACTGTTGGTGCTTATATCACATGAGAAATCTCAACCAAACTGATTCAATTTAAGAGTGATATACAGGTGTAATATGCTGATCAAAGCACAATCTATAGTACAGCTATGTAGTCCACTGAATGAGTGATTTAAAATGTATGTAGAACTAATCTATTCAGACAGAGCATGTAGCAGAAGTGGGCGACAACATATCAAAATGGGGTCCAACTCCAGCAGGAGTGGATGAAGGACCAGCAAGTGCTGAGATTGAGGTAGCTTGGCCAGATGTAAATGTGTTGCCCTGCATGTCAGGACAACCAAAAGGGTGAGATGCTGAGGTACTGACTGAAGGACCATAAATACCATTGAGATACTGCATGCCCATTGCTTGGACCTGTGTGGTGGCCATGGTAGCACCAAGGTTACTGATCAGTGGTGCAGGAAACAATGGATTGGTGGCAGCATGTGCCTGCTGAAGCTTCTTGACCATATTGACAAGGCCATCAATGGATAACACAGTGATAGCCAGCTGGTGCTGCACCCCAGAAACCTCCACATGCATTGAGGAAATGTACATCTCAAAGTCCTTCTCCATTGCATCCACCCTGGCAAGAACAATCTCATTGCCCAGGTCCATGGCATTGACCTGAGCAGCAAGGGTAACTACACATTCATGCACAGTGAAGATGGTTGGGGCACAGATGCTGAAGGAAGGGAAATGTGATTGGTGACAGGAGTTGGGGAGGGAATGCACAAGGGCATGTTGTCTGAGGTAGGCTCTATCCAATGGTCAGGAGGGAAGTCATCTTCTGAAGCCACTGGGGGCTTTGGTGTCAATGTCAGTGTGCTACTTGGCATCAACATCAGCCTTAATGTCACTGGTGACATCGACCTTAATACCACTGGCTTCAACACTGGTAACATCAGCCTTAATGTCACTGGCTTCATTGCTGGTGACAGACACATCTAGAAACAAGGTCAAAGGATGTTCTGATAAAAAAAATCACTTACTGAGAGCTTCCTCTTCAGACTCCAAGATTGGAGCTGCAGGACAAGCACAAGAAGTCACTCTGGTTTTCCTTGAGGGTGCCTTGGACCTTGCATGTTTTGTGGGGGGCTGCTGAGCCTTTGCAGGTACATTGACATTGACTGACACTGGTTGGTCACACTGCACCTTCATGCAGTGGCACTTGGAGCAGGCTTTGATCAGCAGCCCCTTCCTGCCAACAATGACAAGGCATGGCTCATCAACACATCTCTTGCACAGTGGGTCATACTATTGAGAAACTAGCAGTCAGTCAGTCAGCATGTGAGAGAAGAGAAGGAACTTACTGCATTGGCCTCTGCATTGGCCTTTGCAAGTAGGTGCCCTCTAACTGGCTTGGTAACTTCAGCAGCCTTCTCCTCACCTTTGCCCACATATTGCAGTGACCTATCTCCATATTATACAAGTGAATGGACATGCATAATATCCTGTATAATATGGGCCAGCAGACCATGGGCTGAAGGTAAAAAATATCCCTGACTATGATGGATGGGTCGGGAGGGATATTATTTCTGATGGGGACGGGTGGGCCCATTGATGCTGATGTTATAAATATCCTCAACAATGGTGGATGGGTCGGGAGAAATATTATTACCAATGGAGATGGGTGGGCCCATCTGGGCAATATGTAGACTAGGATAGACATATATGATAGACAGCTGGGCTGAAGAGAGATGTATGGCAGATATTATTATATAGATGGGTGGGCTGATGGGGCGGTGAAATATTTATTATATATATGGGTGGGCTGAGGTGGGGGTATATTAGATAGATGGGTGGGCCAATGGGGCGGTAAAATATGTATTATATAGATGGGTGGGCCAATGTAAGGGTATATTACATAGATGGGTGGGCCAATGTAGGGTATATGACATAGATGGGTGGGCTGACATAGGGGGATGTCATATAGACAGGTGGGCCCAGATACATATCATTTAAATGTATGGGCCGAGGTATCAGTATACTATATGGACATATGAGCAATGCTGTTGCACTAGCTTTGATCTGAGTCATCAATGACATTCAGACTCAGATCCTGTCAATGTTGATCAAAGTCAACACAGCCAAGTGCCCCATTGACTTGGAATCCAGCGATACCTCAGAAGACGGTCCATAGATGTAAGGGCCAAGGTATGTGTACAGCCAAGTGCCCTGTCGACTTGGAATCCAGCGATACCTTGGAAGATGGTCCATAGATGTAAGGGCCAAGGTATTTGTATACTATATGGACGTATGGACATATAGGCTGAGGTAGTGATATATATTATATTGACAGGTGGGGTGAGGTAGTTGTTATCACACATAAACATAAACCTGACACCCGAAACTCAAAACTCAAACATCAACACAAATTTCAAAACTCAAATCACAGAGTACTGAGTCCTGAAGCCCAAACATCAAACCCTGAACATTGAAACCCAAAACCCAAAACTCAAAAGTTGTAAAAATGTATGAGTTTCATAGGTAGTTGTATATCATCCAAATCAAAGGAGGTAATAATTCAAAGTCATCTAATGATGAAGGTCACAAGTGCCAGAAAATCGAGCACCCAGTATAGACACAAACATGCAGCACCAACTACCAAGTAGCTAATACACATGGCATGCATTGCCCTACAAGAAGCCAAGTTCCGACTACCAAACATTGAGTGAAGGGTACTGAGATTTGAGGCCCAGGTCTTGACAAACAAATATCTGATATCCAGCACACTTCCAATCATCTGGTATTTCATTGAGCAATGGACAATAACACATCTTTGGAAAATAACATCATGCAAGGCTCCCTTATCTGATCCTCACTATCTCCACCCCCTTTAACTCCAAAGTGTGGACATGCAGGGTTTGGCATCCAATTTCCCAAGATCAATTCCATCATGACTGTGTCTTCCACTTCTGATATTGAAATAACCCTCTGGCACACTTGGGCCCTGACTGTCACTCACGAGGCATGTGAATATACTGAACAGAAATTCAATGCAGAGAAGACAGGAGGAGACCCAGTTATACCTTCTCTGAACCTAGACACTGATCTGGTGATGGCTTGCAATCAATTGGTTGATTGCCTGATAAAGGCATATAAAAATCCCAGTGGGTCTTCCTGCAGATTCAGAAAATTGGTTTTATCAGTCAAATTGCTTCATCACAGTTCAGATGCAGATTGATGTTGCAAGATATAGCAAATTGATCTCCCTGAAGGACACCAGGCATAATGAAGAGAGAGAGGAGAAGTTGCTTGAGAGGTGTCCTCCTGGCCATGAGGGCACAAAGTTGGTCGAGATACCTGCCACAATTCTTGATGCATCCGGTGCCATCATTGCATGGTACATCATGGACACCCTGACTGATGCCACCCAGGTGTGTAATATATATTGTTACTCAATGGATATTGAACACCAAATGTTGCCTACAGAAGGAAATTTGGGCAGCCTCTGATTTGCTCGCTCCAATCCTCGAAAAAAGTGTCAAGCTTGATGGCAATTGGTGAACTAATCAAGAGTGGTTCAAACCAAGCTTGGAAAACAATGTCTTAACTCCCAGATGCATCAATTTGTCTCTGGGATGGTTTCAACAGGGGCATGAGGTAGGATCTGATGCAATGGTGATTTTGGTAGTCAAACTCACAAATCCCCTAGAATCAGTCGGATCTGGAGGTATCTGCATCATTGAAGGGGGCATCCTCTGAGAAGATCCTCAAAGCCATTGCAACAGTGGCACTCAGGGTGATGCATCCTGAGCAGTAATGGGCAGGTTTGTGAGTCTTTTTGAGCCTTGGAGAAAAGGCAGAAAGCAAGGAACTGCTGAAGATGTCAGAGACTCTCCAGTACTGGGCATCTGTGTTTAACAGCCTGTCCGTCATTTCCAATCAGGAAACCCCCAATCATTGAGACCATTTATCTATTCCTGAATGCTTCAACATTCTCACTACCATGGGGAATTATTCTAATGCTTGGATGAGCATGCCAAGCCTTCAGCTGGAGTTCAGGTATGATCCAGGCTGCATGATTGTGTTTTCCAGAAGGATTGTGAGACATGGGGTTCATGCAGTGGAAGGGGATTGGATTGCTTGGGCATGGTATATGAGGGATTCCATTCATGTTTATGCTGGGGTTCTGTCGTGTGGATGGGCTAGGGTGGATTACAAACAGTGAAAGATCAAACAAGTGGAAAGTGTAGTTACCCATGTTAGCACCTACTGTCAAATACTAGATATTAGATATCAGGATCTTGAATGTTCGGGCCTCAATATCCAGAACTCAACACTCGATAGTCAGAACTAGATACTCGATATATTCAGGATTCAATATTTGACATTCAATGCTCAATGGTCAATCTTTGATACTTGATACTCAATAGTGGACATTTGGAATTGGTCATTCCATAGTTGGGTCTCAAATATTGACACCCAAATACCAAATACCAAATACCAAATACTGAGTCCCTAATATTGAATATTGAGTCCTGACTAGCGAGTATCAAATATTGAAACCCAACTCAATAGTCAGGTGTCAATATTCAAGACCCAACATACCAAATACCGAGTCCCAACTATCGACACCCAAATACCAAATACCAAGTCCCAAATACCAAATACCAAATACCAAATACCAAATACCAAGTCCCAAATGCCAAATACCAAATACCAAATACTGAGTCCCAAATATCAACACCCAAATATTGAATATCAAAACCTGACTATCGAGTCAGGTTTCAATATTCAATATTCGGGTGTTGATATTCAGGACTCAGCATTTGGTATTTGGGTGTCAATAGTCGGGACTCAATATCTGAATCTCAATACTCAATACTCAATATTCACCATTCGGGTCTCAATATTTGGGACTCCACACTCACAACTCGATACACCAGGTCTTGACATTCAATTGTCGATAGTTGAATGTTGAGACCCAAATATCAAGAGCTGACTATCAAGGAATTCAACATTCAATATTCAGGTCTCAACATGCAGAACTCAGTATTCGGAACTGGGTATGTGGCACTTGGTATTCAGTATTCAGTATTCAGGATTCAATAGTGGGGTCTCGATATTTGGGACTCAATATTTGATGGTTGGGTCTCAAGATTCAGTAGTCCATGTTTGGGACTTGGTATTGTGAACTCTGTACTTGATATTTGGGACTTGGTATTGGGGACTCAATATTATATTCAAGATTCAGATGTTGATATTCAGGACTTGATAGTCGATATTAGGGACTTGGTATTTGGTATCTGGTATTTGGTATTTGATAGTTGGGTGTTGAGATTTGAGATTTGGGTGTCAATATTTGGGACTTGATACTCAATATTAGGGACTTGGTATTTGGTATTTGATAGTTGGGTGTTCAGATTTGAGATTTGGGTGTCATAAAAGTCTGTTGGAAATCTCAGCATTGGCCACCACAGTCATCAGTCTCTTACAGTAATCTCCCATTGCAGCCTGGCTTTAAAGTGCATGATCTGAGCAGTGGAAGGCTTCTTGGTGTTGGCAGCCTCTGTCTGATATTGGGAGATAGATGCTCGGATGCGCAATGCAGCCATTGACATTGTGGCTGCAATATCTGCAAGACTGAGTATGAGGGGTCAGTATTCATTGCCAGAATCCACAGTATCAGAAGGGGATGCAGGAGGAGTTTGCAATACATGCATGGCTAATGCGGGAGTATGATGCTGGAAATCACAATGACAATGATAATTGGTTCGGATGTGAAGATATGAGCCACCGGTTGATTAATAAAAATTTTCAAACTCTGACATTTGTTCATCTGGGCATTTCCTGAGACTAACATGTTTGGGTAGAAGTAGCTGTTTCATATCATTGGCAAAAAAGTTCATTCATCTCAAGCGTCTATGAACCTGCTCTGCAGGTCTTGAAATGCTGCCTGGGCATCCTGTGCCAGTAATGAATACATTTGGGATTGCCTTCCTGAGTAGCATGAGTGACCTGGAAGATGTTTCACCAATGATTCCTGCATCCTGTTGCCCCATTTGGTTGCTTTCCACAAGAAAAAGTTACATGTCCAATCCATCTCCAATTGGACCAATGTCATTTCTTCCTTCCATTGATCTCATAGGGCCTTTGCCCAAAGCCAATGAACTTGGTAAACTTTGGATGGGTCTCATCAGCTGAGCATGGATATGTCAAGCATGCCAGAACTCACATTCCTCATTCCATGAGTGATCTGGACCCCCCAGGTCCACATTAATGGACCAGAACCAAGCAAGGGACTCATTCCACTGACCTTGGGCATTTGGATCGCTGATGGCAGTGCTGATTTTGAGCTGCTCCAGAAGCAGTGGTTTGTATGTCTGAAGCTGGTCTTGCCCAGCTCAAGTTGTATTCGAGGTTGTCCAATAGAAAATCATCAAGTACCATGAAGGTGAACAAAGTCTTAGGTTTGTTAAATGATGTGGGAAAAAATCCATGTTGAAACATTTGAATGTCTGGACTCATGGCATTTGGACAATCACAGCATTGAACCTTGAGGCAATGAACTCCAGACTTGTCAATGATGACCATGGTGTTTTCCTTCAGCTGGAACTCAGGTCCCAACACAGATGGTTGATCTTCAGGCTCAAGCTGGTCTTCATGCTCGTCTTCTTTGAACAAATCCCACCTATCTGTGAGGACCAGACATTGTTTGCCACCATGACCAAGGTGTATGACAAGTCCAACATGGGCAAGACAACTCTGCTTGAAGTGGACCTTCCCTCCCCACCCATCTGTGCCAGCAATGTTGCCAGTCCCTCCACCAGCACTACTACTGAGTTCCAGGACAAGGGGAAAGGTAAGGCCATTGATGCTGACCCAGAGCCTGAGACAGAAGGGAGTTGGAAGAGGAAGTCTCCCATGATTTCAGCACTCTCCTCCCAACTGCTGAAGTCTGCGATGAAGACTCACAAGCATATGAAGTCATCTCACTGGGTGACGTCCAAGCCCCTAGTGGACTCAGAAGATGAGGAAGACATGGATATTCAGGTATGTCATCTGGTTCATCTTTGACTTGGCTCACATTTTCTTGTAGCCATTTTTGGGTGGAGTGCTGGACATCATCCTTCCCCAGCTCTCCAATTCACCTAGATCACCCCAGGTTCTGACCAAAAAGCCCTTTGGCCCTGCTACAGTAAGTGACATTTATGTGTCCAGGACTCGGGTGTATGCTCACAATGTACCAGGTGATTGCTGGCAGTCACCTGGTAGTCATTGAGCCCTCCCAGCCAACTCCTGAAAGCCCAGTGGAGGCACCCCCAGTCATTGATGGAGGTGATATTCTCATTCCTGGACCAGTGAGTACTTTGATTTATTTGACAAGCATCCATTTACTAACACAACCCACAGAACAACCCATGCCAGGTTTGCACCAAGCTAAAGTGGGACTGCACAACTCGGTTAGACAAGAGGACCAGGAATCTGTGTATGTCATGCATCTGCTGCACAACAAAGAAGGTCAAGTGCATCCCCACAACTATGGGTACCCCACCAAAATGTGTTTGTGGTTCCTCTACCACCCAGAACACAAGATCCAGGATGCCCTCCAAGGCTCCTCCCAAAGCTCCCCCCACCTCCAAATCCAAGGCTTGGACTTGTAGTCAGTCTTGTGGCAAGTCTGGAACTCCAGGTGTTACTACTGTGATAACCCCCAAGACCCAGATGCATGGTTGCAGCAAGACCATCACTGCCATCAAGGCACCCACACCTGCACCAGCTCATAAGTCACCCAAGTTTTGGTTTTATCACTGTCTGACCTTAATTTTCCCTTGTAGCACTTCCATCTTCAAGTTTGGCAGTCCCTGCTCCAGCACTCAACCTGCCCATGCCAGATCTCCATACCATGGCAATTGTGATTTGGGATGGCACAGCTTGCATCACCATTCTCGAGGCTCGTGTGGCAGAGCAGGATGGTAAGATTGATACCCTGCAACACCTCCATGAAGGCCTTAGGTGCAAAATCATCGACCGGCACCCCACATTCCCACTTCCTGAACCTCTGGCCAATGCAACATCCTTGTTGCTTGATCAATCCATCCCCCCATCCATGTCACCATCTGCATCTGCACTCCCTCCTCTCATTAATCTCTTGATTGGAGAGATGATGACCACACCCCTGAAATTCAAGAATGCCTCTGCCATTGAGGGCCTCCTGTTTGAGTACAACTGGGTTGCTCAACCAGAGATTCCAGATATGTCCAGCAAAATTGTGGACCTGGGTGATCCGGGCAACCTGGTCCCAGAATATGATTCTTCCAATGACATGGATGTTGAGGTGAAGGTTGAAGTGTCTTCTGAGGAGGTTGACATGGCTACATAATTGCATAGTGATAGACATATATACAAGTTTTTCAATGAATGTTACCTCTGCCAGTCCATTTATTCAATCACTGAGTGTCGAGTACTGAGTACCAAAACCTGAAAGTTAGAAACAAACATTGAAACTTGAAACCCAACAGCCATAACAATGTATGAGTTTCAAGTTTTGAGTCTTGAATTACTGAGTCCTGAGTCCTGAAACCCAAACATCAAACATCAAACCCCTTATATTGAACCCCGAAACTTGAAACTTGTCAAAATGTATGAGTTTTGAGTTTACAAATCAACACTCAAACCCCAAAACTCATATATTTTGACAAGTTTCAAGTTTTGGGGTTCAATATAAGGGGTTTGATGTTTGATGTTTGGGTTTCAGGACTTGGGACTCAGTAATTCAAGACTCAAAACTTGAAACTCATACATTGTTATGACTGTCGGGTTTCAAGTCCCAAGTCCCAAACATTGAAATCTGACACCTGAAACTGGAAAGTTGTACCAATATCTGAATTTTGAGTGTTGAGTTTCAAGACTTGAATCACCAAGTCCTGAACTCCAAAACTCAACAGTTGTAAAAATGTATGAGTTTCAAGTCTTGATTTTCAAACTCAAAACTCATACATTTTTACAACTTTCAAGTTTCAGGTGTCGGGTTTTGGGACTTGGTGATTTGAGTCTTGAAATTCGACACTTGAAATTCAGATATTGGTATGACTTTCCAGTTTCAGGTGTCAGGTTTCGATGTTCAGGTTTTGGGACTTGGTGATTTGAGTCTTGAAACTCAAAACTCAAAATTCAGATATTGGTATGACTTTCCAGTTTCAGGTGTTGGGTTTCAATGTTTGGGACTCAGGACTCAGTGATTTAAGTCTTGAAACTTGAAACTTGAAACTTGAATTTCAGATATTGGTATGACTTTTGAGTATCAAATCACCAAGTCTCAAAGTCCAAGTACCAACACAACTTGGCATTCGGCATTCAGGTCTCAGTGATTCAAGACTGGAAACTTGACAGTCATAAAAATGTTTGAGTCCTGAGTTTTGAGTTTTGATGTTGGTGTTTCAAAGTTTTGGATTTCAGGTTTTGATGTTTGGGATTCAATGTTCAGGTTTCAGGACTCAGTACTCGCTGTGTTGACTTTGATTGATGTTGACAGGATCTGAGTCTGAATGTCATTGATGACTCAGATCAAAACTAGTGCAATAGCATTCCTCATATGTCCATATAGTATACCAATACCTCAGCCCATATGTCTAAATGATATGTATCTGGGCCCACCCATTTATATGACATCCCCCTCCATTGGCCCACCAATCTATCTAATATACCCTATGTCAGCCCACCTGTCTATCTAATATACCCCCAACTCGGCCCACCTGTTTATATGACATCCCCCTCCATCAGCCCACCCATATATATAATACATATTTCCCTGCCCCATCAGCTCACCCATCTATCTAATATACCCTACATCAGCCCACCCGTTTATATGACATCCCCCTCCATCAGCCCACCAATCTATCTAATATACCCTACATCAGCCCACCTGTCTATCTAATATAACCTCCACCTCGGCCCACCCATCTATATAATAATATCTACCATACATCTCTCTTCAGCCCAGCTGTCTATAATATATGTCTATCCTAGTCTACATATTGCCCAGATGGGCCCACCTATCTCCATCAGTAATAATATTTCTTCCAGCCCATCTGCCATTGTCAAGGATATTTATGACATCAGCATAGATGGGCCCACCTGTCAACATCGAGGATATACATAACATTGGCCTATAGTCTGCTGGCCCATCTTATACAGGATATTATGTAGGTCAGGTGACCTGTATAATATGGAGTTTGTCACTGAAGGGGCTCTTCTTGATGCTATCAGGTAGGGCTATATAAATAAATGCCTGAACATTGGCTGATGGAGAAAGTGAAGATATGGTATAGGCCCATGGGGAGGAAGATCTTATTCTACCAGGTGATCTGATGTTGAATTTGATTTGAGTGCATCAGTTGGCAAATATCAAGCTTAATCAGTGAGTATTTGGCAAAGTTGATTACAGCTATGTATTCACCATGTATTCACCAAACATCGTTTATGAAAGTTAATTTTTAACCTTGTGAACAATGATTCTAAATAACAAAATGTAGCTATATTCTACTGGTATGTACCAAGACACCAACATCTAAGCTGAAACTGATGCATCCCTATATACATCCATGTAGTTCACATACTGCAGCCAAGGGGTTCCCACAAAATTGTGAAGGCTATCACACATGAACTATGCCCAGATGATGTGATCACTGATGAATGTGACTCCATGCCTAACAATGTGTCTGGAGCATATTACAATCATGTATGCTTTAGTTCTGCACTTTAATCTTACTAGGTTTCACCTGAAACATCCTTTGCTTGAGACCTCCAATCTCTTGTCGTCTGAACTGTACTTTAAGATAGAAGCACTCCTTCTGTCTTAGCTTACACTGGATGCTTGACTTATCATCTAGCATAGAATCTCAGCAGAGGTCTTAACTCTTATCGAGTTGTCTGTCATTAGAACTATCCTAGTTCATAACAGAGCAGGCAACCATGGCACCAGAGTTATATTGCAGGTGAATACCAAGGTTGGATAGGGTCATGAGGCCATTGGAATAATGGCCAACACTGGTCATAACATCAAACCCCTCTGGTGCTGATCTTGGATCTTGGTGAAAAGGGCATTGCCTGTTACATATGACAGATGCACAGTTGAGGACCAAGGCCCACAGTTGCAAACAAGTATATATGTCACTCAGGTTGTTTTCTATGGCCCATTGACCGAGATTAATCTGTGTGGTGACTGAGGACAGGAGAGCCAAGTGCTGCATGGATATAATGACCAACAGATTGTGGACCCCCTTTAGGGTAGACAACACCTCTGGAACAAACCCACCAGTGGCTTGAAAACCATGTAGCTGAAATTGCTGAGTGAGCACTGGCATTTCATTAAAAGAAAAAGGTCTGACCTCTTGGCCTTGCTGGAACCAGCAAAGGGCAATGTTGATGCATCCTGGGGTCACAATGTGTCAGTTGCTGACATGGAAATATCCAGAATATGTCCTCCAATTGGTCTCTTGTCCACTGCACATGCTTTTCTTCAGGAGAAAACTCATGCTGGCCATGGCCTCTTCCATATCGACCTGTTAGGTGGGGATAAATGTTGGCCAACAAGAAACAATAAATGAGCTCACTTGAGTCCAAGGGCTATTGGTGTCTGGAAGGTACTATAGGATGATATGGCTACCAGAATCCATGAGGACCAAGGGCTTGTCTAACAATTGCTTGGGAGGATTAGGAAATTTTTAAAGCAGAGCCTCTTCATATATTGCAATGTGGCCAGTGGAGCATCTGTTGAGGGCTTCATTGTAGTGAATCATGTCAAGATCAAGCTGAACTGGGATGTGTTAGTAAATTGCTGACCAAATGGCATGAATGACCAACTGGGGTTTGTATAGGCATTAGCTAGAACCTGGGCCAGTTGCTGGCAAGCGAGCATGGTCAGCACATTTAGTACTAGAGGAGACAAGACTAACTGTTGCTGACTGGCAATATGGCAAGTGAAGAGCATGTGCACAAAGTCAGTGGTAATGCATATTGTATGCAATGCCCAGTCAGCTGGAATTTGTGTCATTGGTGGGGAAGAGGGGCAGCAATCATTGATCATTGGCTCATATAACAAATCACCAAAACAGAAATAGTAGCACCATGTGCATTTCCAGTATATTAGGCAAAACACTTAGTCACTTTCTGGCATTTTAGGCAATATTGGTAAAATACAGAAGGACTGAAGCATATCTAGTAACACTATGTACATATCTGATATATTAGGCAAAATCAGAGAGACAACAATATGTAAAGTTGAAGTCACTGTTTGGCAGGAAATTGCTGGTGAGAATTCAACAGCACCTGCTGCACATCACTGATCAGTGCCTCAAGTCACTCCATGGTGGCTGCTGCCTCTGTGACAATCTGAGTTTTCTGCTCTAACATGGAAGCCATTGCCTTACTGAGATGTTGCAGATGGGCCCTCACCATCACAATTTGATTATAAAGGACATCACCATCAGCCTGACCAGTGATCACAGGTCCTGGCAAGAGCATGGTTCCTATCTATTAAGAATCATGTTGCTCAAGGAAGAGAGAGACTGACTCAGAAGGGCTTGGCCTTAGCTTGTACACTGTGCCCCTTACCCAAGTATGTGCCCTTCATTTCATATGAGGTCCAATGATGGTCTGATGAAGTCCGGAGGACTTCTGGAGGAGCATAGGAAATGTCTGGAGGAGCATAGGAGAGTTCCAGAGGAACACAGGAAGTGCTCAGGAGAGTTCCCACTGCAAGGTAATACTTCTACAGGAAATAGGATGGAAGGATAGGAGGTCCGAAGGTCTGGAGGACAGGAGGACAGGAGGAACAGGAGGATAGAAGGACAGGAGGATGGGGGACAGAAGGACAGGAGGACAGGAGGACAGGAGGATGGGAGACAGAAGGATAGGAGGATAGGACATCCAAAAGGATGGAAGCAACAGGGGCTACATTGGATGAAGTCCAATGTAGAAACAAACAGAGGTAGACTACCCTAAGGTAGAGTTGGAGGGACAGGGATTGGACCTAAGTCCAGAAAGAGGGTAAGTGCTGGAAAGGCAAAGCTCTGGCCTAAGGAATCAATCCCTAGGCCTGATGGATAGGACAGACTTAGGTGGACCAAAGTCTGAGAGAGGATTGGGCAAGTAGAGCAAAGTCTAAGATGAGAGAACAGGATCTAAGATGATATTCAAACTAAGGAAACTACAGGAGTATCTACAGGGGTTATATACTGGAGAATATCTGAGGAGATCAGTAAGCAAAGGAGCAGGGCTATGTATGAGCATGTGGAAACACATTAGTAAGTAAAACAGAACATAACTAAATGAACTTGGAGATGAAGACTCATACAAGGATCAATAAGCAAGACAGAATAGGAGGTAACTGAAAGCCGGAAAGGCAGAGATGCCTAAATGGGGATAGGCACAGGACATCAGACAGAGGGTGGGAATAGGTCCAGAGATCTGGGGATCTGGAAGATAAGGTGGATACAGGACTGGAATATGAGGAGGTGGATATAGTCCAGAATCCAAGACAAGGTGAAGTCTGGATGTCTTGCTGGATGGAGTGTGCATAGGGTGGATGGGATAGGGTAGTATGGATCAAGCCAGCAGTGAGGATCCAGAGTGGAGTCAATCCTGCTGAGGTATGGAGCACACAGTAGAAGGGGATCTGGGAATGAGTTGGATATGGGGTCCGGACATAGGCTCAGAGGGCGTGGGAATATTATGGAATGTGGGTCTAGATTGTGGGATATGGCACCATTGGCTAAAACATAGCATCAGTGGATAGCCAGGATGACAGGAAGATATGACCAATGAGTTGTTCAAAGTGGTCTCATGTCATCTCCATGACCTCCTGAAGGTGCATGGCTGGCAGCTCAAATCCCAACCTGTTGAAGTGATCCATCCACCAGTCATGTTGGTAGTTTGGAATGACTCAGTGAATGGACACCAGTCCTGGGTCATTGGGAGAGCAGTGGGCAAAGAATTAATTGAATAATTGCTCAGCTGTGATTGCACTGGTTTGGAAATGGACAAAGTAACCAATGATGCTGCAGAGGAGGTCCAGCATGGTTGGATGCATGTTGAGCACCACACATATGTTTATGTAGGGGAAAGCAAAATGCTGAAGGAGGCATTAGCTACAATGTCAGTCACTGACCAGCCAACTGATGAGGGACTCACATCAGCCTCCCATTGAAGGTGCCAGATGAAGCTGGCTTTGTAAGCCAGTGTTCACAATACCAGGCTTTGGTTGCAAACCAGCCAGATGGCAGTAATTCAAGATGTGGCAAATTCTAAGACATTTGCAGCATCCCAGGCAGTAAAGCAACTGAGATCATATACAGAAACTGCAGAGGAGTTGGACATAATAGGCAGTGCTAGGACTATTCTTGGTTTGCAAGGTATTCTATAGGAATGAGCATTGTAATTGTGACTAATCTACTCTGGCACTTGCCATTGTCCACATGTGGGTGTGGCTGTGTGTGGGCCCCTGTCACTCTGCCACCACAGCAAGCCCTTTTGTGCTTTGAAAACTGCCTTGTGCATGCTGGGAGAGTCAGAGATAAACCTGAGCCTGGTGGGCTGCATAGCACTGGTAGCTGGCCAAGTCATTTGTGTTGGCCTCCTGCATTCAGCTGATCCATTGCTCAGATTTATGAATAAAGAATTTGACTGTCCATGCCATTTCCCTACTGACTAGCAGCAGCTCCTCTGCCCAATGATTCCGCAATGCCAAAGTCTGAAGCCAATAGACATAGTAAACTGTGAAAAGAAATTAGCACCAAACAGCACAAGGTCAGTTAGAGAAGTGCACACATTCATTCATCCAGTCATTGCTTGTTGAATCCCTATGGACATCAACAGACCAGAACCATGCCAATGTGCTATTCCTTTGACCACATACATTTGGGTTGGCAACTACTGTAGTGGCCTTGAGGTCAGCCTTCTCCAATGGCCAATATTTGGTCAGTAAGTCATCAGTGCCAAGACTGATGAGCTGCTTGCAGCATTTAGAGTCAATCTGTGTATTTAACTGAAGAACCTTGTCAACTGAGTGAACCCAAGCCCATGCTCTGGTTGACTGAGCTTATGACTTTGCCAACTAACCTGTGGTGCGAAAGAGAACAGCCTTGTTGGCCAAGTTGACCCTGATGCTATGTAATGCATCATTTGCTTGCCCTTCTCTCAAAGTTATTTCTTGTAAGACCAGGTCAGTGACATCCCACTTGGCACATCTTTCAACACCAATGTTAGATGGCAAAGGAATCACCATGGTCTTGGGGTTGAACTCAACCGACATATCATCATTATCATCATCATCATCTGACTGATCAGGATTGTCAGACAATGGCCCTATGGACTCCAATTCTGCAGCATTCAATGTCCTCATATTCATTGCCAAGGAATGTGACTGCTGCCTTGATGAACTCATCAAGTTGGCCTTGCAGTCTGTCATGCTGCTGAGCCACAGCCAGCTTCTGGGTGTCAGTCAGTCACCTTCCCAGTTTTTTTATGTCAACAAGAAGGGCAACTTTGGCCTCCTCTAATGTAATTCCAGTGACCAGCCAAGTTGCAGCACCATGGTGGTTTTGCTGGTGGGCCATCTTGCCTGGCAATTCAACAGGTGCAACTCTTGCTGTTTGTTTGTTGGCACTTCACCAAAGCATATAAGCATATTGTAAATAGGCAATGCATTCCAACAGACCTTTTGTCAATTGAATTTCATATATGTCCATGGCATTGGGATTGTGGAGTTGGTCATCCTGAGTAGCAGCAGCCTCAGCTTCCCATTTTGCAAGGGTGTCATTCTTAGCAGTCTTGCTTAACCAGTCAAATGCAAACTGGCTGTCTTTCACTCCCTGCACAGCTTCCTTGAATTTTCAGCAAAGGAATTTGCCTAGATGCATCAGGATTTGTGAGCTTGGAGAGATGATATTGCTCACTTATGCAAATCATCTTCATGAAATTGCAGTCATTCATTTGAAAGTCTAAGCACTCCTTTTGGTGAGGGGTAGACATCTCCTTCACAGACAGTGATATAATGTTCAATGGTGCCCACAGGGTCTCCATTATTTTGCCATCTATCCTTGCAGCACTGGTGATAAAGTTGGAGGCATACCAGACATAGCATTGTCTTGATGTCCATGGACATGCCAATGGCTAATGCTAGAAATGATGTCTATACCCATGGAATGCTGAGATAGGGGAATGCCTCAATCCGCTGGTTGAGATGCTTGTGGTATTGACAATTAATGTCATAGAATATGAATGCCTGGTGGATGCCATTGGTCTTGTAGGACAGGGCTTGGCACAGTGCATAATCCATGTTTATCTGCCTTTAGCAGACTGACATATCAGTTCAACCCAGCCAATGCAGCATTTAGAACAGCGAACATTTTCCCCTTCTGAAAGTCCACCATTGAATGGGGCATGAAACAACCATGTCTAGTGCAAGCACACCCACTGATTCCCATGGCTTCAAGCTTGTGCCAAGATGCATTTGCTTGGTTAACTGCTTAGTGGTTGTTGCAATCTGACCTTTGCACAGTATCCTGTACCTCAGCCAGATGCATTTTGTATCAGGCATCACTGATCATGAATTCCGAGCCATTGGTCAATGCCACTTCATTGATTGGATTGGCTGGAGTAAATGTTCAGCTTTGAAATTGCCATCCATAACCAAAGACCTGGAATATAATCATGCAGGGTCAGACAAATTTCTGTCTGCCAAATTGACATTGACACCGGGTTGCAGACATGCAAGACAGAAGAGTGTGAGCTCTCCTGCCTTTGGCTTTTGCTTCTCATGGCTGAGCCCATGCCACTTGAGCTGCTTGAGTTGTTGCCACTGCCTGCCCACCCTCATTAATTCCCAGTATCAGTTCTTTTGGCAATTCTGAGCAATGCTATGTTAGACATTACCCATTACTCACTGGAACCAAATAAGGGAACATGCCAGAGGTGACATGCCTCAGTTTACTGTAGTAGTTCATGGCTGATGTCCCACATTCCAGATTGTCCAACAGGAAGTTGTCCAATACTACAAATGTGAATGTCATCTTCAGTGAAGTGAAGGATGCTGGAAAGAGGCCAATCTCGAATAGTTGCATGTCAGCACTTAGCACCCCAGGGTACTAACACAATGTGATTGTCAAGGAGTGGAGCCCCAAGGTATCCTACTACCATGGTAGTCTGAGAATCATTGACCAGGGGTATCCAAGAGCCTTCAGTCAAATAATCCCCTTCATCATCTGTGTTGTACCAGTTGTTAGTCAGCATAGGGCAAGGCTCTCCTACATGACTGAGGTATATTTCCAGCCCAATCTTGGTTAAGGAAGTATCCTTGAAGAATCCTCTGGTCTATTGACTGATCCGATGGAATGACATGTGGCTGTGAACTGTCTGATAGCAATGAGTGCAGAAGAGTAGCTTACCTATGCAGCTGTAACATTTGTAGACTCCATCCTTGGGACAGACTGAGCACATTCTGTTAGAAGGTGGACCCTCTTGCCAAAGAAGCAGGTCCAAGTAGTCATCAGTCTTGTTCTTTCACTGGCACAGATAGTCATTTTAACTCATAATAGATACTTAGTATCAATAAATGGCATAAGGAAAGGGAATAGTGAGCTTGCCATGGACTTTTGAAGCCTACAAGGCTCCAAGTTGCAATTGCCAAGGTCATAGTATTGGTAGTCACCCTCCCATGAAGTCCTCTGGTAGATCCCTGCTTGGTAGGTGATTTTCTGGGAGATAAATGCACTGATTTGCTTCTGTTATCATGTTAAGCCTTTACAAATTGACCTTTATCTCCCCTAGATGTTCTTTTGTCCACTCATTGAACCAAAGATGATGCCTTTGGAGGACTCCAGGACTTTGGCTTTGACTTAACCATGGACTGAAGTGGTGTAGGGATTGTCTAGATGTGTTATTTGAAATAGGATGCTTAGACTTTGGGACAGTTGGATAGTTACATGTGATTTTGAAATGCCCAATGCAATGCATTGTATGTAATACTCACTTTGATCTCATGTAAATCATCTGCAGGGATGTTTATGGAACAATGTCTATAGTTCATAGTCATTGTATTTATAATAACTTTAAGAGCACTTCAGGACCTCTGAGTTCATCACAAACTACCAACTAATGTGTTTTCACTATTCAAATGAGTCCTGTAGCAATAGGGTTCATGCTATTCAGCACAATCTAGGCCTTACATGTGCTTATGGCATGGCATGTCACACATTGGAAGTATTGCTCATAAGACCCTTGCACTCCATTTTCTCTTCCATTAACCATATTAACCCTCCCTTGCGCTTGCACTTTGCAGGTCTTTACTCTAAGCTACCCACAGTGACATGGCTCAGACAAAGATAAACACAGGGGATTAGCCTTGGTTAAATGACCAAGAGACCATTACTTCTGTGGTCCCATGTTGAGGACTGGGAGAAGGCAAGTGCAACCAAGAGAAAATTGATATTCAAAGCAGCCACCAGAGAGGCCAAACTCTTGGTTCCAATAATGGACAAGGAGCTCTTGAAGCAATGGAAAGAGGTGAGCATTTTGGCTTCAGTCTCAGTCATACTTCTTTACACTGGTCATGGACAGAAATACAGGCAGTAGTTCACAATCACAAGGCATACAAGGCCAATACCAAACCACTGATAAAACTGCAGAAGAAATGGACAGAGTGCTAAGTCATAGAGGAGTAGAGGAAGGCTAACATTTTTCAGCAGATACAGGAAGAAATTGAGAAGGATACTGTGGAGAAGCCTGACCTAGAAAGAAGTCCTCAGGAGGTATCAACTGATGATGATAGCAATTATAAAAGGGCTAGACTACAAGGAGTTGGAGAAAGTGTAGGCAAAGGCCAACCAGTGGACAAATCAAGTGCCCAACTTTGCAGTCCAGGCCAAGACAGCTCAAAAAAATAGCAAGAAGATAATCAAGCACTTTACCAAAGAGATGTTCACTCAGGCCAGTATGAGGCTCTTTGTATTGGGATCTTGGAAGGATGAGAAGGTAGCCTTCTTACATCTGGGCAAGTTGATCCAGTTGGTTGGTTGGTTGGTTGGTTATTTAGCTAATATTGTGTGGCAGGTTCAACTTCAATGAACAGCTTAGCAAGGGCTCCAGCTTTATGAAATCCAAGGACTGGCAGGTCATCCTACCAGTGTGAGAGGATTTCATTGGTGATGCATTCAGTGAGTCTCAGGGTTATATTAGAGGTTCAGTGTCTAATCAGCATCATGTCAAACAAGACCAAGATTAAGACCAGGACAGCATTATGCTAGGAGGCACTCACTGGATACCCAAACCATACCATGAGTTTGACCTTGACCACACAGGTTTGCTGATCTTATCTGATATGGATGATGTCTCACTTGAAACACAAAAGGGAATGATTTGGTCTTGCCTCACCATTCATTATAGTAAGCATGAGATCAGAGGATTTGTGCCACCTTCTAATATCTGTGGCTACAGGAAAATGCTGTGGAAAGTCAAAGGTCCCAGTCCCTTGGAGTGACATCTTGAAGGGACAATCCAGGTTCATCTCCAGCATATACCTGCTGGATGGTGTTCAAATTCAGGAGCCATCCAAAATGCACCAAAAGGAAGCCAATGCCTTGTTAAAATGTTGGTTTGACCAACAGGAGACTTAGGTTAGAGTGACATTCCAGTTCAAGGCCTGGATTTATGATAAGAGCAAGATGCACCCACCTGTTTGCAAGGAGTCTGATGACTCTGATGGTAATGCTGATGATGAGGGCATGTGCTCTCAGCCTACCAAAAGGTCATCTGTCACAGCTGCAAACTCGCCACCTGGACAAGCCAAAGATTGGCCATCCTAACTTCTCAAACATTGGCCAAGGTCCACCAGAAAAGTGTTACGGTAGACCGTAGTTTCGACTAGGATAGTCGCGACGATAGACACTCGATAAGAGTGACGTCTAACGCCGAATCGTAACCCCACAAATGTAAGGCTTCTGTAAGACAAACTAGAGAGAGTGTCTCTGGTTTGAATATCGGTATCAGACACTTAAGATTGGGGGTCTTAAGCGAAGGATGTTCTGGGTAAAACCTAGTAGATTAAAGTGAAGTCTAGCTAAGTACAAGATCCTGCTTATATAGGTAAGGCCTGCTTTAGGGCCGGTATGTACACGTCATCGAGACGAGTCAGAGATAAGAGAAGTGACGTCATCAAGACGAGTCAGAGATAAGAGAAGTGACGTCATCAAGACGAGTCAGAGATAAGAGAAGTGACGTCAGCTAACGGTGGCACGAGGCGGCCGCGCTGTGATACACGAGTAACGATGAAGGAGATAGTCTAGTGATGGCACAGGTAAGTGCGGTCATGACGTAGTACAAAGGAAGATAGAGAAGAAAAATGATAGGGGGCAACTGTTACTGTAACATTACCCCTCGTTTAGCGATGAAGTCACCGACTTCACATATCTTGGTTGGCCCAGTAAATAGGGTCGGCGTCGTAGTTGGAGTGGAGGAGGTCGTCTTGTTCCTCCGTGATAGTAAGGGATTGCGCCATTTCCTCGGCGTGAGCAATACCATCTTGCTCGATCTCCCAACGAGCGAGTGCGTCGTAAAAACCGACGTCAGTCCATACTAATGGAATGACCGCTTCCCCTTTCAAGTCTTTGCAAAAGACCGACAGGTGACCGGGCGCGTACTCTCGGCAGACTCTGCAATAGTACGCGGGGCAGTTCTTGTGACGATGGCCAGCGATATGGCAGTTACGACATACGACATTGTCGACCGGTGATGTTTTCACAATGGTGACAGATGAGGATTGGTTCGGGGGAGATGGTGATCGTGATCTTTTAAGTGGTGGTTTGGTGGGGGAGACAGATGCAGCGCGTTTAGCGGCGAGGCGAGAGGATCGTCGTTTTAGTGGGAATCGTCGTTTGGTGCGTATGACTGGGTCAGGAGAAGGAGAAGTCGGTACGTCAAGTACGGCAATAGGAGGGATATTATCATCCGGGCTGTCCATGGTAGTGGCAGCGGGAACTGTGGCGGCGGGAATTGTGGCGGCGGGGACTGTGGCGGCGGGGATTGGTTGTGGTACGGGGATGGCAATGTGGGGTGATGGTGGTCTTGCGATGGGGTTAAGAGCGATTCGCTCGGTGACGATGTGGATGGCTTCTCTGATAGCGTCTCTAGTCTCTTCTGGGAGAAGGCGGATGGCGGTGTTGCGAATACGTATATGAAGATGACGAAAAATAGTTTGATGACGTTCATCATCAAGGAGAGCGGCGGTGCGTTCGATGAGACTGGCGTCTCTGATGATTCTGATTATAAGGCCGCTAGAGATTGCTCCTCTTTCTCCGAGGAGACGGTCAATCTCAATAGCGTACTGCTGGGAGGTGATAGCGGACTCGAATAAAGCGCTGGTTTCGACTTGGTCAATGATCGAAAAATAATCAGTGAGAGTTGAGTCGTCGGTGAGGGTAAGGGTGGAGTCAGAAACCGGTGATGGTACAGGGGAGTATGCGTGTCGTGCGAAGTCGGCGGCGGTGGCGTTTTGATATTCTTGGAGTGTTACGGGGCGCGCTTCTCTTTCGGCGGCGAGGTTCATGGCAGCAGTGATTTCTTGGATGCGGAGGATACAGAGGCGTAGTCGTTCAATGGAGGACATTCTGAGGAGGGTCTATAATCCATGAGCCTTCTTATAGGCGTTCAGGATATCGGAGGCATTATCGAGATTCCCTTCTGGGACCCATTCGTTACTGGCTGACGAATATCCTTTCCAAGATAAGAGATAGCGTCTTCGTTTACCCGTTCCCTTGTGCGATAAGATCGCGTCAACCTCGTACTCTTCTTCGTTATCGATGACGTCGGGGGGTGGATCATGGAAGTTCGGCCCGTGAACCTCTGTTTCGTGATAGGACGATAGTTCGGAAGCGTGGAACGTGGGGTGAACTTTCCACTGGGGTGGCAATTGGAGTGTGAATGTGATGGGAGATAGGACGGCGATGATTGGGAAAGGGCCATATCGTTTGGGGGCAAGTTTCCGTGATGGTAACTGTGTGATTAGGTTTTTTCCGGATAACCAAACCTTGTCTCCAACTTTCCACGGATGATACTTCTGCCCGTGAGTTCTTTCTGCCATTCGTTGCATCGCAAGATTGTGGCACGAAAGTGCTTCTTCTCTGGACTTTTGGAGCGTGCGGAGTCTATCCTCCGCAGCAGGGACAGTGGAACTGGGGAGGACATGCGGAAGGGCTCGTGGCTCGTATCCCATCATCAAATAGAATGGCGATGCGTTACGAGAGTCGTGTTTTCGGTGGTTGTGGACGAATTCCGCCATAGGGAGCTGTTCTACCCAGTTTTCAGGGTTATTCCGACAATAGATCCGAAGATATGTTTCTAGTTCTTGATTGAGCCGTTCTGTCTGTCCATCGGTCTGGGGATGGTAAGCGGTCGATGCTGCTATATCGTACTTTAGCAACTTGGCGAGGGCTTTTGAGAACTTGGATACGAATTGCGGGCCTCGATCAGAGATGACCTTTTCATGTAGGCCGAATCGGCGGTAGACATATTTGAAAAATTTGCTGGCGACTCCTTCGGACGTGATGGTTTTAGTACATGGGATGAGAATTACCCCCTTCGTAAGCCCATGGTCGACCACGACCATGACTGAATCAAAACCTGCACAGGGAGGAAGGTCGGTGATGAGATCAACCGAGACCTGGGTGAAGGGTGCTGCGGCGACGGAGGGAATAGGAACAAGGGGCGGGGTCGTCGGATGGGTGTCGGATTTCATCTGCTGACAAAGGGCGCAGCCCTCGACGTATTTACGAATATAGGTGCCCATGGCGGGCCACCAAAAATCTCTTTTAACCAGTTCTTCCGTTTTGAAACGACCAGGGTGACCGGCGGAGGGGTGGTCATGACACCGTTCGAGAATAAGATGTCGGCCAGCGGGACGGACGTAAGCGCGATTCTTGTAGTAGAGAACGTCATCAGTGATGGTCCAATCAGCAAGTGCA